TTCAATCTGCTATTCGACCCATTCTGCATTTAGATAGTTTACCAGTTCCTACTCCACCTGAAAATTGTGTGTTTGAAGTAGAAAATGAAGACAATGTGGAACAAGAAGAAGAATCAAACCAGCCTTCCACATCCCGTGACCCTGATTTTGAGGAAAAATATGATAAACCACAAAGACTGAGTCAAGCGAAATTGAGTGATCTTATTAGAGACCTTGGTCTGTCAAAGGAGAAGGCAGAAATTCTTGGGTCTCGACTACAACAATGGATGTCAGAATCTCACAGTACAGGGAACTGCTTCCCTTTTTTGAGAAGAAAAATAATCTTGTTGTTTGCTACAACATTAATGGCTTGATGAAATATTTATGGAACAAAGATAACCAGGACCATTGGAATGAAGCAATGCTTGCGGATTACTGTTGGTCTTTGTGTAGGGATGCTCTGGAACTCCCTTACAAGAGGCAAGCTAAAAGACGACGATCTCATGAAGCCACCACATAATATCTTCAGACACGACATCTGTGATGTATTCTTCCATCAATTTAGAACTCTTAGTATGTAACTACCATTTTGAAAAATCAAATACACTTTCAATGTTGTTAGCATATATAATTAAAATGTATATTTTTCTCTTAACCCGTTAATATGAAATACTTCCACCTTGTGTATATCACAGAAACAAGAGCTAAGAAAAATTTTTCATTGTCATATTCATTTTTCTCAACCCAAATTTTGGATAATTGGCCAACCAAGTTAGTAAGAATTGACTTATGAAGTGCTGGAAACATTCAAAAATTTGTTTTTTGTTGCCAAGCAGCTTTGATCAATTTTCATTTTGCGAAATCAGAAAATTGTGAATTTAGTGTAACTTTATATGATAAATAAAATAGTTTGTATCATCTTCATGCACTTATGGTGTTTTTGTATCAATAAATAAGGTCCAAATTCACAAAAACAAATTTGAAAGTTGATCTATATCAAAAATGCACTTAGTGACTTTTTACAATAAACCGACGATATCTTTTTTGAAAGGGAATAGAAGAATAATTATTATTATTTATATACTCTGATTCATGGACTAAATACAAGTATATTGACAACTGGCCCAGCTCAAAGTTGTTGGTTGGTAAAACCCTGGATTTCAAGGAGAAAAACTCAAGATTTGTCAAGCTCCTAACTTTTTTATTGTAGCTAGTTTGTACAGGAATGAAAAAAATACAAGAAAAGACAAGCACGCACTACAACAATCATATTCATTCCAAAAATATTCATTCCAGACTGATGGGATTAGATAGAGTTAACATTTTCCACTATACCTTCATTCAGGATGAATCATAGTTTGGTTCTAGGAACCACTGAAAAGTATGTGGACTGTTAACTCATTGTTCCGTCTTTGATGCGCACTGTAGACGGACAAAAACGAAAATGAACCCTACTTCATAAAATATTTCTCTATTTATTTATTAGAACTGTCTATATCCCATTCTATGATATACTAGTAGACAAAATCCATCTTTACTTCACTTAGCAAGAAGTGTTTTGATCAAGATGTTTTAAGCAGGAAGAGTATTATCACTATTAGTTAAAATAAAACTTATTTCTATATTACCATACCTTGTCATTTATGGCATATGTGAGAGTTGTTCTAGAGGTTCAACTAAACATTATTCTAACTAGAATGGGAAGGTTGAGAATCTGTGGGTCCGCCACAAAATAGATTTCATCTCGCCCAGGCTAGATTCAAAAGTGCCACTAGACTCCAGAATGTTAAAGCTAACAAGGCCTCAACACAATATGCTATAACAACCTTCATAACTAAAATATCTGATTTGTCACAAACCCATGATTTTTCTTTCCTGATCATAAAGGTTAGTTAGCTGAATGAGGACCATTGTGACCCATATGAACTTTTAAGCAAAAAAAAAAAAAAAATTAAGAGGAAAGCAGAACCTGAACAGAAGGAAACAACATTTTCAGGAATAATTTTCTAAAAATCTAGAAGCTTATCACATCTAAGAACGAGAGTTCTCAACTCTAGAAAGCCTAGAGGTAATAAAAGAAGAGATAGAATATGCAATCCAGAGTCTAAAAACAGGAAAAGCATCAGCAAGGAATGGTATCACACCAAAATGTTTGAAATATGGTGGACAAGAACTCTTTAAAGGCATTTGAAAGTTATTTCAGAAAGTAAATGACAGAAAGAAAATTCTCAAGGACTGGGAATATAGCATAATCAGGGTGCCCAGCACTTCTCATCCAAAACACTCCCATAAGGGTTTTTTCTGTAAAATAAAATACTATTATCATAGCTGAACCATTTTCCAAAAATGTTTTATAAATTACTTTTAATCTATGAGACATAAATCGATAAAAGATATAAGAATAACCAATTAATAAGAAAATATAATTTCATAAATTTAAAGTATATACAAAATTACAAAAAAAAAAAAAAAAAAATACAATGACCAACAAACCACAAATTTCTCATGAACTGCAGTCTTTCAAGTTCTGACACAATAAACAAGGAGAAAAACATTTAACTTCTTTTAATCAATTTAATAAAACCTAGGAGCCAATGTGATTCCTGATTAAAATTAATTAAATAAGTTTTTGCTTAAAGTGGACAGACATTCACACAGATTAATTTTTTCACTAAGATTGCTTCTCCCTACCCTATGCGAATCATTGTTTGCCAACATATTTTCAAATGAAGATTCACACAGTGTGTACATACTTCAAGAGTTCCTTAATTAAAAAAGTTAATTTTTTAGAAATACTTCTGTTGTTTAAACTGTAAAAAAAAAAAAAAAGTAAACTAAAATACAATGATGTATCCCCTAGATTGTCAAAAGCTTGAAAAAAAAATATTTTAAATTCTTAAAGCTCCTGTTAAAGTTTTTTTCCTAGAAATAAGGAAACAAATTAAAAACACACACACACAAAAAAAAAGAAGAAAAGAAAAATAAGGAAGATGCAAATGTTAACTTCATACTCTGTCCAATTGTGAAAAATAACTACTGCTTTTCTATCAAATTTAGAAATATGGTTCATTTATCTGAATAATATAAATTTACCTGGGAATATCTGAACCCTCAAGGAAACTGCTAATACTGTGGGAAAAAAAAAGTCAAAAATTTAGGTCGAAAATCTTCTTATGTTTGGGGTGAAAAACGACAATCTTCGAGTTTCAGGATGTAAAAAAGTTTCTCAAACTACTCTTAATTTTTATTGATAAACATTTACAAACAAATTCACATGAAATAATATAATCATCAAAATGGAATTTAATTTCAGAAGGTTTCCTGAATAGGATTTTCTACAAAATATTTTAAAGGAATACGAAGGAATTAAGTTACAAACAAATAGAAAAGAATACCAACAAAAAAATGGAAACCAAATTAAAAATATTAAAAAGTTAACAATTACAGAACAATAAACAAAATCACACAAATAAAATAAAAATATTGAGTTTAAAAAATTAATATATATACATATATATATATATTTACAACTTTTCTTTAATCGACCTTTGAGTACTAAATTTAAACATAACCATTTTAATTGGGAATAAGGTCACCTATTAATTATTTAATAAACTACAAAATGTTCATTTCATCTGTGTTTATTGACGTTTCGATCCCGGTATTTTTCTTTTTATAAGTTAACCATGGGATCCTCTTCAAAGCTAGAACAATAAATAGCTCAATCGGTACACAATTATCTATATAAAGGTCATTTTATGCATGTATAAAAAGATAATTGTGTACCGATTGAGCTATTTGTTGTTCTAGCTTTGAAGAGGATCTTATGGTTAACTTATAAAAAGAAAAATACCCGGATCGAAACGTCAATAAACACAGATGAAATGAACATTTTGTAGTTTATTAAATAATTAATAGGTGACCTTATTCCCAATCAAAATGATCATGTTTAAATATATATATATATATGTATGTATGTAAAAATTCAAAACTCAATTTCTGTGTGATATATTTTAAAATGATAGTTGATATATAGTGCTACTTTACAATCTGGACACCAGTACATAGATTCTTTCCTAACATCTTTTTTGTAGCAAAGTCGGCATTTTCTGGATTTAGTATTTCCTATATAGCTTTTCATTTGTCCTGGAAAATGCTTTATTAAGCGTGATGGTTTGATGAGCTGCTTCTTGATGACTTTGGGTGGGTTTTCACTATGTTGATATCTACCAATATCTGTACACACTCTATCAAAAAGTATAATCGATAAAAATGACCTTTATCTTTTTTGTATATAATATATGCATTGAAGTAGCACATATCAATTAATCATAGAAAAATCCTTTTATAATTTCTTTTAGCCTAATACCTTTGTTGTTTGAAAATGTACCCGCCCATTCCAGGGTGCAACATATTTCAAGGACGTATTCATATATCCTACCCGTACCAGATATTGTATACATTTGAAGTATTTATACGTTCTGCTCGGTTAACAGGTTAAAGCCCCCTTCTGTTTATAAATTTTATGGATGAAATTCATAAAATCTGCAAGTACCAGACTACCTGAACCAAAATTGGAATATGAGAATCATCCTCGTATAGAGTCTTATATACACAGATGATATTGTCCTAATAGCCGATTCAAAGATAAAACTACAGCAAACACTGGTGAAACAGGAAAAGCTGCTGAGGAAGGGTATGAGCATTTATGTGCCTAGCATTTATGTGCCTAAGAGTAAAGTGCTTGTTATGGCACATGAAGACATCCAATTGGTCTGCAAAGGAGAAATTCTTGAGATGGTGAAGGAATACATCTACTTAGAGACCGTAATTAGTAGCTCTGGCAGGATAGACGCTGAGATGGTTAGAGAAGTAAAGGTTTGCTTTAAATCCCTATCCGACATCACTTACTCATTTATCATGAATTTATTATGACATTGAGAAAATGTTATAATAACAATTTGAATAGTACAAACATAAGATCTCCAAAGTCACTAAATAATTCACTAATAGATTTAACATTATTCTTTAATGGATATATCAGCAACCAGCAACTGTTCATCAAGTTGCTTGACTGTTGATAGGGTACTTAAAATGTAGTGTTAGGTAATAAATTTATATAAAGTGAATATATAATCCACATAACTGAAAAGATGGCCATACCTCGTTCCTCCAGATCCATTAACAGACGGTTTCCCTCGGGACCATCTCGGAATGCGTGATGGAGTTCCTTCTTCTATAAACACATAAAAATTTTTAACTTCTTAAACTATTGAGGAAAGAGTGAGAGTGACAGAGAAACATGCAGGGCCAGAACTAGAATTTTTGTCATGTTAAGAAACTTAACTTTGCCACCATTTCTTAAATCTTTCTCCCTAATAAAATTATTAAGTTTTATAATAGATTTTAAGTAATATATTTTAACATAAATATCATCATTTCATAACATTAACTCATTTTGTAGACTTAAGGTAAAAATTATTAAAAAGCAGAAACAAATATTTTTCACTAAATGCAACAATAAAATCTTGTATAAATTTGCTATCTAGTTGTAACTTAAAAACCTAAAGAATAAAAGTTGTTAAGCATCAAATATTTGTAGGTTATTAATTAAATAACCCTTGATCAGTATTCATTGGAAAAGATCAGTATCCAATGGAAAACCAAATTGAGTATGCGATTATACATCCTGGAGTGGTGTGATCTTGGATTTCTTTTCTTTTCTGTACTGAAGCCTGAATTGGTGAAACATCGACAGGTTATTTTATTCTTTACCTACATTTTACAGACATAAGGATGTGTGGTTAGAATTTTTCAATAATAACCAAGTCTTGGCTGAAAAATTTGAACACATAATATCGAACCTCCATTCATCATTGATCTCTCTGTATCGATTTTTAATGTTAGGAATCTAAAATATGTTCAGAAAAAAAATGTCATATATCGGAAAAATTGGGACTTCATACATTTTTATAGTTATGACCTAATCCTCACTGACAAATATAAATTGAAAATTTATGTAAGTCCTTTATTGTTAGCACTTTTATAATAATTGTTAATTCCTTCCATATTTAGTAAGAATTTTGATCACTTTTTTTTCTATTTTCAGGACCAGTATAAATTCTTGATCTGTTGGTGTACTCAGCACGTTTTTGCTTAATACTATCTAAATAAATGTTCTATCTATCATTCAATTCTGACTAGTGTACAGTTGTTATATGTAGGACTATAATTTTATCTAACTTTTTCTCAAGTTTGAATGTTGATGCAATGGAACTTTAGAAAAAAATTGTCGAAATTCCCATTTCTTTGTTAATCTCTTCAATTTTATTCTCAACTCTTCTTTTCTACAGCACCCTTTTTAATCGCTTCTGATTTCTTTCAGTTGCTACTGAGGAACACTCCTTGATTAGAACTAATTTACCAGCCTTTAACCTCGCTCTCACATAAACAGTGTCCTAAGGGAAGGATAATCTACAAAAAATGTAGTTCAAAACAGCCAACCTTCCTATCTTAAACTGTTGTCGATAAATGGTTTTTAAAAAAGTTTTTCACAATTAATGAATATTATACCCTGATGTAACTAAAGATTTCCTAATTTTTGTCACAATTGATGATGAATTTTCTACAAAGTAACCAATTTGCAAGAATATATTGATTGAGAAATACTTATTAGAATCTTACAAAGTTTTAAGAGCTAAGACTCTGGGAATCTCAATTCTGTTGCTTCACTTTATCAGCCTTCCAATGTTGTAACAATTTTGATTTTACATTAACCAACCAATAGAGTTAGTGAAATTTAGAAGAGATACTAAGGCTCAGAAATTAAAAAACGTTAGCTATCTACGACAATACAAGTAACCAGTATTTTTTTACTGAACTAAACCAGTCACTATAACCTTAGAATGTATTTTCTACGACTTTGATGCATACGATGAGCTGAAAAATGACAATCAAATAGTGACATGCACAGAAACAACATTAATTTTCACTCCCCCTAATATTTCTATCATGAAGAAAATTTATCATAGATTTTGAAAATGGTGGCAAAGTTGAGAAATCTTCCATTATATTAAAATAATTTAATTATTTGTGGAAAACTTGAAAAAAATCATATCTTGACAACAGATTGAGATAGGAAGGTGTGGTTGCCAGCATTGAACTACATTTTTGGCAGTCTATCCTTCGATTTATTACAAACATTTTCCTCTGGAACACCCGTATATCTAATGACATATCAGAATATAGTGTGATTTAAGTTTGAATCAGAAACCAGACCTGATTCTGAGTGAAAATTGAAAAAATAAATCACTACATGGTCACCTTTACTCGGCTCTGTCACAATCTGGAATTAATTGAGATACTTTTATCAGTTAGCTTAAAAAAAAGTTACTTATTTTCTGAAATGGAAGAATTTATTTTGGCTGTTCAAAACCAGGTATTTTTCAAAAATACTTAAATGAAATATATATGCGAAGAAGATAAAAGTTGCCTATGTAAAACTATAACTGAACCAATCCATCAGATATCATTTGGATATCAAGTATTGACAGGTAGATATAACAGTATGAGACAAAATGACCTAGGCAAGATTATCCATCACCCATATTCATGACTGCTGACCAGTTTGCTTATTATTGGAACAAGCCCAAACAGACATTGTCTGGTGAAAACAGAAGAATTCTATGGGAATTGTTCTATAATTACAGATTTCGAAAATGTAAATAACCTGGACATAGGCTTGATAGATCAAAAGGCAATAAACAACTATGCCATCGATGTCACTGGCCCAACTGAGGATAATATTGATAAAACAATTTTGTAAATGATTAGAAAATATCAAGATTTGAGTAAGGAGGGCTTTGGAAAATTTATAGATTGAATCATACACAGATATATCCAGTAGCAATCAGTAATAGCCTCATCCTAGGTGATACTATCAGCTCAATTGAGAACTTATTTAAAGAAATCTCATACAGTGCTGGAAGGCCAGAAGGTAGCAATTTTTAGTAAAGCAAATATTTTCAGTAAGATTTTAAATATAGTTTAAAAGTCGAACCTAATCACTTACTGAGGCCTGGGTAGGTAAATATTTATTAGAATAAAGTGTGAAATTCATAAAAAATAATTTCATACACACACACACACACACACACACACACACACACACACACACACACACACACACACACACACACACACACACACACACACACACACACACACACACACACACACACACACACACACACACACACACACACACACACACATACTGACCACTTGTAGCTAGTGAAAGACTAGAAGAATGTCTTGATATAGGTCTGCTCCCAGGCCTACTTCCACTCCTCGAAGCAGGTCTTGATGAAGGTGCTGATCCAGGAGTGCTTCCAGGAGACCTTCCTGACTCAGTACTTCTTCTTCCAGACATAGGGACAGAACGTTCAGATTTTTCCCTTATCTAGAAGAGTGAAAATAAAATACTATATATTTTGAGTCAACAAGTCATTCTAATGGGAAAATTCATTAACTTTGTATTAAATATTAGATACTAAAACTATAAAACTTATATTTTTTGAAGAATCATAATAGCTAGTTATTCTATGATCTTTTATAAAAAAAAGTTAGGGAGATTACTGCATCAATATATATATGCCATATATAATACCCTATACCCCCATCCTGCAACCACCATATGGTTTGAAGATAAATTTGTACCCTTTGGCTATTTTATAACTTCCAATATTTTCTTCCTTAGCCTACACAACTGCGGGTATCCTACCTCATTTTCTCCTACTTTGATAATGACTGTGCAGTAAATGGTGACCTCTCAATGGGATCCAAGGACATAATGAAGAGAGAAATAAACTATTTTGAAAGATTAATCATGGTTTTTGATTAAATATATGAAAGTTGTGAACTATAATCAAGTTACAAGATTGATTAATTGTTTAAGGATCATATTTTAACTAACAAGGGATCACAATTAGTGGGTGGGTCACTAATTTTAACTTTTTTTTTGTGATTCTAAAATGTGGGTTATCATCTTTATGAAACAAGTCATTCTAAATTTTTCGTCAAAATTTTATGGTGCATATTTGGCCAAAATTTTGTATTTGTGCATATTTAGGCTAAAAAGGAAATATTATGTATATTTTGATCGATTGAATTTATTTTAGACAGAAAATTGTTTAATTAAAAAATTACACATTAATCATTGATTTGTAATGTAAATTAATACTTTTTTTTCCCTTCCTCGCCTTTTAGGTTATACAGGGATTTTCATGGGCCAGGGGGTAAGGGTGGGAGATTAATGACAGAGTTAAAAGACTGTCAGCAATGGGATGCGAATTCAGAATTATTTTAATCAAATTATTTTCAAGTTAATTTATAAATAGCCATATTTACACCAATTTAAAAAAATTTGTTGTCACTTAATGACTACTCATCAAAATGACGACGTTTCGGCTCGTCGAGCCATTTTCAAGTCTAAAATACCCATCATGTACCTGTCATTTTCACTTATGCGAATTGCAAGCGTCATGTTTCTGAGTCACCCACATGTCATCCATCTCATTTCTATTCAGTGACTGAATGAGATGGATGACATGTGGGTGACTCAGAAACATGACGCTTGCAATTCGCATAAGTGAAAATGACAGGTACATGATGGGTATTTTAGACTTGAAAATGGCTCGACGAGCCGAAACGTCGTCATTTTGATGAGTAGTCATTAAGTGACAACAAATTTTTTTTAAATTGGTGTAAATATGGCTATTTATAAATTAACTTGAAAATAATAGTATGCACCGAAGAATTGAGTAATATTGTGAATCAAATTATCTAATATATCAGGTTGCCAGGCAATGGCAGTGCTGTGTACACACGTTAGCCTGCTCGGCCACCCTGCCTCTGAAAATTAATACTTGATAGTAAGTTAATTATATTTCTAACTTTTAATTTTATGTAAAAGTAATGTAGATATTGTACACAATAAGCACCTCTGGCTCCCATGATCCCATTAAATATTATTTTTGAAAGAGAAAAAATTTATATCCCTTTTTATCACCTCAAAAAAACCTTAACTAAAAATTTTTAAAGCGATAAAACAATAAAAATAAATTTATCAAAATTTTTTGCCTTCAAATCAAAGTTCTTACAAGACCCGGGTGTGTTTATAGCTATCAATCAGATCGCCGATCCCCAATAGTCAATAGATCCCCAATACCCCACTTGTGGAGTTCTGGAGACGGTCAAGCACATGGTCACGACCTGCACTGCATTCGAAAGAATAAGGGCAGCAATGATGAGGACCACGGGAATTTACATCCTAACGGAGGATGAACTTCCTCAATTGGAAAGCAAGGACAACTTTCCTCAGTTAAAGAAATTTATTTATGGCTAGAAGGAGGCAGTGGGTCCAGCCCATTTCAACATTGGAGCATGGAGAAGAGGACCATTGGAAGACGGCCACAATTGATCAGAAGTCACTGAAGAAAAAACTTGTAAACTGTTTCAGTTGCAGTAGTGTGTTCTTATGCAGTCATTCATAACATCCCGCTACTGCAAACGCCTGTATAATCCATTAGGCAAGGCAGGATGGTAAATAAATAATAATAAAAAAAAGATACATTATACATGATAAATACCTGTGGTAACAGGGGTGTCCACAAAGGGTTTTCATGGCGCAAGTTGCACCATAACAATATTTGAGGTGGGCACATTTCGACGGAGTTATGAATTTTCATTGGAATGAACACCAAGATATGTTTGGATTATTTTTCGAGGTAGAATCACTAAAAAAATTGGGTTGAAATCCTGACCCACTGGCTCTTCTAAGAATAAAATGAAATCAATCAAGAGCTATGATGTCATAAGGCACAAATAATAACTTGAATCCATAGGAAGAACAGAAAAGAAGGTATGTCGTATTAACTTTCTAAGTGGGAAGAATAGGGGTTTGTATTTAATATCACAGAACGCTTCCATGTTTTTTATCTTTTTGTTAGGTTTAAGTTATTCTTCTCATTAAACCATAGACAATATTTCCTGAGTTCATACTTTTCACAAATTATAAACACCTTTCACCCTTCCCAGCATAGAAGATATAGTCTTCCTGGACTTTATAATGATCCATCCTTCAGAACTACAGCATTCAAGCATTCTTTTCTAGTCTCCTAATATCCGGAGTATAAGTCTTGTTAATGGATGTTCAAAACTCTCTTTTTTCAAACCCCTCTCTCATTCTTGAAAGGAAATCACTAAATGAAAGTCTATTATAATGGATTTAATTAGTCTAATTTATTTTTTATGATATTGATTGCTAAAAATCAAGTTTTTAATCGAGTAGAGATTATTGACTATGCATTAAATCTGGATGGTTAAAGGTAGAATGAGACTTAAAAACTTAATAAAAACCTTTGTACTGGATGTAAGCTGAACCTAGAATGTAATGCTTCTTCAGGGTTACATAAACAAGATACACCAGTTAAAAGGAAAGAGAGAACAAAATAAAAAAAATGAAATACATAAAAGGTAAGTTTATTTATCGGAAATTGGCAAAAAGGACTAATAGACCCACTTGCTGGACTTAGTCCCCCCACCAGCACCAGTATTTATCGGGGAAAAAGAAGGAACGAAATGTAATATAAGATCATATAACAAAGAAAGGTTAAGATCAGGTTATGAAAGAATTAAAATAAATTACTTCATAGTTGAAGTAAAAGAAAGAAAGGAGAAAAGTGTTGACTCAGAAGATTCAAAACTAATAATGTGGTATTATTTATAATTTAAAGTTAAAAATAGAATTTTTTTTATAAATATGCATACTAGACCTAGGCAAAAAGCATTTTAATTATTATTTTAAAATACCAAGTATTTTTAAAATACAGTGTGTTTTAATTACAAATTACTTAAATTGTTTCAGGAAAGGTATTTCAGATACAAAATAATAAAAGTATTTTGTATTTTAATTACAAAAACAACAATACTTCATCGTGAATGATCAGCCTATAGTAAAGGGAACCTACTTTATTTGGTAATTTGTCTAGTGTATTTAACATACAAAATAAAATAAATGTTTTGCATTTTGTAGTTTAAAAAGAAAATACAGTTACAAAAAATGTATTTTATATTATAATTCATAAAATGCAAAATACCCAAAATGTATTTTAAAATATTTTATTTTTATGGTATTTTAAAATATTTCTTTTTTTTTTGTTTTTTTGTAATAATTTGGACAATCTTCAGGTGATATTTAATTCAACTAAAACTAAACAATATTCTTCTGTGTTGTTTCATTAGATTCTTGTTTTTCGATACATACATGTTCTATTTTTTATAATAACATTAAAATAAAAAATTTTAAATGATGGATAATTGTTAATGGTTGGAAGACATTATTGAAGAGAAGTTGGTTGGGGATTTATTTATGTTTAATAATTTATTTTTACTTAATACTTCTAATGACTGCAATCCCAAACCAACTTCTCTTCAACAATAAAATTATTAAATAGATTCCATAATTTCATCAAATTGTATATATATACCAGAAGTTTATCTATAAAGTCTTATGTATTCATCATTTAATAGTTTTCCTACTTATTGGTTAGTTTGCCTTTAATTATTGTTTAACACACAGTTCTCGGTAAACCTATTGCTTCCTCACTACCGAAGGTAGGGAAGCATTGTATTCTTTTTTTTTATTATTTCAGTTTTCAATAAACCTCTTTCACTTAATTTTAAGACTTTAATTTTCATTTTTAGGGTAATTGTATGACATTTCTGAGAAGGAATATTCACTCATTTTTAAAAAAAATACTTTCAGAAAGGATTAAAGTAATAACCAAGGAAGAAAAAAAAATATATTCTTTGAAATATTTTTATAGTATATATTTAATAAAATTGGGGAAATGTTTACTCACATTGGATGGGATTATCTCTGAGAAAACATTAATTGAATTTATTTTGTTTTGGACTATCAAACTAATAGGGTGTATATAAAAAAAAAAAAAAAAATGACCGTTTTATCAAATTCAAGATTTCAAAGGACTGTAAATAATTTAGTCCTATTTAATACTTAATAATCCCTTTTGAGCATCCTCTAAGATTGTTTAATCCCATTAGACTTTTTCAAAAAGGCCTCAGTTTAGTTATTTGTATCAAAGAAGAAATATGACAGTGTCCTACTAAATTCTCGTAATTTTAAGGCATTACTGGAAAAAAAACAAAATTCACAGCCACTGAAGTAACTCGTGAAATTATTAAATATGAAGGGAAAGGTGTCCTTGACCAGCGCACTGCACAGCGTTGGAAAGGGCGAAGGGCCACCGGGGACCATTAAAGGACATTGATGAGGTTCTGCAGGAAGCTGGTGAGTCAAATTCATCCACAAGTACTCCCGAACTTGCCAGAGAGTGTGGTATGTCGAAAGATACAGTTAATCGCCATCTACTTTCCATGGGGAAAGTGAAAAAGAGTAGTAAACTGGTCCCTCACAAACTTACGAACAAGATATACATTGTTTTTCCCCACAAAAATCATCAATTTTTCAAGCATCATTCTCTTCTGTTGGGATATATACGACATATTCTTAGCTCTCATTATTTTCACAGACATGTAATTATTCATAAAACTGCTGTGATTAATGTATAATCAAAAACAGCTTCAGATCTTTCATTTTTGATGGTGTTTAAGTGATGTGTAAAACTGACTACATTTTGTTTAATTTTTTGGGTGATTTTATTAATACTAAATTTGCTGAAAAACGTCATTTGTGACTGAATTATTGTTGGATGTGTTCTATCAACCTTTATAATAATGATTGTTCAAATTAGAAAAGGAGATTTCGGTTTGTTATTATTCCGTATTATTGTTTGTTATTATATTCAGTCCAGTTCTGTAAATGAAGCCCTTAAAATATTTGATTACTTTAAATGGATTTGTTTGTGAGGAAAAACTTAAATGGATTGGATTTTTGTGACGAAAAACAATGCATATCTTGTTTAATTTTTTTTTTTTTTTTTTATAAAAAATAAATGTGTAATATAACTTTAAAATTTAAATAATTAATTAAGGAGGAAAACCTGGCGGTTGAGCGTGATATTGGCCCATCACCTCCCTGCACAACCGTTGGTCTTGTAACAGTACTTCCTCACATTGTACTGAACCCAAAACCCTTCATGGGTGGCTAGTGGTACAGGTTTTATGTCTACTTTAAAACTATTAAAAAGATTTAAGAAGGAGTCGGTCGGGGGGGGGGGGGGGAGAGAGTGGGAGGAGTGCCGTCAAATAAATACTATAAAGTAGAATAGTATTTTATAAGTTACGCCAGCGTTTCGACCCACTTTGTAGGTCTTCATCAGGGTGTGGTACAAGGCACTGCAGGAAGCAGTTGGTAGACTGAAAAATTAAATTATTATTAAAAGGATAATTAATCTTTCTGCAAATTTTACAGATCCATTTTCCTTTAATTAGTGCATAAAGTGTTGTTATTTTTGTTCTCTTTAAAAATATTGAAAAATTGAGTTTTACAGGTTTTCCCCTGATTCCTCCAATTTATTTTATTTTGTTTTTGTTTTTAAGTGACACAACTTAGAATTTTCCCTGATGTAAAACAGGGACAGATTAATTTGAAAAGTAAAAAGATCAACCAGAGCGTTAGAAAAGTTAGCAAGTAGAAAAATGTATCATTTATTACGCAAAATGTTTCTTTAGGTTGAGAAAATGTTAAGTTTGATCTAGAAAAAAAATTATTTTACTGGTAAGTGGTTTAAATAGTTCAAAAATTTACAATTATATTTGTACTTAAGAAATATAAAGCATGTTAACCATTATTTTCAATTATCTATGTCTAATCCTCTCTTGTTTTATCGTAGGTAATTAAAAATATTAAAAAAACATGCATGGGTAAAACCATGGTTTTTAGTTTAAAGAAAGGATACTGAATAAAAACATAAAATCTGATTTATGTAAATTCTAAGAATATTTAAGATATAAAAATAAACTTTGAATTTATTCAATTATTATTATTTGCAGAATACACTAAATATAAAAAATATTCCCTCTCTGAATATTATGTTGGAAATTAAATCAACACTCTTCAAGTCACCAGCCTATAATATTTGACTAAGGCATAGTGACAGACATTAATAAGTAATATATTTTTTTCTAAAACTAGGAAAGTAATAATAAATAACTATAATTATAAAGAAATAAAAGTATTGACTATACCCTGCAGGTGTGTGGTGAGTGTCCTTGTTGACCAACAACACTGAGAGGAAATGCACAAGGTAATGCCTCTTTAGCTCTCAGAGACTCGAAAATTGGCATCAGTTCACTGAGAAGTTCACCAGCTGTTGTTACCGGGAATGGGGAGTAATATATTTTCAAGTATAAGAGAGCACACTCAAGTATAGTGTTTCATCTTTTGTATTTCATTTGAACAAGGAGGTCTTTGGAAGAAATAAACAACCAATTAGATTTATTAATATTCTATCACTTCTAAACTGCTGAGTTTTCTTCAAACAATACTTTTTACCCACACAAATTCTCTTCCAAAGACAAACTTGAACAAAGGGACACAAAAGAGATTCCTAGCAGACAAACAAATTCGAATTAAGTTGAAGTCCAAATGTCGATAATCCGTCGAAGGAAGTCTGTGACCCATGCTCAGAGCAAATCATGCCCAAACATATTCTACAGGTGTTTGATTTAAGAATGCAAAAAATGTTTCCTCAATTTCTTTCTAAAAAAATTGTTAGTACAAATTTACATTGATTAATAGCATGAGGCCATTTTGTGCAACCTTCTCAAACTGATTTACTATGAACATTATAAGTAACCATCACTCTCTTATTACTTATAAAGGAAAAATAGCAGCAAAAGATGTAAGAAAGATAAAAGGCATAGAAAGTAGAAACACAACAACCATTGGCAGCAAGAAAAAATACCAAACAAAAACAAATCAAAAACAAAATCAATGTAAAAAATCTCACCAAACACCAAATATATATATATATATATATATATATGTTTATATAGTTAAATAGATATGTGTGTCTGTATAAATAGCTACTTACTTTCGTTATTGGTCCGGGACTCTTGCTTGACTTCGGTTTGAATGCGGACATGCTCTGGGAGACTCCATCCGCGAGAATAAACTGTTCTCTCAACTCAATATTCGTTCTTCCTTTCGCTTTTTTATTTTTATATTTTTTGTTAATGAAGTTTGTTTATTTTGTTTGGAGTTGAAGGTATGATTAAAAAAAAAAAGAAACACACACAACCCAAATCAAAAAACAGGCAATAAAAATTATTTTTAAAAATATATATGTAAAAATGAAATGAACATGTGCATATATATATATATATACACATGCACACACGTATATATATACATATATACACACACTTCACAACCAGTATTTATAATAAAAATATATATATTTTTTGTAATGATTAATGGCAGCTTCATTAAAGTAATATACTGTTTAACAAAAAAAAAAAAAAATCAATTAAAAATAGCCATAAAAATTAAATGAAATGCCAATAATTCATCGTCATCATCAAGTCTATAAATTACAAATACAATAACAATTTTATTTAAAAATGTGACTAATTTCTACACACAAATATATATATATATTGAATGTGTAATGTGTGTACATATATACATATAGATAAATAAAACATATCTTAATAAAAGTAATTTAGCAGAAAATCATGCAAGCAAGGCCAGTTTGTTCCAAAGTACAAAATTTGTTTAGATAATTCTTCAATAGATTAATTCATAATTTTTTGTTTTCTTTCTTTCTTTTAATTTGCAATCAATGAAAGAGAGAAAGGCAATGGTAAAAGTGACATTTTCTTTTTTCCAAAATTGAGTTTAGTGCTGTTTTGGATAGTTTAAGGCATATAAAAGATTGGAAAGCAAAACAAGTAAATTTCTACCTTAAACAGAGATATACGAGTAACCAAATTATCTACTTAAAAACTCTATTTTTTTCCCAACTAAGCATTATAGATATTTCAGTTGGAAATTACAGTTATAATAATAACCAACAGAAGGTAATACTGATGATTCATTGTTATACTTCTTTGAAGGTGTTTACATTTTTTCAAAGTTTTTTTTTTACTTTTCATATGCCTCATTAATTTTAATTACTTAAAACATTATTTTTTTCCATAAAACTGATAGATACTTTTCATATGACTGATAAAGGTACAACACAATTGGACAGAATATAAACTTTACAGTTCATAGTCAGCTCTCTCAAACAAATGAAGAACTAGCATTAGTGAAAAAAATAAATCCCACCACACAACTTGGCTTCTCAGTTTCTCATATTTAAATATACTATAGACTCAAAAATTTATATGACAATGTGTACTTTCTTCATGAGCCACTGTTGAAATACTCCCACATTGAAGATCATGGAATAGATATTAGTCTGCTAAACTTAGATATTATAATTAATTATTAATTAAAATAAAACCAAGTCTTCCACTTATTATTCTGGTTCCCTACCATACAAATTTACATAACACAATTCCATTTTCCCTTCTTTCAAGACAAATGCTTAAATTAAACAATTAATTAAAAATTCTAAGCCTTCTTCACTACATAACTTCTACTCTATTTCCTATATACAATCCAGAAGATTTCATATCCCAGTATTATGCAGAATTAAAATAGCTCTACCAATCCAATTGTCACAAATCTTTTATCTACCAAGTTATTCAAATGCCTTAAATATCCATATGTCAAAATAATATCCTATTCATTACTATCATGACCATTCTTGATAATCAAATTTACAAACTCCGACTCACCATTTAACAGACCTTTCCTTATCCGATATTTAAACCCCTAGAATTTCAATACTTCAGTATTTATTGTTCATATAACTTTCAAATTTTTAATTACTGTCCATTCTATTTGATAATTTCGGATCATTAATTAATATAATTCATTACTTTTTATTTTTAGTTATTTTTATAATTAATGAGAAAACAAAAAATAATGGAATAATTATCTGGAATCAATTAATAATAATTTAGTTATTTTTGAAACTATAGCAAATAATCAAGAGCCTATTTTATAAATAATTATGCTAATTCGTTTTTTGAACCTTGGAACTTCCGTGCAAGCAGAAAAAAAAAACTAATTATTTTGGCCATAAATCATTTACATATTCTCCAGCTAATATGCAACTCTATTAAATGCTAATGACAAAGTACAAACTTTTAAGAAAAAACAACAGAACACATTATATATATATATATATATATATATATATATATATATATATATATATATATATATATATATATATATATATATACACATACATATAAAACAAAAGAATATTTTAGCAAACAGATAAATATAAATGAAGTGGAGCAAACTTCTTATTCAAAGGTTTACATCAATTTTTATTATTCTACACCTAAATTTTTAAAGGTAAAAACATCTTTATCATGTGTTATATAATCAATTGTAAATTTACAATGCATTACAAGAATTTATAGTAAAATCAGGTGATAATTCCTAGAAAAATAAATTCTTAAAAGATGTTAGCATTTGTCATAACATTTAACATAAAAAAAGAGTGCATATAAACAGTGCCTAATTAACTGTTTATTATAATGAATTAATATAAAAAATAATAAAACAAAAATAGTCATTACCAAAGCCTTAAAAAGCAAAAATCAAAATCAAACGTGCATATAAAACTTGATATGCTCTGCACAAACATACTTGATAAAAAAAAAGTCAAATACCACCACTCAATAGCAAATGGGTATAAACAATATGTTACAAACATTTTTTAAAACAAAATAAAAATTGAATAAATCATACCTGAAGTTCAAAACAAACTCAAGATGCAGTTTTTCGTGCTTAGGAAAATATAGAACAAAAAAGGAAGAGGTAAGTAAAACAGGATTTGCATGCTATGCTTGGATGGTCAGTATGTCTGTCGTAAGGAATGCATAAAAAGGAAATTGAAGAACAGGAAATTATTAAAAAAAATAATAATAAAAAGCAATATAAATAATAAACTAAGTCGTCAAAAAAATTATTTAAAATTATTTTACGCCGAGTTAAACATCACGATAGGGTCAGTAGAGTTTTTAAATTTATCAGAAAACTAATTTGACTAATAATTTGCGATGGTTATTATTCATTTATAAGTAATAATTTACTGAATGGAACTTTAATTATTAAAAATTAATTGTGAATAAATACACCATAATTAACGACCTGAAACACGGGGAGGATTACTAAAATAAAAAAAAAAATTTTCCGCAAATAAAAAATTCTGTCCGTCCTTTTCATAATCAAACTAGCAAGATTAAAACTATATAAATTAAAAAAAATATGTGTCTGCAGCATAATATAATAACATAAAATAAATTGAAAAGTGGATACCAGAAGTTTGATAGAGGTACATTAAAGCAGATTATTTTTTGCATGCAGACAACACTGATATAATTGAAAAAAAAAAAATCGAACGAAAAAGGTGTTTTAACAAACAAAATTTTAGTAAGGTAAAATACCCTAGACTTTTAGAGAATGCCGTTCTTAATATTAAATGAACTACGAATCCCAGAAAGAAAATTAATTAAAAGGAGTCTAGGACTTCCGTTACCAAAATTTCGTTAAAAATATTGGGCTGTAACTAAGTTGATAGCATTTATGGGGGGGGAGAGGAGGGGGATATTTATATAACAATTTCAGTTGGTTAAATGAATAAATTTAATCAATGTCCCTTTTATCATAATGTGGGAAATGTCATTACAAACACCGATTAGAATGGTGCCTTTCTTTTAGACTGACTTTCTTCCTGGATTACAGTAAAACTAGAGATTGACAAAAAACATCCAAAAAAAAGATGAAACTTACCAGTAATTGTTCATTACCCTCCTGTTAGTAACTGGTAAAAAGTTCCAAAGATTACCACAATGAGATTGTTTCAGAATTTGATGGTAGAAGGGGGAAGAATAAAAAACTGACATTTTTTTGAGAATATTTCAGAAACTGTGACGTTTTTGCTAAGATTGTTCAATAAAATATTAAAGTACTTTAAAATCTCTATAAAAATGAACTTTTATCTTATTTTGATACAATCAATGATTATGTAGATATTTATGAGATTATATTTATACTATTTCAACTTTAAGCAAAACTTGCTTCAAACCATACAAATAAAAATTATTGTACTGAACAATATTTGTGAAAAACCTCAGTTTTTGTTATTCTTCCCCTTCTCTTACCAAAACCCGATTCTTTAGGACTTTTCATCAGTTATTAAGGGGAGGCTAATGAACACTATCTGACAATGTTCATCTCTTTGGGTTTTAAGTGTTTTTTTCTTAGTTTCACTGTACTCTTACTAAACTCCGTATAGATACTAAGATACTTCGTATGGATACTGATATATATCCATAGACACTAAAAATTCTTCTATTCTTCGATGAAGCATTTTTCCAATTACAGAATAAATAATATGCAAGCAATCAATATCATTTTTATGATAATTATCATATAGATAATCAACAATATAAGGACTAATGTGTCTAGATAAAATCTGAGACAAAGACCAACTCACTAATTAACTGGTAAATGCTATCAACTATGTTGTAGCTCATTACATAAAATAATAATTAATAATAGAAAGAATTGAAGAAGAACTTGTTCCCCCCAAAAATTAGTTTAATTTTTATTCCCAAGTAACTACACTAACAATATTAATTTATTTATTATTATTATTATTATATTTAAAACAAATATTTATGAATAATTTCAGAAACAAGCCTTCTCCAATATTGGTCTACGCGACAATAAACAAATAAAGCAACTAATAATTTTTAACCCACCACTCAGGGGACACCACGGTTCATGTTCCTCAGGTACATACGGGTTTGGTATCGGCAACATCTCTACTGTACAGAATAAACAAACAGGAAAAAAGAAGAAAAAAGAAAAAGAAAAAAAAGCAAGTAAGAACATTGAGGAAGGGAGTAAATAAGAGAGGAGTAAATAAATAAATAAAAAATTATCAAAGATTTACAAATAAAAATATAAAAAAGAAACAAATTTAAAAAATGAATAGAAGGGGGTTAGGGAAAAGGGAGGAAAAAGTATATTGTCAGTATTCCAGTTTGAATCACACAAGCATTAATAAGTAAATTAAAAATGATTGTTTGAATGTTATAAATACTTATAATAACTAAATAATGTCAATTTAAGTTATAATAAACTTATATTTATATTGTTTATAAATGTCAAGTTGAAATATTTCATTTGATACTCTAGAAATTTGGCTCCTGCCCTCTACCCTTCAATGACACAACAATTAATCAGCCAGCAATCATTTTAGATTAGGTTGCTAGAAGGTAAGAAAACCTTTTATTAGAGGAAGGAGGAAAACTGTTTAAATTATTTCAGTAAAAGCTACTTATATTATATTTTACCAAAAAGTAAAATGACTTCTTCACACATTATCCCTAATAGCCCAGGATTGTTATTTTCATCACAAATAACCACAATTGTTATTAGTCAGAATTTGATTAAAAATACTTCTTTAGATGTTGCTAATGGTCTTTTGTGCAAGCAGAAATTGACTATTACAATTTATGTAACAAAGCTATATTAAAATAAACACAGTTTTTAAAGCAAACTGTAAAAGTAACTAAATATTTTATTATTAAACAGTTGTAAACCTAGATCAAATAAGGTTATACGCACATTTTTACAATAATAGTATATGTTAATATTACACTTTTATTTGTATTTACCTCATTCAATTATACAATCCTAACCATAGAAGATTCTCAACATTACGGATTGTATATACAAGGACTTATACTTGTGTTATATCATATTTGTGTTATATATCCTTGATAATTGTTTAATTAATATTGTTTACCTTATAGATGGCAACCATCTAATGTTGTTTTAAACAGTAGGGACCATGAAAATTGTATTCACTTTGATCAAACTGTTTTCATATACAGCATTAATATATTATAAAGGTTATAGTAAAATCAATTTAATAGAAAAGTGTTCATGTCAGCCATCAAAATTTACTTTTGTGCATATTTATTTACTTATGAAATTCTATCAACGGTATGATCTAGTGCACTACAACTCATGGTGAGTCAGAATCTCCAATTTTGTATTAATAACTTACACTATTAGCATCAGACTAAAAGAAGTTCTATAAAATAAATATGACTAAGCAATATAGATGGTGTTCCAAGAGGAAATATCATTAATTATCATCATTAATTAAAGGAGTTATAAAGTATAGTATGCCAAAAATGTAGTTCAATGCTGCCGACTGGACCTACTTATCTCAATAAATATTTAGGTGATGAAAACCACGTTTTTACCATAAAATTAACTGAACATTTCTTAACTTTTACACCATTTTCGTGATCTATGATGAATTTCCAATAAGATAGTAATTTGTAGAAAAATATCACTTCCTCAGACCATCATATCAGTCAGAGATAGATATATCAGAGATGCTCGGAACAATGTCACATAATGAACTATCCAGTTAAGAAAATAAAAATCACTAAAACTCAAAGAGGGTTTCAATAGATAAATAAATAATAATAGATAATAGATAAGGAATAATTTTTTTGTACTTTCAACTACGAATAACGAATATTTCTGTTTATCTTTTATCTAGATAATAAATAAATTCAAGTAATCTATCATCTTTTTATTTGTTATTCGAGTTTTTCAAAAAAATTTCGAATAATTTACCGCTAAATTTATTTTTCTTCGATATGAGGGCATGGTTATATATATATTTGGAGCCGTAGTTATTGAAAATGATCTCCATTTTAACAAGATTATGCCACTGCCTTGTGGCTTATTTGAGGTTTCTATATTTCCTCGTTATAAAGGTCTATTTATATATTCTCGGAACCATAGTTATTAAAAATTATCTCAATTTTAAGATTAGGCCACTGCGTTGTGGCTAATTTGAGGTTTCTGTATTTCTTTGATATAAGAGTTTATTTAAATGCCTGAATAAGGGATTTTAATAACGACCAACACTGGTTTCGGGGTATACTTTGTAAGGAAGTACTGTTTCTAGGTCAATGGTTGTGTAAAATGATTTGAACTGTGGAATGGAGTTGCTCAGTTAATAAGGCAGTGTGCTCCTTTGCATATTGCAGTTGTAACTCACCCTCATTCCATACACAGAAAATAGGCAAAACTATCTTAAACAAAATACTAGGGAGCTATTTGTATTGCTGCAGGTATTTATCATTTTTAAATGCTCAACCTTAGCATCTCTTTAGAATTTAACTGGCTTTGCAAAGTTGGATATAGTGATGGAAAGCTGATGAAATGAAACAATTTTTTGCCAGAGCTTGAAAGTCTATTGCATGAGATTCTTCAGAGTATTTTTGAAATCTTCTTTGCTTTGGCTTCTATGATAAACTGATAATGTGATATTTTACTATAAATTAGTTGCTATCGAAATATTGGAAATTTATCCTAGATTCCGCAAATGGGGGCAAAATTAAGTTAGATTAAAGTAATTTGGATTTTTATGAGGAAACACGTTTTTCTTGAACAAAAATTTCAAAAACCTATTGAGATAGGAAGGTGCGACTGGCTGTGCTGAACTATATTTCTGGTATATTATACCTTGTTTAATTACTACAATTTCCTCCTGGTACACACTGAAATTAATTATTCAGATCCATTTCACACAATATTTTTTGGTCAGATGATTAGAACATGATATTAATATGGTACAAATGGAGAAAGCAGCCGATCATATGGTTGTTGTGCTCAAGATTGCGTGATCACACTGTAGATGGAATCCCAAAAATATCCAAATGTGCCCAAAAGTAAACAATGATGACTGATCTGTACACCTTGCTACTAAACCATTTTCACCAAAACACTTATGTAATATTTAACACCATATATCAAAACAACCAGAATTTTTATGGATAATACTATTCAAAATAACCTTTAGAAACCTGTCACCGAATAGATTAGCAATACTAACGGCTTATCCTTGTGTATACAATCTGTGATACTGAGAGTTTTCTGTAGTTAACATTATATAATTTTTTTTTTTTTTTTTTTTTTTTTTGTAGATTCACAATAATAGGAGTAATCAATTAGGAAAACATATTTTTAAAAATTATCATATTTTTTTGCTTGGCTTCAAGGGTATTTTTGAATATAGAATCACCAAAAAAAAAAAAAATTGAATAAAATCAGAGAACCACTAACTGACCTCCCAAGTAAAGTATTCAAACAGAGTATTGAGTCTAAAAAACAAAAACAAATTAATTTGTATAGACGAATTAGAGTTATGACCAAACCTAGACCCTATCTGAAGCCGTAGTATAACAGACTGAACTGTAATGATAGATTTGCAGTACAACTTACAAACAAACAGATAAATTAATATATTAGAAATAATAGAATGTTCAGATAAAAGTAGGCTTTCAGAAAGATAACTAAATGGTGGAAAATAGTGATTTTAGGTGAGCAACAAATAGTACAGTACTCTTTTAGGCATGAATTTTGGTGTGAAGTGGGTGCAGGAGCCAATAAACTAGAATATTAGACATCTATCATATTTAATAATATCAATGGTGTTTCGAATAGGGATTATTGAAAAATGATTTTTTTAAATTTATATTAATTAAAAACCATGAAATCAACTACCCTCATTATACATAACTTAAAATAAGGAGCTTACCTCTACAAGGATCATTCTTGACTAGGAACTCCTCAAGAGCAACCCAGCCACCTCCAACCCGGACCATGACAGTTGATCTAAGGATTCTAACCAAACGAAGTTTCTGAGAGTCACCGAACTGAAGACAATAATAATAGACAAATAAACACAAAACCATTAATCGAAAATTGAATAATATTAAAAAATACACTTATGTTTTAAAAAAAAAGTATGATGCATCACCATACTTTTACTAACCATCCTACTTTCAGTAGAAACTCATTTTTTAAAAAGTTAATAATCCTTCAGAATATTAGTTAAATTATTAATAAACTTATGACAGTTAATGACAACTCTTTTCACTTTGCTGTATTTTCCCTTACTATATTTCATTCAATGGGTAAGCGAAAATAAAAATAATAAGAAATTTAAATTTTAACAATTGAACTATAAGGGAATAGCATAAATTCAAAAACCTAATTGTTTTTGGGAGTTTTATAGTATAACTAGATATGATTTGTGGCAGCAGTAAGTGTTCAGTGTATTTGTGGCGTCATTTCTTTTTCTCACTAATCTTTTTTAAGTAGTTCAGACCCTGAGAAACCCTATTTCTTCAAATAAATTTCTTTCGCGTCAACTGATCAACAGCGATTGGCTACCAGTTCATAAATAAACACAATTACTCACTTACTCCCCGGCTCAACAGGTCTTTGTGACCCTTGGCCTTCCGAACTATATCCCTCCATCCGTCACAGTCCTTGGCAGCGCTCCTCCAATTCACGACTCCTAACTTTACAGCATCCCTCGTCACCTCTTCCTCTTTTTTTTTAATGATGGCCATGTCTAGCATCTTATTCTGAACCCTTACTTCGTGCATTCTGGCAACATGACCTGCCCATCGCAGCCTACCATTATGTATTTCTTGTATATTGTATGTATTTCCAAGTACTACTATGTATTAGTTTGTGAGGGAAGCAGGTATTCCTTATAAGCAAACTAAACATGTCCACAAATTGAGCAAGGAGCATTCCATTTTCACTATTAATATCGTGTTATGAGTGCTTTCCAGCTACCCTGCTAACAGCTTCTTCTTTGCCTATTTTGGCATTGAAATCACCCAAAAAGAATTATTGCATCACAGTTAGGCACATTTTCCCAGTATCTCGTAGAATTCTTCCTTTGCTTCCTCTTCCGCACCTTCCGTTGGGGCATAAACAGAAAAAAACAGTTATATTCCTAAATCGTCCCTTCAAACTAATGCTGCACAGTCTATCACTCATTGGCTCAAAAGCTAGCAGAGCTTTTCTTATTCTTTCATTAATGTAGAATGCAGTACCTGCTTGTCCAGTTATTTATTTACTATAGAACAATGAAAATTCCTTCCAATCAATTTAACCACTCCCACTCCAATTCATCTCCTGCAGAGCAGCTATGTCGATACTGTACTTCACAAGTTTGTCAGCAATTTCATTTAATTTGTCCAGTCTCATCATTAATTTCACATTCCAAGTAGCCTTAATTTTATAGTAATACTCATAGACTAAACATTAGTGCACATAAAACAATAAGTCCATTTATGTAAAACTGGATTCAAAAATAATAAATAATAAGAATTAAACTACATTAAACATATTACTATCATTCCTATACTACTTAATGGTAAAATTGGACCATTATATACAGAATTATTAAAGAAAGTTATTAGGAAAATTACTCACCCTGTATTTTCCTTCACCAACTTGGAATACCCTAAACTTTTGTCTGCAGGTACAAAGCATTACAAGCCTTTTAACTTCATCATGAATCTTTTCTGCTTCAGTAACTGGCTTTCTTTCTTCCCAATCTGGCCTTAGGGCAGCTAAGTGCAAAATAATACATTTAAGCTAAATAGTACCAAAATATAACCACTATATACTTATTATTGTACTAAATAAAATTTACCAATGAATTCTTTCCAATCAATATAACCTTCAGAATTATGATCAAACATATCGGCGACTGCCCCCATTTCCAATTTAGATGTATCAAATTCTGTAAAAAAATAATAAGTTTAGGTTATTATTCTGCTAACTATAACTTATTCTGACTATAGATTAATAATACAGAGTATTAATAATACAGAGTTATTATTTATAAATGTTAAATACAAATATGACTGAACTATAAAAAAAAAAAAGGTACATGAAGTATATTACACCTAGAGTATTCAATAGAGAACAGATCAACTGAACACATTATTAACTTTCAGAAAACTAAATATGTGCTCTAATTTGATTAAATATAACCTGGTCAAATTGATATCGATAATAAAAAGAATTAGCAAACCTGAATGCCAATACCACCAATAATTGCCTCCATATCTCCTTCCACTTCACACAGGTAAAACCTGTATGATTGACATTGTCACCTTATCTACTACTAAACTAACCATATATTTAGTTTTATAAGTATTTATGTTGAGAACTAATTCTTTACGAGCTTTCATCAACATACTGCATTTAATTTAATAGTTTCCGCATCTTTGGCTAACAATAATAAATCAACAACTTACTTAAGCACAGGAATATAAACACCACAAGTTAAACTTTTTTAAGAAGAAATTTTTACCATAGTGAGCTAAAATTGACTGTAACATAACTTACTAATAGCTATTTTTATCCTTGTAATGGTCTCAAATTGAAAAATTTTAAAAATTACTTTTTCTCAAGTCAGATGTTTACATTTTTCTTGGAGAGCCTTAATTTATTGATTCTTTATATACCCTCTTTCACACTGCCATTTCATTGTGACCCCCTCTTTGCTATAGTGGCTAAATAGATTCCTAGTAAAACTTCATCAGCCTAGCCTCACCCGTGTGATTAACATGGCCATACCACCTTAGCCGATTCCATCTTTGTGACATCAGATTGGCGCATCTTACTATAAATTGTGAAATTACTCTTTTTTTCTCAAATCTCAATCTTTCATTTTTCTCACTTTGCAGACTTTTCCTTCAAGCGTGTCACATATCATTTTAAGTCAAGTTCATACTTCAAAATCAGCCTAAGCAGATTGGGCTCAATCATTCCACAAACATTAATTTGGTCTTCTCAACACTTATTTTTGCTTTATTCCAACAACTATTACGACTGTATGAATCATTATTTGCTGTTATATATCTACAAGCGTACTATTTACATTACGTAGCTGTACATTTTGCAAGCTAACTTGTGACGCACCTTGTCCTCAGTACATACATACATAGTTGGCGCAACAACCCGTTACCGGTTCTAGGCCTCCTCCCAAAATTCTCCGCCAGTTGGCTCTATTTGTTGCTGCAGCTCTCCAGTTCCTAACGCCGAGGAGATTGCGTGCGTCCGCTGTGACGGAGTTAGCCCACCTCACATTTGGCCTACCCACTCTTTGCTTGCCATGAAGTTCTTCAGCCAATGACCTCTTAGGGATCTCGCCCTTGCAATGTGGCCCGCCCATCAAAGTCTCCCAATCTTGATCCACTTGATGATATCAGGATTTTTATACAGGTTTGAGAGTTCCTGATTCTTCCTCCTTATCCAGGTGTCTCCCTCTTGAACCAGGCCAAAAATTCTTCTCAATATCTTCCGTTCAAACACCAGAAGGAGGTTCTCACAGACCCCAGTGAAGGCCCAGGTCTCTGACCCATACATAAGTACCGGACGAATCAAGGTCTTATATAGCCCGATCTTGGTCTTGTTGGAGAGGTGTCTGCTTTTGAAGTATTTTGCTAGCGTAGCCAAAATAGCTTCGATTTGCTGCGGCCATTCTTCGGTTGATCTTCTGGGATATATCATTTTGAGTGTTAATTTCTGGGCCCAGGTATACGAAACGTTGCACTCTCTCAAATCTATATGGTCCAACTTCGAAAAAACCTTGTCCTCACTAAGACTGCTAAAAAAAAAAAACATGTAATTCTTCTGTCCTTAGTGCCTTTCATTGTGAAGGGACATGAAGACCCCAACAGCAAAAATCTGACTGGTTATTCAAATAAGGCTAATAGAACAGCAACATTTATCGAGAATTTACTTTGACAAAAACGTCATTATTTTCAAGCCAAAAAAATGAACATAGAGCCAATACAACAAATAATACAATGACACATTTCCTCAAGTACTGCTCTGTTTTCAATGATAAAAGAAATATTTTTATTTTAACACTTTGAGCTGTTGTAAATATTTCCTTTTTGCCATAGTAATTTTTTAATGAACATGAATTTTAAAAAGAATACAAATTGTTAATTCAAAAGTCAACTCATGGCTGTAAAGTTTTGTACTTTTGAGCAATAAAATTTATTATTATTATTTAACCTTTTAGCCACAATGACCGGGAAGGGTGGAGCAGCCTTGAAGATGGTATTAGTTCTCCTTTCTCCTATAACAGAATACTTTTCATTCCCTCTACTGATCACTATAGTGTTTTTATTTAGGGCATCATTCTGAAATGCCCATAATCTCTAGTCAGAAAAATTACCTACTGCCTCATACAAAAGCAGCAAAATAGTTTGTAAGTAGAATTGATCACTGAGTACCCTGTCATTTAATGAGAAAGAGTTTAACAGGCTCTTGACTCATATGAGTCCACTGTTACCTGGGCCCGGTTCCTTCTCGACTCATATAGGAGTCCACAGTCATTAAATGGTAAAAGTTTTAAAGGTTAATGTATCGTGATTGTAGTCATTAGTATGTTTTGTTCTGTAACAAAAATTCTTTAATGATTAATTATATAAATAGCAGAAAGTAATAGCCCAAGAAAGACTCATGGGTCGGGCTGATTCAAGTAACTTAACACATTGACTGCCCACAGATGAGACACCAGGTACTACTTATATTATAGTTTGTTTAAATGCAATATTTTGGCAACTCTGATGAACTTTGTAGGTCCTTTTAATGATTATTTTTTTTTTTTTTTTTTACCAATATCCTGATAAGTACAGTTGGCTGCCAACCTGCCAAGTAAAATCTAAATGATCTTTAAAGCTAAGAGGGAAAAAATGACTTATTATACTCACTTGTCTTTATTATGCCATCAATAAAATCATCTCTTGGGATGAGACCATCATTATTCTTATCCATTTTTCTGAACAGATCAGTCAAACGAGATTTTTTATGGTTCATGAACTTCAAGAACTATAAGAAACCAACGTTATTAGAACTTGTTTACAAATAAATAATGTTTTTAAAAATGAAATTAACTAAATTGAGGTATTATTTACTCTTTTCCTCCAGTCATCCCAGGAGAAGTTTGCCAGTCGGTCAAGTTCCTGCAAATGACCTAAATGGTCCCTAAGACGACGCTGACGCTCCCAGGACTGTTGCCAAACACCTCGCCATCTCTCATACAATAGGCGAGACCTTGCACATCTGAATTGAGGTTCCAAACTCTTGCTGTAAAATATAATGGTAAAATTAGGAAAATCTTCAAAATTGATTTGAATACATAAAAAAATTGGGTAACAATGTAGAGATTTTTGTAACATATTGTTACAATAAGATTATATGAATGAGAGTTTTCCCAGTGATGGATAAATCATGAAAATGTAAAGCTATTTATAAGATGATAGATTTCTATCTTTATAAATTTATTTAGTAACTCAAGAGTTGTAAGCTGTATTGACATTTCATCTTAATCTACAAAGAGGAAAATAAAAGTGACAGGTCAGAAATCTCAAAAATTAAGGAAGCCGAAACATTGGATTATTAATGCTAATTAAAATAAAATACTCATGTATGCTTGCTTGTATTTACTTGATATATATTTTAATTAGCTTGAACAAATATAATATAAATCCATATTAAAATAAACATAGATAATAGATAATTTATATAAAACTGATTCTTATAAGTAACATTAATATACAACAAATAATAGTAAATCTCATGTGAAGCAATTCTTGAAGAAATTTCATAATAGATATAAATATAGTATGCTAACCTTCCTTTGGGAGGGAATTTAGGTCCAATCCTAGGATGGCCATCTATCATGTCTTGAGCTGGGCTAGACCGACTATCATGCAAAAAAAAAAAGGGTAAAAAAGGATTGCAAACAAGGATAAAAAAAAAAAAATGAAAAAAAGCCTTCACATTAATTAAATGAATTTATGCAAGCTAAAACTAATATCAAAATTCTGAAGCAAATACAACTTTTAATTAATAATAACAAAAATGCACAAAGGATTGACATATAAACTTATTGCACATAATACAAAAACATTGATATCAAAACAAAACTAAAATTTGACATGCAATTTTGAATATATAAACTGAATTAATTTACTTAATAAATATTGGGGTATATAAACTTATTGCACATAATACAGAAACATTGATATCAAAACAAAACTAAAATTTGACATGCAATTTTGAATATATAAACTGAATTCATTTACTTAATAAATATTGGGGTATATCTTTTCCAGCCTCTTTTAATGAACATGAAAGAGGTTGTTTTTAAAAAAAATATATATTCATTTTTATCATGATAATTTCAAATTTCAACAACTCAATAAAAAATAGATAAATCCCACTAACTCACTCTCGATTTTAACAGATTGCATAAAATATTAGCAACATTTGATATTTCTGGCAGAAGAATGAATAAATTCTGTACTGTTCAGTAACTTAGGGTAAAAAAAAGGTGTTTCTTCGGATTAATTTTAAGCTAAGATTTTTTATTTCGCAGGAAGCTTTTTTATGTCATTTTAAATCATACCTGAAAAGTACAGTACTCTGTTTTATGCTTCACTCTTTCTTATGGGAGGTATAGTTGGAGAGTTAGATAGAACTTTAATCAGGTACACAGGCAAGTAAGATATCATTTTGTATGTAATTTATAATGATAAATCGAATAAAATTAAGTTAATAGAGCAAATATTTTATAAGTTACTAAGGTTTTTTAATAAGAGACAAAATTTTATCTATAAAACAGCTTATGTTTACATTTATTAAGAAGTTTAAAAAAAATATATTAGTGCATTTTGTTGAAAGAGGGTATATATGTATACAATTGCCTTACAAAAATTAATTTAATATCTATATAATAATAAGCTAGTGTACTTGTCTGTAGTCACTAAGACAACTTTGTTGTAGTTGATCATACACGTAAAGGAAAGTATTAAAACTGCTCCTTTGTTCATTTAAAACATGGAAAAGTTGCACAGATAGATTCTACGTTTACTTTTCAAACGTTTACTAAAAAAAAAAGGGGATAAGTTCTATGGAAAACACATGCGATGAAAAATGTTAAAATAATGTAGGACCGAGTAAACTCTTCTTTTAGCCGATCATGATTATAAAAGCATATTGGTTATAACCTCGAAAGTTAAATTCACCTCATACTGTCTATAACAGTTTAATGTAAAAACTAAAAATACTTATTTAAAAATTAAAAATATTAGTAAATCACAAAATCATTATAACAATAATAGTTTCTCTATTAATTCTATACCTTGTCTTTCTGTCAAGTGTACTCAAATGTTCTCGTGAAGATTTGAAGCTGATAAAAAAAAAAAATGTATATATATATAAATTAATAAAGAACAGAACAAACAAATACTAAATAACATGAAATAAAAAAATATTTAAAATAGCAAACAAAATTAATGAAAAAATCCAAGACAAACAAACATAGGCACAGTAAAAGGAAGAAAACAAGTTTTTGGTTCTCTAAAATGCAGAACTCAACAATTAAAAATAAATGATATTTCAAAAACATACCTTGTTCGCCTATCAAGGTTGGTCAAATGCTCTCGTGAACTCTTCATACTATGAATTATGAAAAGCAAAAATAAAATAAATACAAACCAACTGTCAGAGATTTAACGACAACATTAGATTTAAAGGTAAATTTTTATATTTAAAAACATCTTATGTAAATAGGTTAAATAAATCTAAACTATTAAAATATAGCATATTAAAATATTGTTAAATTAACCAAAAACTTAAAAATACCTCTGTCTTCTTTGCATTTCATTTAATTCTTGAGTACTTTGTCTTGTTTCATCTTTGCTGTAAACACAAAAAAAAAAAATTAATTATTTTTTATTTTATTTACCATCTACAAAAAAATCATGATATTTTATATTAAAAACTATTAAATAAGTTATTATTATATAAATATATAAAATTATTTATATAACAATTAACATATCAGCATTTTATAAATAGTTGTAAATAAATTTAAATAATACATACATACTGACAATAAAATAATCAAGAGTAATTTTTTAATGATAAAACATCTTTTTTTTTTTTTTAGCCAGTTTTACAAGTATTACACCTGTAGGCCTCCCCAATTAAGAGGGTAATGGTCTAACTTCCCGCGGGGACCAGCCGTATGAAGAAGTAGGGCCGGGATTCGATCCTATGATCTTTGCTTTACTAGTATAGCGTGCTAACCACTCTGCTATACCGGCCCTTGATAAAACATTAATCAATAAAATGTACTATTTTTAGCAAGCATTTTAGTGACACAAAGACTAAAAACATATTTTATTTTCTAGTTTCACAACTAGGTAAACCATGTGCATCATGGCTTATCACTGTTAGAAGTTATAATTGATATATTTTTAGATCAAATTATAATTATATTTTAAGAGACAAAAAGAATTAAAGCTAATAAATGAATCAAGATACTAAATTATAAATGAAAAAAAAATATCATTCCTGAATTTATATAACGGAATGATAGCATAATGTCAACTTAAAATATCAAAAAATTAAACAGTAACCTTGTCTTTTTTGTAATTTTCTTTTCTTTTAATTGCTTGGCTCTGAAGACCGAATTCACTTCAACTTCACGAGTCATAGTTTCTTCCATGAAAGAATCATGTTCTACAATTAAACTCTCAGTCTCTGGTATTGAATTAGGAAGCTCCCTTGATTCTTTTTCAAGAAGTTCTGATTCTCTGAGTGCTAACCATGAAAGGAGCTCTTCCAGTAATGTATCCATATCCCTAAGAGAATTAAGATGAACATGGAGCTTCTCAGACCTCTGTAAAGAAAAATTGGGAAAACATATAATTAAATACCCATAGATTATTAATATAAATACATCAAGAAGAAAAAATAAATATACCTGCTTAGCCCAAGAAGATACTTCCTCCCAGCGAGATTGTATGATTGTTATCCAGTGCTTGATGACTGCAGCACCATCTGGATGGGCTTTAGCTAGAATCTTTTCAGCAAGAGCTATTGTCGAATCTTTTTCTTTTTCTTTATCGTTCATCTCTCTCATAAATCTGATATTTAATATGAACATTAATTTTAGTATAAAAAATAAATAATAACCTACCAGAAATTTCATTTTGAATTTATCATACTTATCATGTTCGGCAATTTGTATTCTAGTTTCAGCTTCATCATCTGGAAGACTATCAACAAACCTCAGTCTCATTTCAGCATCAGATAGCCACTCTAATAGCATATGTACAGCTTTGTGCAACTCTTCGGCCTGAAAAAATTATTTACTTGTAAAATACAAAAAATTATAAATTTTTAATGTTTATTTCAACTCATAAAGCACAACATAAATTGTCTGAACATGATGATATAGTTAACACACTTATCTGAAATTCATGTGAAGAAAAAATTAAGAAAAACATATCCCAAACCAGTACAGTATATCTTTTTCCTTATGATGTGATACTTCGTAACTTGAAAAATAAAACTATAATCTTTACACCATTAACACATATATATATATATATATATATATATATATATATATATATATATAAGTTATGGTTAGATGTAAGACAATATAATACTTAATCCTATCTGTAATGTGTAAACAAGCTGTAATACTATATATATGGCATTACTGAAGCAATAAAGTCAGTCTTTACCGAGCAACCGAGTGTGTTATTTGACATCCTTTCTTTCTTTTTTTTATTCTTTTCTGTTCAGACGATCGTAAGTGGTGCCGAAACCCGGGATCTTTAGATTCAGTCAAATTTTCTTTTTCTTTTTTTTTTCTCTCTTTTCACGAGAAGTAACCAAAAGAAAGGATGCCGAACGAAACAGGACAACCGCCAGTACCGACTACACCACAGGTGGCACAGACGATCGCGCCACCGGTAGCACCGTTGGCTCCACCACCGGCGTTTCCTCCACTGTCAGAAGCGTTAGCCAGGGATTTTCCTCCGCTACCCACTGAAACGTTAGCGTCAGCACATGCGAAGACCTTGGAATGGCTGAAGGTGAGAACTGCAACATCCCAGGATCTCAGGAGGGCGATATCCGATTTAGAAAGGTTTGACGGAGGAGTGGGTGAGCTAAATCACTTTCTAAAGGGAGGTGATCGGGTGATATCGCGCATTCTGGCCAAAGAAGAGGAGAATTTGATAGACGCGATGGATGCTAACGCATTGAGGGCGGCTTTGGTGTGCCGAGTTAAGAGAAGTGTGTTGAACATGATCCAGGCGGATGAGGACACCCCATGGAACACGGTGAAGGATAGGCTGAAGAAGGCATTCGGAGGAGGTCGTTGGGCTCCTGAGTAAGACATCCTGCAGATGTTTCGGGAAAGGAAACAGCCTCACCAGACGAATGGGCAGTACGCAGCTAATTTATTAGCACGGTTCAACAGTGTAACCGAGAAGACGAGGGAAGTAGCAGGTGCGGCCGAAACAGGAGCCAGGATGGCGTTCCTGTCGACAATACTTAAAGTGCAGCTGGCCCGAGATACAGGTAAGAAGGATGGGTTACCCAGGGAGAAGAGTTTCGTAGAATGTGCTCAGGATATGATCGACGCAAGCGCCCGGGATGAAGAAGCAGCTCGGGGTGACGAGGTGAATGAGAATGGGTGGAACCGAGTGGTGTACAGGAGACCAGAAACTGGAAGGGTCAGAGGGAGAAAAAGGGGTCAGAGGAGGGGTGGAGAAAAAGAGAAGAATTTGGCATGAGGGAGAGGACGGCAGTGAGAGAGAAAAGGCCTGTCAGAGAGAGAAGGAAATGGACAAAGGATGATAGGAGATGCCACGGGTGCTGGAAGATAGGTCACCTCGTAGCGAATTGCCCGTGAACTCGATGTTTCGAATGCGGAAACGAAGGGCACATCGCCAGACAATGTCCATATATGAGTAGACGGGGAGACACGGGACGAGATGAGCCAATGGAGGTGAACGCACAAAGATTGTGGAAGAAGAGAGGATCGACATCAGAGTCAGACGAGTCATCAGGAGCATCCGGAACCGAAGAGGAGGGAACGGTGGTAAGAGGAGCTCGAGGAGGCAGCATCAGTAGAAGGAGCGGAGTGAGAGGGGCAGTTGCAGGAAAGAGAGGAAGAACGGATGAATGAGGAGAGGAGCAGTGGAGCGGCAACCACGCGGTAGTAAATAATATTGGAGGTGAGTGCGTGGGTTTGCCAATTATAAGTGTTGTGGGGAGAGGGAAGTGTTTGGTAGATACGGGGAGCTCTAGTACAATATTATGTAAAAGGATGCTGGAGGAATTGTGTAAAGGAGAGAGGATACCGGAAATAAAAAATTGTAAGTGTAAGTTGATTACTTTGGGTGGTCCTTGTAGAGTCGAGGGGGAGGTAGAATTAGATCTGGACAGATGGGTGGCCGGAATCGGGAAGTTGAGGGTTCACGTAGTGGAGAACATGCCGAGGGAGTACGGGGGCATAATAGGATGTGACTTATTAAGTAAGGTAAGGCCGAGGATAGATTACAGGATTACGGGTTGGGTTGTTCGAATGGGAGGGAAGAAGTATCAGTGTAAGCAATTGAGAGTGGACGGGACAGGGAACGTCGGGGCAATAGAACAAGCAGGTTACAGTTAGGAGCAGTACTTGCGCAGGAAGGAACTGACGGGGAACAGCCATTAGCGTATGCAAGTCGGCGACTCACAGAAGCGGAAACGAGGTATAGCGCCCCGGAAAGGGAACTCTTGGGCATAGTATGGGCGGTCGGGCATTTTAGACCGTATATTTTTGGCCGGAAGTTTAAAGTGCATACCGATCACAAACCGTTGCAATGGGTAGGCAACCTGAAGGAATCATCGGCAAGGGTCACTCGATGGAAGCAGTTCTTAAGCCAATATAACATGGAAGTCAGGTGTAAGCCAGGCAAGGAGAATGTGGTAGCAGACTGGCTGTCCAGAGCAATAATGATAAATGCCATCGAGGAGGAAGAAGGAGAGTCATCGCGGGACGTGCGGCAGTTTCTGAGAGCGTGGACACCGGAAGGCGAAGGGGAGCCCGCGAACGCTGGAACAGGGGAATCAAGAGGAGAAGAAAGCTCAGCAGACAAGAGGCCCACAGACATGGAGGAATGCGAGGAGATAATCAATGATAAGCGACGACAGGTGATTTGGAAGACCAGAACGTCGGGGCTTATGAAGATAGACTTTGGTAAATATGGGAAGAGGAAGGTTACCACCATTTGGTCCCAACCAGGGGTGAAAGAAGAACAGATTTGTAAGGCCTTGCATGACGCTTCGGAGCCGGGAAAAGTTCACTATCTGTACGTGGGGAATGCAACAATCTGGGAGAAGATCAAGAGGATCTGGAGAACAGAAAAAATGGGCTTGGACAGGTCGTTTATTCGCTGTAGATACTTAGTCGAAACATTAACGGATAGAGAACAGCAGAGGGAGGTAACACTGGCACATCACCAGGGCAAGACGAATCATAGCGATTGGATATAGTTTGACACTTTAGTACACCGGGACATCCAAAGGGCAGGGGAAGTATCGAGAGGTTGCATAGCACCCTAAGCGATCATTTACGTATATACCAAGGGGAGCAGGGATTAGAAGCGGACGTAGCAATGCAGAGGGCAGTAGCAGCCTACAATCATTCGATCCACTCCGTTACAGGGTTTTCTCCGGTCGAGGTACTGTTCGCGGGTAAATATACGGCGTCAAGACTAGAAGGAAACAGTCACGAACGAGGACCAAGCTCAACAGATAACCTGTAACAGAGCGGAAATAAGGAAAGTGTGGGAAAAAACGAAAGGGAGAATAGAGAAAGAGAAGCGGAAAAGGGTGGGGAAGGGTAATTTGAACCTCAAAGATAGAATGGGAGCATTGAAAATAGGGACGATAGTCTATCGCAGGGTCGGATCCAATAGGGGGAAGGAATTGGTAAGCTACGAAGGACCATTCAAGGTAATTATACTTCGCGAGCACAATATTTGTACGATCCAAAGTCTGAAGGATCCCAGAAAACGGAGGACCGTTCACATAGAACAGTTAAAACTCCCGATAGAGAAAGGAGTCACGGAAGTAAATATGTGGTATATCCTCTTTTCTGTCTCCTACAAGCTAGGGACAGACGCTAGAAGGTTTATTTGATTTTGTTTCACTTTTTGTTGTTCGAAGGTGTTGTAAGATAACAGTGTGTTTTAATTTTATTTTATTTTTATTACTATTGCTGTTGTAGGAACTCCAACGGAGATTATTTTTTGTTTGTTGTATTTTGTTTATGTATTATGTCGGTAACCCTGCATTAGTTTATGAGGAATGTTCATAAACTGGCGGGGGGGAGTTATGGTTAGATGTAAGACAATATAACAGTTAATCCTATCTATGAAGTGTAAACAAACTGTAATACTATATATATAGCATTACTAAGGCAATAAAGTCAGTCTTTACCGAGCAACCGAGTGTGTTATTTGACATCCTTTCTTTCTTTTTTTTATTCTTTTTCGTTCAGACGATCGTAAGTTATATATATATATATATATATACATATAATTTATATATACATATAAATTATATATATATATATATAATAAATATTATATACATAAAATATAATATAATATAGTAAGTTTTATTGACATCAATAAGTTTGACAAAAACCTTTCTCTTAGGGAGGAATTTTATTGGATTTGGCTACCACACAAACGAGTAAGTTAATATAATCATTTCTTTCAAAATAATTCCAATAAAACAGAATAGATTAGATTTTCCTTCATAAAACAGCAATTTAAGACATAAAATAAAAACAAAAACCGTACAGCAAACAAAACAAAGTCTTCAAAAACACACAGAAAACTAAATAAAAATAAAATACAATAAGACAAAAAAACAAACTAGTTTTTGTTTATATATATATACATTGTTCTAATGTTTTAAAAATTAATAAATAAATCAGAATAAAAATTTCTGTCCTCTCTAGCCAAATGTTCTGATATTTTAAAAATGGATAAAAAAAAAAAAATAGATAGGGTAAGGGCAGGTATTGGTGAATTTGCTGACTTGTTTAGGTAATGGAGAAAAACCTAGAAAATTACAGTATCTAAAATTTGAAGATATGGATAGATACAAGGGAAAATAATACTATATCTATGAAATATTAAATTATAAATATATTCATGTACATATAAAATATAATTAAGAGACTATAGATAAGAGTACAATGTGAATAAAAACAAATATGGAAGAAGTACAACGTACATAGAAGTAAAATATAAATATAGAAATTTTACTTCTATGTACGTTGTACTTCTTCCATATTTGTTTTTATTCACATTGTACTCTTATCTATAATCTCTTAATTCTATTTTATATGTATATGTATATATTTATAATTTAATATTTCATAGATATAGTATTATTTTCCCTTGTATCCATCCATATCTTCAAATTTTAGATACTGTAATTTTCTAGGTTTTTCCCCTTACCCAAACAAATCAACAATTCCCCAATACCTTCCCTTACCCTGGTTTTCCAGTTCTGAGTGAAACTCCTAGTTGAACACACCTGTAAGTCTCTAATTTTATTTAATTTTTTGGTTTTATTTTTTCTTTTCTTTCTCCACATTCCTTTATGTCTATTATTTCATATTATATCCTTTTTCCTTTTCTTTCAATCTCTCCTGTAGATCTGTAGAAGTATATTCACATTTGCATATATTATATATTACACTACAAAAATTGTTACCATCTATTTACTTCAGTTTAGGATCTTGTTACTTAGCTTACTCTGTTTATATTTTAATGTACTTACTGTTTATAATTTTAATAAGCTTATTCACATTGTTTATAATTTTTTGTCTAAAAATTATGTAACTTCCACAATTCTCTATCTTTTAGTACCTTGTCCGTTCTAGCCGTGAAGAAGACCTGCAAAGTCGGGTCGAAACGTTGGCTTTTAATAAAATAGTTTTGCCACTATTTAGCCTACTTATGACCGCCACCCCGGACCATTTCTTTCCATTAACTATTTTATTTAGTCCAAAAACAAATTTTATGACAAGTGAATTAAAAATAAAAAAGATAAATTACTATTTATCTTACTATATACACAGTGGATATTGATTGTAATAACCTTGAAGGGACTCTGTAATCTTCATTGTTGTTATAGAAGTATAATTGTTATAATGACCACAGTTGTATCTATCTACTTTGATCAATTGTCAATAATGGATATAGTCATTATATTGAATGCAAACAAAGATAATGAATATAATTTAATCAAAATGGAATTAAAACAATGATTTCTTTGAAACAAACAAGCAGATACTATTTAGTATCTGTGATATAAACATCTATTGACATAAGTATTTTTTAAAAAGTAAGGAACTTCTTGATGGTATTTCTATCCCTAAACAAATTTCTATTAGAACATTTTTTGCCCTTAAAAGGTAGTGCCGAATTGGGTGTCAACTTGAAGAAAAATTGGCCAAACAATTAAAACCCATTTATTGGTTAGTTGAAGGAGAACACTAGTAACTTCACCAATAAATTATATAAAAACAATATTATTTCGAGAGCAGAACCTTTGTATCCATCTTTGCGAAACACTAGTTAGGGATTGATCAAGAGGATCATGGATTGATTTTAAAAATTTGTTTGCTTTTTAAAGCAGCCCTGAAAACAGAATATTATGACTTCTCTGATTCCTAAACCATTTGAGAAGAACGATGTTGATTTTAATGTGAGTAGGTTATCGTTTTTCGGATTTAAAAGATTCCCTGTGTTTAGCAATCTCTTGAAAAGTTCTGGTAATTTTCCAAATTGTATAGTGACTTACCTAGTCCTTTTTAAGCCTCATTAAATATTTTCACAAGGAAAAGAATTCAACAGAAAAATTAATTTTTTCAAAAACTTTATTAGAAAATAAAATGTATATCTATAGAGAGTAAAACAAAAAAGAAATTACTCAAAATGTCCCCTTTTTGCCTTGACACAGGCATTTAATCTCCGTGGCCAGTCATCAATAGCAGCACGCAGCACTTCTTGAGGAAAGCGCTCAACTGCTCGGACCAGAGATTGTTTGAGGCTTTCCAAGTTAGAATGTGCTCTGTGGCATGCCATCCTCTCCAATTCGGACCAAAGCTGATAATCAAGTGGGTTGAGATCAGGGCTTCATGAAGGCCAATTCGAGGCAGAGATGAAAACTCTGGAATATTCTTTTGCAGCCACTGCTGTGTTCACCTGGCCTTGTGAGCTGGAGTGAAATCCTGCTGGAAAACCAAATGACTTCCAGCAAACAGAGTATCATTTAGAGGCTTAACAACAGCTTCCAAAATATCGTCCTGATAGTTTTTAGCGGCTGTTTTAACTCCTTTTTCACAAAAATGGAGCTTTGTGGTGCCATCAAAGCAAACTCCCCACCAAACCATCACTGAGGAAGGGTGATGACCTCTTTCCACTCTTCCAATGACTTCCTGGGCTTCTTTAGAGCTGTGTGCGTACACATATCATTTTGGCGATTAAATTTTTCTTCAATTGTAAACATTTTCTCATCACTAAACAAAATCTTTCGATGAAGACCATTGGTGTAAGGGCCTAGGAACACTTTGCATCTATCCACTCTAATTTTTTTAGGAAGTGGTTAGCCTTTGTCCTGTCATCTTCGAAATGCACCCATCCTAAGGTCACTTTTTATTATGCGAGACATTGATGTGACAGAGATTCCCATTTCCCGAAACATGATTTGTTGTTTCGAATGGGATTTCTTCTGATTCGAGCAGCCACTGCTCTCACTTGCATTTGCCGTTCTCACAGTGCCGGGACGGCCGGTCGAGGTCTGTCACATACAGATAGGGTCTCATTATATCTATTTATAGTGCGATACACGAACTTACGGCTGATACCCAAAGGTTTCAAAGTGTTGAAAATCTCTGACCTACATTTTCTAACTTTGTATAAGGCGATCACAGCTATACGGTTTTCTTCATCATCATCATCTATGTTAACTGAAGAAAAATACAAACTAATTGGGATTCTTATCCTGACATGTAAAGAAAATAACCTGATAGAGATAAGGATTATCTAAATAATATCCAAGGAAGTAAACAAAGTTAAACTTTTGTAACAGTATTTATGGCAGAACTAGGCTCTCACCTCCCTAGTCAGCAATATACGTAGAATTTTTCTTCCAAGGAAAAATATTTTCTCTTTGACATTATGTGGACTATACAGGCCTCACTTAACAGAAATATGAATTTAAAGCCAAGAATGGCGAGTGGGGAATATAATAATAGATTTCCAAGATAGAAAAGTGACATTAACACACAGGTTTTTGGAGATGTGAGAACCGACTGTAGCTATCTCTGATAATTTTTTTCAGAAGTCCTAAGAAATCAAGTGGTTAAATCCAATTAATCATTATAGTGGTGGTCACTATATCCATTAAAAACTATGTTACAAAACACTTCTGAATCTGGTATTTTCATCATTGAAGCCAATAAGCACCATCTACAGACACTTGTAAGTCAGAAAAAATGACATAGGTGTCCTAAAATATTATAAAAGTATCCTGCATTTTAGACTAAGAGCTTTGTGGTTAGAATTTTCTAATTAAAGCCAAACGTTTAAAACTATACCTAAATCTAAAATTGACTATGTTAGAATATTAACTATATTTTTCATTGCTTTTGTTATTTTATTTCAAAATTAAATAGGTATAAACAAACAGGTGCACTAGTTAAGTATAATAATGAAATGGTGGTAGTACTGAAAGAAAGGATGAACATCAGGAATAAATGTGGTTTGCCATGGAAAACATACTAAACTATGAAGCCATGTCTAATATGATCAAGATAATGGTGTTAGACAAGATCTGTCATGGCTTATGGTTCTAATATCAAAGGCATTGAAAAGGAAGCTACAAACATGGGAGACAAGTGTTCTTCATGGGAGCTATGGACCAGTTTGTGAACAGAGAAGTTCTTAAGAAGAATTCAACAGTATAGTGTGCTTAAAATGATTTTGAAACTTAATTAATAAATTCTAGGAGTAACTATTCAGAACCAGTTCTTTATTTTTAATAGGAAAATAAAATTAATTTTAACTCACATGCTTCAAAGCAGCTTTCAGTGCTGTACTTCTATCGGAAGCTAGATTAACAACCGTTGTCCAAAGTTTGTTTAGTTCAATAAGCTGAGCCTTCAAACCAGTTGAATCTGCTCGTTCACTCAACTCTCTTCCACTTCTTTCTAGGCTTTCCATTTGAGTTGATCTATTTCTCAGTTCTTCCTCAAGAACCTTAAAGAAATCATTAACATTATAATATAACCTTTCTATTACAATAAAAAGTTCGATAACTACAAAATGTTAATATATTCAATACTTCACAAAAAAACTTTTTTATAGATTCTATATTAAACAAACAAATACAGAACCAGAACAAATAGGAGGAAAGTCACAAGAAGTACACACTAGAAAGAAAGATCGCTCACAAAATGCTAAGGGAAAGAAGGAGAAAATTCTTCAATAACCAACTATCTGAAATAGAGACGGACTGCTAGACACCCACTACATAAAAAGGGAGATAAAACTGATGTGAATAACTACAGGAGAATCTCCCTACTACCGGTCACCTACAAGATCTTCTCTAAGGCTTTACTAAACAGAATCTATCCACAAGTAGACTCTAAACTCTGGGAGTACCAAGGTGGTTTTAGAAATAATAGTTCATGTCAGGAACAAATTTTGAGCTTTGAGCTATTAATCAAACACTACAGGACTAAAAGTAAAAAGAACCTTTTTATCTCTTTCGTCGATTTTAAAAAGGCATATGATTCGGTAGATAGGAAAACATCACTTAAAGTACTAAAAGAATATGAAGTTGACCAAAAAACTAGAAAATTGACAGGGCTAACAATGACAGGGTTTGAATCTGAAGTTAAATTCCAAGGAAATATCAGTGAACCATTTCAGATAAAAACGGGACTCAGACAGGGAGACGGGTTGTCTCCAATACTGTTTAACGTGGTACTAGGCAAGATCATTAAGAAACCAAGGAAAATCAACAATTCAGGTGCAACCCTAGGGAGTAAGAACAATAACGTCAAAATTGGATGCCTCGCACACGCAGACGACGTTGCCTTTTATCAGAAACAGAAGAAGAGGCGATTGTTCAAATAAACACCCTCTAGGAAATAGCGAGGTAAACAGGCTTACAGATATCTTTTGAAAAGATGGAATGGATGACCATGGACACGAATTTTAAGAAGAAAACAATTGAAACCAAATACGGAACGATTAAAGTAACTCAGAGATTTAAATACCTTGGAGAAATCATATGCAGCAATGGGTCAGAAAAAGAAGGGTTTAAGGAAAGAATTGCCAAAATAGAGAAATTAAGCTTCGCCACCAGTGATCTTTATAAAAAGAAGAACTTGTCTCTAAAAGCTAGGATACGACATTATAACATGGCCATCAAGCCAGTGGTATTCTACGCAACAGAAACTTCTTGTCTTCCCAGCCTAGAGAGCCTTCTGAAAATAGAAAGAAGAATCTACGGACCTAGGAGAACACCTGAATGATACAGGTTGAGGTCAAATGTATAAGGAAACAACAGATCAAGAAACTGATACTAGGATAGGAAGGCTGAGGTTCTATGGCCATATGATGAGGATGAATCCTGAAAGACTTAACCATACAATTTTTCAGCGAATCCACAGTCATAAAAATGTAAGCGGGTATTTCAAACAGGTTAAGGATGATATGGACCAAGTGGGGCTAAGAGACCAAGATTGTTTGGACAGAGATGAGTATACAGGAAGGCGCTCAAGGGAATAACGGTTCTTGCGCGAATGAAGCGCTCCAAAAAGGGTGTTCGGTGGTCTGAGGAGAGAAAACGTAAGCACACGGAGCTCATAAGGGGAGAAGAGGAGGTAGATGAAGAGGAAGCATTGAAATCGTGATATTCGCGTGGTCTTTAAAGACTGCTAGTGAAAAGAAAAAAAAAAAAAAGAAAAATAATAAGGAATTGTACAATGAATTATGTTAAATTGTATTGCAATATAAATAATTTTAAACAGAATAAATCAAAAATCTCATGAAGAATCTCCAAGGCAAACTCTGTTTAATACTACCAGATATGTAACTCAGTTATCGGAAAAAAGGGAAGGACGTAAAGCTCCACTTATTAAAGTCTGTCCTCCTACTAGCACTTCTCTATTGAGCGGAGAGCTGGATTATGAATGGGAGACTACCTGCCTTAGAATTTTGGTGAAAATAAAGGGGGAGTTGAGTTCGGAATGAGATGATTAGGGAAGAACTGAATATATGCCCAGTAACTGAGGCTTACTTAGATGGTATGGATATATCTGCTGCATGAGTCACCACAGAAACCCAATCAAAACTATGGAGATGAGACTGTTGGGAAAAAGATCAAGAGGATGGAAAAAAACCTACACAACCCACATAGAACGAATAGAGAGACGCAAAGGGCAGGGACAGAAATGCATGGCACCGATGGTTAGAAGCACTTCTGCGCTGAAAGGCAAATTAGTGGGAAAAAAAAAAAAGAAGAAGAAGAAATCAAAAAGTCATAAACATTCTGGTTCAATATGAAAATGAGCTCTGAAATACCTCCATGAAGTTTGATACTTCTGGGGACAAACAAAATTTTAAGCTTACAAGAAGAACTTCATACTTCACTGAATCTACTGACCCCTGTTGATGGTTAGGGTTAATAATAATCTACATGTCTCCAGATATTAACATGGTGCCACATACCTAAAATCTCAAGTCCATAACAGAAATAACTTTGAACACAAAGGTTTCAGAGAATGTGCTGGCACTAAGGGAGCGTGTGATGTCCTAGCATGTTGGAGCATGGATCCTAGGGTGCTCAGTAATGAATGTTGTGTGCTCAATTCCCACCGAGGTCAGTTAATATTTATTTCTCAGGGGCCTCAGAAAATAAATCTTGATTTTCTACTCTCGTGAGTATATAATGGCAATCTCTAGTTAGTCATCACGAGCTAATTTAAGGCCCACTTGTCAGGCTGATTCCCCCACCAGTAGCAGTACCATAACCAACTAACTTAAGAAGCCAACTCTGACATGAGCCTTTTATCTTGAGAAAAAGGGAAGCCTGACCTGAGTCGTGAGTATGGATACAAGAACTAGGACTCATTATATTTCCTGGTTACTATGATAAATAAGAGGCATATCCATAAAGTAAGAGCACTCAATTTTGATATTTAGCAAAAAATTATAGGATATTGTAGGTATACAAGTTACTTATTTTTCTATGTTATCTCCTTCCCATTCTAAGCAGGTTGTAAGTCATGACACAAGCTTTTTGATGCTCTTCTCTTAGAACTCTCCTGACATTTCCTTCATCCACTTCAAAACCTCTTGTTTCACCTCCTCATCGGTTAGAAATTTTGTCCTCTCATATGAGTCTTCAATAAGGTAAAAAGATGAAGATCTGAAAGCACCAAGTCTGAGTAGTTGGAGGCATAATCATGCCGGGTGGTTCAACAAGTTCCAACCAAATGAGATCAAAAGCGCCTTGGTGGCATTGCCCATGTGTGGGCACATGTTGTCATGCCACACACTTCCTTCGCCAACATTGCCCTCTGTTTTGAATTGCTTTCTTGAGCTTTTGTAGAGTCTCAGAGTATCATGGCGCAGTAATTATCTCTCCCTGAGGCAAAAAAAATCTAACAAAATGATCCATTTTCAATCTTAAACACTGACGCCATGATATTTTTGAAAATTTGGGCAGATAGGGATCCAGTGTACCACTACTGTGATGGCTTACTTTTTGTATCAAGGGTTTAATGAACAACCCATGTTTCATTGCCACTTACAATGGAGGTCATTAAATCCTCATCTTCCAATTTAAATCGTTCAAGGAACTGACAAATGCTAACGACTAAATTTGTATGTACTGCTTTGTTAGTTGCTTTAGGACAAATCTTGAGAACAATTTTCAATATCCGAACATTTTTATAATTGCTTTGTGTAACAAAAACCTGGAAGTTTGAGAAAAAATATCACAGACATTTCATCCATTGTCAATTGGTGGTTTTCAAGGTGGTTTCTGCAATTTTTTTAACAAACTTATCGGCCAAAATTGAACATCTTCCTCTCCTTTGCTCGTCGTGAATAGTCATTCTTCATTAAACTCATGATAACACCTAAATACATTCGTTTGGTTTATAGCACCTTTGTCATAAAAAGTTCTGATCCATGCAAAATTTCAATCAAAGTTTTTCCTTCTACAAAAAGGAACCTTATGACAGCGCAAAACTCTTAGTGGTTTTTCTTGTTAAAGTATTCCACTGAAATGGAGACCCCCACTACCACCCAGTGTTGCCGATTTTTGAGAAAAAAATTCTCATAGCATGACAGCTCAAAAGAACTCACTTTATGGAGATACCTCGTACTATACGGATGGTGAAAGATAATGTCTCTTTTTAATGGAAGAAAATGTGGGAATAGGAATAGAAGAGAAAAAACAAAACTAACCTGAATCATATATAGATTAATAGGAAGATGGAAACATCTATCTAAGAAGGTTGGAGAAGAATGACAGTATATAGTGGGCAAAATTTAAAAAGACGTCCATCATTATAGAGTTGAGAAAATCTAATTAATATTGTCTACCAACTTTAAAATATAAAAAGCATACTACGAGACAGAAAATAATTATTCTTGATCATTCAATGACCCCTGCAAATGAAACTATCAATCCAAACATTTTTGAGATTTGCAAGGAAAATTAGCCGGCCCTGACAGAGCCCAAGACAGTGGTTTATGCCTATGAGCATATATACAAATATAATAAAAGAATGAAGGTAAGGGAGAAAACTCGAGTTAACTTAAAAACTAAAAGATAAATGCTGTATACATAAATTCATGCACATAACAAGTAATAATAAAAAGATAGAAACTGAATAATTTTAACAACTCTGTTTCTAACCACTGATCTTAAATAGAAAAAAATTTACCTTATGCTGCTCTATGAGATTTTGTACTGTGTCTAAATCTCCATAAATACGAGTTTCTTGAGACAATGTTTTCTCAGTTCTTTTAAGCCAATCCAAAAGAGATTCCAACGCTTCCTTAAACTGACCACAGTATAATAAAGCTTCTTCTAATTTTCTTTGACTGCAGGAAAGGATAAAATCATTATACATTTTACAAAACTACAAATAACTAATCAATACTATCCAAGGAACATTTGTAAAGATGTAATTAAGAGACAGGACTAAAAATGACATATTTTAAAATCAATCTAGTTCAATTATGCATACCCTGTAACTGCTTTGGAAGAAACTAGAGACCATAATTCCCTCAACTGATTAATAGCAGTTTTCAGTTTAGACTCATCACTCTTTGGAGCTCTTTCACGCAAAGTTTTACCAACTCTCATTGTTTGATCATATGCTCCTTGCTTCTGAGCAATGGCCTTTTGTGTTTCTTTATGTTTTGCCAGGCGTGCCTTCAGTTTGACAGGGTCATTTCCAGCTCCCGCAATCTCTGTAGTAATCTCATCTAGTTTTTTATCAGTTTCAGACAACCAATTCATCAAGTTGGACCTAAAAAAAAAAAATTAAAAAAAATGAAATTTAATTCATTATTGAACTTACACTATTGTCACCTTCATAATACAGTAAAGATAATTCAAATAATTACCACAAATCATGAAATTCTTTGGCTTCTTTGTACCCATGATCTAGAGCTCGAGTTCTTTCAGCACTTTTACTCACAACACGCTCCCATCTATGTTGAACACTACGAAAAAAAAAAAATTTTAAATCACATAAATAAACTATTTAAGTTGATAAAAGGTAATTGTAAAAAAAAAAAAAATTGACAAATATATCTATTGTGTTAGCAGCTACTCACATTCCTGAGTTAGGACCTCTCACTTTTTGTGGAAATCATGTATTGGGTTTTCTTCTTATCTATCGAAAGACTTTTTTTCCAGCATCATCAAATTCCTGTTAAGCTCATGAGAGTGCTGCTTTTGATCTTGCAGTTATAACCATGTCATCAGCCTATGCCAAGTGTTGGGTTAAGTCTACTATGCAGGGTCTCAATTTTAAATATTTTTCTTTTAGGTAGGAGGGTATACATTTTGAATTAATTTCCTCTTTTTCTTTTTGTACTTTTGAGATCTTGATCCTCATTGTTTGTTTCAAATCTAATAGTAGGATCAACTATCAGAGCCTCTTTTGTATTTGTGTCTCCAGGAATTCGGCAATTTGATGATCTACATTATTGTGCTGACGGGTGACAAGGATCATGTTATTTGGACATTTGCCCAATACATTAGCTGGGGTTTCTGACTCTTACATTTGCGGCAGAGCTGTCCAAAACCTCCATTCGCCTGGCTTACAGCCCTTGGAACTCCACAAAGAGGAGCATATAATATCAACAATACATCATTACATATCGAGAGTACCTTACCTTTTTAAAATATGTCCTCTACCGAAGCATAGTACAATACTATCCCTCTCACCTACACCCTGCCACCTTCACAATTATTATTTATACATAATATAAGCACTTGTTCCTTAAAATATGTTTCCTCTTTTATAAATTTTTATAATATAACTATATGATAAAAACAGTTAATAACTGTTATTTATGCAATGATATAAATATACTGTGATAGTAATTTTGTAACCTGTATCAAACATGCCGAGTCTAAAATACCCTTTCATTTGAGAAAGAAGAATATAATTATTATTTATTAATATTAATATAATTAATATTATTATTATAAGAAAGATAGAATTATTTTTTATTTATTAACAAAATTAAGAATAAAAAATTTAAAATCCTACTGACCAGTCATGTGCTAACACTGAACCCTCAGTGTGCCATATGGTTTGGTCACTCTTGGCACATATAGAATATAGGTTTCATTAAAGATCATCATTTGGGGAAACAAAATTTTTAAAACAGATTTTAAAAATGCTATTAATACCTTTTTACAGTTATAAATCATTAAAACAAATGGTATAACAACCTTATAAGTAGATTCTTGATGAGTATAACATCCTGTTTTTGTGAGAAATACTTCAAATGTGTTCCTTTTTTGTCTAGTTGAATCATTGTCTCCCTATGAACTCCTACTTCCTTTTGAAATAATTTATGCTCTTCAATCTGAGCAAGTATAGTTTCCAAAACACGTGAAACAGGTTTTAAGTTTGCAAGCGTTTTCTCAGCACTAGTAAGCCAGTCAACAAATGACTAAAAAAAAAAAAAATATTACAATTATTAATAAATATAATCATTATTTAACCAGAATATTCATATTATCCATATTTTCTCCAGCAAACCTGTAAAGCATTATGAAATTCTGTAGCTTCTTTAAGAGCAATCTCCAGTTTGATTTTCTTGTCATTTGCACGCCCTTGAACAGCTTCCCAACGCTGTTTGAGAGCTTTTAGGTTTGCACTAAGGCCTTGAGCATTGTTTCCTTCTGCACGCTTAAGATAATCATTGCCTAGTAGAAAACAGTGGTGTAGGTATTAAAAATTAGGAGACACAATTAAACTTAATCAATCCTCTATAATAGATACTGACCTTGAGTTATTAATGCTTCAACCTTAGGACGAGCTGATTCTAAGTCATTATATATTTCCATGAACCTTTCAAGTTGTTCTGATGCAGTCTCTGGAAGACCTCCTGCAGGTTTAGAGGAAGCAATGGCTGCATCAACTTCTGCTAACCATCCAAACATATCTTGTACTTCACCATTGAACCTGAAAAAGAATTTATTCAATGATCTTCATAGCTGTAAATATGGATTTCAATAATGAAAAGTAACAAAACTTTTTTTTGTGATTTACAGTAATACTAATTTGAGGTCGGGATGGTTGAGAATATTAGGGCATCAACACACAACTTTAGCAAACTTGAGTCAAGCAGAACCAGTTTAAATCCGGCTTGAGTAGGTAAATATTTATTTTTTGGTGGACCCACAGAATGAATCTCGACTATCCCACTATGATTAGAATATTGGTTACCTGTAAGGGGTAAAAAAAAAAGAGTAATAATTCACCTTTGTGCATCTCTTAGTGCCTCTTCAAGCTCAGATCTTCTGGAAGCCACTTTACCTAAAAGATCATCCCATCTTCTGTTTAGAGAGTTTAACTTCTCTTGAGTAGTAGAGGCCTCTAAGGATCCTTGTCCTGAAAGCCATACCAAACAATTATGAAAGGAAATAATGTTAATGAGTTGGGGAGGAGTAGAACCTCTGAACAGGGCTGACCTGTGCACTGTTCCTCATCTAGCCTCAGGGAAATAGCAGAGATCTGTGAGACCTTGGCTGAGGTGGCCCTGCTCGTTACTAAATACAGCAGATCTAGACCAGAAGGTCAATAAATATTTCTGGTGGAGGGCAGGAACAACCACCAGTACTGACTTGGAGCCGAAAGCGGTATTAGCTGGCTGGGTCCATGTTCAGATATCAGGAAAGGCTGAACTATGAGCAAACAAACCCTTATAAATGCCACTGAAGTTAGAGGTACCTGACCGAAAGGAGCAAAATAGTCTCCAATATCTTTCATAAAGATGTAGAGTTGGTTGACCGTTGATATGATATGAGAAGGAATTAGTCGAGGGTGCGGTCAAAAAAATAAAAAAATTAAAATATATAAATAATTTTAATTTTTGCCGACGTTTCGACCCACTTTGCAGGTCGTCTTCAGGGCTACAAAAGATACAAACATGTTGAAAAAATAAAAATAAAATAAAAAATAAATATAAGTATATATAAATTACGAAGAAGTTGTCAGATACAGAAATAAAAGATAAAGAAAATAAATACATGATAAGAAAATAGATAAAAGAAAATCAATACAAGAATGGGAACGAATAAATGAATGTTAACGAATAAATTGATTGAACATTGAATACCTATTGTGACAGTAAAGTTAAAATATGGATAAGATAACATAATAATAAGATATCAGTGGATAACAAGCAAGTGGAGGTTACCTTTAATTGTAAATAAACAGATAACGGGACCAAAGGTTAAGAAGTGAAGAAATTGAAAGATTAATAGGGTAACATTAGTGTAATATTGTTGGGATAGATTATTAAGTATAAATAACTCTATAAGAAAACAATAATTTTAAAAGAATACTTTAAAATGTAAGAATAAATGTAAAAACAAGGTTATGATGATAAAGAAACAAAAAACAGGTTGTACTATATATAGATGACAATTGACATTTAGTTTTTTGAAAGCGGTAATGGAATGGTAGGCTATATGAAGATAATAATAAGGTGTATAGTTGAAGGATAGGTGTGTTAAGAAAGGAATCTCAATAAAAGTCAAAACATACCGTTGGATGTGGCACTGCGGGAGGCGGTTGAAATACTGGCAGTGTCAAAAACTCTAGTTAGCAGTGTCAAAAAAAAGTTCTAGTAAAAATAACCATATATATAATAAATATATATAATAAATTTATATATATATATATATATATATAATAAATTTTAAAAAATATATTTTAATAAATATATATATATATAATAAATATAAATATATATATATATATAATAAATATAAATTTATATATATATATATATAATAAATAACAATATATATAATAAATCTACACATATATATATATATATATATATATATATATATAAAAGGAGAAGTAAAATCAACGGTCAACCAACTCTACATCATTATGAATACATTACCACGGGGTCAACATCAGGATACAAACACTCAGTCCTTACGTCGCAGTTCCAGACTTAATACCGGATCCAACAATGTACAACAACAGTCATCCGCACATCAGAACCTCTCTGTTCTTCCCACTCGTCGCAATACCAGATTTGAAATATCTTCCAGAACTTTTCATCACGCAGCACCGTTATCTAATAACTTCTCTTCACACTCTTCTCCATCTTCATTTAACAATTCGTCACAAGATGACACATTGACCTCTTCAGTTTTAAACTCCTCCTCTCTAATAAGTTCCGCTCCCAGTAAAGCTAATTTATCCTTCTCATTTTTCAAAACCATTTATTCTAGTCACAAATACCACATTAATAACCTATGCTCGCTCCATAAACGCCTTGCCGACACGTTAGAACAACGCATTTTTTTACTGAAATGCCGCTCCAACTCTCTTTTTCCTAAATCAATCACTAATTCCCTCAATCACATTACTATCTCCAAACCACTCAATTCCAAATTATCTAACTGTTCTTTAAAATTCAAAAAATCGCTCCTTAATTTGAAAATCCGTGAAATCATACAACATATCCATCACCTCAACCAACAAATTTCCGCCATCACTCAATTATTACAAACCATCATGACTGACGAACACATGACTAACCTATCACAAATTATCTCCACTATCTTTATTACTACCAGATCAAAGAAAAAAAGTATTCTCACTACTAAATTTAATGACATTTTTCAGCAATCGTTAGTCCATAAGATATACCCAAAAGGAGACGATAATTGGATCCACAACTCCTCATCCATAGATATTCCTTCCAACGTCCTCAACATTTTAAGCTTAGGTCCGAATTTTTCCACCCCTAATTCCTCTACCAAACTCATCCCTGAACTTATTACTGACTTGGAATATATTTATAACGATCCGATCTTTCACCATTCTAATGATAATAAAGAATTATCTCGTGTATCCATAACTAACATTATCTCTAACCATCTCCAACACCCCCCATCCACTACTTCTAACTTTTCCCCTCAATTCTTCAAAGATCTTTCTTCCACACGCTCCTTCCTTAAAAATCATGACGACATCATCATCACTAAAGCGGACAAAGGAAATAAAACAGTTATCATGGACCTCACAGACTATAATAGAAAAATGACTGAACTCCTATCAGACATATCTACATACGCTCCTACAACTCGTGACCCCACTCCTTCTCTTAAAATCCAATTTAACCAACATATCAGAAACCTCTTACACTCTAAACAAATCACATATCCTACTTACAGAAACCTCATCTCTTATAACTCCGTGGCTCCCCGTTTCTATGGTCTTCCAAAAATTCACAAACCCGGCACTCCCCTCCGTCCTATCACTTCTAATATCAACTCTCCCTCTTTAAAACTCAGCAAATTTCTACTCCCATCCTTACAAATCCTTAGTCATGACAATCCATATGATATCCACAACTCCTTTCATCTACGTAATTTGTTATTATCCCTAACCATTCCCGATAATTACATTCTAGTCTCCTTCGACGTTAAAAGCCTCTTCACCAACATCCCTATAGATAAAGCCCTTCTTATAGTAGAAAATAACTGGTCATCCTTAGAGTCTCATACCTCCCTTAACCGTTCATCATTTATTGAATCCCTACAACTTTGTTGCAAATCTGGTTATCTCCAGTTCCATGGACAATTTTATAATCAAATTGCAGGATTAGCTATGGGTAATCCTCTCGCACCCGACTTATCTAACATTGTTCTTAATGATCTCCTAAACACCATAGCCCCACAGTTTCCTAATGACATATTTCTTATAAAAAAATACGTCGATGACCTTCTTCTCATCGTCAATCCTGATACGATTCCTGACATCCTTTCCGCCTTTAACTCATATCATCCCCGCCTCTCTTTTACAGTTGAATACGAAGATAACTATTCCCTCCCTTTCCTCGATCTTCTCATTAAAAGACATCCCAACAATACTTTATCCACAGACTGGTACACAAAACCAACATACTCTGGCAGATTACTAAACTACTATTCTCAACACCCCTTTCACCAAAAACTTAACGTTGCCAAAAACCTCATTCACCGATGTTTTTCTCTATCTGACCCTTACCTACATGAAACAAACACTAGACGCATACAACGGATACTATTGTCTAATAACTTCCCCTCCAACACCATTAAAAAACTTATTACTGACTACAAAACCCGCCCCTCTTCCTCCATCCCTTTCTCTAGTTCTCAAAATCAGCCCCCCATTCCTTTATATAGATCTCTACCATACATCCCTTTACTTTCGGATAGAATTCAAAAATCTTTACGTTCCTCTATTCCCAACCTGCGAGTTGCTTTTAAAAACTATAACAAACTTGCCAATATTTACTCCAACCTAAAAGACCCCATCGCTCCGCAACACCGCTCTAATATCGTATACCGCATTCCTTGCTCTACCACCAATTGTAACTCCGCCTATATTGGAGAAACCAAGAACCAACTTAAAGACCGCATCAAACAACACAAATACTCAATTACTTCTAAGAACTCTACTGCTTCTAAACTCTCTGAACACGCCTTAACCTCAAACCACACATTTGACTTTGACAATACCTCCATTCTTGCCACAGTACCTAACCACGACAAAAGACTACTTACGGAAAGTGTTTTCATTCAATTAGACTACAAACCACTAAACTTAAAAACCGACAAGCAAAATCTATCACTCGCCTATTCCCAAATCATCAACATTTTAAAAAAGTCTCGATCATAAACCTCTATTTAATCTTCTCACTTCCATTTATACTTTCTTTTACTTCTCCTTTTATATATATATATATATATATATATATATATATATATATATATATATATATATATATGTGTAGATTTATTATATATATATATATATAAATTTATATTTATTATATATATATATATATATTTATATTTATTATATATATATATATATTTATTAAAATATATTTTTTAAAATTTATTATATATATATATATATATAAATTTATTATATATATATTTATTATATATATGGTTATTTTTACTAGAACTTTTTTTTGACACTGCTAACTAGAGTTTTTGACACTGCCAGTATTTCAACCGCCTCCCGCAGTGCCACATCCAACGGTATGTTTTGACTTTTATTGAGATTCCTTTCTTAACACACCTATCCTTCAACTATACACCTTATTATTATCTTCATATAGCCTACCATTCCATTACCGCTTTCAAAAAACTAAATGTCAATTGTCATCTATATATAGTACAACCTGTTTTTTGTTTCTTTATCATCATAACCTTGTTTTTACATTTATTCTTACATTTTAAAGTATTCTTTTAAAATTATTGTTTTCTTATAGAGTTATTTATACTTAATAATCTATCCCAACAATATTACACTAATGTTACCCTATTAATCTTTCAATTTCTTCACTTCTTAACCTTTGGTCCCGTTATCTGTTTATTTACAATTAAAGGTAACCTCCACTTGCTTGTTATCCACTGATATCTTATTATTATGTTATCTTATCCATATTTTAACTTTACTGTAACAATAGTTATTCAATTTTCAATCAATTTATTCGTTAACATTCATTTATTCGTTAACATTCATGTATTTATTTTCTTTTATCTATTTTCTTATCATGTATTTATTTTCTTTATCTTTTATTTCTGTATCTGACAACTTCTTCGTAATTTATATATACTTATATTTATTTTTTATTTTATTTTTATTTTTTCAACATGTTTGTATCTTTTGTAGCCCTGAAGACGACCTGCAAAGTGGGTCGAAACGTCGGCAAAAATTAAAATTATTTATATATTTTAATTTTTTTATTTTTTTGACCGCACCCTCGACTAATTCCTTCTCATCTTTCATAAAGGTTTGAAAAACAAGTTACCACGCGATTCTTCCCAAATATGACTCAGTGACTGCATGAATGGAGAGAACGAAGAACAAATAATGTATTTTGGCCTCCCACGTGGTCTCTTGCCTACCATTCTGGCATTCTTCATTGTTGTGTAAAGGCGTTCTGATGTAGTGCTATGAGCTACATGCTCCGTCCATCTTAACCTCTTTGGCTTCATATCATGAGATAATGACTGACCAGTTTCTTTTAGCAGTTCTTTATTGTTCCTTCTCCTCCATTTGTTAACGTCCTAATCCCAGATAGGACCTGTTATCATATGGAGAACTTTTCTTTTGAATCTCTCAATTCTGGAACAGAATGACCAACTCTAATTTCAACATTTTTGAGTAAAGCCATTTTATTGATATTTCTAGATGGAAAATTTATAATATCTGTACAGACAGTGAATAAGTTGCTTTATATCCACATATAATAAAAAGACCTAAGCTTAGCAAACCCGAAGGTTTTATTCCACTTTCGTCTACCCCTTTAAATGCTTACCAGTTGGCACTATGCATACTAAGTTTTTAGGAATTTTTCGGTTACTAAACCCAACAATTTTAAGCCCACTTCATTCGTTCCAATGTAATCATCTCAATTATATTAACTGAGAACAGATCACGCAATTTGGCATAGTGTAACCATCTAAATTCTCTGGTTGACTCACCTTTTTCGGTTTGAATATTCTTCATACTTCACGCAATACATTATTTTCAAAAACCTTAAGCCATTTCTCATCACTAAATATAAGTGGCCACATTTCAAATCCATAAAGAACCATAGGTAGGATAACGATTTAGTAAGTCTACTTTTTAAGTTTCTGGACAGGAGGCATGAGCTAAGTAGTTTAGCTGCAGAAAAATAACAAGCATTTCCTATATTTACCTAACCTTAACCTCCTCTTCAATTTTGTTTTTTCTTGTTATCCATAACCTTCTACAACATTATATGTTAGATATTCTTTTTTCTAAAATCTTTAGCTTTCCAAAGTCATAACTTGGGATTTGCAACATAGTGAAAATAATAGAGGAATTCATCATAATGATCTAGAAGGAGCACATCTAACCCTCAGTAGATTCTCCAGCATTGGGCGTGATACACCATCAAATGTTTATTCAGAAATTTTTGTAGGCACAATATTTTAATTGAATGTTTAAGCTTTATTATTGCATATTTAAAGAAATTTTCACAGCAGATTTAATTTTTTATTACTTTAATTTTGTTTTTTTATTGTATATTATATGGACATAAAGAACTGTAAAGCTCCCGGTGAGGACAGGATAGTTGCAGAATTGATTAAATACTACAGTGGTAAAATGAAGGCCCTAATATAATTTATTATTAATATATGAGTCGATCTGTGATGTATGGAGAGAAGAAAAGATGCCAGATGACTGGAGGATTGGATTAATATGTCCTATTCTTAAAAAAGGCAGCAAGGATCAGTGCACAAATTATAGAGGAATAGCCCTATTGGGAGTCCTGTATAAACTCCTTTATAGTTTAATATTAAAAAGGCTGCGAAAATACGTTGAGGAAATTTTAGATGATTACCAGTGTAGTTTTAGAGCTGGTCGCGGTACTACTGATCAAATTTTTGTTATAAGACAAATGATGAAAAAATGCTACGAATATGACATTGATCTGCACTTCTTATTCGTTGACTACAAGCAGGCATTTGATAGCATCAAGAAATCAGCACTGTTAAGAATGGTAATGAAAAATGGAGTGCCACATAAACTAATTAATTTAATACACATGACCATAGAAAATATATCATCCAAAGTTGTTATTGGAAATAAAGTTGGTCGATTGTTCAAAGTACAATCTGGAGTGTGTCAAGGAGATGCCTTATAGGCAACGCTATTCAACATAGCTCTGCATGCTGCTGTGAAAGATGGAGCTAAAAAAGGCACCATTGTTGATAAGACCTGGCAAATTTGTGCTTACGCTGATGACCTGGTGATAGCAGCGCAAAATGAAAGGGCACTTAAAGAGGCATTTGAGATAATATATGAAAATGGCATCAAAGTAGAACTTGTGGTCAATGAAAACAAAACTAAATACCTGAAACTGTCCTCGGCAACAAGTTGAAGATCCTGCAGTGAAATGTGAAATAAGATTAAAGAATTTTAAGTTCGAAAATGTACCCACATTCGTGTATCTCGGGTCTGCCCTAAATAATGAAAATGTAATCAGAAGAGAAATAGAGAACAGAATAATGGCTGGTAATAGAACTTACTGTGCAAACCTAAAATTTCTCAAATCTACATTATTGTCAAAATTAAAGCTGAATAAAATGCTTATTAGACTAGTAGTCACCTATGGAGCGCAAACCTGGTGTTTCTCGTAAGAGGATTGCCATAAACTAAAAGTATTCGAAAGGAAAATAATAATAAGGATTTACAGTGCTACAGGTGTTAATGATGAGTGGAAAATGAAAAGTAATAATGAAATTGAGGCTATATTAGAGAATCAAAACATTACTAACTATATCAAGGCAAGTAGGCTGAGATGGACATGGCATGTTGTCAAAATGGAGAATGAACAGGTGGGTGCAGAGGAAAATATTGGAAGCGTACTTCATTGAGAAGAGGAAAAGAGGAACACCGAGAAACAGATGAAAGGATGAAGTGAAAAGAAGCGCGAGGAAGTTAGGTGTTCACAACTGGAAAAGAGTAGCACAGGACAGAGAGAAGTGGAAAAAAATAACTCAGGAGGCCAAGGGCATGCTGGCCTGTAGCGCCGGGGAATTGCTATTATATGGCATATTTTGTGGGTTTTTACTGCATAAAAATCAGGGCTGTCTTGTTTCTGCCATCTGTCATGAGTAATAAAATACAGATTTAATAAAGTAGTAAAATTATAGTTAAGTAAATAACTGTAACCATATAAACCATTATTTCATCTAAGTTAACTAATTAAATAAAATATAGTATATAAAATAAAATAATACATAGCATTAACACAGACTTATAAATAATATGTATATTTATATAATGTACCTGTTTCAACGAGTTGTCTACCAGCATCATTTAGTGTATCAACTGAACTTTGATGCGCTTGAATATCATTCACCAATACCTGAAAAGTTACTTAATAAAAAATCTGTCCAAAACATTAATAGAAAATAAAGTATTACTGATTCTTTAATACTTTTAGTTTAGCAAGTTGGACTTCTAATAGATGTGGATCTCCAGCAGTTGGACGAATTTCCTCATCTAGAGTTTTATCGGTAGCATCTATCCAAGCTATTAACTCAGAAAGAGCATGTTGAAACTGGCCAAGGCGGAGAAGAGATTGTTCTAAATGTCTAGCCCTCTCAGCCATACCTGCACATTTAATAAAAATATAATTTTAAAATGTGGTTCAACTTTTCACTCCAGTATATAACCACTAAAAATAAATGCTGGTTCACTATTGGTTTGTTGTTAATATTACTGTAGATTTTCCAACCAGATGCTATTCTCTTTTACAAAAAATTAACATGTTCATACTGGCACATATCACCGGTGGCTCACATAAGATAGCCTTATCGAACTATGTGTACCACCGGTAGCTCGCACAAGATTGCCTCATATTTGATTGCGCTATCAGGCGGTGCATAACACCAAAAATTTAGATCTTAACCCATTAGATCTACCTGAGCGGGACATATAAATACATTAAACGTAAACAATATCGAATACCCGTAGGACATATGAATACATCCTTGAAATATATGTAGAGCCCTGAAACGGGCATGACGCATATTTTCGAACAACAAAGGTATTAGGCTAAAAAAAATTTTCTATGATTAATTGATATGTGCAGCTTCAATGCATATAATTTATAAAAAAAAAGATAAAGTTAATTTGGATCGATTACACTTTTTAATAGAGTGTGTAGAGAAATTGGTAGATAACAACATAGTGAAAACCTACCCAAAGACATCAACAAACAGCTCTACACCTACCATCACACTTAGTCGAAAGGCATTTTCTAGAACAAATGAAAAGCGATATAGGAAAAACTAAATCCAGAAAATGCCGAGTTTGCTACTACTCTAACCATCTCAGCATCTAACCTGCCAGAGCTACTAATTACAGTCTCTAAGTAGATGTATTCCTTCACCACCTCAAGAATTTCCCCTTTGCAAACTAATTGGATGTCTTCCAGTTCTTCATGTGCCATAACTAGCACTTTACTCCTAGACACATGAATTCTCATATCCTTCCTCAGCAGCTTTTCTTGTTTCACCAGTGCTTGCTGTAGTTTCGTCTTTGAATCGGCTATTAGGACAATGTCATCTGCGTATATAAGGCTCTGTACGAGGATGGTTCTCATATTCCAATTTTGTCCAGGCAGTCCGGCGCTTGCATATTTTATGAATTCCATCCATAACATTTATAAACAGAAGGGGACTTCAACCTGTAACCGAGCAGGATGTATAAATACGTCAAACGTATACAATATCGGGTAGGATATATGAATATACATCCTTGAAATATATGTTGCGACCTGGAACAGGTGGGACGTATAGTTTCGAACAACAAAGGTATTAGGCTAAAAAAATGAATAAAAGAATTTTTCAACGATTAATTGATATGTGCTGATTCAATGCACATATTATATACAAAAAAGATAAAGGTCATTTTTATCTATTACACATTTTGATAGAGTGTGTAAAGATATTGGTAGATATCAACATAGTGAAAACCCAACCAAAGACATCAACAAGCAGCTCACCTAAACCATCACGCATAGTTGAAAGGCATTTTCCAGAACAAATGAAAATCTATAAACGAAAAACTAAATCCAGAAAATGCAGAGCTGGCTACAAAAAATGGGTTAGGAAAGAATCTACACACTGGTGTACGGATTGTAAGGCAACCCAATGTATCAACAGTTGTTTTTAAAATATATCACACAAAGATTGAGTTTTGAATTTTTACACAGACACATATATATATATATATATATATATATATATATATATATATATATATATATATATATATATATATTTTAATTTTTCAAACTCGATATTTCTACTTTATTTGTGTGATTTTGTTTGTTGTTCTGTAATTGTTAATTTTTCTATATTTTTTATTGTGTATCTAAATAAAAGTATATGTATTTTGTAATCTTTATAATTATTTGAAAAATTTATAATTTTTTAATTTGATGTTTACATTTCTTTGTTGGTATTATTTTCTATTTATTTGTAATTTTGTATTTTCCTTTGTGCTTTATATATAAATAAATGAAAAAAATATATATTTCATAGTCTTTAAATTTATTTTAAGCATAAATAAAAAAAATAATAAGATGAAATTATTTCCTCGAGGCCTGACATACTGAAATGTCCTAGTGAAAGAGTTTGCGCCTGTTGTGTGCTGCATAGTTAAAAAATGAATTCCCCGGTTAACAGGTTAAAGTAACTATAGTTGATGATTAAAATAATGAAAATTTAACATATATTACTTACAACAATCATAATTAATAATAAATTATAAACATAATTTTAATATAATAACACCAACATTACATTAATTTAGTAACATAAACAATAGCAACCAAAAATGGTTACCCTTGTGTTAATTTTTGTTTTATGCTTTAGTTCGGGCATGTCCAATTGGATAAAGAGCTTTAGGTGAAGCTGACCATGGAAGAGAAAAATGAATTGCAGAGCTGGCGTGAACATGTTAATTAACATCAATATTATTTCCAGAAAATAACACAATTTTGAATTTGGACAAACTTCAGATGAATTTTTAGAAATAGTAATAACTTGAGTAGTCATACTATTACAACACTTCTGAATTAACATTGATTAACAAAACTTACATAAATATTAATCTAATAAAATTAGTAAAACTTTTTTAATTTATTGAATTCATACCAGCATGAGTACGCAAGAAATTCCTTTTAAATTGCAAGCAGGCAATAGCATTTAACCCCTACTACTTTTAAAAAAAATTAATAAATGAAAATTAAAAATCCAAATAAGAATGATAATCCTAAGAAGGTGAAGGTATAAAGTTAATGCATGTTTGTGCCTCAGCAAAATTTTAAAACCAATTATGTAAACAAAAAAATTATTAATTTTAATTCAACATATATCATAATAAACTTTGTTCAATATTTTTCCTTTATCTAAAATTCAAATAATAAAATAATTTTTCCTGTCTGCTTAAAGTCTTTGAACAGAAATTGTCTGAGAATGATTTTTATAATTTTATTTTGATGAATTTAAACTAGGGCACAGTGCTGTACAAACTACTAGTGATATCAATGAAGAATGGGAGACAATGATACCATTAATGAGTGCATAATGGAACAGTAGTTTCAGAGAAGCTATTTCCAACATCTCTGTTAGCTTAATTTATGGTCCCCGGTATTCCATTGAAAGGAGTATAATTGATATTAAATTTCATAGTATTTTTCAATTATGAGTCAGTAAAAACTTTTCTATTGTACATAAATTAGTTTTACATTGTATAAATTGATTTGCTTACATTTGCTCCGATCATCAAAGGACTTTTCCTTCAGAGACTGCCTTAAAGTGCATTTTCATATAAGATTTTTTTATTCTTGGGAGTTGCTACATAATACTACATTATACATTATATACTCTCGAAAGTAAAACTCGCAAGTACAAAGACCTCTGAGAGTTCTCCGAGAGTAGAGGGGGAGCTCTCTGAGAATAGCAATGTTGCACCATTCTCACTGATGTAAATATTTGCTCCACAGAAAGTTTCGATCTGGGAGCAAGTTAAAACATGTACTTTTTTTAGCGTTTTTCATTTTCTTAAATAATTCTCTATTTTCAAATATTTTAAAGAGAATATTATAATATATTCTCTCTTTTCAATACTTGAAAATCTGTAAAAATTCCTGAACTTCTAGGTGTCTTCCCAGTTCCATTCCGTGTGCTAAAGTGATTCCACTTTTGTATCCAGAACTTGACCCACTTTTTTGTTAGTTAATAGCTTTTTTTTTTGATGGGGGAGTGGGATAGCTCAGTGGTAGAGTGCTGAGCTTCCAATGCTCAAGGTCCCAGTTCAATCCAGCTTTCGGCAGATAAATTATTTATTCTGTCGGGAAACCCTACTTGGGCACACCCAGCCTCTATAAATTGGCTTAATTAAATAATTCAGAGGAAAAACCTGGCAGTTGAGCGTGATGTCGGTCAAATCACCTCCTTGCACAGCCGTTGACCAAGAAACAGTACCTTTCCTACGTAGTACTGAACCCAAGATCCTTCATGAGTTGTAGCGGTACATGTTTTTTAATTTATTTTTTCCCTGATAAACACAAAAATAATAACGCTCCTGAAGTTATCTTTTTCGTGTCGAAAACACCTTATCAACCTAAAATCACTCTCAGAACTGACCGTGTGTATACAGTCTGAAGTGGATTTGTGAGAGTTGCTGAACAAAAAACAAAAACTAAGGTATCTGCTTTAGACGACATGATAAAAGTAAAAACATCAACAAGGCGAGATTAATAATATGCAATATAAATTGTAAATAATAGCTCATTATAAAGAGGATGAAATGCTGAACATTTTCCTCGTTTACAGTATGCAGGTCCAATTTTTGGTTTCTGAAAAATTTTAATATATATTTTCAATAAAACTCATCATTTGGTTATTCACACTATTTTTCCCTTTTCACCTCTCTAACATAGCGTCATGTTAAGATACAATTTTTAATAATAGCCCATTATAGAGAAGATGAAATACTGAATAATTCCCTCGCTTGCAAGTCCGATTTTTAGTTTCTGAGATATTTTAATCTATATCTTCAATAAAACTCGTTATCATTTGGTTTTAGACACTATTTTTTCCCTCTTCCACTCTCTAACACGGTCTCGCATTACAATACAATTTCGAATAATAGCTCATTACAAATAGGATGAAATGATGAACATTTTCCTCACTAAGAATATGCAAGTCCAATTTGTTATGTATACTGCATTCCTCATCATTGAAGCTTTATAAAAAATAAAATATGAATGCAGGACCAAGTATACCAGTTTCATAATGGAAATAAAAAAAAGTTAAAAACAATTTTTTGAATCACTGTATAAATAATAATAGATCAGCCAATAAATAATAGATCAGCCATGAAAATGATGATGAGCCACCAACAGTCAACTATGTTATTTTCATAATTCGCTCTTTTAAGTATCCTTCTATACTGAATAAAAACAGTTCTCATAAGTATATAGATACACTGACTGAGGATAAAATTTAAAAAATAATGGTTAGAAGTGAAACTAAAAAGAAAACATACAATAAATAATTGTTTGACTTTTAAGCATGCCAATATTTACAAGCCATTTTCAAAACAAAAACCAGGGCAAAATCAGATCATGTCAAAAGGTAGATGGAGAACAGTGACCATTGCCAACATCTTTCACCTCTCTTTGGTATGATCTGTTCTTGCACAATTATTTTGTCCAATATACTAGACCAAAACATCCACAATATAAAAAACTGCAAATAACCTCTGGTTAAAGTATCCCATCTACTGTTGACCGATGATAATGGGCCTCTCAAAGCTTGACTTTCTTCTGCTGATGTCCTTTCACTCAAATCTCCTGCTTGCCTACATACCAAAATAGGTAAATAGTAAATCATATTAAATAAAAAAAACTATATACAATAAATATTCTAGATATTAAAAATATTAGACATTGAAGTTATTATTCTTACCTCCAAAGGCTCCTAAGGTTTGCAAACATTTCATTTTATGGCACTTAATATTTATATAAATTAATTTAACAAAAAATAATATTATACAAGAATAATATTTTAAAAAAAAATTATACCTATTTAGAGCTTCAACCTTGACCATATGTGGGTCAACATCAGCTTTGAATTCCTTCAGTTCTTCAATCTGCTTCTTGACCGTCTTAATATCAGCCCCTATAGGTCCAAGTCGTGAAAATCTGTAAAAACAAAAATTCAAATCACAATTTAATAATTTATATAAGCAAAATATAACATTTTTTCAATGTTAGGACAACATAAACTTTTTTTAAAATATATTTCAATATTATTAACCTATACTCTTCTATTACAGCAAAAACAATTATATGATTATTACAGGGTATCTACAAAAGTCTGTCAGTTGGATTTCCTGACTTTTCCCTATTGTAAATAAAATTTCCTGAATACCCTTTCCCCAAATAAAGAAGTGAAAAAAAGATGAATTGTAAAAAAAAAAATCTGTTTTTCAGAGGTGTAAATCATGGGATTTTCAAATCGCAATCCAGAGTTTAATGCTTTTTTAAAAAATAAAAAAAAAGTGTATCCTGACCAATATGTCGAGGACACAAATGTTAAAAATATATAGTTCATAACTACAAACTATATATGCATATATAACTATATGCATATTCTCTATCCTAGAATAATCATCGCCGGTGACCTCAATACCAATTTCCTTTCTAATTCCAAAGACAAAACCTATCTAGAAAACCTATTTTTTTCCCTCCATCTCTTTATTGTTCCTTTTTATCCTACTCACCACACCCACAAGGCCGACACTTGGTTAGACTTCTTCATTATAGACTCCGAAATAAATCTCCTCTCCTCTTCTCAACTGCCAGTATCCTTCTTATCGTCTCACGACATGATCCAAATAACATATAATATCCAAACCCCTCTGATTCATCCGAGAACCTTCACTTTCCGTCAGATAGACACTCTCACCCGTGAAAAAATACTACCTGACCTTGAAACCTTAGACTTGAACGAAATATATTCCTGCTCCTCCATCGACTCCATGGTTGAGATCCTGACTTGCAATCTCCTCAATATCCTTAACACCCATGCTCCCATAAAAACCTCAACCTTTCGCCGTCGGCCTGCACCTTGGATGTGTCAAGAAATCAAGGATCTGCAGAAGAGGCGTGATGCTGCCCGCAGACGCTTTAGACGTACTAGGCTTACAGATGACTATCAAGCGTTTAGGGTGCTCCGCAATTTGACACAAACAAGAATTCGGCGAGCTAAAGCTTCCTACTTCCATGAAGCCCTGTCATCTGCCCCAGATCCCAAATCTAAATGGCTAATCCTTCGCAAACTTTCCCTCTGTGAACCTTCTAGATCCCCTTCTTCACTGTTCTTTTCCGTTTCACCTGACGATTCAAATTCACATTTTATTTCTGCCTCCTCTTCCTCTTCTCTTCCCTCCTCTTCCAACTATGCTCCTGAGTCATCATTTAATGATGATGACTTTTATTTCTCCTACATTTCCCCGACTGACTTACTAACCGCAGTAATGAAATCCCACACCAATTCCATAGGATCAGATGGCATTCCTGTCAAATTGATAAAATTATGTCTCCCCGAAATCCTCCCAGTTCTCCTTTTCATTTACAATTTCTCCCTACAGAACTCAATATTCCCTTCCTCTTGGAAAAAAGCCATTGTACTCCCTTTAAATAAAAAGCCTAATCCATCCTCTCCCGAAGACTTTCGCCCAATCTCAATTCTTTCCAATCTCTCAAAACCCCTAGAAAGATTGGTGCAATCCCAAGTTTCCAATTTCCTAGAAAAGTCTAACCAACTCGATCCTCTCCAATCTGGTTTCCGTCCCGGCTACTCCACACAATCCGCCTTAATCAAAATTACTAATGATGTTCAGACTGCAATAGATAATAAACAACTAACTGTCCTTATACTTCTTGACTTCTCTAAAGCCTTTGATTCCATTAACCATCCCATCCTTTTCAACAAACTAAAATCACTCTCCTTCTCCAATAGCTCCATCTCTTGGTTCCAATCTTTCCTATCACAACGCACCCAAGCAGTCTCCATTCCTAATCAACCACTATCTGCCTACCTGCCTTTATCCTCTGGAGTCGCCCAAGGATCTAGCATATCTCCTCTCCTTTTTAGTTCCTATATCAATGACCTCCATGACTCAATTCTCCATTGTTCCCGCCACCTTTATGCAGACGATTCTCAAATATACCTATCCTTTTCTCCCCCTGAGCTATTGGTAGCATTTACTAAGATCCAAGCAGACCTAGATCGAATCTGTGCCTGGGCAAAATTAAACGGATTAAGGTTAAATGCTTCAAAAACTCAGGCCATTGTCATTGGTTCCAAGCCCCTCCTTAGATCCTATACGGACTTTCCCATACTAAACCTTGGTGACCAGCCAATCTCCTTCTACTCCTCTGTAAAAAATTTAGGACTATTTATTGATCAAACCCTCTCCTGGAGTCACCATATTTCTCACATCTCCCGATGGACAGTCTCTACCCTCAAACTATTCCATTGCTTCCGCCATCTCCTACCTCAACATACGCGCAGACTCCTCGTTTCCTCTCTCATCTTCCCCCACTTTGACTACTGCTGTGTGGTGTATGATGGACTCTCGGTGGAGCTCCCCGACAGACTGAAAAGAATAATGAACAGTTGCGTGAGATTTGTAATTGGTGCCCCGAGATACTACCATGTCTCTCACCATTACACTGATTTAGAGTGGCTCTTCCCCTCCATTCGAAGACAATATTTCCTAGGTACATTCCTCTATCATATCATCAACAATCATCGTCCTTCCTACGCCTACAACCTTCTCCAATTCAAGTCCTCAGTCCACTCCCTCTCCACAAGATCTCGACCTTCCGACCTTTACATTCCTTCTCACAGATCTGCCTCGTTCCAAAACTCCTTTATTGCACGTTCTGTTAGTTTCTGGAATTCCCTTCCAATCAAAATTCGACATTCTTCATCCTTATCTACATTCAAAACCCTCCTATTCCAATTCCTGTCCCAAAAACAGTCAGGCACCAGCTAATCTTTTATGTAAAATTACACATTATATATAAGACCATATTCACATATAGCTCATGACCTGAATACTTATTATAGATTCGACTTTCTTTTTCTCTTTTTTTTTTCTTTTTTTTTCTGTTTCAACAGAAACAGATTTTACTGTTAAGAAGAATATACATTTATTTTTTCTGTATTTTTTATTTTTTCTAAAAGGGTTTATTTATACTTTAACATCGTACATAGTTTTAAATATCTTAGTATGGTTTCAAGAGTTTTTTATATAGATTTTTATATTTTATTTTGTATATAGTATGTATAACCAATATTTTTTTTCTTTTCTTTTCTTTAATGAACTATCATTATCTTAATTTGTTATGTTTGTTTTTATCTGGCCAGATGTAAAATTTTAATTTCTGCACTTTTTTGTTATTCTGAAGGGACTTCGTCCCAGAATAAAATTATTTTTCTATTCTATTCTATTCTATATATATATATATATATATATATATATACATACATACAGTTTATAACTAATTAATTTATTATACATGATTGAAAATTGAGATTAGAGTAAAAAAAAGTCTGATGAGTCTTTTAAAAAAATATATATATAATGTTCTAGAGGAAGCATTTTATAAACTTGATCAGGATTTTTTTTATTTCAGAAAACTAAACTGTAAGCAATTTATTTCTATTGCCTTTATTTTATTTTGATAAACTGAGAGAATGTTGATACTTGACACTTTTCTCAATTATAAAATAAAGTGAGCTAGAGGAGATTCTCAGTTTAATATAGTTCCAAATTTAGTTTTTTTATTTCCACAGAGTAATAATTATCCATATGATACCAACTGTGACCCAGGATGGCCGAGGGAGCTAACGCTGTGTAGAACACGTATTTCCTGACAACCTGATAAGCTCAAGTTTACATGTAGGATAATTACGAGTTCGCATCTGGTGCAGGGGAGTTAACTCCCCTGCCTTCTACCCACGAAAAGCCCCAAATAGTCTCAATGGCGTAAAAGGGGTGGATAAAAAAGATGAAAGGGGTGGACATTTCGGGTTAGTACATGCTCATTTAAAAAGCACCAACGAACGAGTGCTAGCCAGCCAATGCATTGCTACAACTGTAGCCACATGCTTTAAATAAAAATATAATTTAAATAATTTTTTATTATGCAGGTTTGACATTTGTTCTTTTTACAGTGATACATTTACATAATGGTCAGAATAATATTCTGAACAATAGGAAAATGTATCACTGTAATTTAAATAATATATAGATATCTATCGTTTGCCAATATTAACTGTTAAAAACCAGAAGGCAACCATTCCTGAACTATCTGTAAAATAGAGTTTTTTAAACAATACTACTAATAGACTATTGGATATCTTTAAACTAAATTTCTGGTTGCTGCAGAGTTCAAAACTGAATATAAAAAAACTGAAACTACCATAAACGACACATCATAGCCTGTATTGGACTAACCACTTTCAGAGTGAATTGGAGGTTCGCCATTTCAGCCGAGGTCATGGTTTTTAATTGTAATTTTTAATATTAATAATTAATGTGTCACTGTGTGTTAATGACCTCGGACTTTGAAACGCAGTTTGGTCCTTAACTTTTGGATGATTGTTATGCATATTGAGGTCTCTCATGCCAAAAATATATATAAAAGCTATGTAATTTGTTTATACATTCTAGTTCTGTTATAAAATAGTTAAATTAGACGAATAAAATATGCATAGATTATGAGTTTTTGGGAAAACTAACGAAAAGAAATTTTTCTTGTGAAATAAGCTAACGGTCAACAGTCTCGAACTCCTCAATAAGTATATTTAGGAGTGTCAATTTTAAAATTGCAACCAATTTAAGCGGTCAGTTTGTATTATTTCACTTCATTATTGTCTTATCTGTCAAAAGTGACTTCTTCTGCCATAAGGTTTTTCGTTGAATGATTTCAACACAAATTAAAAATCGAGCCAGTTTTAAAATTGCAACTATTTACATCATCAGTCATCTCGAATTCTATTTTAGATTGGTTCGCAGCGTATTTTAAGCCCATTTCTAAGTGTAAGTTCTTCAGCTAATTGCAGCCCACAAATTAGTGACTTTGGCACCATCAGTCAAGATGTTTTCTTTCTTAGGGACACAAGCAGCTCTCGGGAGATTCTTAAATGCCAAATGAATTGCGCACTACGATTTGTTTTCGGAATCTCAAGGGATACGCATATTACCCAGTATTACACTGAGTTGAGGTGGCTCTACCCATCCTATCGTCGTCAGTACTTCCTAGCCACCTTTCTGTACCAAATCATTAGAACCCATCGACCCTCCTATATTTTTCACAGCTTACAATTCAAATACTCCATCCAATCCCGTCCCACCAGATATCGTACTTCCGACCTCTATCCTCCTCCTCACTGAACTGCTGCGTTTGACAAATCCTTTGCAATACAAGCCGCCTCCCTCTGGAATTCCATCCCTGCTGATATTCGACACCCTCAATCAGTTTCCTCTTTTAAACCTCTCCTCTTTAAGCACCTACTCCTTTCTAAATCCGAATGATTGTGAAATATATCTAAGAGAAATATCTGAGCACCACCAGAGACTACCTCAATTTATTAAGGTTATTTTAGTTTCTCATATATATGTACAATTTACTTGTTCTTTTCTTTCTCTTTTCAGTATTTTTATCTTAAGTCAACTTTTATTGTAAATATACAATTTAATTGTAACCACACAGACATACAATCTGTATTTATATTTTGTTCTTAAGGGACAACAGTCCCAGAATAATAAAACATTTTTTCATTTTATATTATTCATCTCATCAAATTTTCAGCCGTCAGTTTTCTCGTTAAACCAAACGTCAAATTTTGCCAATTTTATTTAAATTTTATAAAATTTTATATAAGGCAACGGCTTTAAAGTGACTAACCAGAGTTGTGTATTCAGATGAGGATTATCTATAATTTAAAATGGTTACTAGCTGTAAGTCCTTCTGTTAAATGAAATGGTCAGTAGCTCCTAGTATAATACTGTCACAGGGTTCTCGTCATTTGATAAGCCCATTGTTCTTTCCATCATAGGATATAACAGTATGACTTATGATATCATTGATTTGTACTAGAATGAAGATATATATTCATCGTACTTCATTCTACAATCACCAAATGTATCTGAATATCTAATAATCTTGCAAGGAGGAATAAATAAAGTTGCTCTTAGGTAAAGTTGAGTTTCTGACTAATCAATAACTAAAAAGCCCGTGGAACAACTTTTATAAAGTATTTTTTATTAAAGGGTCTGACTGGATATATGAAAAAATGGATAAAAGCTTTTGTTTGATGTCCATTGAATTTTTAGGGCATCGATTTTTATAAAATATTTGGAACACTGAGATGAAAACAATAAAGGATGCAATTCAATACATTTTACCCATTACAGAGTTAACACAGTTCCTAGTTATGCTTGATTTTATCTTTCCATCTTTTCATTCCATACCCACCTACCTATGTAGTAAATATTTCTGCACAATGTCATTGAAGTTATTTCACTTTGAAGTCTCCTAGAAACTGATAATTTGGAGTTCTGACAATAGGGAAAGGGTGCCAAAAACTGAGAGTTTTACTCTATATACAAGTATAAAACCATACATACAAGGATACAATAGATATCAATAATAATGAACTACTATAAATGAATACATTAGTACTTAGATTAACCTTTCTTCTGCCTGCGATAAGAGACGCGTAATCTCATCCAATGCTCCATGGAACTCCATGGCTCTTTCCATGGCATGAATGAGATTCTCTTCCCTTCTGGCAAAAGCAGCTGTTACATTATCCCAGGCAGTATCCAAATCTTCAATGTGCTTTCTAACTTCAGGTTTATCAGCATCTCCACATAGTGACATCAATTTCTCTCCACGCTTCCTCACTACTTCCACTTCAGGCTTGGTCTGGAAGAAATATTGTATTTTTAAAAATTCAAAAGCAAAATATATTTAATAAAACTTTGAGCTACACTCACTTGATCAATCTCAGCTTTGATCTCTTGTAAAGCTTGCTGCTGCTTGACAATGGCCTGAGGCCTAACTGCTGGTGGCTGCTGTGATGCTAAGGATGCTTCTAAATCAGCCAATGTCCCCATTACAGATTCCAACTCCGCCCAAAACTCTCCAGCAACTTCCAATGCTCTTTGAAGGCTGGCACCTCTAGCTGAAGTAGCTGTCTGTAACTCTTCCCACAGAGATCCCAATTTCTCCAGTTTTCTTCTGACATCTAGAAAAGAAGAAAACAAAATATAAAAACCATTCAATGGATTAAGAATTAAAATTAGAAATATTTTTATTTTTTAAAACTTTTGACAACTATTGCTGAAAATGGGCTACTTAAAATTAAAGCTGATATCTATGATGTAGGGCAGTGCGGAGTCAATACATAAGAGGGTAAATTACATACCATAGCATCATATCTTACCTACTTGGAACAGGGTAAAACACTGGTGGACATCCACCTCTATTAACAATATAAGTTATAATTTTTAATTTATATGAATTTCAAATAAAGACAAAAATTATACTAAGACAGAAATTAAGACTAAACATTTGAAATGAAAGAAAAAGATACTGCAGGATGGGACCAATACATCTACTACTATATCGATGTCTCATCAAATATCCTGTTCCAGATGCTAGTTTCATTTGCTAAGAGGAAGCTTAGGGACTATGAGACAGAGTTTAGATGAGGTCCCTCAGCCACCAACCAAATCTTCACTTGAATATAAACTGGCCATTCATTATCTCATTATCAATTTTAAGTCTGTATATAAAAGTAGTGGTAGATATAAGCTAAACAAAGTCGTAGAACAACTTTAAATTCCTAGCAAATGAATGTGTCTGTTACAGATTAATGAGAAATTGTAAAATATTTGTAGTGAAAAGAAAGCAAATAAATAACCTTGCAAACGTTTTTTAGTATAGCCCACTTGGCCTTGGAGATTGGGGTGTTGGATAAGGAATGATGGAAATAACGGGATTTGGCTCGGCATATAGCAGACTGAGTGCTGTTTCAAAGTTTCTTGAAGGTGATGTAGTCTTTCGGGAGTTGGGTACGTTTAAACCGCTGTCTTGCAGCATCTCTTCTTCACTATATCTGTGTGTGTGATATGTGACAGGATGTGGAATAAATTTACAGAAAATTAACCTTGATGTACCATTGAATGAAATATAGAAAGGTATCAGAGATGAGGTTCTGCAGGCTGGAACAGCAGTATGTGGCATCAAGATATGTTCCTCAAATGGAAAAAAATCACAATGGTGGAATGAACGTGTGAAAGTAGCAGTACAAAGGAACCAAATTGCATAGAAGGCGTATCTAAAGAGCAAAAGTTATAGAACCTGGGAGCTATACATTTAACAGAGAAACGAAGTAAAACTAGTTGAAAGAGAGACTAAAAAGAGGAGCTGGGAAGGATTTGGTCGAAATTTACAGACAGATTATAACATTAACATAAGACTTTTCTGGAAAACCAGGAGTGAAAAACAATAAGAAACATGAAAAATAACACCATTATAGTTCTGACAAAGAAAAACGATATACTGGACAGATGGAAACAGGTTGATATTGGAAGATCTCAAATGTCAAGAAAATGAAAGAAAAGAAAGGATCACAGACTATGACAGTACTATATGGGGAAAAGTAATGATATCTATAGAGGAGCTGAAGACAGGAAGTAAGATTAGCAAGATGAGATATTTTTTCTGAACTTATTAAATACAGAGGGCATGAAGTAATTAGAGTATTTCAGGAATTATTTCGAAGAGTAATTTATGAGAAAAACATAACCTAAGATTAGAACAAAAACATGATTATCTCAATTCATAACAAAAGAAACCAAAGTGATTGTAACAACTATAGACTTATATGTTTCTAACAGGTCGTCCATGAATTGTACCCATCAATCACTTAAAGAGTTATAGTAGAAAAGGACTTCTGAGAATAGCAAGCCGCCTTCAGATTCCAAAGACAGGTCCAAGATCAGATATTTTCATTAGGGACAATTAATTATAAAGAAAACTTAGGATTGAGATAAAACTATTTTTCAGACCTACAAATCACTTTTGATTCCAAGCTACAAACCGAAATGTGGAATGTATCAAAGGCAAAGAATTTCCCTGTGGAACCTATAGATGTCATTTAAATCATAGAACAAAGTATAAAGGGAAAAATCAGAATTAATGGAAAGGAGTCTGAAAACTTTGATATAAAGAGAGACATCAAGCAGGGAGACAGTTTAAGCTCTCTTCTCTTTATTGTCCTGATGGACGGAGTCATAAAAATATGTAAGTGAAGAACGCCACAAGCAATAGTAGAAAAATGGAACTTGAGAACATTTTTGCACAGACGCTTCTCTATGCGAATGAAATAGTGTTCATATCGAGCTCTATCCAAAATCTTCAACAAGCTATAGTAAAAGTAAAATCATGCAAATAGAACATAAATTGAAGCAGTAGAAGAATATATGTACAAATAATTTGAAGTGGTTCAGACATATGCACCGTATTGACTGAGATCACAGACCATGCCAATTCTTTGAAGATAGACAAACCAGCAAAATACCAAGAGACAGCAGATGGATAGTATGGTTCGGTTAGTAGAGAAGAGAGGAAAGCAGCTGAATTCCATGAAGGCATTGGCAAAAGGGACCAGTACGGTTGTTATGAGGCATCTTCTTCACACTGAGAAGGGTTAGAGGAGGAAAGAAAGAAAAAGAGAGAATAATTTATTAGATAGAAAATATCATAATAGTAGAAAAATAATGCATAGAGTATTTTTATTAAACCTTTAACAGCTGGATCTTGCTTATCTTGTGCTTTGCTTATAACTTCTTCTGCAGCCCTTTTTACAGCTCTAAAGGCTTCCTCTCTCTTAGATAATTGGTCAGATAGTTGTGATACTTCCTTGATCTGTTCACGCAATCGTGGAGGATGAGCTGAAACTGGTCCAAGAGAGGAAAGTTCATCAGCAGTAGAAGCAAGAGCTCGCAGCATACCTTCTAATTTATCTGTTGCTCTGCTTGATTCCTGAATCAGAAGAAAAATAAGGTAGTAATGAAAAATAACTTTAAAATATAAGAATAAACTGGATTTAGTTTTGAATTAAGCAAAGAAATGTGCAATAGTTTTTAAACCATTCAATTAGCATAGGGTCTTATTTTTATGTCTCCATGCATTTATAATTCTTAAAATAACATTAGAAGGATTCCTATCACACAATATAAGCGATATAATAAATTTAAGCTTAAAACTATCTTGAATATATAAACCAGAGCTGGGCAAAAAGTATTTTAATTATTATTTTAAAATAAACATATTTTGTGTTTCTAAAATGCCATCTATTTAAAATACTTTCTGAAAAAGTATTTTAAATACAAAACAATAAAATACAAATATAAAATACTTGTATCTAAAATACCTAGTTACACTTTAAAACTACTTCCTATAAAAAAATTATAATTTTTTTTATTTTATTTATTTATTTCAATTTTTTTGGGAGGAAAGAGATAATGAAAAGTGGGCACAGTGGATAAAGTCTTCAAACAATTAATTGAGAAAATACACTTTATCCAATCAATATTTTTTTAATTGAATACTTAATAGTTGACCGTTGCATTATTAAGGAAGGAGATGGTCCAGGGTGGCGGCCATAAATAAACTAAATAGTGACAAAACTATTTTTATTTTTTGGCTTTTAATAAAATAGTTTTGTCACTATTTATGATCACCACCCCAAACAATCTCTTTCCTTAAAATCTTTTTAAAGAATCTGTTGAAGAAATTATAATTGACCAACAAACAGGCTAAGTAAATATTAATTCCAAATTAAACCTTTCGGTAATTAGCTATTGATAATACCCGTTCCTCAAACAATGGATCATTCAACAATTTTATTCTGGGTGCATTTAATAAATTAGAGAACAACAATAGTCGTTGAACTGGCTGTATTATGGGCAGCGGAGTGTTATATTTTATAAAAACAATTTATATCACAGGGTAGCCTTCAAGGATTTATAAATTTTGACGTCAATCTTTTAGAAATCTGGGTTTCAATTTAAACAGAGCAAGAATACTATTTGAATTATTTACTTCCTTTAGGTTTAGTTATTTGCAGGCTCAGTAAGTTTATCATTATGCTAAGCGATTAATAATTCATTAGCAAAAAATATGAATTTTAATTTATAATAATAATTTTACTGAAAAAAATTATTTTTATTTATTTCTTAGGTCAACTGTAATTTTCATTATAGAAACTTCACTAGAAATTTTTAGTTTTATCACTTTGATGATTTTTTAAAAAATCTCTTGAGCATTTAACAGCAATTTTCAACTTCATTGTAATAAAAAATTAATATATTTCTTCTGATTAGTTCCAGCATTTCTCCCTTGTTCTTTAGGGAGATGTATGAAGGACGGCGGGAGTGAATGACTTGGAATAGAAAGTATGCCAGGAAATACTGATGGCAGTAGAAAGGATAAAGCCATTTCAACTCTTCATAGAAACAGGAAACATGGGCGTCCCTTGGGATCCCGAAGATGAATCCCCATAGACGCCTCCATATACTGTGCAGCAATAGTCGAAATATTAAGGAGGTGACCAAGAGTCTACGGATTTCAAAAGGAAAAAGGTGATGGAGGCTATTTAAGTGTTTTAGGGTGGAAAAGGTATGTCGAGAGATATTGGATGGTTTTTCCAGGAAAGGGTTTGATCAAAGATTATTTCAAGTTTTTTGATGGTGGGATAAAATTGAATGGGATTACCATGTAGGAACAGGGTTGGAATGTTTTGGAACAATTTTGAGGAGGTGATTGGAGCCTATTAGGATTACCTTGGTCTTTTTCCATTCAACTTCAGCTTGTTAGCTCCTGTCCAGTCATATATTCTATTTAAATCTTCTGGAAGCTTTTTTGTGACGGCTAATAGGTCAGAAGGGGAGAAGGACAGGTATATTTGGAAATCGTCAGCATAGATGTGGTATTGGGAGTGATGGATCAGGAGAGGAAGGTCATTAATGTAAATAGCAAACAGAGTAGGAAATAAGGAGGAACCCTGAGGGACACCACAGGTGAGAAGACATGTCTTTGAACGAGGTTTATCTGGGATGACTACACACTGGGATCGATCGGAAAGGAAGGATTTGAACCAACGCAGGGCACTGTTGGATAGAGGAAGATTTTGCAATTTGGTGAGAAGGATGTTATGGTCAACTGTATCAAACGCTTTGGAATAATCTAGAAGGATGAGGATAGTAAGGTTTTGGTGTTCAATGGAGTTTTGGAGGTCATGGGTTATTTTAAGGAGGGCAGATTGCGTTGAATAGCCCAGTCGAAAGCCAGATTGGAATGGATTGATGAGGGAACGTTCTTCTAGAAAGTTGGAAAGTTGATTTTGTACAAGGCGTTCCAGTGGTTTTGAGAGGCTGGAAAGAAGAGAAATAGCACAGAAGTCGTTCAGTGAAGAAGGGTTAGAAGTTTTATTCAAAGGTCGGACTAGTGCAGTTTTCCAGGAAGAGGGGAATATGGAATTTTGCAATGAAAAGTTGTAGATATGAAAAAGTACTGGAATAAGGGTAGGAAGGCTGGATTTTATAAGTTTTACTGGAATATTGTCAGGACCATAATCATTGGTGTGGGATTTTAGGATAGTGGAAAGTACTTCATCGTAGGACACAAGGGCAAAAAAGAAGTTTTCAGGATTGAAATTGTGGTGTTCAATATCATGAGAAGGAGAAGGATTAGAAGCAAATGATAAGAAATGGTCATTAAGATCATCTGGAGTCACAGAGAGGGAAATGAGGTTATTGGAATCTGATAGGGATAGATTACGAAGTATTTTCCATTTTGATTTGGAATTGGAAGCATTGGAAAGGACATTATGGAAGTAGTTGGATTTAGAAAGTCGGATTGTGGATTGGGTTGAATTGCGAAGTTGTTTGAAAGACGCATAATCAGCAGGTAAACGGGTTAGACGGTATTTATGCCTTGCTGCATTCCTTCTCATTATCATTCCCTTTATTTCAGGAGTCAGTCAAGGAGGAGTGGAACGACGTAAGATTCTGGTTTTCAGAGGAGTATGGATGTCTAATATGGATTGTAGGTTTGAGGTAAGAATGGATATCATAGGGTCAATGGAGGTATAGGAAAATATGGTATCCCATTGGACAGAATTAAGGTCAGGTTGAAGGGATTCATATGAAAGGAGGTTTAAATTGCGATATGACACTATTTTGGGAGTAAATGATTTCACAGGTAGGTCGTACGAAATTTGGATCAGGTCGTGTAATGATAGAAAGGATACGGGGTGTTGAGAGGAGGAAAGGATTTTAAGGGATGAGTCAGAGATGTGGAGGTCTAAACAGGTGAAAGAGAACTGCGTGTGATGAGTGGGAGAATAAGGGACACGATAAAGATCAAGAGAAAATATTGCAGAGGTTATGAACATGTCAAAAGAACATGTTTGTTACATATTAAATCAACATTTAGATATGAGAAAGTTGTCCGCACATTGGGTGCCACGTTTGCTCACGTTAGACCAAAAATGTGTTTCGAATGCTCTGTTGGCGCAAGTTTATTACTGTAGATGAAACATGGATACACAATTATATGCCCAAAACAAAAATACAGTGCTAACAGTGGACTGCAAAGGGGGAACTGGCTCCAAAAAAAACAAAAACAATTTTTTCGGCTAGGAAAGTGATGGTGACTGTTTTTTGAGATAAATAAATAAGTTTTAATTAATAAATAAAATTAATAAGGTATATGAAGATGGATGTAGTAATATGTATATATATAAATTACCTGTAAAGCTTGTTCTAATGCTCCTTGCCTTTCTCTGAGAGAGCCCTTCAATCTCTCATACCTTGAATTATCTGAATCTAAAATTTCATGAACTTTGACACCTTCATCTTCTGCTACAAGCCCGATGAGTGCTTCTCCAGTCTTATTTAGTTTGTCTACTAAAGGTTTATGCTCGGCAATTGACTGCAGCAAGAGCTGAAAATAATGAATATCATGAAATAAATATAGAATTGACAGATGAAAACAAAGTAAAACTATATAGACTCGGAGCCCTGAGAGCGCTCCTCGAGCAAATTGACAAATATCGCATTGACATCGCAGTGATTCAGGAAGTCCGATGGCTTGGAAGTGGCACCCTTGAAAAGAGATACCATACCGTATACTGTAGCTGCCACGAAACCAACCATATATATGGAACCGGATTCATCGTCAGAGGAAGAGCTCGGCAGTTAGTAACAAAGTTTACTCCCATCTCCCCTAGATTATGCTACCTACGTCTAAAGGGAAAATTCTTTAATATCTCCATAATTAATTGTCATGCATCTACTGAAGTGTCATCTGAAGAAGAGAAGGACACGTTTTACGAAGAACTCTCTAAAGTCCTCAAGATTTGTTCAGCATATGATGCTAAAATAGTTCTAGGAGACTTTAACGCCCAGATTGGCATGGAAAGAATACACCTACCATCAATTGGAACCTTCGGTCTACATCAGAACACGAATGCCAATGACCAAAGAGTGATTGACTTTGCGAACACTCACGGCCTGGTGGTCGAATGTACCATGTTCCCAGGCAAAAATATACACAAAGCTACCTGGAGATCACCTAATGGAGCGTTTACAAGCCAGATCGACCACTTCTTAATCAGCTCTCGTCACAGGTCCAATTTAATTGGAGTAAGAACATATAGAGGAGCAAACGTGGATTCGGATCACTACCTCAGTATTGCCGGTATACGTGCCCGGATCACCACGAAACGGAACTCGGATATTGGAGAACTTGTGAAGAAATTCAATGTTCACAAACTGAAGGATCTAGAAGTGTGTGAAACCTATCAGCAACACCTTCAATCTAAGCTGGAGGAGGAACTAAGGGATAGGAATGACACAGTGGATGACCAGTGGTCGGGAGTTTCAAGAGCGCTGAAAACTACAGCAGAGGAAATCCTTGGATTGTAGACAAGAAGCAGGAGGTCCCCTTGGTTTGATGATGAATGCCACGAGGCAACAAATAAGAAAAATGAAGCGTATAAGAAGGCTATCCAGCGCCATACACGTCAAACACAGGAGACATTCTGGAAGGAAAGAAGAGAGGAAAAGAGATTGCACAGGAGAAAGAAGAGAGCATGGGAGAACTGCAAGATGAAGGATGTGGAAAACTGCAGGACATCTTGTGACACTCGCCTCTTTTTTCAGAGAATGAAGTGAATGAAGGCCGTAATGCCTTTAAACCAAAAGTTACTACGTGCAAAAATGAGGATGGAAACCTGTTGATGGAGAGAGGGGAAATTCTGAAGAGATGGGCAAGGCATTTCAGTGGTGCGCTTCAAAGAGATAACTTTGAAGAAGAAATAGCCAGAGAAGAGGACGACTTCTCTAACAATGCCGAGCCACCGGACGATGAAGATATAGAAACGGCCACAGTGAAGCTGAAAAATAACAAGGCTCCAGGACTGGATTGAATTCAAGCGGAGCTGATACGCTATGGAGGAATGCAAATAAGAAAGGAGCTCCATAACCTCATTTTGAAGATATGGGAGGAAGAGAAAATGCCTGAGGAGTGGAAAAGATGAATTATCTACCCACTGCACAAGAAAGGGGACCAATCAGATTGCGACAATTATCGAGGGATAGTGCTTCTCTCATGTGCTTATAAAGTTCTGTCTAACATACTATTTGAGAGACTAGTTCCTCATGCCGAGAGGGAGATAGGCAAATATCAAGCGGGATTTAGACGAGGGAGGTCCACATTGGACCAACTGTTCTCACTGAGGTTGATGCTGGAGAAATGCAAGGAGTATAGAACAGTTACCCATCACCTCTTCAGTGATTTTAAAGCCGCCTATGATAGTGTAACTCGCCCGGGGCTCTATCAGGCTCTGTTGGAAATGAACGTCCCAAGTAAACTGATTCGGCTAGTGAAAATGACGATGTCAGGCTCAAAGTGTGCAGTACGAGTAGGAAGTGACTTCTCAGAAGACTTTCATACTAACTGCGGAGTAAGACAGGGAGATGCTCTAGCCTGTCTTCTTTTCAACTTCGCTGCAGAGAAAGCAGTGCGTATGTCCGGTATCCAACTCCACGCAACCCTTCTTAACAGTACCGTTCAGCTTCTTGGGTACGCTGGCGACTTTGATATTGCAGCCAGATCGGAACGTGCATTAAGAGAGTCGTTCTTGGCCATAGAAGATGCAGCAAAGAAACTTGGGCTCCACATTAATGAAGCTAAGACCAAGTCGGAGGAGATGGGCCAGGGACTGGATCTTTTGTGGCTGGAACATTTAATTTTGAAAAGGTATGCAGCTTTGTTTACTTCGGGTCTGAGGTCAACTTCGAAAATGACATCTCTAGAGAAGTCAACAGAAGGATAGCAACGGCAAGACTGTACTACTTTGGTCTTTCGAAGCATTTTGGAAGCAGGTTCCTCTCTAACAGGACCAAGATTGCTCTCTATAAAACCTTAGTCCGCCCTGTTTTAACTTATGGATCAGAAGCATGGGCATTGAAGAAGCAGGATGAAAATAGACTTCTGATCTTTGAGAGATCTTGAGAAGGATTTTTAGTCCTGTTAGAGAGGACGGGTGAAAAACTCGGTGACGGGATGTAGCGCCATATATGTATGTATGTATGTAGAATAGCAATAGTGGAAAAAAGAAAAGCACATGTTACATAGGACAAACAAAACAGAAAGTAAAAAATAGAATCAATCAACATAAAAGCAATTGCAATTCTAAAATAAAAAAAATATAACACCTGCAAAGGACTTTCAACACATAGCACCCAACAGAAACATATTTTTGACTTTAATAACACAGAAATATTAACAAGTGAAAAAAACAAGTGACTAAAGAGTCATTTGTCTTCGTTCTCGAGTAGCATACTTATTTTGTGATGCCGTAATGCGATTGAGAATACCAAAGAAAATTGCTTGAAAAGTCCAAGGAGAGGCCTTCTGTCCTATCGGTGAGGATTCATTTTTATTTAATCTCCAATTATTTAATTATTTTTTGGTACTGGGGGTTAACCTAGCATTTTGGACCTAGCCTACAAGGAATAGAATTGGAAATTCTCACATTCACAGGCATACTCTATCATCTAGATGTAGGAGTAGAGAGATTGATGTATAAATTGTTTTACAACACCAGTAAATCAAGATATAATAACCAATTATATCTGTTACTGGACTTGACTTAGGTTAAGTTATCATTTTTAATTATTATTTTTTTTTTATTTATATATCTTCTTGTTTGTTATACTCATGTGCATAATCTGTTGAAAATTAAGTAAATATTAAAGAAAAATTTTATTTTGTTTGTAGTGAAAGTATCTTATATTATATTTAATTTTTGAAGGAAGTTAGTCGACTGTTCTACATATCATGTGGGTCATCTTCAGGGACCCACATGTTTGGGTTGAAACGTTGGCATAAATAAAAAATTTAAATTAAAAAAAAAAAGACTGCGTCCTGAATATTTATCACCCATTATATTTAATTTTTTTATATTATATATTCCTATTTTTATATCTAACATATGACAATAGAATTATATTAACTATTAATGTTAATCTGGTCATAATAGCCCCTAATGGGTAGAAATAACAACAGAACAGTAGGAATAACAATATAAAAATGTGTAACCTCCCCACCACACTTAAATAAGACTATAATCAAATTACCGACTAATATATTATAATTTATAAAATGTTGATTTTAAAAGATGACTAATATCACCATATAGCATGTTAAATGCAGTATTGTGTGAAATCAATTGTGAATTTATCTTACAAATGGCTTGAAAATGGCATCCTAGCCAAAGCGTAGCCAATGTAAAATGAAAATAAATGTGGAGAAATAACATACATAGCCTTACTTTATATTATTATTAAAGTTGTTCTACGAGTTCCAAGAGGACATATGATCAGATAATAAGATTGTACTTGGCGATTTAAATGCTTAGGTGGACAAGGAAGAGATATACAACCCACAATAGGGTAATATAACAGGAATTAGGCAATGAATGATAATGGATTTTGAACCATGAAATTTGCAAAGTTTAAAGAAATAATGGTCATGACTACCATGTTCCCCCATAAAAGATTCATAAAAAAAAACAAGCAAAGGGAGCGAACTAGAATACGGAAACACCACATTTAAATAGAGATACTTTTCTTACATCTCGGATACACAAAGCTACAAGAGGGCAGACTTCTGCTCTGACCATTTCCTGGTTCTGGTAAAATATAAATAATATCTAGCACGGAGGAAGAGAACATTGGAAGGAAACACATGGGTATAAAATTGTGAAGTTGATGAAGGAATCCACAAGACAAAGGTAGAAAGAGACTCCAACAATAGCATCAGGAATGGACTGAATAATAGATGAATGCAAAGAAAAGGTGGAGGAGATTAAGGGAAATCAGGAAGATGGTATGGCTTGTGAGGTATTGAGAGAAAAAAATAGTAAGAAAAGGAAAACTTGGTTTGATGGTGAATAAGAGAGGGCCATAGAAGAAAGAAATGAAGCTCGGATGAAGATGCTTTAAAGGAAAACACCCATTAAATATGAAGCATATTCTGAAAAAAAGAAGAAAAAGTAAAAGAATTATGCTAGATGAGAAAAGAGCACATGAAAAAGATAACTTAAAGAGATACAAGAAATCTTTCAAGCATAGAAGAACCGAAAATTCTACAAGGGCATAGAGAGGCTAAGACAGGGGGTATGATAGTGTAAACAGCAATGAGTATCACAATTGTGAATTTGGTCTTACAGATGGCTTGAAAATGGCATCCTAGCCAAAACGTAGCCAATGTAAAATTAAAATAAATGTGTTGAAATAACATAGATAGCCTTACTTTATATTATGCTCAATAGTATACCAGGAGGAAAAAGAAGAAGAGGCAGACCCAGGCATTGATGGTTGGATGAACTGGAAGAAGACTTGAAGAACTTGGGAATCAGAAATTGGAGGAACCTAGCAGTGAATCAGGAGGAGTGGAATAAAGTGGTGGCAGATGTCTAGACCTACAAGAACTTTTTCCATTGAACGAAATGAAGAATACATATTTATATAAAAAATAAATTATTTGTATAAGGTAGTATTGTATAATTATCAGCTTACTTCAGTTCTGTCTTGCTGTTGCGCTATCACATCAGGTCGGATGGAAGGAGGTGGCAAAGCCTTAGCTGAAGTTTCCATTTCTCCAAGCCAAGCTGATAAATGAGCATGAGATTCAGCAAGATGCTCTGCAAGCCCTAAGGCTTGTTCAAGGGTGGCAAGCCTTTCACCTGATGCACTCCAAACTGTATCCACAGCTTCCCTTAGATCAGTCATCTTGTCTCTCATAAGCGAAGAGTCATCATGAGGAGAAGCCTCACGAATAACCTGAAAGGGAATAATAAAAATTAAATAATCAAAGTTACAGCTTTAATAATCAAATTGCTAACATATTTGGAGAGTGTATTTTTTTATCCCATGATGAAAAAAATAAAGTTAGATTGATAGAAATGGTCAAAGCTTCCATATATATTGTCTATCTTTCTTTTCATATCCAATTTGCTTTAACAAATCAAGAAATTGCAGATTTGGGAAAATATGCTTCTTCTTGTCCAACCTGATATCATTACTGACTCCTAAGTATTGAAAACCTGTTCAAGACTCTACTAGTTACATTCTTTTGGTTCTTTAGAACAGTTTGAGATAATGATATGTATTTACTATTGGTTACATTGATTATAAACCATAACATGAGATAATAACAGTATGGAACTATTATAGAATAACTATCCCACATTTTATATTACAGGATCCAACTATGAACGTGGTGTATGAGCTTTGAGTAACTGTTCTAAATTAATTGTTAGTCATCACAATTATCACTATTAATCCAACTAATTTTTATTAAAACAAAAACTGTATTGATAATATTGAAAACTAAACTAAAATCACCTTCTTGGCTGTAACTAATACATCCCTAACACGGCCTCTCTGACTGGCAATATCATCACTCAGAGCACGATGTTCCTTCAACTGAAGACGAATAATGTTGGCTTCAGATGATGGTGGTTCAGCTTCACGTAATCCAGCTTCAGCTTCTCTGAACCATTCCAATAATGAATCAATATCCCCTAGAACCTAAACCAAATATAATAAAATTAAATACTTATAATATGTATATAATATAGTAAAATATATTAATATTTGTGAAATTTTCAAACAACCTACTTCCAATGATCGTTGCTTATACATGTGCAACCTTTCAGCTTTTCTTTGAATTTGGTCACAAACAGCATCAAACCTTCTATTGTCTCGTGTTACCAATCCTTCAATTGTTGATGCACCTTCACCAGGACTAAGAGAGCACAATTGAGGTCCTATTTGATTGATATTTTCAACAACAGGACGAAATTCTAAAATAAAATGGGAACAATTAGATTTTATTTCAAATTTATTTTAAATATGTTATAAGTAAAGATATTTGAAAAACCTTGTATATCAGACTCAAGTGCATTGATACTTTCTTCACGCGGTTCTGCTGACTGTAGCACAGCTTCAGCACCCTGAATCCAGTCAACAAGTCGTCCATGCGCATTATGGAATTGCTGTACCAATGGCAGTCCTTCCTTAAAGCATAAATATAAAACATAATTAAATAGAATAATTTGAGGAAACAGAATACCTGGTATAAATAATATATGGCACAATCTAGCTTTTACCTGAGCTTGTTTTAGCAACTCAGCACCACGAGTGGTAAGTGAATTATATCTTCTCTGCAAAGAGTCAAGTTTTTCTTTCAGTTGTATAGCCTCATCGGAAGAAATATGCTTCATAAGTTCTAATCCACTGTCTACAGTTCCATCAACATCAATTTGATGTTGAGATATCTCTTCTGTCAGATCCTTAAAAAAATAAACAAAAAGTTTTAATAAAAATATCCTACATTAATCATATTGCTAGATATAAGTTAGAAATACAAATACAAACAGCTAAATCTTCCATTTGAGCAAGTAACTTATCAGTGTGAACTGCTAGAATTCTGTGTCTTCCAAGTCTGTTTTCCATGTCTTCCATCCATCCCTAAAATTAAATTTGATGATTCAGAATATTAAATAAATGTCTTAAAATTACAGTTTAAAATGATTTTTTAACAAATATATACATCCATATTCATTAATAATTACATATTTATTTTGGTCACAGAAAGTCAGTTTTTAATATGGTACAGTAAACAAAAATTTCCATGGGAGCAAAAGCTAAAGTGCTCAGCTAGTGGGGATTAAGCATCCTCCAGTTTCACAAGTTCAATTCAGAGCACAAACACACACACAGAAAAACCTGATATTCAGAAATATAGCAATACTGACTAAATTAATTATATAGAAGATAAAAATTGGTAACATTAATTAACCCTTTGACTGCCGACGGGATACATGCATACCCGTTAGTAGTTAGGTCACTGGTGCGGACGGGATATATGCCTTTCCGGCAGTGAATTGGGTCATTGGTGCGGCCGAGATATATGCCTTTCCACCTTGGCTGCCACTACTTAAAGAGGTAGGGGCAAGTCCCGCTTTCAATATTTGACTTGTGGCTTGGTCGGTGTATTCATTAGTCCCCTGTAGCTGACTCAGTACAGCTTTTCTGGATTTTGACCATTTGGAAGCTATCAGTTGCAGATTTATTCTGAACTCAAGGTATATCCTTTCTCTGTTATTTGTTTCTTATAAATAATCTTATTCAATTTACATCACATATTCCATTTTGTATGTTTTATACATAAAACAATTGTTAATAAGTTAATTTTATAATTTTTTCTTTTTTTTAAATTTAGGTTTTGACTGAATGTTGATTTTGGTACACGTGAATCTCTGTCTACTAAACAAATAAATATAAGTTCCCTACAATATATATATATATATATATATATATATATATATATACGTATATAATGTAATAAATAAATGTAAAAATATAATTAAAATGATACTTTAGTTGTTCCATTTATTAAAAGTTGAATAAAAAGGTTAAAATACTTTTTTGAGAGCTAAGATCTTGTAGGGTAACTCAAAATAGTATTTAAAACAAATTTATCTGGTAGAAACACTCAAATGAGCTCCCACAGTCAAAGAGTTAAACAATTAAATAGATAATCATAGGTTGACTTAGAACAATTAGATCTTACATTAAATATAAAACATTGAACTAATATATGACATTTCTCCCTTCCAAGAAGGCAAAATATACATAAATAATATAAACTAACATTAATATAAACAATTTTGTCCTTTTAACAATTGAGGGGTTTGGTGCAAGAAGGAGGCAGCTCCACTTTTTCCAATATGTAGCAAATTAAAAAAACGTTTTAAAAATTCACTTTTCACCGAAACAAAAAAATATTCACTCTTGTGTTAGGTTATGGGGTATCAAATACAACTGACTAGAGAATACACACAAATGCATGTGCTCAGGTACGTGCAATGGAATTTTGGAGCTGCCTCCGTTTTGCTCCAATTTGAATTTAAAACAATGTGTAGGACCATTTTCTACAGGATTAACCATATTTCAGTTTACAAAACATTTATTAACAAAGAAACTACAACATTACTGGCATAATACATCAATGTGTACAGTTCTTCTTCAGTCTTCCAACTCTCCCTCAGTCTCTGAGGATCGTTTGAAGCATCTGATGTCAACTGGTCCTAAAACCACATTTTGTTTTGCCCAACATACTTTCTGGCCAGCTTATTGACATCTTTAAACTTTTGGTGTTTAAGCGGGAGGAGACAATCATAAGCTTGATGAAAGTGGTCCAGTTATGAGACCCGCAAGTCCTTGGTTGCAAATTTGCGCATTATCTAAGACAGTCATCCCTACGGTCACATTGCAGTGAATAATCCCTTTACAGATATATGGCTATTTATAGAGGAATAGTTTGTACTTATTGATTAAATATTTATCGTTTGGAGGACGAACGAGGCATGCCGGATTGCTCTGGAACTAGTGGGTGGAGCTGCTTCATTCTTGTACCAAACGAAGCGGCTTTTTCTTTTGAATGTGATTGGATGTGCAACTCAATAGAGGCACAAAGTGGAGCTGCCTCCTTCTTGCACCAAAGTCCTCAATTTTGGAAAAGGATGGAAATAAAGGGAAGGGTTTTTCGGTTGTGAAACTTTCCTTGGTCTTCTTTCTTTGGCTACCGGTGATTGAGATTCTGGCAATAACAGGTGATGATTAGAGTCAGAAGAGAAGGTTTGACCTGTTTTCAATACTGATCTCATGAAGACTATGAAAGACTATAGTAGATCTGTTTCCTTCTTTTACTATTTTGGCATTAAAATCGCTCAGTAAAAGTTTAATATAACTTCTAGGACAGACACCATAAACACTTTCCAACTTCTTATAAAAACTATCCTTTTCCTCATCGCTTGAAATTTCAGTAAGAGTACACCAACTTATAGAGGCTAAAATTAAATAATTACTCTTCAGTATAGAGAGAACAAAATCATTCACCATCCAATTTCCCACTCTATTTTCCATCATTGAACAATGAAGCCGACTGCAAAGGTGTGGTTCCTAGGGTGCCAGCTATAATAAAGTGTAGTACTTCTTTTCTATAAGTCCTTGGCTGGTCCAATAGACATCCTGGATGGTGGTTATATCCAATTTATATTTTTGCAGTTTGGTCACAGAGATTTCAATCCCTCCTGGTCTATACAATGATAAAATATTCCAAAATCCAAGTTTGAAGTCCTTCTGACGGAGTCCAACTAAAGTTAAATTTGTTAAACTGTAAAATTGAATATTTAAAAATGAACATGTAACTAATCCGAAAAAAAAGAAGAAAATTATATGTAAATACACACTATGAACGTTTAATGTTGCAAGAAGTTCTGCTACGCGACCATAATGAAACTGATGAAATCATTGCAGATAGAGAAAGATTTTGAAGACAATTTATCCTTGAAAGCACTCCTAGTAAGGCATTCAAATTATTTAATGATAAATAGAGTTAAATAGAATTTCCTTCATCTAGGAAATTTAATTTCCTCAAGGGACTGAAATTATTTTTGTCAGTTTTTAAAAAAAATTGTAATTTGCATGATGATCTAGTTCATTTTTGTCCATCAAACTGTTAAAAATGAAGAAATAAATCCTCACTAATATTCTATGGGCCCTGAAAAGGAAAGAAGTGCAATGGGCAGTAGTTTGATAATTTGGCACACTATTTGATAAGCTTGGCACACTCTACTTAAGCTGCACCAACTTGTGCTGATTCTAAATGCAATGATTCATTTTATACCGAAACGTTTTCTTTTTTTATGGAATTTTGAATATCATCAAACTTTTCTTCTGATGATTTTAATAGTTCAAAGCTCAGTCAAAAACCTTTTATCTTTTTTAAACCTAAGTTTTTAGATTTATTATAAATGCTTTGGATCGAAGTGAATGTCTTCAAATTACTTTTGTCTGTAGCATTTCAGAATAATTTTCCATTATAAGTAGTTAGATACCACAAAATATTATTCTTTATTTAACTTTTTAATTGAAAAAATATATGAATTAATTAATATTAATTCATTAGGTATTAAATTGCTATTATAACATAAACAATTTAAAATATTTTCCTAATCTTCTGTAAATATAGTTTTGACAAATAATTTAAATCAATGTTCAAAATGATCTTGAAACCAATACGGGTAGCAAAAATATATGGCAGTATTCACACTTAAATACATCTAATAATAGTAATAATAATAATAAAAGGCTTAGAGAACCCAAAGATTAGATGCAGACATCACCAATTGGTTTTTACACACCTCACTCCACCATTCCCCATCCAAACCCAGTTCTGTCAGATCAGCATTCGCACAATCTTCCACATCTTCGCTTCAATCTACTTCTCGGTCGTTTACCAGTCGGTACAGCGCATATTAACCTTTTAAGAATTCTTTTGTTACTAAGCCTAACAATTTTACATGCCCATTTTTTAGCCTCAATGTAATTAACTGTTTTGCCACCTATATTGTATCAAGACATGATCGATTTGATTTCACATTGGTAAATTCGGTGATGTCCAAGTATATTTATGAATTTCCTTATGTTTAAACATAATACTTTTAATTATCATGTTTTTTGAGATTGCAAAGTTCATCAGCTGAATCCCATTATCATTACTATATTCGTGTAAACTTTCTTTACCAATTATTGGAAAATAGACCTCTTCTCAGATCAGTTTTAACTAATGACAGAATAAAAGCTGTAATATGACCAGTTTCAAACTGTCCTCATCAGGAAATATTAAAATTGTGATATTAAATGAAGTGAAGGAATTTTCAGGAGAAATAGTGAAGATGATAGGGTACCACCAATCAATGGTAGTCATAGTTTTCCTCAGGGCACTATGAAGCGAAAAAAAGGAACTGGAAGGTGCAATTGTTTTTAGAATATTGCTTAAAAACTGACAAAGAAATATATAGAGATCTTGTGGATAGCAATCTAGTAAATGAAACAAAATTTTTACTGAGTGGTGCAATTTCTATGACCACCACTGCACATACATGACAGAAACAAGAAAAAAAAGTAATTTATCTGAAATTAAAATAAATTTACACAAAACTTAGTTTAACAGCAGATACAACCAATTACTATTGTATTTCCAATTTTATTATTGCTGCTTATAAATTTTATATCTGTCTGTCTACTTCGATGTCTAGAAGATCTAAGAATATGTCCGAAAATCCAAGAAAAATCCCAGAATATCCAATATGTCTGAAAATGCAAAAAATATGTACGAAAATCCAAGGACATCCTCAAAACATTACCATATGTTCGGGACAAAAGTTTTGTCTTGAGAAATCTTCTCTTCGTACTTCTCAGGCACTTTTTTTAGCATTCATAAACATAATTATTCACAATGCAGTGTATACAAACAAAGTGAGTAACACGAGAGGAAAAAAAAGTGCTAAGAAATATCATCTGTTTAATAAATAACAGTAACCATAGCCTAGAGTAAAGATTGCCATGTTATAATACACACGCAAAACACACACAAACTATAAAAAAAAAAATGTATAGTTCTAAATCAAATCAACTAACCTGCAATCCTTGATAAGTGAGCACTAGATGTCTAAGTCCAGTTCTGGATGATTCTAGTAATCTGCCTATGTTGTCTGAGGCATCAACAAGGGCTGAGTATCTATCAGCTAAGTCTTGAACTCTGTCGGCAACTCCAGAAGCTTCATCTTCACCAACAAGTGCCATAAGATCACTGCCAACTTCGGTAAGCTCACTAAGTGAAGGTTTCTTGCGTAATATTTCAGAATGTAATGCCTAAATGAATAAAATAAAACTATAACTTCAACCAACACAAATTAAATTGAAAATTTTGTCACAATATTTTTGCTTTCCTCTTCCACCATATTTATTTTTGTGCACTTTCAATAACTGCAATCGCCAACCTTATTATTAAACAAACGAAAAAAAGTTGGGGGTCAAGAATATGAAAAATAACTTTTTCTAAAAATGACATTTTACAAAAAAGTTTAAAATAGTTGTAACTAGACCTGTAGACCTGGGCAGAATTTATTTGAAAAATATTCCCGGAATAAATCGTGAAATAAACCTCAATAGTTATTTCAGAAATAATTTATTTCATGAAATAACATGAACATTACTTCAGAAATGATTATTTGAATAAATTGTTTCAGGAATAACGATATAATTATTTCTGAAATGATTATTATGATACCAGAAATAATGTTCTGGAATAATCATTCTTAAAGCTGCAAAACGGCTTAAAATAACCAAAATAAAAACAATATAGTTCACTTAAAATTTACTTTTCGCTTATTGATTAACGCCCCCGTTAATTACCCCCCCCCCATACTGGAGATGGGCAGTACTCGATTACTTTTATGATTTGAGTACTTTTATTAGGAAAAAGTCTATATAGGACCTGACCACAGATAACCACCCAGTAATCCACATTATTATGTTTGGGGGGAGGGGCACTTTTTATGAAAATACAGTCAAATTTGCGATTGTGCTCCTCCTCCCTCTCCCCACACATCGCTTTTATTGTAATTTTCCGGATTTTATCGATATCAGGGTTGAATTTTATGTATTCGGGAAAGCTTATAAAAATACTGTCGAATTTGCGATTGCACCTCCCTCCCCCCAGGATCAATTTTTTGTAACTTTTCCAATTTAATTGATATCAGGGTCGACTATTATGTTTTTGTGGTAGCTTATAATGAAAATACCGTCCAAATCGTCGACCCTGATATCAATTTGTAACTTTTCAGATTTAATATATATCAAGGTCAACTATTATGTTTTCAGGGTAGCTTATTATGAAAATACGTTCGAACTTGCTATTGCACTCCCTCCCCCCTCCCTCATCAACATTTTGTAACTTTTCTGATTTAATATGATTTCAGGGTAGCTTATTATTAAAATACGGTCGAATTTGAGAGTGAAACCTCCCCTTTTTGCTACTTTTCAGATTTAATTGATATCAGGGTGGAATAATATGTTTTCCGGGTATCTTTTTATGAAAATAATGTTGAATTTGAGATTGCGCCCCTCCTACCCTCTCGCATCGACATTTTGTAACTTTTCGGATTTAATCGATATCAGGGTCAACTATTATGTTTTTGGTGTAGCTCATTATTAAAATACCGTCCAAAATTGTCGACCCTGATATCAATTAAATCCAAAAATTTACTTAAAGTCGATGCTGGAGGGTGGGGGAGGGGGGCAATCTCAAAATCGACAGTATTTTCATAAAAAGATATCCCGTAAACATTATACTAGACTCTGATATTGATCCGAAAAGTTACAAACAGTCGATACTGGAGGGTGGGGGAGGGGGTTCAATAGCAAATTCGATCATATTTTTATAATAAGCTACTCCGAAAACATAATAGTCGACCCTGATATCGATTAAATCCGAAAAGTACTCATTAAGATAAAAACTATCGGTAAATTTTTTATGTTATTTCAGAACAATGTTATTTCTGAAATATTTATTTCTTGATTTTTGGCAATAATTTAGTTAAGAAATAAATAATTCTGAAATAATAGTTATGAAATAATTTATTTCAGAAATAAATTACTTTATTCCAAAGAATGTTAAAATATTGAAATAATTATTTTAGATATAAATTCAGCATTTATTCCATCGAGATTATTTCATTGGCAGTTTGAAATATTATTTCAGAAATCACCATTATTCCCGAATTAATTAATTCGTAGAATAACCATATGATTTATTTCAGAAATAAATTATTTCAAGAGTGCCCAGGTCTAGTCCTTACTATAGACTGGTTAGAGATTAATTTGCATATATATATATATATATATATATATATATATATATATATTTATTTAAAACTTTTCCTTAATCGACCTTTGAGTATTAAATTTAAACTTAACTATTTAATTGGGAATAAGGTCACTTAATTATTATTTAATAAACTATTAAATGTTCATTTCTTCTGTTTATTGACGTTTTGATCCCGGTATTTTCTTTTTATTAGTCAACCATTGGATCCTCTTCAAAGCTAGAATTTTAAAAAATAGAGCTTCGATCAGGCCAGGGACACACCAACAGTCTCAGCACCGTCCACTATCACATATGTTAAGTTACAGTAGTATATATATATATATATATATATATATATATATATATATATATATATATATAAATATATATAAATATATAATATATAAATATTTTAATAGGAAATTTAAGCCTCTACAACTGCTTTTAAATGAATTTCTTTTGCTGATATGAAGGAATGTTTGATGAAAAATGTGAGGTAAAATGTTTTTTTTCGAAAATGTCAACTTTTTACGATCTTGTAGCTCGAAAATGTTGAGAATTCAGAAAAATCCTACAGAAAGTTTCATAAACTTTCATTTATTATTGAACAACTTTCTCCTGCGACACACCGTATTCGAAATAAAAGCGGAAACCTATAAATTGTGGCCTTTCCTCTCTCCTTATCCCTGGTTCACGACCTAGATATCAGGATTTTCGATATGTTCGCGCCATAAGCACCCTGAATGAGTTTCTGAAGGAATTGCTTAGGTCCCTGCTCATGCACTCTATACCTCATTCCTTGATTGGACTAAGAATTAAGATCAAATATCAATTACCACAAGTTTACCATCATGGGCAAAAATAAGGACATTTTTAGACAGAGCTAAAAAAAAAATAAACAATACCACCTCCTAAAAAAACATTGATTTGATTAACCACCTCTATCTAATCCAAAATTAAACATTACTGAGAATATATAATGAATCTACAAGGGATTGTTGAGTTTAATTTATCATTAGTTATTGAAACCAAATTTGACAATTAATGCGGAAACCCTTTTTTTTTTTTACCTGATAAAAGTATGTAATGCGACCTCATTGAGACCTATTGTACGTCGTTCTAAACTCTGTTAAAACAGGAAAGATTGCCTTTGCGAACTTGTGAAGACTAATAGGATCTATCAATTCACAAAGCTTGGGGTCAGTGATACGACCACTTCCAAAATGAAAATACCGCAGTCTGGCTAAATACCGCAAAATATTACATCTGTATATAATGTGATAGCGGTCTCATTCTCCAGGCCACACAGCCTGCAGGTGGGGGTCTCATAGACTAGTAGCTACCGACTATTTCATTCAACTGAATGACTTAAAGCTAGTAACCATTTTAAATTCTAAATACACCTCATCTGAACACACAACTTCGGTCAGTCGGTTGAAAGCTGTAATTCACATTTACCTTGACTGTTAAAGTAGATGATATACCTGTTTGCGTTATGAAAACTGACATCAAAGTCATCAAATTAGTCCAGTTGAATGGTAGTAGAAAGAGAAAAAATTCAAATAGTCGGTTTCTTTAATGTTTTTTTGGGATGCTGAATCTGAATTTGATGTTCTCAAACAAAATTTTCTATTGCGTTCTGAGATATAAGCAAGAAACAGAAAATTTCCAATTTGTTTTTAGTTTTTTTGACATGACTCTGAAACTATGTATTTTATCAAAATTATTATCATATACAATGTTAAAGTACATAAAATTAACTATAAATAACTTTTTGATGGAGGACCAACTGATAACGAGTTAAAGAATGTTGAATGTTTGTTTATTTTACAAGAAATGCATCTGTTGAAGAAGCTCGACTCACAATGAACGTCAGAGGAGTTCTGTGCAAGAAAAGGAGTAAGGCAGGGAGAATCGGCCTGTCTTCTGTTCAATGAAGCACTGGAAAAAGTTGTCAGACGCGCGAATACAGCTGTGTGGTACCATCTTTAGCATATCAATACAAATCCTGGAATACGCAGACGATTATATATATATATATATATATATATATATATATATATATATATATATATATATATATAAAATCAGGAGATCACTTAAAGGTGTAAAGGAGGCTTTTCTGGCTCTCGAACAGCCTGTGCGGAAGATGGGACTGTCTATAAATGAGAGCAAAACCAAGTATATGGTTGCTGGCATAAATGCACCACATCTACAGATCTCGATTGGTGACTACACATTTGAATTGATCCAACAATTTGTTTATGTGGGCTCGCAAGTAAATTCCGACAACGATGTGTTAGAAGAAATATCTAAGAGAATCCTGGCGGCAAATAAATGTTATTTTGGCCTGCGGTGGTATCTAAGTAATCGCTTAATCTTGAGGAAAACAAAAGTGACTCTGTACAAGACGCTGATTCGTCCTATCATTACATATTGAGCGGAAACGTGGAGCTTCTCCAAAACAAATGAAAGCAAGCTGCTGGTCTTTGAAAGAAAAGTACTATGCAGCATTTATGGACCAGTACGCTCAGGTAACGATTGTAGAAGGCGGAGTAATGCAGAACTGGCCCCCATACATAATGATACGGATGTAGTCCGGTTCATTAGAATACAGCGTTTAAAATGGGCGGGTCATGAAGCCAGGATGGATGAGAGTAACTCAACCAGCAAAATTATACAGACATGTCCAGAAAGAAAAAGAAGAATTGGAAAACCTAGATAGCGCTTAATGGATGGGGTCAACGTGGATGGTAGAGCCCTTCTTGGATTAGTTAACTGGAGGACAGCTGCAAGAGAGAGAGACCAATGGGTGAGACTAATTAAGGAGGCCAAGACTCAATGATGAAGAAGAAGTAGAAGAAGATTTATCCCTTCTCCAGAAGTAAGCTCCTGATCCTTGCTCCATAACGGACCCATTAGGAATACACTTTCAGCAGTTGCAAAGGAGTGCTGAGAAAAAAGAAACTCCAAAAAAAATTCACTGCATATAGCAAGGGTGAATTAGGAAAATAAGAGTATTCTTGAGCTTAGATGTTCTTTATTATCTTACTCCTACTCTCTTAACCTTCCCTCGACAGACTACCACCTTTTCTGTTTCTCATAAAAATTTTGGGTAGAAAAACCTTTAATATTACAGAGCAAGATAATTAGTCTGTCGAAAATTTCTCCCAATTCAAACCAACCACATTCTGTCAAATTGACAAGCTGCTAAGAGGAAGATCATACATAAATATGGTAAATACATAATACCTCAGTATAATTTTGTAATTTAGTCAAAGTGAAATAAATGTCAGATAAAAAAAACAGGAGCTATTTATGATTCAACCCAGTAAAAAGATGCCAGAAAAAATATATGTAATTGTAGTAAATAAATTAAAAGGAAAAAAATTACATCATGTTCACGTATCCTCTGTTGAATCTTTTCTTCATCTGTAGGTACCAGCTCCATATCTTTAACCTTTCTTTCAGTCCTTTCCATCCATTCAACAACAGGAACTAATTTATCCTGGAAATAAATTAAAATTTATTTGTGTGATACAATCAATATAAGAATCTAATTTAACATCCAGTTTACATCATCGTAAACTGAATGTTAATTACATATTATTTAAAACATAGAATGTGAATTTTGACTACTGGATTATTAGAGAAGTCAAGAAAATCCACAACTTATGTACTCTTTATCTAATCTGAATTTTCTAGTGATGTCTATACAGCAGTTTTGAACAAGTCACAAAGCAAAATAATTAATTTATTACAAAATTAGACCTACCCTTTTCATAATTTTTAATTAGTAAATAACATTATTTATAACTCAATAAAACTAGTTTCACTCCTTAAAATATAAAAATTAAACTACTATGATAAAGATAAAAAAAAGAGATCCTCTAAATTTCCTAGCCATATTTACTACCATCTAGTATTGGATCCAGGATTTAATTCAGGGGGGGAGGAGCTATTTTTTTAATAATGATATTTACTTATTTTGCAAAATTCAAATTAACGGATCCGAAATCCAGAGAATTTATACAGTTACACAAAGATGAATTGTGTAAACTGTACCCGGGGTTAATATAACTGAGATGATTAAATTGTAACAAATAAAATGGGCATATAGAATTGCTTGGTTTAGTAATGATAGAATCCCAAAAAATTTAATATGTCCTGTGCCGACTGGTAAGCATATGATGGGTAGACTGAAGTGAAGGTGGGAGGATTGCGTTAAGACTGATCTTGCAGGGTTGGGTTTGGACGGCGCCCGATGGATGGAACAATGTAAATAGTGATTGGTGTTATCAGCACCAAACCTTCGAGTTCACTAAGCCTTATTATTAATTACTTAATGATTATGCTTAAGTTTGCAAGAAGAGGTCCCAGATGAGTGGAAAGTGTCGGTCCTATGCCAAATCTATAAGACGGGAGACAAGCTTGAGTGCAGGAACTATCGAGGCATCGACTCGAGCCAGTGACAAAGGCACATCGGCTCCACGGCGGTTTCCCTTTTAATAGAGTTTTATTCGCCCAATCGAGCTAAGAATTGACACGTGAGCGAAGCCGTATGCTGGAGACCTGCTTCTTAAATTTGGAGAAAATCAAGCAAGGATCTTTGTCAGGATCAGAAGGCAAAGGAATCAACGTGTTTGTGGGACCAGGGTTCTTATCGCTGTGCAGCATAGGACTTGTCGGCCCCCACCACTTCTGAGCAACCGCCTCCAGCTGGCAAGGTCAGTGTCTTCAATACCAACAACTGTCATCGAAAGAGCCCAACTTATTTTGTTGTTGTCAATTAACCTTATACTTTGTTTTATTTATTTTCTCTCTCGTTTCTTATTTAAGAAAAAAATATATATGCAAATTTGCTGTAAATACATTTAAAAATGGTTTTAGCTTTCGTTAATTGGCTGATCCTAGGTTAGCTTAATTATTAAAATTAATTAATTATTACTTTTATAAACTAATTATTTAGCTTTACCAATTGATTTATTATTCAATTTTATTTATTATTTATTCAGTGGACGTGGATATGTGTATATAATTTTATTTAATTTTTAACAATATATTTTAAATTGTTTTTATTCATTAATCTATTATTATTGAACTTAGATTTTATTAATTGTATATTTTAACTTGTTCTTAATTTTTAATCTTTTATTGTTTAACTCAGATTATATTAATTGTATATTTTAATTTGCTTTTAAGAAATTGATTTTATAGATTTTAACTCTTTACCATTATTTATTTGATATATTTTAACTTAATTTTAAGCAATAGATTCTATAGATTTTAACTTCATTTTATATTTTAGCTTAGTTTTAAGATTTTATTTGATATATTTAACTTGATTTTAAGCAATACTTCTTTGAGAACGAAAATCTCTGTAGGCGTGCGGATTACGAATAGTGTGCCCTGATGCCAAATTTAGTGTCCATTGAGCTAGAAGCTGTCAAGAAAGCCATTAAATTAACATCAATGGACACATCGGAGTTCTGATCTACACAATTAAATATTTTGATATAGCAAATATTATCAGAACAATAGCAGAGATAATGCTGAAGGTGGCCTTTGTCCCAGAACCACTTCGACAAGGACATACAATATTAATATATAAGGGCAAAGGTGATATAAACAATAACTCTACCTGGAGACCTATCACCATTTATCTATTGTGTGCCGAATCATAGAAAAGGTACTGGACCACGAATTAAGAAAGCAGGTCACCTTCCACAGGAATCAGAGAGGCTTTATAAAAGGCCTGCTGGGAACGCAAGTCAACGCAAGGAATATCGATGCTATATTGATAGAAGCAAAAATTATGAAAAATGATTGTGCGGTAGTCTTCCTTGACATTGGTGCTTTTGACGATGTTGGCCACAATCATATTGTGAGCTCCTTAGAAGCAAGAGGTGTGTCAGAACTAGCCAAATCAAAGTGCTGCACGGAGTACTCCAAGGCGGCCCCTTGTCGTCGTCGCTCTTTAACCTGGCTATCGACCATCACTATCGTGACTTGTGCGATGAAGAATTTTCCAAAAAATTTGGATATAAGTTAAAAAGTTACCAAGGTTGTGTGGTCCTCACAGGTTTCGCAGATGACCAGGCCGTGTCGGCGCGTGACAAGGGGGCTGCAGAAAGAGTGATCGGCAGCATACAGAGGATGTTTGAGGAAATTGGTTTGGCTATAAATCCTCAAAAAAGCGTGGGCATCATTCTAAATAAAAGAGAGCTGGAAACAGCGATGCTCTCCCTTGAGAATGGAGAGTACATCCAAACATTGCAGAATGGAGATACAATCAAATATTTAGGATCTACATTCTCGGGAGAGCTACAGTTCAACGAAGATTCGGTGACCAAATTGAACGAAAATCTCAATAAACTGGTAACCTCTTCCTTGCTTAAGCCCTAGCAGAAGCTAAACATTGTCAATCAGTATCTGTTACCGGGTCTTACTTACCCTCTCCAAACTGCGTCCTGCCATACTTGACGGCATCGACACCATGATTCGCAGGAATGTGAAGGCTATTGTTGGACTCCCAGCAAACACTTCCACGGCAATGTTATATGCTCCCAGGAGGTATCGAGGATTAGGATTAATCCGCTGCCAATGGGAGGTTGGTCTACAAGGATTGCTGTCTGTTGGACTGGAGTTGTTGGAAACTACAAGGATTGCTGTCTGAGGAGTTCTCTGTGGTTTCAGGAATAATGCAAGGAGACACCAAGGCTACTCCCCTTTTTAACATGACCTTGGAGAAAGTGGCAAGGGCCATAATCACCAATCCGGGAGGTACCATCTTTGAACGCTTCACACAACACATGGCGTACACAGATGACGTAGATTATCTGTGTAGCGAGACGTGGGTTATCTCAGCAAAACATGAGAAGGCTCTTGGAGTGTGGGAGCATAAGATTCTCAGGAGGATTTATGGGTATGTGTCATTAAGGCAGGACGCATAAGATGTTGGGACATATGGAAAGGATGGCAGCTGACGAAGAGTGAGTGGGCGGGGTGGCCGAAACACAGCACAACCTGATATATGACAAATGTTAATAAAAATAATCACGAGTTCGTGTCCCGGTGCCAAGGGGTTTTTTAAATCCCCGTCCACACCCCCTGGCTGGGATGAAGGGGAGCACCCAAAAAAAAAACTCTTTAACAGAGAAAAGGAAGTATAGAACTTCAATGGAAGTCTTGGACCAATGATAGGGAAAAAACGGACAGAAGGATTTGTTTGGAATATTCTAATATTCTTATTATTTATCTAATAATATATTATTAATACTATATTACTAATATCTAATAAAAATATTATTACAACTTAATATAAAATTAAATAAACTTGCCTGCATTAATTTAGCTGCAGTCAATGCAGCTTCTAAATCACACATTCTTTTTCTACTTCCACTTGACAAGTCATTGAATCTCTCTTGTAATCGCCGCAACTCTCCTGAGACTATTCCACCTTCCATTTCATCACCAAGCTGGGCAAGTGAAGCAAGAGATTCTTCTCGATCATTTATCATTTTCATTAGGAACTAAAACAACACACAAAAAATGGCAAACATATTCTTTACAATGGCTGGAATAACATAAAAATGTTATAATCTACAGAAAAATGATTTTATTTTTATTAAATTTTCCCAATTGTTTGATCCCACTTAAGTATAAAGGCAAATTTTCCTAATGATCAACTAGCATATTATAAATAACACAGAGGAACAAAAAACATATTTTTATAGCAGTCGGTGTTTGGCTGGGGTGAAGAGAAGATGGGAGAAGGGATCCTGACTCCAGTGGGTAAAACCCAGTAATAGTATTACCATCTTGGAAGTTGTTGTTTAGCAGAGAGAATAGTTGTTTGGAATTATAAGAGATAGGATCTCCCAGGGAGCTTGAGTTGAGTAGAAGAAAGTGTCACCATTTTGGAAGATATGTTTGGCAGAACATGGGAAGAAACAGTATATATAGAAAAAAGGTTAGCTTGCCAATTCATATTTGATGTTATTTTAAAATCAGTGTTTAATTTTAGTATAAATAGTGTAAATAATAATAGTTTGTCTGAGTGTTTTGATCTGATTGTCAGTAACCCATACCTGAAATAGAATAATTGTAAATTTCAGTTTATTATATTAATATTTTTATAATTTTGTTTATTATTTAACAACCTCTTATTTCTTTTGGAAGTACACCAACAGTATAAAGTGGTCTCCCGAGATATTATTACTATTTATAAATATAAGAGAGATTACAATTTATAAATATATATATAGTAACATATTTTGGTAGGACCTCTATAGAATTGTACTAATTAACTGATTTCATGCTTTGTTCTCTTATAATTTTCATATTTTTAACTTTGTGAAAACTCATATTTATATAGATAAAATATTTAAAAATTCAATTTAAAGTCATGTATTAAAATAAGTCTTATTAATTTTAGTTATAATTTAAAAAATTGTAAAAACGATATTATCATATAACTAACTATAAAAAAGTACGATGTATTGGAGCAGACAGAGCGGGAGCTGTTTGTCCATGGGAGGTAGAATTGTAAATAACTTGTGGTAGGAGGAATATTTATGGGAGGAGGAGTGTCTTAAGGTAGAACAGACTCTGTTTTTCCAGCGATCTCTAGCGGCTTTCATCCTAACTAAGTGCTTTCCTTCTCGCGCAGTCATATATATGAGTCGTGAAAAGTATATTTTTTATTACAAAGCAAACTCGTATTTAAGAGTTTTAGTGAGTCCTAAAAATGAATCTGAATCGATTTATCAGGACAAAAATTTATTTGGGCTACTTTACTGTAAGCGCCTTTGGGTTTTTGTGATTTTTTATACATTACAATTAGTTTAATACAATTAGCAATATGTTTTACTTATATTACACAAAAAAAGAAATTGATTGATACATAATAACATATATATCCATGCAAAGCAAAATTAGAAAACAGTAACATAAAAAACAATAAAATTTTATAAAACTATTTTTTTTTCACAAGCAAGAACCCTTGGACATGGGTGAAATATTTTTGGATCTAGTATCACAAATATTTTTCATTGAAATTGATGAACCCACGTCTGTAATCTTCCCTTTTAGTTTTAACAACATTTTTTCTTCACCATTTATTTTAGACGTTGAAACAGTTTTAGATGAGTTACTAAATGGAATAAATAGATTTACAGAATGACACAGATTTAAGAAATAAATTCCAAAATGATGATATTCTTATTTTCTATTAAAATTAAAGGATTTTAGAAAAATTCCGACGTGTGTGAACATAAGCAAACCAAAAGTAATGATACTTTTTGAAAGCTCTTATATTTCCAAAAAAATTATTTTTCTTCAAGAAAATAAATAAATAATACCTTTGTATATATATATATATATATATATATTAATATAAATATTAACAATATATTTTCTTAATGATGTATTACCAATATTTTCATACGTTACATATTAAATATTATTTTATATGTACATAAACAGCGTATAGTTTCTCTAATGAGGTAGCTCGTTTTTTGAAGGTGTTTCCCTACTTATTTAAGCTCAAAAAATAGTAAATTTATAAGCTGGGAAACACATTTTAGCATTAAAGGTAAGACAAGGGGCGGAGTCTAATTTAAATGACTCTGCGAGAAGGAAAGCACGTAGTTAGGATGAAAGCCGATAGAGATCACTGGAAAAACAGACAGTCAGTGCTACCTAAAGACACACCTGTATGGGAGGTCGTGTGGTAGGCGCCCTCTAGGCTTTGTTCTTATGAACTATATGATTAATTTTTGCAAGTCATTGTTTGTTCTACTAATGATTATTGATTTTTGTAGCACAACCTGTTAGTTATCCAGTGAACTATGGATTTATTTTACAGTCTATTCATTATTTCTTATTGTAATAATTTTTTTTGTGAACAACTAAGGTTTATAATATTTTTAATATAAGTATTTATAGTTTATAATTTGTTAAAAATAAAAGGAGTTTGGACTAAGAGATTTCAGGGCCTAATTAAAACAATTGTTTCTAGTGCTGCCTCTCACTAACCTGTGAACAGATCTGAGGGCCAGTTATTAGTTTAAACAAGGGCCTGGTCCCTAGGATAGACACTTTTTGAGTCATAACATAAAGGCACCTGGAATCTCAGTCTAACAGTTTGATACCAGACCGTTGTGTTAGCCTTTTACTTTATCTGCTCACCCTTCTTCTTCACTCTCTCCTAATCTACCTCCTTTCTTCGCACGTTTAACTTGGTGGTCCGTTGTTACATAATTACCCCTTTACTATATTTGTCCTCGGTCGGGGAGAGTGTAAAGTTATCTATCCTTGCAAGGTCAGTGGATGGTCTCCTCAGCTTGCTGAGCCCTTGATGTTGTAGAGATGGTCCCCCTATCATTCTTGGCAGTCTTACCCTAAATCCATACCTAGTCTTCTGCTCACTTCCACCTTACCTCCTTTCTCTTTTCGTACGTTTAACATGGTGGTCCCTTGTTGAGTATTTACTGCTTTACATATTTGTCCTCAGTTGGGACATGTGTAAAGTTACCTGTCCTAGCAAGGTATGTGGATGATTTCCTCAGCTTGGTGAGTCTTGGATGTTATATGGATGGTTCCCCTATTATTCTTGGCGGTCTTACCCTACTCCCGTTATTCATCTCAATCTTTAAATAGGGGTGAACAGATATGGTTAGAGAGATAATTTAGGGGTTAGACAAAGATAATACAGTCAGTAGTAGACAGAGAGAGAGGTTAGATATTATTGAGAAAGTAGAAACACGGTAAGATAAAGACTAAGAGAAAAAAAGATATTACAATATATATAGAATGTCAGATTAAAATCAAAACTTGAAACTTCTTTTCAAATTGATTCTTTTGATAAATTTAATTATTTTTTGCATAATTATGGATACTGTTATTTAATTTGAAATTAATTACTTTTTGTTCCTGTAATTGTGCTTTAACAACATTGTAATCTGCAGATGGAGGTCTTTGATTAGCAACCATTTCTTCAGTATCAGATAGCCACCTAGCTAATCCTTCCAATGCTTCCTGGAATTTGCCTGATTGCAGCAATGCTGAGTCTAGTTTCCTTGTTCTATCAACCATCTATTTAGATAAAAGACAATAGATTAGTTGAGAAAATTGCAGAATTTGAAAATCTACTTGAGTGGTGATATACCTTTGCATTTAGAGCTTCCCATCGTGACCTCAGCTGTTCTATGCCTGAAGCAAGATGAGTAACAGATACTCCAGCACCTGCAGAAGCAATAAGAGCTCTTCCTGAAGAAGCTGCCACATCAACTGCTTTACCAGCAGGTTCTATGATATCACTTTGTGTAATCCTTGCTTCTGCTTGTTGGGACCTAAGCGTTTCAACTTCAGAGCCAACTGGCCTCAACCTTCTTAATTCATCCTCAGCCTAGGGATTAAATAAACAGATTAAACATACATGCACGCATTACCTTTTATTTTTTTGTTATTGTTAATTTCATTAAACCAGGCTCAGCTGCATGAGAAATTAAAATACCTTTGATAACTTACGCATGAGACCAGAAAAAAATAATTTTAAGAAATGCTTGATAATTGTTGTTACTTATGTGAGCATATATGAATAAATAAGCAGGCAAAGCTTATCAACACCGGTGAAATGTAGTCAGCAATAAATAGATGTTATAAATTTCAAATATTATAAATAAAATAGTAAAGGATAAAAATTATCATAAATTATGTGTGTACAAAACAAGAAACTAAAAAACAAATATTTCAGTGAAAGTTGAAAGTCCTTTCTATGAGGGAAGAAAATGATTAAGATGGCCAAGACGACTAAAATATAGCATTTCCAAGTCAATTTCAACCTTATCCAAGTCAAATTCAATCTTTTGCAAATCAAATTAATCTTTTTCCAAGTCAAATTCAACCTTTTCCATTTCAAATTAATCCTTTTCCATTTCAAATTCAACCTTTTTTATTTATTTAATTATCTTTAATTTTTCGATGTGTGGGTCTGTTATCGCATGAGTAGTTTTTGAAAATAACCTCCTTTTTAAGATTACGTGACTGCGTTTCGAATTATTTAAGTTTTTTTGACTTATTTGATATAAGGGTGTATTTTTATGTTTCCCGATCAGTAAATTTTGAAAATGACATCCATTTTATGTTTACGCCACTGTGTTTTGATTTATTTAAGTTTTTAGAATTTATCCAATATGTCTACTTTAAAGTTTCCGGAGCCGTAAATTTTGAAAACGACCTCCATTTTAAGATTAGGCCACCGCGTTTCGACTTATTTGAGTTTCAAGGATATTTTTCATATGAGGTTGTATTTTTATGTTTCCGGAGCTGTAGATTTTGAAAATGACCTCCATTTTAAGATTACACCACTGCATTTCGACTTATTTAAGTTTTTTTGATTTATTCGATGTAAGGGTGTATTTTTATGTTTACGGAGCTGCAGATTTTGAAAATGACCTCCATTTTATGATTACGCCGCTGCGTTTTGACTTATTTAAGTTTTTCGAATTTATCCAATATTAAGGTCTACTTTTATGTTTCTTGAGTCGTAGATTTTGAAAATGACCTCCATTTCATGATTATGCCATTGCATTTTGACTTATTTAAGTTTTTCGAATTTATCCAATTTAAAGGTCTACTTTTATGTTTTCGGAACCGTAGATTCTGAAAATGATCTCTATTTTATGATTGCGCCACTGCGTTTCAACTTATTTAAGTTTTTAGAATTTAACAAGCATAAAGGTCTAATTTTATGTTTCTGGAGCAGTAGATTTCCCCCATTTTGTAAATGACCCAATTTCAAGTTTATGCCACTGTGTTTTGGATTATAAAAGTTTTTTTTTTCTTTTTCGGTATAAGGATCTACTTATATGTTATCCGAGACGTATTGAAATTTTTCTAATCTTTAATATTTAAATATAAAAAATTTCCAGATGTTCTGCACCCAACTAAATAAAATCTGCTCTGGCAGTTATTCATGCCTTAACAGGACCAATGACACCAAGATAACACCTGATTCTGCAGAAGCCTACCGAAAAATAGTGAAGTACTTATCAGAAACAAATGCGAATTTTCACACTTACCAGCTGAGGCAGGAAAGAGCTTTACGAGTGGTGATAAGAAATTTACATTCCTCAACCCCCACTGAAGTTATTAAAGAAGAACTAACGACGCTTGGTTTCAATGTACGCCAGGTAACAAACGTTTTGAAGGAGGACAGGGAGCAGCCAGGATTACGAAATAGGATCCCACTACCATTGTTTTTCGTGGACTTGGAGCCATCACCAGGTATCGAAAAAATATATGATATCACAAGATTATACTATACAATGGTGAAAGTTGAGAAGCCATATCCCAAGAGAGACATCGTGCAGTGCCATAATTGTCAGACCTATGGCCACACGAAGACATATTGCCACCATCTGCCGCGTTGCGTGAAGTGCGGTGAACAGCACAAATCTGTAGAGTGCACCAAACCTATACAAGATCCAGCAGTATGTGCCCTATGCTTGGAGGGACACCCGGCCAACTACAAAGGCTGCCAAATTTACAAGAATCTCAAAACCAGACACCAGAAAAACCGGATTCAAGATGAAGCACTAAGAACAAGAAGAGAGAGAGAGCCTTCCAGAATTGTAAACAATGATGTATCATTCTCCCAACTACTTAGAGGTAAGACTTTAACCGATAAATGTCAAGCCCTGCCACAACAACAACCTCAAACCCAACCTCAAAATCCTCTTCATCCTAATATACCTAACCACCAACAACAAATTCCTCATATTCCTCCTCCTTCAAATGCAACAGATCTCACAAGTTTGTTAGCATCTTTCCTCACCGATTTCAAATCCCTTGTTACTCCACTCATATCACTCCTCACGAATCTCGTATCTCACCTCATCCCTCCTTTTAAAAATCCTTAAATGACTCACATCCCTAAACCCATATCCATTCTCCTTTGGAATGCGAATGGTGTTAGAAATCATACAGACGAACTATCTACTTTACTACTTGACAAGAACATTGATGTGGCACTAATTACTGAAACTCGACTAACCACTAAACAGCACTTCAATATACCACAATACCTGACATATCGTACTGACCACCCTGACGGAAAAGCACATGCCGGTACTGCTGTAATTGTACACCAATCCCTCTCCCATCACCTACTCCCATTACCAATACATGATTTCCTACAGTCCACCGCTATCGTGATAAAAACCTTCTCCTTTCCGGTCACTCTTGCATCAGCGTATTGCCCTCCTAACCGATCCATATCCAATGCCCAATTCAGTTCTCTCCTCGACTCCTTAGGACATCACTTCATCTTGGGTGCAGACCTAAATGCCAAGCACCAACAATGGGGTTCCAGAACCACGAATTCTCGTGGCCGAACCCTGCTGTCTGCACTCAATTCCCAACGTTTTCACCTCCTTTCCCCCAACTCTCCTACCTACTGGCCCACAGATCCCAACCGTAATCCTGATCTTCTTGATTTCTTTATCCACAGCGGCTTAAGTCCCCTCAATTGTTCCATTACACGTCTAAATGAACTTTCCTCTGACCATAGTCCTCTAATCCTTAATGTTTCACTTGAACCTGTTCCCAAACCTTCTCCACCGTCATTCATTAGGGCCAGTAAACGGGACCTTTTCCGCCAAATAATCTCCGATAATATTGATCTCAACATATCCCTCAAAACTCCCGATGACCTTGATAGTGCCGTAAATTCCTTTACTACCACAATCCAACAAGCCGCCTGGACTGCCTCCTTTCCAAAAGACTCCTCCAGAATTCCTATAAAGACCATTCTACCCCAACACCTCCTTAACCTAATCCGCACCAAACGCCGTGCCAGATTATTATGGCAACGAACCCGACATCCTACCGACCGCTGCTCCTATAATTACTACTGCAAACAATTAAAACTGGAATTAGCCACCTTCAGATCACAATCCTTCAACTCCTACCTATCCTCCCTCTCTTCTCGCGACAATTCCCTTTGGAAAACCACAACAAAAATCCTAAATCCTCACCGCATTTCCCATCCTCTCCGACGAGGTGATGGCTCCTGGGCAGCATCTGACGAAGATAAAGCTGAGGAGTTCGCCATTCACCTATCCAATACATTTATTTCACATCCGGAATCCCATCCTGCCCACACCGTAACAGTAGAAGAACTCCTTACATCACCAATCCCACTTTCCTTGCCCCCAAAAGCTATTCATCCTTCCGAAGTAAAATTTCAATTAAAAAAACTAATCCTCCGTAAAGCTCCTGGACATGATCTCCTTACACCTCAAATCCTTCGACAACTTCCATCCAAAGCAGTCATATTCCTTACATATATCTACAATTGTATCCTACGCACCACCCACTTCCCTCTGTTATGGAAACACTCCACTATTATCCTTTTCCCAAAACCAGGAAAACCTCTCAATAGCTCAACATCCTATAGACCAATCAGCCTACTCCCAATCCTTTCAAAAATTTTTGAAAAGATCCTTTTGAAACGAATCCTACCCATTATAGAATCCCAAAATATCCCTTCCCATCAGTTTGGTTTTCGCTCTCAACATTCTACTGTTCAACAAGGACTCCGAGTCGTTGATCATATTTCCTCAGCCCTAGAAAACAAGGAATACTGTTCGGGTGCCTTTCTGGACATTGCACAGGCATTTGACCGGGTATGGCACTCCGGACTGCTCTCCAAGCTTAAAATCCATTTACCTCAGTCCTTGTACCTAGTCCTCCGATCCTACCTCTCTGACCGCTCCTTTCGAGTTCGCTGTGGAACAGAATTTTCCAATATCTACTCCGTTAAAGCCGGTGTTCCCCAAGGCAGCGTCTTGGGTCCCGTGCTTTACATCCTCTTTACTGCTGACATCCCTGTTCATCCCGATACTTTTCTTGCAACATTCGCTGACGACACCGCAATCTTATCATCCAACTCTGATCCCGAAATAGCATCCTTAAATCTCCAAAGTCATCTCACCTTGATTGAGCACTGGTGTAATAACTGGCGCATTAAAGTTAATGAATCTAAATGCCAACACATTACTTTTACACTCCGACGCAATTCCTGTCCACCAGTACTCTTTAATTCCATCCAGCTTCCTTATTCAGACACAGTCCGGTATCTTGGCTTTCATTTAGACCGAAGACTAACTTGGAACCCGCATACTAGACTCAAAAGACAAGAACTCAACCGACGATACGGCCAACTATACCGACTACTAAGCAGAAAATCTAAACTTTCCATTGAAAACAAGCTACTGATCTACAAGACAATACTGAAACCTATTTGGACTTACGGACTAGAACTGTGGGGATCAGCAAAATTTTCTAACATCAAGCGCATCCAATCCTTCCAGTCTAAAGTCCTTCGAACAATAGTCGATGCTCCTTTCTATGTATCCAACAAAACCCTACATCATGACCTTAACATCCCATTTGTCCTAGACCTTATCCCAGAAAAGTTCTCCAAATTTCACCAGAACCTTACTTACCACCCAAATCCTCTTGCACAATCCCTATCAAGCATCTCCCATCCCTATAATCCTCCAAGAAGGTTGAAACGGCAGTGGCCTCGCGACCTTTTGTAAATTATATAAATTGGAGTTCTGGCAATGGCCGGATTCTTCACTCAAGACATGTGTGTATGTGGCTAAAGTGCTCTCGACCAATCTCCGCTGGCTTTAGTACCAGTGACGCGGTTGGAAGAGTAGCGCAGGGTTCTCCTGGAGTTCCCTCGCCTGATTGTATATAGGTATGCATGTTATTTTTTTTTTTTTCCTTAGTTTTAATTTTCTTATTTTTTAGGTTATTTTATTTTATTGTCTATTGTATATACTTTTGATTATTATTTTGTTCTATTTATTTTATTTTTTTGTACATATGGTGTGAATGTCATCCTACCTCACTATAACCAATGTCGAACAGACAGATTGTTATAATACTCAATAAAGAAATTTAAAAAAAAAATCTTTAATATTTAAATTTATCTAATATTTAAGCTCCATTGTATGATTAAGCCGCTGCATCTCGATTAATTAGGCTTCATTTTGGATTTTTTCAATACAAAGTTTCATCAATATGTTTTCGAGTATGAATAAATAAATAAATATTATGAAGCTAAAGTTAAATTAACCACAGAATACAAACTAAAAAGCCGAAAAGCAACTGATAATAAATTTAACCTTCCGTATTCAGATTTTTCAGCTAATTGTTCGAAATCTTATAATTTTGTAACAGGAGACCACAACATTAAAAAAGATAACTAAAATTAAATTAACAATGAGACAATACATATTTTATTTATTTTGATTAGATATTTTTATTTATTGAAAAATAAATTAATCCTTCGTATTTTGTTTTTTAATCGAAGGAAAAATCAAAAACGCTTAACAAAACCGAAACACAGTGACCTAATCTTAAAATGTAAGTGTTTTTAAAAACTAAGGCTCCGGCATCGTAAAAGTAGACCTTTAAATTGGATAAATTCGAAAAACTTGAATAAGTCGAAACGCGGTGGCCTAATCTTAAAATGGAGGTCGTTTTCAAAATCTACGGCTCCGGAAACATAAAAGTAGACCTTTATATTGGATAAATTCTAAAAACTTAAATAAGTCAAAACACAGTGGCTGTAAACATAAAATGGATGTCATTTTCAAAATTTACTGATCGGGAAACATAAAAATACACCCTTATATCGAATAAGTCAAAAAAACTTAAATGATTCGAAACGCAGTCACGTAATCTTAAAATGGAGGTTATTTTCAAAACTAGGTACAGGACAGCATAATACTAGTCCCTAATAAATCCGAATAGGTACAATAAATCGATATCCGTAAGTGAAAATTCTACTTAGGAGAGCATAATAATAGACTTTCATATTGGAGGGGGGGAGGGGATGGCCATTATTTAAAAAAAAATATAAAATTTACAAAAAATTAAAACATTAATTTGAAATGAAAACGGTTGAATTTGAATTGGAAAAGGTTTAATTTGAAATGGAAATGGTTGAATTTGACTTGGAAAAAGTTTAATTTGATCTGGAAAAGGTAGAATTTGACTTGGAAATGGTTGAATTTGACTTGGAAATAATTGAATATGACATAGAAATATCACACTGAAAAAATCTAAAATGTTAAAATAAATGGATATGCAACCGCGTTATCAAATTTTTTTTTGTATTTTTCAAAAGCTATGCCTTCGATAATATAGTAAGTGGCCTTCATTTCGTAAAAAATCGAAAATTGACAAAAATTCGAAAGTTGAATTTGAAATGGAAAAGGTTGAATTAGACTTGGAAAAGGTTGAATTTGATTTGGATAAGGTTGAAATTTACTTGGAAATGTTATATAATGATCAATAGCTGAGTGTTATTCAATGCTTTTATTATTTTCTGAAATGCTTTTGATAACCATGTATTGTTTATTTTGATAATCTTGTGATTGTACTTAAAGTCTTTAAAGGGATGCTAAGCAGGCAGAAACTTATTCAGAAGCAATATAGATTCAAATGGAGTATATGTATATGTTACAGATTTTAGTGAAACAAATTTTTGACAAAAGATTGGCTTTAAAAACTACCATTTCTAAAGTTTGAACAAAATCACAAATAATGGTATTAATAGATATATTTATAAATCAGTCGCCTATACAGTGGTATGAACAAGCCAAATTTTTATTAAAATGATAATTTTTTCAATTTAAAAGTGTTTGTATGTTCTTCATTGTAAATTAATTAAACCTTGCAGACATTGTAGATATAATATATATTTAAATTAGCAATATATTCAAATAACAACAAGCCAAGGGATCAATCCGTTGTGTTGATGTTATATTCAGGGGTCGAACATTGCTATCTTTTTGTTTAAATTTCACTACTTTGTTATCCACTTCAGTCTTTATTCTTTATTGATAACATCCAGAGCCTTTGCATAAACTATAGGGAGTTAAATGTATCCATAAGAATTGTTATAATATAAGAATTCTCCGTTTTTTTCGGAAAATTTAATATAACATGATAATATAATATTACTTTTATTTTTAAAAAATTGCATAATATCTACATTTTGCAAACAAAATTAAGTTCTGCCTAATCAGCTTAATCCCAGAAGGTATTGAATGTTATGGTTTTGCATCCAGTTTTCCATCTATTCACAAGAAGGGATTAAGATATGATTTTATTAGAAGCTAAATAATATTTTTTTATCAATAAATACTTACTATATCAAGAGCACTAATAGCATCATTGTAAAGGCTTTCATAATCTCTAAGAGAAGATTCAGCCTTGTCAAGGTCTTCCTCTCTAGATTTCGCTCTCTCTTCCAGGTGTATCAACTGTTTGGAAAGTATGTCAGCTTGTCTTCGGGTAGGTTCAGTTGATAAACCTGAATCTACAAGTCTATCGGCAAGGGCAAGAGCTTCACTGACAGCATCACTAGCTCGCGAAAGCTGCAAACATTTACTGTTTTAAATTGGAATTAAACAAAAAAATTTATAATATTAATATTATACAAATGTAGAAACCTGGTAATTCCTTCAGTGTCTGATTATTCAACTCTGGCAATTCAGAACTCATCAATCATAAGTAATAGCAATAAAATTTCATTTTATAGAAATTTTGAGTTAGATTAAGAATTTCAATATAAAGACAGAAATTTCAAATGAACCGACCAACTTACTTGAAATCAACATATAAAAATAGAAGAAGTATCCAAAATGCTGAATATTTGATCGAGTTCAAAATATTAATAATGATGGTTCAAAAATTGGAATAATTTGTAGGTTACCATCATTGTTACTATCATTTACCTATCTCTATCTATATATGTAACATATAGTAAGAGAAAGTATTGTGATCGTGAAAATTTTCGAAACTGAGTTTTTAACGAAAACACACGTTTTGAGGTCCCCTAAATAAAAAAAAATCCCACAAAATGTTGTGTGTGCCTGTGAACAGTCCAGCTCAAAAACGAAAATTCGTACAAAACTGATATTTGGTATTTAAGGTATGTAGTATATGCATGGGAAGTTACAGCAACTTTTTCCCTGCAAAGCGAATGAATACATCGATGAAAAGCAAGTACTTTCTGGGTTTGAATGGTCGAATGTCTTAAAACTAAACATTAATTAAGCACCCCTACGTGGAGACCCAGGTGTCAGCGGACAGATCAGAGAAGTTGGGTCCCTCTGCCGTAAATGCGCATTTACGGCAGAGAGTCTGAAATACCAGCCCATGTGATGGGAAAATGCTCCAACAACTCTCTCCACATAACACATCGTCACCATAGGGCCATGTTCGAGTTGGTGAGGCTCCTTAGGGAAAGGAAATTCACCTGCTTTGACAAGGTCTATTGCATTGATAGAGAAGGCTCTACGAGATACGCGGATATTGTCGAATTTCCCAGGACAGGAAGGACAGCGCTGATCTTGGATCCAACGCTTTGAGAGCAATGACCTCGATCAGACAGGTGAAGTGGAAAGGAAAAAGAAGAACACGTATGATAAATGTATCCCTTTCCTAAAAGAGAAATTCTGTGAGACCTTTGGAGAGAGAGAGATCACTGTGAGAGGCCTCTGGTTTGGGTCTCGTGGAATAATTCCAAAAAGAACAACGAGCTTCCTTGAGAAACTAGGTGTTGACATTAAGGACTTGGGAGGTTGGCTGAAAATATAGTCCTCAACCCTCTGGGAATCATTCACCACCACATGCATGGGGGTAGGGTGAGAGTTTTAATTTATGTATTTATTTAATGAAAAATGTCTATTGTATTTGTTTTGTATTAAATTGTATTTAATTCTAGATGTATACACTTTTGGTATATATCAATCCAATATGATTGAGCAGCAAGCTTTTGTATTTTATATGAAAATAAAGTGTTTCTCTCTATCAAACTCATCACAACAACCAACCAGCAGTTCAACAATTCATCCCTGACCCAAGATTACCTTGATCAGCTCCCATCAATTATTCTGTGCAACCATCCTCCAGCTTCACACTTCATAAATGATACTATTTGTTTGTTTCATTATATAGATTTACTTTATAGGAGTTTGGATAGGCAGAAGTATCAGTCATCAGCATTAATTCTACTTTCACTTTTCAGGCTAAGCTCATTGTCCAAACTTAATTCTGTCCCAAGACAATTGAACGATGACAACCTGTTGTAACTTATAGGATTCTATTTCTAGGAATGGTTACTGGATCTCCCCTCCCCCTCTCCAAACCAGCACACATATGTTTTTGTTTTTTTGTTTGTTAACAGTGAATTCAAGAGCAGCCTTCTCTAAACCCTCCTTTAGGGTGTACACTAATCAGGCTGTGAGGTCGAAGTCATCTGCATAACCTCGAAACTGAACCCAGTGGGAAATAATTATTCGGGAAGTTAAGAGACCATTTACCCTTATTCAGTTGAATTTATTTTTCATAGTTACGAACCTATTCCTGAAATAATGGCTAACACTAAAAAGAAACACAGGTTAGATTTGAATAACCAGTGTCTTAATTCATATAAAGTTATTAAAATGTTATACAGACAATTCTTACTCAGCACTTTCGGCTAGTTGATTCCCTTTCAGACCTATTTGTTTAGCTGCCCCTAATGGACCAAGAAATCTTATTCATTAGCTATGTTAGAATGATTGAAATAAATAATTTGTATTGAATATATATACGTTGACCATTGCATTATAAAGGAAGGAGATGGTTCAAGGTGGCGGTCATAAATAGGCTAAATAGTGGAAAAACTATTTTTATTAAAAGCAAACGTTTTGACCCGACTTTGCTGGTATGTAAATGAATTTATTTCTATACTTACATTTTACTTCTTCCATTTTTGTTTTTATTCACATTGTACTCTTATCTATAATCTCTTAACTCTATTTTATATGTATATGTATATGTTTATAATTTAATATTTCATAGATATAGTATTTTTCCATTGTATCCATCCATATCTTCAAATTTTAGATACTGTAATTTTCTAGGTTTTCCCCATTACCCAAACAAGTCAGCTTCCCCTATATCTGCCCTTACCCTGGTTTTCCAGTTTTAAATGAAACTCCTAGCTGAACACACCTGTAAGTCTCTAATTTTATTCTTCCAATTTTATTTACTTATTTAATTTTTTGAATTTCTTATTTCTTTTCTTTCTCCACATTCCTTTATGTCTATTATTTCATATTATATCCTTTTTCCTTTTCTTTCAATTTCTCCTGTAGATCTGTAGAAGTATATTCACATTTGCATTTATTATATATTACACTTCAACAATTGTTAGCATTTATTTACTTCAGTTTAGGATCTTGTTACTTAGCTTACTCTGTCCATATTTTAATCTACTTACTGTTTATAATTTTAATAAGCTTATTCACATTGTTTATGATTGTTTGTCTAAATATTATGTAACTTTGGCTTTGTAAACGTTGGCTTTTAATAAAAATAGTTTTTCCACTATTTATGACCACCACCCTGGACCATCTTCTTCCCTTAAATAATTTGTATGTACAAATATAAAATCATTGAAACATTCTTAATGTTATAAAAATAAGTGTAAAATAAAAAAGTTTTCAATAATATTTTTGTCTTCATATTAATGAAGATTTAATATCATGTATTGGTCATAAAAATATAAAACTGGAAATAAAATAAATAATACAATAATTTTACTTACTTTGCCATTAAAAGATGAAAGTTGGTCATGCTGTGTTCTCAAAGTCTTAAAATCTCTACCTGGTGGTTTCATTGATTCAAGCTCCATTTCAAGAGCGCTTAAATCTCCAGTAAGTAACCTCACACGCTCCTGATATTAATTATAAAAATAAATTAGTAAAGCCAAAGATGAAGATAAAATTTTCGTTAAATTATTTAAATAGCAAATGAATTTGAATTTAGCCAAACAATAGTCTAATATATGTAAAGTAATTAATTAAAAAAGACTAAGAGTAAATATAAAGTAATTTTATTATTTGCTAAAAATCAAAACAATAAGTACAATACTTTTATACTTGGAGGCAAATTAAGACCACTTAGATGATTATCGAAGATGCAACACATTTTCATGCAAGAAACAAATAATAACCATATATTTTGTCTAAGAGGCACATAAAAACATGAAACAAAATATATAAGATAAAAATCCTCTTAGTATAGGCGAGAGGTCTAGAGAGAAGGGTGGATGTGGCTGAATTTCATAAGCAAGCTCCAACAGTTTTTGTGATGCCCCCCGGGGACATGTGGCCAGGCATTTTCATACAACAAAATAGGCCCCTTCTGATTGACCAAAGGTGGCTTCATTATTGCTAATTTCTGATGCATTGCATTAATTTGGTTACAATACGATTCAGCATTAATGGTTTCAGGGTCAGCCCTACTCATTTCCATTTACACTTTTTAATTTCTATCTTATTATTATTTTTCTTCCTTATTATATTATTATTTTATTTTTACCTTATTATTTTATTTTTCATAGTTTCTCATAAGTATTATTATCTGTTTTTTTCTTAGCCCTGATGAAGGCCTGGACTTTGGGCCAAAATGTCAGCAAAAATAAAATAAATATTATTTATTTATTTTTACATTTTTTTTAATGAACAGCCCAACTAATATTCTCTTCAATTATTCACTACAGTCAACCATTAATCCACAACTTATTATTTCTTGATGAATTGGTTGCTGGTTAGTGGCTTTCCATAGTCCCTCATTGGATATGCGCTCTGGCTACCAAATTTGCAATATTTTACACAGGCATCAGTTAAATAAGGTCTGTAGTGGGCGAGTGATCCATTCGGTTACCTTTCATTTTTCTCTGCTATAAAGAATTTGCACCTTTGATGATAGCAGGTTGTAATGTTATAGTATTAATTTATCATGTAATTTAATTAAATTTGTCAAACATTTTCAATTCATTTTTTCTTTGTAACTGACAATGATCCAGTTTTAATTTAAGAACTACTTATTATTGAACCATTTAAAGTAGTGTAAGTAAAAAAGTAAAGCTTTTAGACATTGATACCTTAGTAGAAGTACTATAAAGGCTGGCATAGATTTATATAAATTTCTTAGTAAAGAGTTACAACTTACTTTTTCTGATAAAAATAGCTAGTCAAGCGTAGCAAACAATTTAACACAACTTATATTTAACCCTGTGGGAAGTTAGAGCATTGCCCTCTTATTAGAGGATAACTACAAGTTGAAACATACTAGCAAAAACAGGATAATTAATAATTTAATTTAATAATATTTAACTTATAGGAAGTGCAATTTTGGTTATTATTTTACTTCTGAAGTATTGTGTTTACTAGTTTTTTAAAGCTTGCTTTAATGTACACCAATTTGTGAAGTTTCACAATTAAGATTATTTATTTATTTTAATGGACAACCTTTTAGCCCCACTTTGGGGGTCGGGGTCTATTTTCTTTAATAAAATATTTTACATCAACTTTTTAAAAAATATTTCTTGGTATCAAATAGTAAATATCAAGGATTAAAACTATTTTAATAGCTTCATTGAAACATTTTAGGAAAAAAGTTTTAGAAATAAAAGTTTAAAGGATTTTTTTAAAAATAAAGTTAAAATGTAGTCAATTTCAAGACATAAATTAAATAGGTCAACAATAAGTAAACATGATTAATATAATTGAATTGATATTTAACAAATTAAAAATATTAAGGTGTAAATAAAAATGAAAGTATTACGTTTATCCTAGAAGAGATAACATTTGGGCTTTGTGTTCATTTGACAAACTTGACATTAATATTTGGCATACTATTACAATATTTAAATAAAATACATCTTGATTTCTTAGTAACGGAATTAATTTTTACTTTTTTTTATTTTATTATTTTAATGGAATTTACAACTGTATTACATAGAAAATACAATAAGTAAATGTGAAATTGGTAACATGACATGTACAACATGAAGAGAAACTACCCATTGGTAGAACTCAATAATTTTTATTAAATCTTTTTTTTTTTAGTAAAATCTTAACTAATTTGAATTCCTCAATTTACCTTCCTTATTTCCGTTTATATATATATATATATATATATATATATATATATATATATATATATATATATATATAATATATATATATATATATATATATATATATATATATATATATATATAGGTATTTTCAGACAAAGGGAAATTGAAGTAGATAATAAATCAAGTTTTAAAAATATTCATTAATGGAAGGATTGAATGAAATGGTATAGGTCATTTTCATAATAAATAATTAATTGATTATTTAGTGTGTTAAATTCATATTTTATTTTTTGACTTGAGCATCCGCTAAAATAAATTAATGTTTTAAAGAATTATAAAGTTTATTAGTTATGCCTTAAAATTGTTTGTTCCTCTTTTAAAGTTAATTTATGGCACATGTACTCTCTATCGAAGTAAACATATCTATTGAGTTTTACCTGTACCACTACAACCCATGAAGGGTCTGGGGTTCAGTACTATTTAGGGAAAGCACTGTTCCTAGGTCAACGGTTGTGCAAGGAGGTGATTTGACCGAGATCACACTTCAATTTTCCCCCCTTAATTAATTATTTAATTAAAGGTACCCACTTTATAGAGGCTGGGTGTGCCCCAGGAGGGTCTCCTGACCCAGGCTCGCCCCACGGCCAATGAAACAGATAAATAAATTTTCTGCCATGAGCCGGGGTTCGAACCTGGGACCTTTGCATTGGAAGCTCAGTGCCCTACCACTGAGCTACCCCACTCCCCCTATTGAGTTTTAAATACTTTTAATTTAAAGTTAAAATACATGAGCTGTGTTTTCTGTTAGCATCGAATTTGGCAAGAATTTCCTCCCAAGCCTTTTTTTTTTTTTTTTTTTTTTTGTATTTGAAACAGTATCTCTATCTTTATTTTCAATAATATCAGCTTTTTCGAGAACTACAGATGTGAGGAACTGTAACTCCTCTCCACAAAATCTTATTCTTTTTATATCACTCATCTATATAATAAGAATATAAAAAAAAGATGATAAAGGTTTATTATGTATTTGAACAGTCCAGTTACCTCCTTTACTTACTCGATGTTTAATCGATATTTTAACACGTTTTCGCACCAATGTTTAAGAAAAGAAAAAGTAGTTATATAGCATCATCTGGCTAATATAGAACTGATTCTATGAAGTGGAGTGGAGAAAATAATTTTCTCAATAAAATTTTTCTTTTTTAGCTTTTAACCTACCTCTTAAATACTCAGAAAATAGTTTGAACCAAGAAGTTTCATTTCACTAGATTTTATTTAGGTACAAGTATAATAATAACAAAAATAATAATTTTAGAAGTTTAATAATGGCAAAAATAATAATAATAACACGACAATTACATTTTGTATCAGTTAAATATAAGTTGTAGTGAGTGGAGAGTTTTCGGGGTGATGAAAGTCCCTCTATCTCCCCTAAATGTCTCTATATTAGAAGGGAAGTTTAAGGGATGGACTCTGACCACTAGCCTTTCAAGGATGATACGGGAATACTGGAATATAAGGGATGACTATACATACCACCACCAGAGTCTAACGGGAACTTCTCGAGAGTCCAATCCTGAATAATGCCTGAACTTTGAACCAAAATGTCGGCAAATATATAAATAAATATGATTTATTTATTAGTAATTTGCTTATTTTTGACTGAACACCCCAACTAACTTTTCTTCAATTATTCATTACAGTCAACTATCATACCACTATTGTAAAAATTAATAATTTAGAAAATTAAATAAATATGAAATTCTGAACAGGATTATAAAATATAACAATGTACAACATGAATAATATTTTTAAATTGAATGAAAAAATATTCTTATAACCAAATGTACAAATCTTTGTCACAACTTTTTTTTTTTCACACAAATTTGAAATTTCTTCTCTGCTCCCCCCTCTTAGGCAGAAACAGACAGTTTTTTAAAAATTGAAACCAGTTTTTTCTAAAATCTCATCCAGGTTAACCAAATGTCCAAATAATCTGGCTGTGGATTAGAAGAATTGTACAGCATTAAGGACATAACACTGGAAAAAAAAGAGGAAAAAGATTTTTTTTTTTTAATTCTAATATCCACAGGATTAGAAAGAGGTTCAAAAGAGATATTGAATTAAATCCCAACAGCACCATTCTTCAAATTCTTATCAAATAAGGACTAAAAAATCGAGTATTTTTATGGTGGAAATGTAAATGTATTTATAACTCCTGTGGCAGCTAAATTAGCAACTTGAGAGAGGTCCTGAGTCAGAGGTACGATGCTTTGAAAAATTATACTAATCAAGTCATTATGAAACATGGGGTGTTTCGAAGGATAATGAAAATAATTCTATATCTTATCAATCATATTTAAGTATTATATATTATAAATATACAACATTAAAACTGAGACATAACATAGAAGGGAATCATTATGTTCAAAGCCTTCTTTCTACCTTACTATGAAAAGAAATATGTAACTATTAGTATAAAGAAAGTCCTAAATTATCTATGAAACTGGTAAGATAAGAAAATCAATAGCAATAGATATTCTTCTCACTTTTATCATTCTTTATCTTGATATTCCTAGAATCGATAAAGCCATATTACTCAAGCCAAAACATCAGAACAAATTAATTGGTATATTTTGTCACTATGTTTTATTTCCGAAATATGTTGAAGAAAATCAATAATTATCATTTACTAATACCTATTAAAAAATATGAAGATACTAACATTATATTGTTGTGCAGCAACTGCTGCTGATTCTGCTGTTGAACATCGATCCCTAAGTCTTTCACTTAGATCATCAAGTCTTTCTCCAAGACCAACTACTTCTTCCATGAGCCCAGATTGTTTGCCAGAGGCTTCTAAAGCAAGCTAAAACATAAAAAAAAATATAAAAACACATAAATAAGAATCAAAATTAAAAAATAACAGTCCAAAAATGGATGGAGCCGACAATTGCAATACATAATTACAATCATAAGAAAAGATCCTACAATGACAAACAATACTTGCTGATATCATGGATTTTATTTTTGAATACATTGAACCCTCACTATAATGAGACTTCGCAGATCATTATAATTCAGATATATTATTGGTTTAGCCCAGACCCGGTCTGACTCCATTTGGGGCCCTCAGCTAGTCTGAAGTGGGCCCTCTTTTCTGTTCTGGAAACTAATTATAAAGATATTTTCTTTCCTTTTCCTAGTTCCATCATGGTTTACATGTTTCAAGTTGATACCACTGACTAATGCACAACCTATAGTGGCATGCACTTTAGTACAGTAACCTTGTCATGAAATTGGAGGTCTAAGTTGCATTAAGTGGTGGTGAAAGGTTTCTTTTTATTCCTTGTATGGGATGTGACTGAGTGCAAAATCAAAATTTTCGACTTTGGCTGAACGCTGGATCATTTTTGAAACACCAAAGACAAAGAACACCATACATTTTTAAACTAGATTAAATTTATTACAATTTGAGACCAAAATAAGCTCGGTAAACCAAATAGGTTTCGAACTACAACTTTTCAAAATTTGACAAATTTTCAAAACTTAAAAATTTTAAACTATAAGAATTTTCATGTTTTATCATATGCAATTGTATTTATAACTGCAATAACCTGTCTAATATGAGTCAGTGAAATAAACATTTATTCATTTTAACATTTTGAAGGAGGGATGAGGGAGGAGGAGGATAGTTTGGTGAGTGATGGGGAGATCACTGTTTACAACCAGACGACTGAAACTGAAATAAAAAATTTGTTTAGAAAATATTTACATCAAGTGTATACAAGAAATGTATATGAAGTGAATGAAAGTGTATAGAAATGTAAATTAAAGGTTTTATATCATTTTTAGAACCCCTAGAACACACATATAAAAGTTCTAGAAATGTCTAATACATATACATATTATTATTGTTTTTAAGGGAGTTCCTTTATATCAACTGGGATTTGAATTTAAAATATGAATCGTTTCTTTTGTCCACCCCTTTCTCGCCTTTTAGGCTAAACATACAGGCCTCTGCCACATCAATCAGTACCATATAATTGTATAGTTATAGTGCTATAATAACGTTTTTAGTACATCAATTCATTTGTATTAACAAACAAGTATAAATGTAATATCTTAATGGTCTAAACAATTTGGCGCCAACTCAGCACAAAATCAAGGAAATGAAAAAAAATGAATTTATGGATTAAAGTAATTATTTTATTTGTGATATACGATTTTTACTAAACAGCCCAGTAACTATTCATTTAATGTAATTCAGATTAAGTATATATTTTAGTTTAATATAGGTATTAATATGACTTAAATTCAAGATATTCAGCCAACTATTTTAAAATTAGGTTTTATTATTATTATTATATCATTTTTACAATAGATGCCTTCTTAAACGTTCTTCATATAGAAAAAGAAGTAAAAATAAAAAAAAAACTTAATAATTTCTTTGGATAATTTAATTATTGCATTAATATTGTTTTTCAACTCTTTGACTGCGGACGGCATACATGCCTTCCTATTAAGTGTTGGGTCACTGGAGTGGACGGAATATATGCCATCCCGGTAGTGAGTTGGGTCAGTGGTGCAGCTGGGATACATGCCTACTCACCTGGATGGTCAACACTTTAACAGCTAGGGGCAAGCCCCGCCTTCGCCGTTTGACTTGTGGCTTGGTTGGTGCATTTATTAGTCCCCATGTAGCTGACTCAGTGCAGTCGTTCCGGATTCTGACCATTTGGAAGCTATCAGTTGCAGATTTATTCTGAACCTAAGGTATGTCCTTTCTCTGTTATTTGCGTCATATCCATGATCTTATTTATATTCTTTTTTAATGTTTCATACATTAAATAAATGTTAATAGGTTCATTTTATAATTTTTTCTTCTTTTTCTTTTTAATTTTTGTTTAGACTGAATTCTGATTTTGGTACACGTGAATATCTTTCTACTAAACAAATAAATGTAAGTTTCCTACATTATATATATAATGTAACCAATTATTAACCCTTTAGATGAGCCAAGCCAATATAATGGATAAAGCCGGCTATGACACCAGTGCCCAATACCAATACAGTGGCTCCGGATAGACCATGGTCCTGGTGCGCTGAGCTAATATATTGGCTTCAGCTTTTTATCGTTTAGTTGCGCAAAACTAATATTCCGTCTTATTAAAGAGCTCTCTACGGGGAACCCCATGAATGATAGGTTTTTGCTGGAAACTAGATAGTGTAAGATGTATAATTTAGTCACGGGCATCCTTTAGGGTAAGGTCTGTCCTCAACCCTTCGTATACCTGCTTTCACCCCCCCCCCAAAATAAAAGAAAAAAAGAAAGAGGTCATGATTTTATTGTTTATGATTTTATGAAGAAAGATGATTTTAGTGTAAAACTATTTTAAAAAAAAAATGTATAATTTTTTTTTAATAAATTGAAATATATTTAATAAAATTTGTCATACAATGAAACGTTTTGTTAATTTTTCCAATATCAAACATTAATGGAAATTGGTTAATAATAAAAAAGTTAATAAAAAATTTCAAAAGAACAAAAAAATAATGACATTATGTATACCAAAAATTTTTTAGAATATATTAAAAAATAACAAATGTTACAGTATAATGTAAAAGTAATGTAAGACAATTAATAAATTATAAAGTTAAAAGAAAAGAAAACCAGCTAAGGATCTTTATTATGTTAAAATATCTAAGAATTTTTTTTAGATATTTTTTAACTGCTGTTTCTTAAATTGTTGCTCAAAATGCCTACATAACTGTCTGCCTTAAAAATGCTATTAATCAGAAATAGTTTTCCAAACCAGTGAAATAAGATCTCCAACCAATAACATGATCCCATCCCCTCCGTGTATCGAACATTTGATGGTTTAGATCCTCTGTTTGGTTTTCGACATATATACTTCATTTCTGTAGCTTCCTTAGACATATATTATATTACTTGAATTGATAAACAGAACATTTTACTAATATTATATTGGTTCGTACAGATATTCCTTGGTAAACTCTTCTTCTATTAACACCAATGACAAATGTTTATTCCTGGGTATCCTACCATGTAATTCATCATGATAAGGGGCTCTTCTTACACTTGACTCACTGACCTGCTTGTTGGTAGTTCTCACCACTATATTTGCTAATCTCCAAGTACTAGAGAACAGATTATTTGTAGCTTCTATGATGATGTACCTGCACTCTTGAGGCCCCAATACCTTAAGATAAGCTTTTTGTGGTTTGTAAAGGTGACGTCTGTTTTACCATAACTTTTAATGTTTTAAAAAACCAGCAATGAACTAACGTTTAAGGATTAACCGATTTCCTAATATTTTTTCCCCACTGTTTCTTAATGAAATAATTTCTTTTAGAATGACAATAGACATTTTACCTTGTTTTGGTGTAATTTTCACTCAAATACAGACCTGTAATTAATAATAAAAAATAAAATAAATGTTACCTCTCTATCGAGATCTTCACAGGTCTGATTAAGTTGAGACAATGGTGGTCTTAAAGCTTGTACATCATCTCTTAATGTTTTCAACTTCATAAGAGTGGCTGAAAAATAAAAATAAATTATGTTAATACTTCTTACAACAGCAAGGCAACTTTTGTCCCTCCTCCCACACAATATTTTATGAATAAATCCAATATTTTGCAGTCATTTAAAAAGTTTAATAAATTGTTTAGGTAGTAATTATATAATATTATCAGTAATAATTTGATTAATGAAGTATCCATTTATGCACCTCCCATCTATGCATTGAAAATTGTTATCATATTACTCTAACTTTCGCACAAGCAATACTTTCTTAACAGTGGTGCTTATATTGAGAGAAATTGTCTCTCTCTCTCTCTCTCTCTCTCTCTCTCTCTCTCTATATATATATATATATATATATATATATATATATATATATATATATATATATATATATATATATATATATATACACAAAAACAAACCTGTTACAATATTTAAAAATAATTTCAAATAAAAAGACTAGTATTACAAACCTGGATCAGCAGTTGTAGACAGAGAATCATGAGTACCAAGACGATCCTCACAACGCTGTATTGAGTGAGACATTCCTCGTAGTCTTTCACTGGTCTCAGAAAGACGTCTTCCCAGCTCTTCAAGTCTTGACGTTTTGGATACCAGATCTTCACATACACAAAATGCAAACACATAAATATATAAGCTTGAATACAAAAATACTCAATAAATGCTGTCATTTAACCAAACCATTATTGAGTCTGTCCCAACGTTCTCGTACAGCAGAAATCTCTTTTGTAACAACATCTTTATCAACATCACAAGCCCCAATAAAAGTTTCACCAAGTGACCTCAAATGTTCAAATTCTCCTGATTTTTTCCAAACCTAAAGTGGGAGAGACAAGAGAAAGAAAACTTAAAAAGTAATTTTTAACAAAACAATATTTTAGCATGAAGTCTATTCAAGGTACATACATCATTCCTAAGAGAAGAAAGATCTCTAAGGTGCTTATCGAGATCTCGTCTAGAAAATGACTCCGGACTGAGTGATTCCAACTTATTTTCAACTTGAGACAACCATGGGATAAATGCTTCCAATCCTTTGTAGTATTTTCTACAATGCTCCTATAAAAATAATACATTATTGTTTAAGAAAGTAAAATGGGGTTTCAACAGAAACTTAGTTTAATTACCATGCAAGTTTGAAGTCTAGTCTGTCTGTCGGTAGCTTCTCTTCTTAATTTCTCCCACTGTTGCCTTAAGCTTTCAACTTCCCGCTTCCCTCCTCTTTCAAGAAGAAGAACTACCTCATGCTCTTTGGATAACATTTCTCTATAGATTGGCTGAACAATATAACAAACATTATTTATATTTATTTATTTATATGATATTTACAACTGTATACAAAAAATACATCTGGTAAATTCGCACATAGATATAATGACATGAAACACATGTTGAGAAACAACCCATTGGTAGCACTCTAATAACAAACATCATATATAGATTAAGTTCCATTAAAATAGAACCATAATTAAACAGTGAAAGTTGTCTAAACTAAAAATTGGGAAAAAAAAAAATGTAAAATCTGACCAAATTCATTAGATAGCAATAAAAAAAACAATGAAACATCAACTTCATGTTCACAAATAAGATACCAAAATATTAAATATTTAACACATTAAATAATCAATAGTTGACTATATTCCAATAGTTGATAGTCATTATCAACTATTCGTAGAATAGTTGAAGAATAAGTTGGTATGGATGACGTTTGAAAAAAAGTTCAAAATAATAAAGAGTACTACTTTTAAATTTTTCTTGGTCGTCACTCTGACGATTCCATTTTTATATGGTTAAAACAAGAATAAAATCCCAGAAAATATGATCATTCTCCAAGAAAATATTCATGAAATAATACATGGTCATGGAATAAACGTCAGGAGAATTGTAATGCTGTCGTAATTAGGTTAATCAAACTGTAAATACAATTAACTTTATAAAATATAAATATTTTGAAGCTAAGCAAATTCTTGAACTAATGGTCTCAATAAATAAAATCAGCATACACTTCACCTAATATATTGAAGAATGAGATGATGAAATGAAAATAATGATAAAATTAGTTATTATGATCGACTAAAATCTAAATAATAAAGCAATACCTCATGGTTATCGACTTGCTGTTGCAGGATATCACGGTCAGCAGAAATAAGAAGGCGATCACTAAGATTGGTGAGACTGTCTGAGACCCACCCAAGAGTTTTAGCAACAGCTGCATCAAATTCTTTTCCATCCCTGCAAAAAAACATTAAATATTAATAACAATCTTTTATATATACTTTAGTCATTTATGATGAAAAAAGGAAGATAGAAAAATTATTTAATTTATTAAAAATTTCAACTTTTGGGCTCGATATAAAAATGGCAAACAATTAAATAAATTAATTTACTTATTAAAATTAAAAATATAAATATTCAATTAATTATATTTCACATAACACATCAGGTTATATACAGTTAAAATTCAAAACCTGCTTAAAAAAAGAAAAAAACAAACACAATTATTAAAATTTAATGAGCATAATCCCATGTTATGCTGTATTAATACATTTGGCCAAAAATATAAATAAATTACAAAAAAAAAGTATTCAAATACAAATGACTTAATTTCATTAATTTGGAATAATAATAAAAAAAATATATATCGAAAAAGATTTGTAGGGCATCACAAAATTTTAGGGACAACTCAACATTTTAACACCAAGAAATAAACTAGAAAATTTTGGCAACTTGTCTTGTTAGCATCCCTTAAATATAGGCAACAAAAATAAAGATGTACACTCAGGCCTGTTTTATTTTTATTTTTTTGTGGTGATATATAGCGATGTAATAAGGTTTTGAGTTATTTTCTTTAAAATGAATATTTGCATACTCTCACTATTTATATAGATAGAGCCCATTTATCACATAAACTGGTTAAAGTGTACTATATTATAAATGTTTACATTATTCAGAATAACAAAGTATCCCAAAATACATATTATCTATATGCTTGCACACCTAATTTATAGCACATATGAAATTCAATATCATAACAATATTACATTTTTTGTTTGGTACCTTTTTGAGTCCCCATACATAATAAATTTGTCTTTGCAAAAGATTTGAAAAAAAAATTAATAATTCATTGATTTTATCAACAATATACAATCTAAAATACAACCCTTACTTGAGACCTTGTTTATAATATACAATATAATTATTTAAGAAACTTCACAAATAAGTGAAATAGATACTTGTTTACATAAAAATATAACCTTGCCGGGTTAAACACTAGATAAATGTTAACCAAATAGATCCTTGTAAGAAAAATAAGTACTTTAAAACTTGATATACTCTTTGGAAAAACAATATTATTTAATTTATGAGAAATTATCCAATTTCAATTTATTATTAATTATAAACAAAATAAATGTATCTACTAACTTAACTAATGCTTCTATTTCTGCTTTCCTGAGGTCTAACTTAGCCTGTAAAAGACTATATTGCTTATTCACATCCCCAAGTTTGGCCTGTATGTCTGACCTTGAAGCTGGGTCAGTTAAAACCCGACAAAGTTCTGCACCAGCAGCTTCTGCATCAGCTAATAACTGACGTACACCTTCCAATTGCCTTTCACAACCCTGAGGAAAAAAAACAGATATATATATATATACAAAGCACAATATACACCTTTATAGGAAGTTGGTAAAAATGGTTTAGTAAGCTAATGTTGAACAGTTAAAAGGTAAGTTAATCTATCTAGTTCTGCTGTCAGGGGATTTTTAAATTTGAAAAATAGTTTTACTAGTTCAGGGAAAAGAAAGTGGCTGCTCTGTAGTTTCCCCAAAAGGAAAATCCCAAATAGAAGAGGAACAAAGGATTTTTGTTTTAGCAAGAGGTTGTTGTTTAGCTGGGGAACTAGTTGTTTAGGATTACAAGAGAGAGGATCTCCCAAGAAGCTGGTTGAGTTGAGAAGATGAAAGTGTCACCATTTTGGAAGGTGTGTTTGAAGAAAAATGAATTCAGTGCCACAAAAGAAGAAATAGTGTAATATAAATAAAATTAATACTTTTACAGCATATAAAAATGACCCAATGACAAAATTACACAATATTAATATTATAACATATTCATGATACAGAATATTCACTATTTACCTGAATTTTTCGTAATGATTCTTCAGATGGTTCAGAAGGAATAGCATCAACTTGCAGAGAGATATTTGAAAGAGCATCTTTAAGTCTAGTCAAACCTGAATCAAAGTCACGACTGGAATCTACAGCCGCACCTAAAGAACTTGCTCTGTCTTCCAGCTTTCTAGATAGCTCTTCCCATCTATCAGATATTCCACTAACTTTTGCCCTGCAAGCATATAAAGAATATTTTATATGCCAATATATGCCGATGTCATTATAATTACTCTTAGGGGACTAAATGTCCCAGAATAAATTTTTTTTTTATTGAATATTTAATAGTTGACCATTGCATTATTAAGGAAGGAGATGGTCCGGGGTGGCAGTCATAAATAGACTAAATAGTGACAAAATTATTTTATTAAAAGCCAATGTTTCGACTCGACTTTGCAGTTCTTTTTCAGGGCTAGAACAGACAAGATACAAAAAGATATAGAGCATTGTGGAAGTTACATCACATTTAGATAAAAAATTATAACCAACGAGAATAAAATTATAAACAGTAAGTACATTAAAATATTAAGAACAATAAGTTGTATACACAGAATAAGCTAAGTAACAAGATCCTAACCTGGAGTAAATAGATGGTAACAATTGTAGCATAATAAAATATAACATATGCAATTGTGAATATACTCCTACAGATCTACAGGAGAGATTGGAAGAAAAGGAAACAGGATATATATGAAATAATGGGCATAAAGGGATGTGGAGAAAGAGAAGAAAAACAAAAAATAAAAAGTAAATACAATTAGTAAAATAAAAATAGAGACTTACAGGTGTGTTCAGCAAAGAGTTTCACCTAGAACTGGAAAACCAGGGTACGGGTAGGTATTGGGGAAAATTGTTGACCTGGTTGGGTAATGGTGAGGGGATAAGTAGTAAAAGTAAAAAATACCTGGAAAGTTAAAGTATCTAAAATTTGAAGATATGGATGGATACAAGGGAAAATATTATATCTATGAAATAATAAATTATAAATATATACATATTCATATAAAATAGAATTAAGAAATTATAGATAGGAGTACAATCTGAATAAAAACAAAAATGAAAGAAGTAAAACGTACATAGAAGTAAAATATAAATATACATACAGAAATAGACCATACATTGCAGAACTAATTTAGAAGTATAGAGAGGAAAAAATATGAATAATTATAATTATACTTAGTTGTACATATGTAAAAAAATTACATTTAAATATTAGATAATATTGAGACATGAAGGTTAAAAAGTAAAATGAATACAAATTAAAAACGGATGATCGTACATATATGTAGAATGTAAAAGAAATAAAATTAAATTAAAATAAAAGAGAGATCATACAAAGTGGAAATACTTAAAATGAATGAATTAATCAATAAAAATTGAAAATAGATAAAAACAATAAGATGTAATAAATAAGTTATTTTTCACTTATAAGATTTAAAATATGCCTATAAGTTAAAGAAATGTAGTTTTTATCTACTTTATGATTAACAGGATTCTGTTCCATAATCTGTTAATCATAAAGTAATTTTCTTACATATGTACAACTAAGTATAACTATAATTATTCATATTTGTTTCCTCTCTATACTTCTAAATTAGTTCAGCAATGAATGGTATCTTATTTCTATATTTATACACTGACAGGCAAAAAATTCCACCCACTTGATTTTTTCATCTAAAAATATTTCTGCTTTGGATTGGTCTATTGTTTTTAATGAATAAATAGGTAATCTTTTTGTTTGTTTTCAATTAGGAATGTTTAATATAGAGGACAATAACCCTTAATCCTTAATTCAATGAATGAATCTAATTCCAATGTTTTCTTTCTATGGGATCAAATGTTTATTCAGTACATTAGTCAGTGCCGTTTCTTGCAGCACATTTCTTAGTCCTCCGGCTTTTAATTTCTTCAATATTAAGCGTAAAAATGCCTCTAGTGCGAGGATGTTGCGCGTGGTGTGCACTTATAGATAATGGACGTTCCATTAGATATGCAGCTAATGGCCATCGGAGTTCCATATGAAACTTTACAAGACATTGTATGTTGAAATGAGTATGGATTAACGGCTTTACGTCCAGTATGAGGACCAGAGTTGACCAGAACTCACAGAGAAACACGGCTGGGCTTTTGCTCGGAGAACACAGCCATTTGACTATGGACGAAATGGAGTGCTGTACTTTATACAGATGAGGTCCCAAGATTCGCTCATTCGTCATCAGATGGTCGTGGAAGGGTGTGGAGAAGAAGAACGAAAGATATGTAGCCTGTAATTTTTCCAGAGCAACCTTTCCAACGTGGTTTTCCTAATGGTGTGGGCTTGGATTTCAATGAGCAACCGCACAGAATTGGTTGTTTTTCGTCAGCAAAGGACATTTCCCGACTGGTGGAAGTATGCCGAGGCGTCTTCAAGAAGTAGGTGAAGGCAGAGGAGGAAACACGCCGCTACTACCCTATTATGTAATTAATTTCTTTTAGAATAATAATGTTCGTTTTTCATTTATTTTTCCTCTAATATTTCTTACCCAATCACATTTTGATTATTAATGGTAAAAAAGATATAAAATTCTATAAATACTAAGTATTATCTACAGATACCATTATATACAAATACAACTTTTTTACAAGTGCGTGAAAATTTTTAGATGAAAAAATCAAGTGGGTGGAATTTTTTCATGTCATTGTATTTTACGTCTTGCAACTTCCTGTTTTATTACATGTACACCTATCTATAAATTCTTAATCTAGTTTTATATGTATAAAATATATTTATTATTTATTAATTCATAGATATAGTAATTTTTCCGTTGTATCCATTGCATATCTTGCAAAATTTTTATGATCTGTCCATTTTCCAGGTTTTTTACTTACCAGGATCTTGTACATAGCTACTCGTATAAACAGTTTATTGTTCTTAATATTTAATGTACTACTGTTTATAATTTTAATAAGTTTATTCACATTGGTTATAATTTTTTTATCTAAATATGATGAACTTCCACATTCTCTACATCTAATATATCTTGTCTTTCTAGCCCTGAAAAAGACCTGCAAGGTCGGGTCGAAAACCTTAGTGTTTAATAAAAAAGATAATTGGCCAACTCATTTAGTCTTATTTTGACCACACCCGGACCATCTTCATTCTTCCTTTAATATTTTTCCTTTCTTCAATAAAATTATAGAAAAAAGTCATATCATAATATTACAATAAATTGATTATAATAGAAGTAATTTAAAACTAGATGGTTATCACAAAATAAATTATTTTATTTTAAAAATATAATTTTCAGAAACTTTTATAATCAAGAAATACATGGAACATATGAATAAATAGCTCTTCTCAAGCAGCAATGTGTAATGCATATGCAGGCTCATAATGCTGATGATTTATGTTGGCTATTCCTGGTATAAGTCAGGGAACAAATTTTGAGGGGTGGCCAAAGCCATTTCAACAGAACTGGTAATAATAAAGGGTCCAGATTTCAGACAAGATATTCCTACTAAGATGATATATGACCTGAACCTTCCAGTATGTCCCACTCTGACATTCTGAAGTCCTAAAGTTAAATTGGACAGTGCTATCATGGTAAAACTGTATTCGGCTGCCAAAAGCCAAATGGGCTATTTGTTAACGACATATATGTTTAAAAAAAAATGTTGCAGTTAAAATACTAAACTGGATATGAATCAAATGAAGTTTCTGTCATTTGACATCATACAACTAAGTTCTCCCAGAAAAATTCCTAGAAATCACAAATATAGGTTGTACAATGCTATGATGTAACAAAGAGAGCACGCGAAACGCCAAAAACTAGATGAAGAAATAGAATCAACAAAGATGCTGCAGAGCTGCTTACAGATAACTGAAAAGTACATAATAGAGAGAAACGGAGAAGGCTGGTTAAGGAAGCAAATGATCTACAAGGTCTGTAAAACCAATAGAAATATATATATATATATATATATATATTTACATATAATTATTTTCTAGATACTAGTCAACATACTTTTAGTTATATTTAAATGTACCTTAATTTAGTACCATCAGGAGTGGCACCAGCGACAGAAGAACAAACAGTAACCAAATGCTCCAGCTGAGGCCTTGTAGCTCTCATCTCCTCCCGCAATACCTGGACTTGGTCTATCTGAATCTGTAATAATAATAATAAACAGTAATATAAAATTCATCAATACTAATATGCACTTTACATTTACAGACATTTAACCTACCTGAACCATTCTTGGATCTGGAGATATGGGGCCTAAGGCAGCAAACATTCTTTCTTTAGCAGATAGCCAATTAGATAAGAGCTCATAAGAGTCATAAACATCTTTAACATCTTCTACAAACTGGATTCTGTAAATAAAAGTTGTTTTGTAATATCAAACTATTTCTATAGCAATCTTTTGTTTAATTACAATCATAAAAAAATTTATTAAATTAAAATTATTAATATACATAAACATATTTAACTAGATTTAATTTTAATATATGTAAGTAAATAGTTTGTGTAGTTAGGTAGGGATTTAAGTTAAAACTGTACTAGTCTACTCTGACAACTGCTGTAAAATGGGAAAAATAAAATACCAAGTTCTGGTCTTAGTATATTTGAACCATGAAGTTTATTAATGAACAACATTAATGAAACTTTTTCTGCTACACTGTACAGTAAGGAATACTCTTTTTGATATATAAAATTGTGAAATAGCATTTAGGAAGAAAGACAAATGTTTAATGATGTGCATTAGAAGAATAGGAGATAAAGGAAAAACATAAAGAAGATAAAATAAAAAATGATTTGTAAATACATTTTAAACAAATATGTATAAATATAGGAAAAAATTGTAACAAATATTAATAACGTAATGATGTTCTAACAGTGAAAAGAAATGTATCTGAAGATGGACAAAGAGTCCCGGACAGATAAATAAATAAACATATACGGAAGAGAAAACTTATCACACATTATAATATACATTAAATAGTATCAATAACAACAATACCTTGCTTTAAGTGAGTCATGTAAAGATCGCCATTTTGTAGCAACTTGTGATACATGGGATGATAATTGATCAGAACCGACTGCTCCAGGTCGTCTCCTCAAAAGTTCATTAACGTTTGTCCTAGTACTATCCAAAGCAGATTGTTTTTCATACATTTCTTCAACAAGTCCCTATAATATAAAAGTTATGTCTGACATAAAAATTTCCTCTTTTTTTAAAAATATTTCACAACTGCCTAAACATAACTTAAAAAATTAATGTTACTTACTTTAAGAACTCTATTAATTTTATCAGCTTCTTCTCTGCCATTAGGTAAGCCTTCCCTTGGTTGCGATCTAGATATCTATACAATAATCAGTAATCAAATTATTGTTCAAAAAATAAATAAAATAATAAGGATTATTAATGCATAATAAAAATATGAATAATAGACCAATTTTTCATAAACATGAAAAATAAATCCACATTTATTTCTATAAATTTATAAATAGAAAAAAATGAAATAGTTACAGAATTACGAAAAAAAATCTGCTGCGGTGCACATGACTTATGCGCTTTTTGTCATTAACCATTTCCTTCTAAGATTTAATATTTTAATTATTTGTTTAATTATAATAAATAATTCAGTGTCACGTATTTTTTTAGTCCAACAAGCATGCCAGTGATAAAGAAGGACAATATTTTTATTTAAATTTCTTTATGAGTATTTTTAGCACTAGTATATTATAAACAAATTATACATATATTTATATAAACAAATTTTAATTTTTAATTTACCATAATTTATACAATTAAATAATATCAGTGTATTGGGACATTAAAGTATTACAAATTTATGCCAGTCACCCTACAAAAATTTTAGTTATAAAAAAAATATATGAGTCACTACTCAGTTTGAAAATTGTGGGCAATTTTTTAATAATTCTATAAAATGAACTTATACAACATAAAAATCTGGTACAGTGCATGCATCATTTTACTTTTGCTTACAATTCTACCAGTTGAAATAGGTACTTTCAGATATAGGTAAGTGAAAGTAAAAATTAAACATATTATAAAGGAAAAATAATATTTAAAACAATTGATAACCATATGTTTTCCCAACCTGTCTTATCTATTAAATTTATGCATTTTGCGTCACTAACCATTTCCTTTACAATTATGAATTTTAATTATAATAAATATATAAGTTCCACAAATTTTTTTTAGTCAAAGAGTGCCAGTGATAAAGAAGGCCACTATATTTATTTATATTTTATTCTAGCTATTTTTATTTGCTTAACCATTGATAAATCTACTAATTCTCATTTTTATATTGTAATGTGACCTATGCAATTAAATAATACCAGAGAGGTAGAAGTATATATATGATTTTTTTTTTTTCATAATTTCACAAGTTTACGATTGCTTTCTTTCAGTTAATAATCAAATTCTACCAAAGTTTATGTTTAATCACTTTTTATTATTGGTTATAATGTGAAATGATTAATTATTTCATAAGAATGAAATCAAAGGTACTTTAGAGGAAGAAATTATGAACATTTGCATTTAAGCCTTGCCAGACTGAATCAATGAGATTTCAATATTTGCCTAATATTAATGACCATTTAATTTTACACTGAAATAATGAATAAAATTAAATTGTAGTAACTGTTTGTTTAGGGTCCTCAAAATATACGAGCAATCTGCCGGCATTGCATGCACGATTGCACGGGGTGAGCTCTGTCGGTGAAAAAGTGAAAGTGATATAGAGGCCATAGCAAAAAGCCGGCAGGGCAGGTAGAATTCACAAAGTTTTCATGTTACTTGATATCCTTGAAAATACCAGAGTAGTAGAACAGGAAGCCATTCCCCAGCAAGACGAGAAGAGAATATGTATGAGAATATAAGAGGAGGCGAGGAAACATGGACACAATTTTTTTTTTTTTATTTAATTACCACATTTTAATTCCTGTCCATATCTGCACGAGTAAGTTCACAAGTTTATTTTTTCTTCTATCTGCAATCGCCAATGCATTCTACATGTATTTTTCATCATGTTTTAAACTGTCCACAATGAGAAAATTTAGCCCTGTTAAGAAATTCAATTAATCCTTTACATTAATTGTATTACTTTTGGATATTCCTTTTCCCATTATGTAACAAAATGCAGCTTAAATTCTATGTTTAATATACACCTTTTTCTTTTCTTTTCATACAGTCCATTCATATTCAAAAGGGTTTGGATGTCTGACCACTAAGTTAAAGGCATTCATTCCCATACAATGTTTTTGAGAAAATAGTATAAGATCGATGACATTAAGTGCCACTTCCAGCTAGTAGATTTTAGTGAAAAAGTTGCTGTAGCATCCCAGGCATATACTTATCTTAAATAATTAATTTCAATTCCTTACGACTTTTCATTTTTGAGTTAAGTTGTCACACATCTGTTACTTTCACAACAAGAAGAGGCATACCTAATGCTAGGACAGTACTGTTTTATATCTGGATACGCAGTTGGCAAGGTCATACAAAATCTAGCTTGAGATTTGTGATTTTTACACCTGTGAAGAGTGTTTAAGAAAATTTGTGATTTTGAAACAGGTCCATTTCAAAATAAATCGCAACATACTTATACTTAGTGTTTTCTCTCATTTTAAATTGCATTCTTTTTTATCATTTTTAAAGGTGGCTTAATTTTAACATTTTAAAGTATATGTTTGGTTATTGGGGAGAGATAATTGGTATATATATAAAGTGAAGATTCCTAAATGCTACGGAATTAGCCATAACACCATTTCATAGTTGAATCTAATAGACTTCAATAATGACACCACATGTTTAATTAATTTTACTATTCATTATTATTTTTGTCGTGTTCAAATAAAGTAGATTTGTAACTTGGATTCATTATGTACTTATTCAAGGGACAACTGACAATAGTTTTAACCCGCTGACACTTAACTGGTACCAAAGCCCGGGACGACGAGTGAGCACTGATCCATTTTTTTGGCCAGGTGAAAATTATAGAGGATACATGAGTGTTGAGACCTGCAGTCCTGAATGTACCGGACATCCCTCCATTACCCCAGGAAACTTCGGCGGCAGCACACTCGAACACACTGGAGTGGATGAAGATCAGGGTGGCGACTTCCCAGGACCTGGGGAAGGCGATATCAGACCTTGAACGCTTTGCAGGAGATATGGGTGAGCTAAACCATTTTTTTGAAGATGGTGATCGGCTTATTGCTGTATATTGGTTGGATAGATCCAAAAATAGCTGAAAAATTGATCAATCAGAGATGCAGAGGCACTTAACCAGTCCCTAGTATGGAGAGTAAAAACAATTATACTCAATTACATCCAAATGGATGAAGAAACACCCTGGATGCTGATAAAGGAAAGACTGAAAAAAGCGTATGGAGGTGGTAGGTGGAATACGGAAGAAGATATTTTCCAAATTTTTTGTGAGATAAAATCACCATGACAGACAAACGGACAATATGCTGGGACACTTCCAGCCTGGTACAACCAGATAACTGAGAAGATGAGAGAAACTGTGAATGTGGTCGAGGTAGAGGCCAAGATGGCCTTCTTATCTACCATCCTGAAGGTATAACTCGCAAAGAAAACCAGAAGAAGAGAAAGTCTACCAAGAGAACTTTCTTTTATGGAATGTGCACAGGAGATAGTGGATTCTAGCACAAGAGAAGAGAAACCCGGATGGAAGTAGAGGAAACTGGATGGAGTAGGGTAACCTATAAACGTCCTAGAAATATGCCAGACAACTTAGAAGAAGAGCCTGTGTTCAGTGGCAGGGAAAGAACAGTGGTAGAACGAAGGTGACTGCACGCGAGTCAGTAGTAGCATAAAGGGTAAATGCTGCTGGTTGCCTGTAATAGAGGTGAGAGGACACTCCAAAACCAGGCCTGTGTAGGGTAGAAGGGGAAGTAGAGATAGGGTTGATTGAGTGGGCAGCTAGGGGAGGTACTTTAGGAGTGCATATCATGGGGAATATGCCAGGAATACCAGACAATTATAGGGTGCGACATACTGAGGAAATTGGACGTGCGAATCAAAATATTAGGGATGTATTAGGGACGATGGGGAGAACAGTACACAAGATCCTGCTAAAACAAGAAAAGGTGAGCTACGTGAAAGAGAGAAGATATCAGCAGGCTCTTCGTCAACATATTAGAGAAAAATTGGAGAGTTTACAAAAATAAGAGATAATCATGGACGGCACTACACCTTACAATAGTCCACTATGGGCAGTAAAGAAGTAGAGAAAAATTGGAGAGTTTACAAAAATAAGAGATAATCATGGACGGCACTACACCTTACAATAGTCCACTATGGGCAGTAAAGAAGAATAATGCGCCGGGAGAGAATAAGGAGAACTATAGGGTAGTGATAGATTACCTCAAGCTTAACGAAAATACAATAGATGAGAAGTATCCAATCCCGAGGTTTGAAGACATCTTAGATAGGTTTAGATATTTAGATTAAATGATTATTTAGCGTGCTAGACTTAAAGGCGGGATATCACCAAATCAGAATGCACCCGAAAGAACAATTAAAAACAGTGTTCACATTTGAGAGGGGGCACTATGAATTTACTAGGATGGCATTTGGATCCAAGAATGTCCCAATGACATTCCAGCGGCTGATGGACGAATTTTTAAGGAGGAATTATGAAGCAGTAGGCCAAATTTACATGGACGATTTATTAGTATTTAGCAAAACCGAGACAGTGAAACATCTATGGAACGTGTTCGAGAGAGTGAAACATTTTGGATTGAAATTGTCCAGTGAGAAGTCTCTGTTAGGCCAAGACCAGATACATTTTTTAGGTCATAACATTTCAAGAGGAGTAAAACCCAATGTGCAGAAGGTTTAGGAGGTGCAGAAGCAATTAGGAGAATGGCGATACCTCGAAACGTAAAAGGGATCAGAAGACTATTGGGAACGCTCAATTATTATAGAAGATTTGTGCCTGGAATGGTCATATACCTTGTACTCCTTAACTTATTAAAAGAAGGTAATAGTAACATCAGTGATGGAAGATAACACTCGGAAGTGTATGGCGCAACTACAGGAAGAACCGGTATAGCGTTTCCAGACATTACAAAACTATTTACCATTAAAACTGATGATAGCGAATAGGCATTGGGGGCCGTGTTATCAAAGAGGAAATGGTGGGAAACATCCCATAGCCTATGCCAGCAGGCGGCTTATGGAAGCGGAAACAAGATACAGTGCCTTAGAAGGAGAACTATTAGGGATCATGTGGGCTATCACACCAACCACAGACCCCTACAGTGGATAGGTAAGCTAAAAGAAACTTTGGCTCGAGTCACACGCTGGAAAGAGTTCTTGGATCAACATAACATGGACATTGTATACAAGCCAGGGAAGAAGAGCGTGGTGGCAGATTAGTTGTCGAGGGCTATTAAAGTAAATGCCATAGAAAGAAGAATTGTCCAGAGATGCGAGACAATTCTTGAAAGAATGGACAGTAGAAGGAGAAGGAGAACAAGGTGCAAAGGAAACCAATGACGGAGTAGAATCTCAAGAAGAGGAGAGCCCAGCTGAGGAGAGACAGACAGAAATGGAAGAGCTCGAGAAAATCATCAACGACAAGCATTGGCAGATAATTTGGAAAACCAGCACCTCGGTTTGATGAAAGAGACATAAAGAGACTAAAATAGTTTTCCCACTATTTTAGTCTCTCTATGACCGCCATCCCAGAACATCTCCTTTCTCTAAAATACTTTGTAATTTGTACTTTCTACTGAGATTACTTTTTGTCCATCTCGATATTGTAATAGCCAACATATGATAAGAAAAAAAGACAGTTTAGGAGACAGATGGTGGAACCCCGTGAGTGGGGAGGGATGCTAAGTAATTGTGGATGTAACCAATTTTATTTGTGTGTGAATTATTTTAGTTTTATGACGGACGCCAGATTTTCCATTTCTTCCACCCAGAACTAATGATTATCAGCTATGAGTGCCACTAGGTTTCACAAATTAACATATTCCACAACATGAAGAAGAGGGAAAAAGAAACACTGACGATGCTGGGTTGACCAACTCCAAGTTCCTGTTTTCTCAGATTATTCAGTGTGCAAAGTGGGCAAAGGAAACCATTGAGATGTAAATACGAACATATAAGATTTTCCCTTTTGTTTCAATAACTACTTTTTTTTCAAAAACGATTAATTAATATACTATCGATTGCGATTGTAGGTCAATTTTTAGTTTTGTAATATTCTGTATTATTTTTTTTTTATAATTTAAGTTTATTGTATTGTTTTTTGTTATCTTCAAAATCTAATTTTATGTTTATAATATTCGTTCTATTAAACCGTTGTTTTTAATAAATATAGAAATAAGGAAATTCATTATCATTATTAATAATATAAAATTGTTCTATTTTTCTTATGTGTTTGTTTTCAGGTCCTAATTGCATATTATTTTCTTCCGTTAAGAATTAATAAGGCATTGTAAAACCCTATTAGAGGGATCAGGGAAAATAAATTGTAACAAAGTAAGAAGGTTCTATGGTAAGGGGTAGGGTAATTAAAACATGTTTTTAAATCCATAGATTCTGAGTAGCTCACTCCGCTTTCAAATCCTTTTTTTTGTAATTCAATACATTTATTTTTGTAATCATGGTTTTCGATATTTACCAAAAACAACCAAATAAAATAGTATGGCGCCTGTCAGGTAGAGTTTAAAATTTAAGTGATGCATTATTTATTTATTTTTTTAAACTCATCTATCTCCACTGAGCGTTTTGAAAATTGTTGAAGGAAAATTAGATAACACTTAAGATTATATATATAATAGCCCATGTCTATGTTACTATTTGATTTGCTTGTTACTAACAATGACAATATTTTGTTATATTTGATTTATCTCAAAATAAAATCAGATAAAACTTTTCTTATTGGATATAAAAACTGGCTAAAAGTCCTTAAAAATAAGAACACCTTAACATCATCAACAATAAAGTATATCATTGAATATAAGGTCAGAAAAATGAAGCAAACAACATAAGTTGCTTTTCAATCGTTAAAGAATTTTTTTCTGGTAACTAAGTGACAAGTTTTTAAACACCAAAATTATTATTCACCCTTTCCAAAAATGAATCAAGAGATTTTAGACTCTCTGTCGCTTTCCTAAGCTCTTCCCGGCAGTTGTCTATTTCAAGTAGCCTTTCATTTACTTTAACACCAATGCTTGAGTAGCGGTTATTTATTTCAGACAACTCTTGTTGAACTCCAGTTACTTCTGAAAAACAAAAGAAAGGTACCATGAAAATAAATTAGGATTATAAGACATGGAGAATATTACTTCTGATGAGCACAAATTACCTTCAACATGGAAAATGTCTTGAGATGATCTTCTGCTGCCAAACCCACTGGATGCTGTACTAAGAGGTGATGTGACATTGAATAAGGATTTGGTAGGACTCGGAGAACCTTCTTGTGAATTTCTTCTAAGCACTATGATAATTCAACAGCCATAAAAGAATAATTTCATTAATAATGTTTAAATAAAATGCCATATGTAGATTAAGATAAGATCTGAAAGTAGAGTAAGATAAAGATATCAATATATAGAGAGCTTATCTAATTAATAATCTGCCGGATAAAAATTCTTCCATAAATGCACAATATGTATTTACATATTCATAAGAAACAAAACAATGTTATGTTTAATTTAATAACAAAGAAGCACTGAAATAATAGTTATAAGGTTGTGTTTTTTCATTGAGTATTACAACAGTGTGATTTGAATTCACCATAATGATAAATATAAATCTTTAAAATTACAAAGAAATTATGAAATTAAAATTTATAAATAAAGGGTAATATGTGTAAACATAAACTTTGCTGAATGCTAAATTGATCTGAAATAGACTACTCCAAATTTAAACTAAAATTGCATAATCAGCTGATTGATAATGGTATGGAAATAATTGAACATAGTTTTAATTTAAGAAGTTAGTCAGGAAATCAGGTCAATAGTTAAATGCATAATATGTGGGAGTAATAATTATTTGATGGCATACATTTACATAAATTAAATCCTCACGTCTCTGGAGTACATCTGGCTATCTTAACTTTCATGAACAGTTCTACAATCAAATTTCAAAACTGGTCATGGACAACCTCCTCACCTAGACCTTTTAAACATAGTCCTGGATGTCATCCTCAAATCCATAACCCCCCAGTTCCACAAAGACATATTTTCCATTAAATTCTCAATTCTGATGAACATTTCTGACATCCTATTCCTGGCTTCAACTCTTACAATACCTGCTGCTGTATTACAGTTTATTTTGAAAAGAATAATTCCCTTCCTTTTCCCAACCTCATAAAAAAAACACAGACTGGTACAAAAAACAAACTTTATCTACCAGCCTGCTAAAGAACAATTCTACCATAAAAAAAGGAATGCAGCCAAAAATTGTTCATTTTAGCCCTGATTAAGACCTTCAATGTAGTTCAAAAGGATATCCAATAAACATTACTCCCACCTATTAAATGTATGACTATTGATTGTGTATCCCTACTACATCTCCTCAACACCTTGATAAAATGAAATTTTGCAATATTAATAAATCCTAATAAAAAAAAAGAATATCTCAATTAACAATAAAATTTACATAACCAACAAAAAGTTTAACATATTAAAAATTGTAAAACAATGAACATGAAGTATTTCTTAATTAATTTATAAAATACACAGGGCATATAAAACTTACAAGATGATGAGGAAATTCTCTTAATTGGACTGGTAGAACTACGTCGCCTAGTTGGAGAATCAGACCTAGCCATTGACTCTAATGAACTTCCAATATCAAACAGTCTATCAACAGTAGAGCCATAATCCTTATGTTCTTTAATCAATGGCTGAAAATGTAAAAACAAATCAGTAACTCTGAAGTATAAATTGTTGAATCAAACATTTAATAAAAAACAGATTTATAACATCAAGAGATTAAGTCATGCACATATTTTAAATAACATTAAATATAATGATAATGATTAATTAATAGAAACATAATACATAAAAAATATTTACTACTGATTGGTTACAGTTAATATTACTTTTAAGTGATTAAAATATTTACATAAACTTCCTATATATGGTGGTTTTAATAAAAAGATAAAATTAATAATATCATGATCAAGATGAAAAAATCATCTTATTTTTTTTAAGAAATTCAACTGAACATGTTTCGATGAACAGAAACTATGTGTCATACAAGACATGAGATAAAAAACACAGTGCAATAAAGAAAAAAACAGATATATACAGGATGTCTTGTAATATTAAGTAGAGGGAAATATTTATAGGAGTGATAGTAGACCTCAAGAGTTTCAAAAAAGTTCATGTATAGGTCCAATTTTAAACAGTAAAGTAGGAAATTAAAGTTTTGTGTCTTTTTAAGTGTCATGTTTATTGATAAATAGGAAGCGATAACTAAACAAATATTTAATTGTTATAATAATTTAATGAGGACTCGTGAGCGAATAAACTATTAGCTAAGTTCTGTTTTTGAAAAATCATGAATTATAAACGATTTTTTTATCACTCTCCAACTATGCTATAGATTACTCCACTTTTAGAAAAACTTCCTGTTTAATAAGCTTCAAGTCCATATTAACTAAGTTGAGGTTGTTTTTTTTTCGAAATAAGCTAAGATTGTAGGAATTTATTCGAATTTATAAGTGACCAAATAAATATTTCTAATGCCAATATTTATGTTTAAAGAAAATCAAGAAACCTGCTGATTGCTTGAATTATTTTCATGAAAATGTAAACATTAGGACTAGTAACATTTAGTTGGTCACTCATAAATAAGGATCAATTTCTATAATAGTTCAAATAATTCAATTATTGTAAATATTATAAATTTAACTATTCTATTTACAATATCTCAACTTTTCTATTTCTATTTATTTCTTATATAACTTCATATTCCTTTCCTCTGTTTCACATTTTATTCTAAGATTACCATTTTAGTACTTATATTATCTCATTTTGACTATGTTTACTTTATTAGTCTACACTTTGTAACTGTTATTATTATTTATTTCTTAGTTTTTGTTATTGTCATTATACTACCTACTTTATTTTACTTTAATGTTCACTTATCTACTTCATTTTACTTTAAGTTTTTTTTTTTACCTACATTGTTTATGTTTCTCATACCAATTGTTATCTGGTTCTTTTCTCAGCCCTGATGAAGGCCAGAACTTCGGATCGAAACATTGGCAAATGTTAAAATAAATATTATTATTTATTTTTGCCATTTTTATTTTGACTGATCACCCCAACTATCCTTCTCTTCATTAAATAATTGATTGCTTTATTATATTACATTAGATATTAAATTAAAGTAATGTAGGATTTTAAAACATAGCATTTAGTATTACTAAAATTTAAAACTTTGTTAATTGATATAATCTGTAACATGGATTGTATAACTTTTGCCATATAAAAAATTTACTATAGGAGAGAGGAAGGCCCTAATCAACAGGTCCTGATGAAGGCCTGAACTTCGGGGAATGTAAAAATAAATAAAATTATTTATTTTTACCATTTCAATATGACTGATCGCCCCAAGCATATTTCTCTTCATTTATTCACTACAGTCAACCATAAACCCACAATTATAATAAATTATATTTAATGTTTTGTTTTTTTAATTATAATTCTCAGTGACTTAATATTTTAAGACGCAAAGTGAAACAAAGTAGACTCTAATATTAAAATTTTTTAATATAAAAATTACGATGACTATAGACTAAATGATTTTGTAAATAAACGGACAAATCCCAAATGAACTTATGATGATAAGAATAAGAATAATTTATAAAAAAGATTAAATTATCAAAAGATGGTCTGGAAGATGCACATAGGACATAAACGACCAAGAATAAGCTATGTGATGTGAAATATTACAATTTTAAATTTTTAACAAAAACAAACATATTTTACTTCCTGACCAAACCATTATAGGTTGATGGAGAAGGAGTTGATCGGAGGGTGCGGTCAAATAAATAATAAATTATAGAAATATTATTATTTAATTTAAATTAAATAATAATATTATTATAATTTATTATTTATTTGACCATAACCCTCCCCTCCCCCTCCCCCGATCAACTCCTTCTCATATTATATCATGGTCAACCATCACTATATCATTATATTAGACACTCAATAATTAAATATATACTTTGATTTCTTCAGCTTGACGTTTTAAAACTTCTGTTTGCAGTGCAGTTGGTTCAAGTGATGCAATCCTTGATTCCATAGATTGAAGCCATGAGAGAACCTAAAATAAAAATAATTTTATTTATTCTAACACTGACCCCTATTAGAATAATATACAGAACAATGTACCAGAATCATTTATCAATATAAATAAAAAATTGTCATTACAAATTACAAGATACCTGGTCTCGAAGTTTTTCATATGACTGAGTGTGTTCAGCTCTTGATCGAATGAGCCGCTGTCTTTCATCAAGAAGTGTATTTAATTCTCTCCAGCTGCTCTCTATATTCTAGAATGGGTATGAAAAATGAAAAAATATTTATATTCATATTTAATAATCTAAAATAAAAATAATTATTATTGCTACTAAGTTCTTGTAAACTTAAGAGCATAAAAATAATAAATAGAGATATAGGATTAGCATATTATGCATCAGACTGAATTAAATAATAAAGATTTAAATAGCAATAATTTTATCAATTCTGGCTTGACTGCAAGAGAATTTCTTAGTAATGAAATTATCTTTTATTTTACATATTTAGATGAACTACACATTAGGAGGATATTTAAATTATCACTTGTTTGATCAATGAAATCAATTAATTAGTAATGTTAATTTTACTGGAATACTGTCAAGTCCATAATCATTGGAGTGGGATTTTAACATGACGTTAAGTAATTCATTATAAGGTAAACTGGGAAAAAGAAGTTTTCTAAGGTAATGTAATGGTAGAAATATCTAATAATGTCTTTAGATATATTACCTAATATTAATTATAAAGTATCATAAATTCAAGACTTAATATACCAATAATTACTAATTGTTCTTTTTAAGATTTGTTACCTTCAACCTGTCTCTGACATGACCAGTATCAGTAACATCTTTCTTTGATACTAATGCTCTTCCTTCTCGTAAAACTTTTTCAACAATGTCTCGTTTAGATTCTCTTTGAGTTAAAAGAGGTTCAATCTGAATAAAAAAGAAAAAGAAAGGACAATGAACCATTCATTGATTTTCATTTTAAAAGCCAAATAAAAAAAGTTATTACTTACTGAACCTTCTGTTGCCAGCAGTTCGTTTGCCTCAGTAAGCCAATTTTCTGTCTCTGAAGCCTGAGCTGAAAAAGAGGTCAATCCAGCAGTTATTTCACCAAGGAGTTCAGATCTTTTGCTGGCCCTCTCTGACAATTTTTCAAATCTGTAGAAAAATATAATTTGAGTATAAAGATTGACACATGGTAGGGCTTCTCAGTAAATAACAAATAAATAAATTTTCATTACCACTTTTATGTTGGAAAAGTTCATGAATACTTTAATAACATAAAGAAAGAAAAATGATTTATAAAAATATAACTAAAAAAACATCTTCAAAATTATTTCTAACCTTGATAAAACATCTTTGAGTTTAGTTTCTACTCGCTTAGCAAGACGGTGATTGGATTGCTGACCAACGAGAGCCTTTGCTTGATTGACAACTCCATCAACAGTATCCCTATGCGTGTCAATATCAGATAATAACAATCTTAACTCTCTGATTTGATCTTCTAATCTGTCTTTGAGCAATGATGCTGGTCTACTCAATGACCTAAAAAATTGATAATAATGAATATTTTAACATTTTAGAAACTAATTCCATTGAAATCTATTAATATCCCTACTTGAGACTATTTTCAGCAGAAGAAAGCCAAGATGTAATAGAGTCGAGTGAGTCTTCAACACCTTGTGACTGTGCAAGGGCTGATTCTAGGACACCACACCTATTTGATAAAGATTCAGAAAGATTTGTATAGCGTCTTGCAAGATCAGAAACAGTAGCTTCCAAAGAATTTGTGATACTTGGATCTTTAGGCAATGAATCTAAAGCCTGAAATTTCAAAAAATTAAAAATAAGTAACAATATCAAGGTTGCCATCATCAAACAATAAGTACAATAAGTAACCATATGCCATATATCAAAATATAATAACCTGTTTCATGTTGTCGACTAATCGACCCTGGGCTAAGAATTCATTGTTAAGAGTCTTGGCTCTGTTTAGTTGTTCTTCTAGGCCATGAGGATCAGCAGCCAATGGTTCAGAAAGAGCCTTGAAAATAAAAACAAAATGTCATAGAGAAGAAATAATCATACAATTGGGTTGCCAAATAAGTGCTTTCGGTTTTCTGTTTACTTTTATGTCACAATGATACACTTCTTATCTGATGAATTAATCCCTAAGGTTCATCCTATTTGTTAATGTTTATCCTGTTCGTAATATGTCAACAACTATATCTGTTAACTCTTGTTGAAACTAGCTTTGTGTTGTGCATTTGCTATTGCACTGTGAATATGGCAGAAAATATCATTGTTTATCAGCATATTTTGTTGTATTATTTTAAAAAAGGTAAGCGTGCTACAGAAGCTCATAGAAAAATTTGCAGTGTTTATGGGGATGATGCCTTAACTGAACGCACCTGTCAAAATTGGTTTGCCAAATTTCATTCAGGAAATTTTGACATCAATGATGCTCAACGATCTGGTCGCCCACATGAAATTAAAACAACAATGTTAAGGTCATTGTTGATCAAAATCCCACCCAATCAGTGCAAGAGATTGCTATGGCCTTAAATGTATCGCACACAAGCATAGAAAAACATTTGCACAAGCTCGACTATGTTTCCAGGCTTAATGTTTGGGTCTCTCGCTCTCTAACTGAAGTCAACTTAGTAACATGCATTTCTGTTTCTGATTCTCTATGGAAATGGCGACAAAACGAACCATTTTTGAAAAGGTTGGTAACAGGAGATGAAAAATGGATATTTTATGATAATGTAGTCCGTAGAAAATCTTGGGGACCTAGTAGTAAGCCTCCTAGAAGAATGTCAAAACTCTCATTTGCATCCACAGAAAATAATGCTTTCCATATGGTGAGATTTCAAGGGTGTTATTTTCTATGAGCTATTGCCATCAGGACAAATAACTGATTTAACTGTATACTGCTCACAATTAACAAAATTGGACCAATCAATTAAAACAAAACGCACAGAACTGGCAAATCAGAAGGATGTTGTGTTTCACCAAGACGACGTTAAGCACCACACCTCATTGGTCACTTGCAATAAATTATTGAACCTTAGATGGGACCTTTTGCCTCACCTTCCCTATTCACCAGACCTGGCTACAAGTGGCTATCACTTATTCCGGTTTCTGCAGAACTTCATGAATGGAAAGAAATTCCAAAAAGAAGAGGACATCAAAAATCACTAGGATCAGCTTTTTAACAATAAACTCCAGATATTCTATGAACTTTGTTATGAACATGAAGATGGGAAAAATCACATTAAATAATGATCAATATGTTGGTTATTTGGGATTAAAAATCCTTATATATCCCAAATAGAACTAGAAACTGTATATAATACCAAGGAAATAGTAATCTGATACATAAACAATACCAAATTAATACTGGAATATACAGAAATTATTTTAAAATAAATTATAACTATAGCTAAAAAATAAATACATAATGAAAATTAATTAAATACTTAAGGAAAACTTCTATTGTACCTTGTTTGCTCTAGGTTCAGCAGTGGACATCCACTGTCTCAATCGCTCCAGGGCTTGATCAAAGTCCCTTTTTTTAGCATTAAGACCAGTAACTTTGTCAGAGAGTGCATTAGCCCGGCTAAGCAGATCTCTATATTCATTAGATACCTAACCAGAAGAAAATTTTTTAATAAGAAAATAAATAAGTTAATAGTTACTCTGGTTATATAAATTACCTTGTTTACAATGCCCTTAATTTCAGAACCAGAAAGTGAGTAGTCGATATGAGAAAGACGTGACTGCAAAGAAGTTCTGAAGTCATTCAATGTGGATAAAAATTCCTGAAACAATTTTTTATTTACAAAATCATGAAAAAACCAAAATAAAAGGAGGGCTAATATAATAAAACTGACCTTTGATTCCTCATAGAATTTATTTGCTGCCATTGATATGAACCTAAGGTCAGCTTGATGAGCAATAACATCACCTAGTAATTCACGTACTGATGTATCATTAGCACTAAGACTAGACAACTGACGCTCTTTTTCTTCAATTTGGCGTTTAGCCTTCGTCATCCATTCAGTAAGAGATTTTGTTTCAGACCTGCATTTTATAAATGTTAGAATTTAAGATTATTAATTCACTATAAAATAAATTACAAATATGACATTTCATATATATATATATATATATATATATATATATATATATATATATATATATATATATATATATATTTTAATAACACAGTCTGATGTAGGTTACCTTGAAATTATAAGTAATAATATTAATATAAATATATATATATATATATATATATATATATATATATATATATATATATATATATATATTATAGATGAGGTAGAGAGGGGAAGGGTTAATGAAACAAACATAAAAGAGAGGATAAATTCAGCACCTAATTTTTTTAAAATTAAGAAGCTTTGTTAACGCCACAGTGTTAATTTATTTTATTTAAATAATGATTTATTTAATTGATGATTTGGTTTATTTCATCAAAAATTAAATACATTATTAATTATATTGTGCACACAGCTTATATTGTTTATACACATTATAGACTGGTTCATAGTTTATATATATATATATATATGTATATATATATTGTTATGGATTGCAGCTCTAGCTATAAATAAGTCTTAAGTTCCAAACCCGTGGACTTTTCCAATACACAGTATGACTCCATCCCTTGCCAATACTGCCCATTGCAGTCCTTGTGGAAGGAGATACATTCTTCTCTCATGTGTACTCGTGCCGCTCCCCATTTGCGGTCTTTAAATTTTTTATGAGCTCTCATAGATCTACATAACTAAATCACTTTGGAAGAACTGGAGTGACAGCAGTTCATCCCCTGCGACCCTCACCTGCGAGCGTCCACCACCCACGTAATACACAACTTTGGTTTTTTTATTGTATTGAATAACACTATAAGCAGTAAGGAATATATTTGTTTGCTTTTTCACTAAGCAGTAAGGAATATATTTGTTTGCTTTTTCTTTTCTTTATTAACTACTGGAAATTCCAGTAATATATCATAGTGGGATAGTGACATAATAGAATAGAATAGAAAATAATTTTATTCTGGAATAAAGTCCCTTTAGAATAACAGAACAGTACAAAATTAAAATATTACATCTGGCCTAAATAAAAACAAAAACAAATCGAAAATAGGAAAACATTAGTTAAACATACTATATACAAAACAAAAATATCTATATACAAAAGACTTGAAACTATGAAAAGACACTTTACTTTACACAAGACAATTTTTTTCAAAGAAGTGAGGAATACTGAATTCTGTAGGGAAATATTTTAGATGAAAAGGAGAACTGGGAGGATTTCAGGATGACATAATTTTATTAATTTGACAGGGATGCCATCTGGTCCTATGGAATTGGAGTGTAGAGAAGAGGCAGAAATAAAATGTGAATTTAAATTGTTATGTGAAACGAGAAAGATTTGTGAGGAAGGGGATCTGGAAGGTTCATAGAGGGAAAGTTTGCGAAGGATTAACCATTTAGATTTGGAATCAGGAGTAGATGCAAGTGCTTCATGGAAATAGGTAACTTTAGCTCGCCGAATTCTTGTCTGTCAAATTGTGGAGCACCCTAAATGCTTTATAGTCGTCAGCACGCCTAGTACGCCTGGAGCGTCTGCGGGCAGCATCACACATCTTTTGCAAATTCTAGGGGTAAAGGAAAGATTGGTACTTTATTATGAATAGACCCTTAGAAACCATTAATAAGTCTTTTAAAAATTTGGTTGATCCTCTAAAATATACTGATAAGCTCTTTTTTCCTAAGGAAGGAAGCTGATTAACCACTGAGGAATCATTAATAGGCAAAAAAAGTATGAATACCAAGTTTTGTCAAACTTGTGTCAGCCTATCCTAACCTATAACAGCAATCACCAGGACAGCTAGTAATGGAATTCCGCAGAGTCGCTGTTTAACGAGTTTTTAAATAAAATATCTAATACGTGATTAATTGGAAATATAATCATATTTCTTTTAAAATAGCCATTTATAGAAATCATAGCATATTAATAATATTTCAAAGTCAATATTCACCATTATTTTCCCTTAATAGCATAATTTTTTCCCCCCCAAAAATGAAAACTAAATTACAAAGTTGGTAATCTTGTGTTCAATGTATCCTATCACTAGTTAAGATACTCATATGCTCCTCTCATATTTTATTATCTCACATTTATCTTATAATCATGTTCTAGAAACTATGAAGCACTGACCAATAACAGTGGAAATATCACATTATCTTTGGCATATAAATATCTTATAAAGAAATTTTATGACTTGTATACATTTGTAATGTATTGTAAAATAATTATTTATTTTATATAAAAACTAAAGGGGCATCCCCTGTCCACCTAACGGAGAACTAACCACTATTTTACAAATAATACAACTGTACATTTAATTATTTGTTAGCGATATGTCAAGTGTTAGTGCTAAAGATTGTATGTAAAAACTGAGTCTTTCTAAGATGAGCAAAAAAACTGATTATTTCTTTATGATTTATTAGTACAATGTCATATTTTATTTCCCCCTGCCATTTTCCATAGTAGCAGACTATTTATTACAGTTGCAGACTAAAAAATTTCACCTTTAGCACAAATAGAATAAACATAAAAATGGAAAAAAAAACAACCTTTTGAATTAACATTAGTGATGTATGTTGGGCTCCTGTAAACATCCTATTCTCCTAATATAAAATAGAAATTTACACCATGACGTCTACGTTACGGTACAACATATGTGTTGAGCTCTTTTTGTGAGCTTCTCTTAAAGGGATTTATAGTAAAAAGTTTAAAGAAATATCCCTTATGACCAGGTTCATACTGCCGGTGAGTGATATTTTAATATTATTTGTTAGTAGAATATTTAAATTTGGTTTAGTAATCACTTGATTAAAATAGAATGGAATTCAAGAATCTAAATGCCAGGAACCATAATATGTGGTGGAAGGAATACAACCATCCTACTACCACACCATTTTTAAATACATTTCTTACACATCAATTGGCCTAAAAATTGATTAATGAATACATTATCTTAAGATGTACATTTTTGTTATATATTTCCCACCTTTGTATAAGTAAAATAAAACTTTTATAAGATATATACATAAACTTTTATAAATATATACTATTATAAAAATAAAAATTTTAATCAGTGATGAGTTTATACTCCGCATGTATGAGAATTTTTAATAATAAGAATAATTGGAAACATTTTATTTGTTGAGGAGAACTGGACAAAAGATACCCCAACAACGCTTTCTAACTTGAGGAAATTTAAGGATTCACCACTGTTCTACTTCAGAATGTTAGTTGGGTTCAATTGAAATTTTTCATTTCATTGTCAAATGCCCTAAAACTAAACATTAATTATGCACCCCTGCGTGGAGTCCCAGGAGTCAGCGGACAGGTCGGACAAGTTGGGTCCCTCTGCCGTAAATGCGGCAGAGAGTCTGAAACACCAGCCCATGTGCTGGGAAAATGCCCCAACAACTCCCTCCTCATAATAGGTCGTCACCACCGGGTCAAGTTCGAGTTGATGAGGCTCCTTAGGGAAAGGAAATTCACCTGCTTTGACGAGGTATATTGCATCGATAGTGAAGGCTCTACGAGATACGCGGATATCGTCGCATTTCCCAAGACAGGAAGGACAGCGCTGATCTTGGATCCAACTGTCCGCTTTGAGAGCAATGACCTCGATCAGGCGGGTGAAGTGGAAAGGGAAAAGAAGAACACGTACGATAAATGTATCCCTTTCCTAAAAGATAAATTCCGTGAGACCTTCGGAGAGAGAGAGTTCACCGTGAGAGGCCTCTGGTTTGGGTCTCGCGGAACTATCCCAAAAAGAACAAGGAGCTTCCTCGAGGAACTAGGTGTCGACATTAAGGACGTAGCGAGGTTGGCTGAAAATATAGTCCTCGACTCCCTGGGAATCATTCACCACCACGTGCATGGCTAGCCCGAGAGTTTTAATTTATGTATTTATTTATTTATTTAATGAATAATTGAAAACAATAGAGATAAAGAGAGAGAAGTGAGAGAAAGGGAAACTAAATGTTAAAAAAAAAAAAAAAAAAAGCATAAACAATGAAAGGAAGGAAAAAGGAAAAAAAAAAAAAAAAATGGAAAAAATAAATAAAAATGTATATATATATATATATATCTATTTTACTAATATTAACTAATACTTCTGTATATTTATATATAAGTTCATATATTGTCCTATGGATAGAAGAGTATGCTGTGTGTATAGCAACCCAATATAATTGGGCAGCAATCCTTTATATTTTATATTTTATGAAAATTAAGTGTTCCTCTCTAATTTTAATTTAGAAAATAGAGCCTAAGAATAAGTTTGGTGATCGTTAATAGATTTTTTTTCTATTTAATGATATTAGAGAATTATAAGTTCATTTTACAATTAGTAAATCATAAGTTGAATCACTCTAATAAATTTCTGGTTATTATTATAATTTGTTAATATCCTTTTCTTTAATTTGATTGAGCGATTGAAAGTTTATTTAATTAATTGTAAGATCTATTTGAAGGCAAATGGTTAACTTAAAGTTTTAAAGGATAAATGTAAATATTAAGTTTATTCCTCTAGTTAAAATATGTTTAAATTTATTTTTATCAGGATTCAGTCAATTTTTCTTTTTCACTAAGGCCTAATAATGTACAACACTCAACCAGCTACAAAGGAAACAGCATAGCAAACGCAGTAAGTAAAATCCGTGGTCCAGAGGTAAGGTGTGGGCATATCATGTTATAGGTCGTGACTTGCTCTAAATTCTTAATTAATTTCTCTACTAATTTTTTTTCCACTTTCAATATTAACTACAGTTGAACTTACCACTGAAGTATAAAGGCATTTTCTATTTTCAAATAATTAAAAAAAAAAAATCATGAAATGGCAATTCAGCAAATTTCTCTAATAGAGAAAATTTACAACAAAAGAAAAATTATTAATTTCTAAAAATAATGAATAGCACAGTGCCTGTTAACATTAAGATCACTAATCTAAGTAAAACAACAACCTTGGTGAACCTGCCTATCTCCACTGAGCATCCTAATTATATTTCATATTTAACCTGAGAATCATATTTCCGAAATATAAATTATTTTGATAACTCCATCGGTAATCGGTACTTAAAAATTGAAAAGGCCGAGGACATTCTTTGAGAATATAAAGCCCTTGCCTTTTATAAACTGCAGAACCTCTTTCCTTTAACTTAAACTTCACAAATTTTCAGAGTGGCTTTCACTGCTAAACATTCCCAGTCATTTATTCTCTGCTACACCCTAAAGTTATAAGTCACCATAGATTTATACTTCAATATAATCTTCAATCAATACATTTTGAACCACAATTAAGAAACTAAGGTTGTCTTAACAAAAAAAAAAAATCACAGGATTATTGAACAAGAGAACAAGTTAAAGTATCTATGAGAAAAACAAATAAATCATTAATTCAAATTAAATAAATAAGGAAAACAAAATTAAATAATTAAAACTCACTTGAATTTGGATAAGTGATCTCCTGCATTCGTCAACCTCTTTAGAAGTTTATCAGTCTTGTCAATGGCACGATCATAACGGCTCCTATAACAAAGTAATTCACTTATGTATAAAAGCAAGCAATATTGTTTAAATTAACTTTTATCTATAAAGTAAAATAAAAAATAGGAAAGTTAAAAACATTTGAATATAATGCAAATATCAAAGCTTTTAAATATAATACACTATAAAAGAACAATACTAGTTTATAAACACTATTTACTAAGTTATAAGAGGAACAGAATTAAGTAAAAAAAAACAAGTTATTAATAGATGTCACTTAACAGTAAAGTTTAATCATTTTTGAGGTACAGGTTGTCAAAGTTTTGGAAATTTTTCGAACTTGAAAACTTTAACCTATTTTTCCTATTTGATCATATGTACTTGTCTTTATATCTTCAATAACCTGTCTTATTTGATTCAGTGAAGTAAATTTTTATTCATTTTAACATTTTGAAGCAGGGGTGAGGGAGGAGGGGAGGTTTGGTGGAAGAGGGAGAGATCACTTTTCACAACCAGAAGACTGAAATTGAAATAAAAAATTTATTTAACCAACATTTACATCAAGTGCATACAAAAATTGTAAATGAAGTGAATGAAATTTTCAAAACTTTAAAATTTTAGGCTAATTTCATGTTTATCTTAACTAACCTACCTAATAAGAGTTAGTGAAGTAAACATTTATTAAAGTTATTATTTTGAAGGAGTAGGATACATGGATATAGGAATGGTTATAAATAATTGAGCTAGAATGACCTCAGTTATTGCGTTCAATCTTTTCTGTAGGTGCCTACGCCAGTGATGCTTATCCACCGATTAAGTGCATTTTCTAAAGAACTGTTTCAAATATGGTAAAAATTAATCAATGATGATTTAGAAAGATAAATGTATTCTCTAGATGTTTTATGATATTGTTGACCGTTTAATTACAAATGACACTTGATTTTCAACTTTAGTTAGAACGACTTAAAAAAATTGACTTTACTGGTATTTTTTTAATGCCAAGGCCATTTTTTTTTTAAACTCTGACTATCCAGCTTTAATAAAAGACTAATTTATGACAAAATTAAGCCAACTGCTGAATCTCAGTGACCGAAAAACTAACTCAAGTCAAAGGCGTCACCTCTGCCATGTTTGGACGCCATTTTGGGACCGTCAGCCACTTTTTATTAATATGTAATTACAAGGAATACAACGATATGCAATTTATAGTGATGTGGAGAGAGGGTGCACGGAAGGGGGGGTCTGACCTACAGACTAAACTCTTCCACCAAATCTTTACCCTCCCCTCCATCACCCCTCCTTCAAAATACTAAAATGAATAAATATTTACTTCTCTGCCTCATATAAGACAGGTTATTGAAGATAAAAGACAATTGCATATGATCAAATATGAAAAATAATTTAAATGGAAAATAAAATTTTCTAAATTTGAAAATGTATATCTTGTAAACTATATGATAATTTACTGAGCCTGGTCTGGTGTTAAATTGTAGGATATTTAATCTTATTTAAAAATGTATAGAATGTTTTTTATCGAAAGCATGCTCCTTCATGGATAAAATGAAAAAAAATAATGAAAATATAGCAGTTTTGGGGGGATTCAAAAGTGATCCAGAGGGGGGGGGGCACTAAGGTCAAAAACTTTTTACAGCTCAGTCATATCCCATACAAGAAAATAAAAAGAAACCTTCTACCCACATTCAATGCAACTTACGGTATACAAGATTACTGTACTAATATTTATATTTCATTGTGGGTATTTTTTTTGTTTTAAGTACTGTAATTTTTATATACAATTAAATATTAAATAATACCAACGATAGCATTTATGAAAACCGCATATGTATATAATAATGTCGGCGTCCATATTATATTAAGCTCATGTTACGAATGGAAGCCTGCTATAATCTTTCGGGTGAGGTCAGGGACGCTCATTTTCCTTTGGTTCCTCCATTACAACTATTCTTTGTTATTTGACAATGATTACTTCCAATTAACAACAATTGAATTTATTTGTTGTATTATCAAAATTGCATGATTACAAGTTTACGTTTCGGAATATTTACTCCCATCCCCAGAACCACAATCCCAATGATCCCGTGGACACATGGCTTAAAACTAATGTGCTCCATCGTCAGTTTCTAATTCATGTTAAAATATATCCAATTGTTGTTAATTGGAAGTAATCATTGCCAAATAACAAAGAATATCATACAACTTCCCAGAAAAAAGAACAACTATTCTCTGTTACGATCTCTTATTTCTCCTTTAGTTAATTATCAAATTCTTTCATATTTTATATTTAAATATTTTTTATATCAGAAATCAATGTTAAATAGGTAATTATTTCAAATAAAAAAAATTAAAGGTACTTATAAGGAAGAAATATTGAAAATTAGTCATTTAAGCCCTGTTAGAGAACATCAATGAGAATAAAACCTACATTATATTATAAACAGCTTAATTTTATACTGATATAATGAATTTCATCTAATTGTTAGCCGTTTTCGAGAAAATCATAAAAAAGTGTTAAATCGATGATGTGAAGTGCCACCTCCAGTTAGCCAATTTTGAAGAAAAAGTTGTTGTAACATCCCAGGTATATACAAACGTTTAATATGCAATTTCACTTTCATATAACTTTTCGTTTTTGAGCTAGAATGTTAATACACACAAACATACACACATACAGGCCATTTTGAGGAACTTGGTAATTTGGACTCAGAGGACCTCAAAATGTGTATTTTCTGTGAAAAATCAGACTTGAAAATTTTCACGATTGCAATACTTTCCTTTACAAGATATTTCCTACAGAAAGTAAAAAGAAAAAACAAAACAAATTTAATAAAATTTTTTACCTGAGTTGACCACTTACACCATTAAAGCTATCACCAGAACTAAATAATTAAAAATGAAATATCATTAACATAGTACAGAAAAACAGTGTCAAGAGGATTTTTTAAACTCCGACTGTTATAATGAACAAACAGGTCAAACCATGCCTGATATAAATGAGGAAAGAATATAAGTTTTGTGATCATACAAACTATATGATTAAAAATTTCAAATATTGCAAGAAAGTGAATTAGTTACTGATAAAAAAACATGTGACTTATTATTCACCTCAAGGACTTTCCGTTCCTCTCTAGTGTTGATACCTCATCTCGAGTAAGATATTCATTTCCAGTGGATGCCACAGTCCTCACTTCTTCAAGGCAATTGAAGACCATTCGTTGTTGTGAATCCAATTCCTCTTTAAGTAACTGCAGAAGAAAGCAATTGATAAAATTATTAGTGAGTGTACAATTAATTAACTAGCTCACATGAGAAAATTATTCAAAACCACCTTCAAAATATTGATTTGATTTCGGAGACGATCAAGATCCTCTTGTACTGGTTCCTGTTGAGCAAGTCTAGCTTCTATCTCACCAATCCATTCAAGTAGAGATCGCAAATTGTCATCACATAATTTGTACTTTTCTTCCATAGCTTGCTGCATTAAAAAACAACATATTTCAAATAATATATTTATAATAAGAAAGTAAAAATAAAAATAAAAAATAAATACATACACAAAATTAACTGCAAACACAGATTAATTTTATAAATAAATATATGAAAACAATAAAAAAGCATTATAAAATAAACTTATTATATGATAAGTTTTGATTCATATTGATTAACATGCACATGCAACATGCATTACAACATCATATTTCAGTAAAGATAGCATATTAAAATAAGAAAATAATAATAAGCATGCGTAATATTAGTTATGTTCTTCTTGGCCAAGAGAAATAGTTTAATTTGTTCTGATAGATTTTAAAAGTCTATAAATTTAATTAAAGTATAAAATTATACCAAAAGTAATTTAATAAAAGAATAGAATCATGATAAATTCATAGGATCTATTAAGTATTATCATTTTTCTCATAAAAAAATAAATAATATTTCCAAGTAGCACATAACGTTAATAAAATATAGTACCATAAAATTTTATAAAACGTTTAATAAATTATAATAACAATTCTTAAGAAACTGTGTATTAAAAATCAAACCAAGTTAGTAGCTCTTTAGCCTCTCTAGCTATATCCGTGCTGTTAGCTCAGATTTTTATTTTAAAATAAAATATACATAATCGTGCCAATCCCATTAGAATTTTTCATGTTTAATTTTTATTTTTGATTTATCAGTGGTTTTGAGGGTTAGAAGCGAAGCATCAAAAAAAAAAAAAAAGTATATATATTTTGGGTATAGCGCAGGTAAAATTTGTTTCGCAGACATAAATTTGATGTGGCTGCAACAGATAAAAAAAGACAAAAACAAAATGCAAGGTTATTGTTTAAAAAAACAAACAGAAAAAAACCAACAACTTTTAAATACAATAACATAAAAAGAAAAAAACAAAACAAACAAAGGACATAAAAGAAAATATATAAAATAAAAACAATATGCACATATATAGGACTTAAAATAAACAAAATAATTTGTATTATGTGTGAACTAGTAAGTATAAATTAGGTACAGGGGAAGGCAAAATATGCTACACTGTTCATACGCACAAGCAAAGCTCATGCGAAAAGACACATAATATATGTGTCATATCATGAGTCATGTTATGAATAGTAAAAGTCAACATATTTTGCAAAATCTTGTAAACATAGAAATTGAAGGCTTTGCAAGCTATTATGGTAAAATGGCAGTTTGCAAAAGCATGAAAAGTTATTTTCTGTTCATAACTGACAAAAAAGAAATATGTCGGTAAATAATAATAATAAAAAGAAGTATATTCATCACTGAAAAATACTATTGAAAATTTTTATTGAAATTAAAAATAATTTACAGGAAACACCCATAAATATTGAGCTTTCATTCGAGTTCTAAATCTTTTCAAAAATGATAATCTGAACACATTTTAATGATAAAATGTCATTTAATAATAATGATATTACAGTAAATAACTATAAATCAGTGATAAATTTACTATTGAGCATATATAATGCAAAGAGATATAAATAATAGGTCAGAGAAACAAGAATATCATTAACTATCATAAACTTATACACTTTAAGCTTGACATTTTGGAAAGAAAAAAATTAACATAATTATTAATTTAATTAACAGAAACCCATAAAACTTATTATTAACTTTTTTAATATCAAATGTGCAGTAGTAGTTAAGTTATGTGTCAAGATTAACAGGGTATAAGGCTTCCATTGTTTCATAAGTATGGTAAACTAATGCATGAAAAAATATTTTTATTCTGAGACAAATGAACTCTCTATCATTATAAGTAAATTTTAGGAAAAAGTTACATAATTGAAATACCAGTAGTGAAAATTATTATGTAATGTAAATATAATTATAGAAGTAATAAGCAACAGAATAAGCTGAGTCCCTAAGACTCTTTAGGATTGATAAGGATTACTATAATAATTAGAGAAATTATTTTTAAATATATATTTATATGTATATGAAGGGCCGCAGCATGGGTTTTTGGCATCGACGGTGAGATTTTACTGCTCCCCCCCACCACTATCCCAAATCTGCTAATAATCTATTACACTATGTTTAAATTAAGAAGGAGAGATCAAAGGAAATAAAAGAAAAATCTTTTTTTTTTGTATTTAAAAAATAAAACACAATTACAAACAATCGGTTTCATATTTTATCTCTTAAAATACCAAATACAAAACATATTATTTTTTATTTTAAAATATTTCATTTGAAATGCTGCCAAGATCTGGCTTGGTGTATTCCTCGAACGCTTACCAGTCTGCCCATGCACATTAACTTTTTAGGAATTGGTGGATTGGATAGCCGTAAATCTACTTCATTGGGTACAAATTACGCAATTCAACATAGTGTTGCAATCTAAATTCTGTAGCTAACCAGTCTTTTGATCCAAAACATGTTGTGCAATACTTCGTACCAAAAACCTCAAGATGTTGTTCATTGCTTAATGTAAGTGGCCATGTTTCGATCCGTAGGTTTTGTAAAGAACCATAAAAAGTATAATAGTTTTGTAAACTTTTAAATTTCGGGATCAAAGGTTCGAGCTAATTAATTTTGCCATCAAAAATAAATAATCATTAAAAAATAAAATAACTATTAACCGAAAAATAAATAACCATTTCCAGCCATTAGCCTGACAAACAAATGGGGAATTTTAGAGAAAATTTATTAATCTAGCGCTACAAGTAATTAATATTTGATTATTTAGGTACCAAAAATTTGAAAAATAAGTTGAACATATGTACACTGGTTTGTTTACATATGAGTATTTACTTATAAATAAAAATTGCAACGGTAAACTAAAAAATGATTGAGGCCTCCATTAACACTACCTAACCTTAATGCAGCCTCTAATAATAAAAAGGTTCCTCACCTATGGCCTAGCCTTAATTTCCTCTTTAATATAGTTTTTCTAGTTACCGTAGCTCTTAATACCTAAATTTCTCTATGGATTATGCGTATTTCCTTCAATATCTATTTCACTAAAATCATATTTCGTAAAAGTTGTATTATCCATATTTAATTGACCCCAGTTCTTTACCGGCTTTTATTAGCCTAGTTGTACTTAGTTTTTGTAGTTTCAGTGTCTTCACTTAACATTATTAAATTATCAGCACCATAGGCACATATTTCTGGGTGGGGAGGAGAGAGAGGGAGTGATCGCCCTCACCCTCTAATATAATTTATAATATATATTCCCTCAATATAAATAAAATATAATTCACTAGTTCACTTTTAGAAAAATGACCTCTTTTAGTCAACACTTAGAATAAGACACAAGGAAAAAAGAAAGGTTGTTGGATGTTAAAGTTTAAACAAAGTTATTTGGTGAACTTTTGGTTGATGGAGGAAAGATTATTAGTATTACTATTGTCTAATCTTCACCGAAAAAGTTATTCTTTTTTTGCAGAAATACACTCATTAGTTAACACTTTTCTGTTTAAAATATAAACGAAATAAATATTTCGTAATAAGGCTACAGTATTATAGAATGACATAAGTAGATGCAATTATTTATCTATTATAGATTTAAAGAAATTCTTTATTGGCATAAATTTGTTCTAAAAACGCTCTGATTAAAAAATATACTTTCTTAGCCAACTCTTATTTACATTTTTATTTTTATATTGATTTTACTGTTAGTCCCCGATCTGTGGAACCATGAGACTGCCCTGGTCACCTCACCCACATGATAGCTCTGTTTATATATGTGTGTGTGTGTGAATATATATATAAATGAAATGAAAAGGGGGCAATTACTCCTCTATGCTAATATGAAAAAAAATTATAAAAATAAAGGAATGACAAGAAACCTATTTAATAATAATGACAACCCATAAAGAAAAGATGTGTCTAAAAATAAACTTAAGATTTTTTTTTATAGTTCTATGATTTGGAATTTAAAAAATAATATATATATATATAGTAACAAATTAAGTTATAATAATTAAGTTATAATAATAATTAGACAATAAATAGCATGATAAAATACTAACTTGTTTTGTTGAGTTTGAAAATGGTCAAACTCTACTAATCTCGATAAAACAAGGTCATAAGGCTGACATACCGGTCATTGCTTAAATTTATGTTGCTCAAATGTCGATCCCTTGACAATTGATTGACACATTTATTACCAATAAAAATAATATTCTAAGTAAAATTCTTTGAATCCCGTTAAAATATGGCTTTAAGTCTGATATATCAGTCTTTAGATTAACAGTATCTGTTCTAATCTGGGGAAGGGAAGAGACAAAATATATATATATAAAATAAAAAGGTAATCAAACTCTACCAATCTCAATAAAATAAAGTCATAAGGCTGATATATCGGTCTTGGCTCAAATTTATGTTTATATCGACCCCTTGAAGATTGAGTGGTCAATTTATTATTAACAATAAAAATAATATTCCTAATAAAATTCTTTAGAGCTCAATAAAATATGTTCGTAAGACCAATATGTCTGTCTTTAGAATATCGTTATCTGCTCAAATTCGGGGGAGGGGAGGACAAAAAATAAATAAAAAAGTGGTCAAACTCAACCAATAATAATCAGGATGATTGATTTTCTAACCCTAGATGATTGATTGATATTTTTATTCAGTAATTACGAGAATTTCCAATGTGACATTGTACGGAACTAGACATATAGGAACGAGAGACCAATATGCTAAAATATAGATTTATCGTTCTTTTATCAGTCAAAATTTGTGTATAAGCCGATGTGTAGATGGTCTATTTATTCTTTTATTTAGCAATAAGTAAGAATATTGCTAAAGAAAGAGGAAAAAAGGCCGATATATTGGCATTTTTAATATTGGTATCGGTCGATCCTTAATAACAATGTTTCTGTCAGCCAAATGATTTCAACTTCAAAATTAACTTTAGTATATAGCCACCTTCTAGTCAAAAAATAATCCTGTTTTACTGTACATGTTTAAGAGTTATGGAGAACTAAGATGCAGTTCTAAACGATCTTGCAAAAAATAACAATTTGATTGCTGAATGGATGTTGGGACATTTTTAGCAAATTAGGCACCAAAGATGATAAATTGGCTGGGGAAGGCTTGGGTAGTATGAACTAATGAATTCATTAATTCTATGGAAATTTTCTGAATTTATCAAACCTACCTTTCAGAGAGTTTATTACAAAACAAAAGGCTTAAAAAAACTGCAGTTCGCTACACAAAATGGGAAAAAAATATTGTTTAAATATGACATAATTACATAATGCTTACTTTGTCTCTTGTTAGAAAAAAAAATGTTAAACTTGACCACTTTTTTTAATTACCATCCCAGTTTTTACATAACTTCTAACACTAAGTATTAAAAAAAAAGTCAAAACCAATAATTATTGCTGTTACAGAACAGACAATGAATGCTTTGTCAGCCACCTTAAGAAAAATTATTATTTATAACAAATTATTATTTTTGAATAAATAATATTCTTGTAACTCTGATTTCATTTAAAAGAAATGTATGAATATGATTAGATATAAACTGAAAATCTCCAAAATAGCTAAAATACTTACCCTACTTTGAGCAACAATGAAGTAACCCTTCGCTTTTCCTTTCAAGAAATCCAGTTGGTTTTCTTCATCTATTATCTTACCAGTGTGAGGGTCAATAGCACCGACATTAATTGCAGAGGATAAATCATGTATTGCACCCCCAAAACGAATAAGGACAGATTTTGGATCTATGAGCCCCACATCTATTGCCTCTAAAAGAGTCAGACGTTTTCTACCTTGCACACTTCCCACTGAAAATGGATCATTAAATCTACCAGTCGTAGGGTTATAAAGATTATAGTCAAGAGCATCCATTAATGATATTTTTTTAACAATCAATCCTGTTTCTAAAGCAGAATCCAAGTCTAAAAGTTTTGAATTCAATGTATCAAGAGCACGACCTGCATTATCAACTAAACCTTTACGTCTAGCATCTGCTAGACGCAGTAATCTTCTCTTAGCTGTATCTTTAAACATCATTGTGTCCTCTCCTGGAACATCAGGAGGTTTTACTCTAGGAACAGTAATAAGAATACCTCTGTGAAATGCTTCATCAAAAGGAATGCCTTCCTCAACTTTAACAACACAATCTTCTGCATCAACTAAACCGTCATTAAGAGATTGGTTTAGATCTTTTAAACGACCAGCATAAGTAAGATAAGTTGTGCCAGGGTTCAGAAGTCCAGATTTAATCCCAGAATTTAAACTTACTTTTTTATTTTCTAAAGGAGCAATGAATTTACCATTCTTAAATAATTTTGACCTGATAGCTTCTTCCAAGTCCATTCCTGTATGCGGTACAATTATTCCTTCATTTTTGTAACACATTAAATCTCCTTTATCCAATTCATCCATAATTGATTTATCCAACATGGTGTAATCGTTATTTGGTGTTTTAATGGGAGAAATACTGGGATCAATAAAACCTTCTTCAACAGCCTGAGTAAGATTCATGATTTTTCCAGAATTAGGATGAACAAATCTATCTTCATAAAATCCAAATTTAAGAGCATCATACAAAGAAAATGGACCTTCTAAATTTATTATAAGCCCCTTCTTCATTCCTTCAGACAAGTCCATACCACAAATAGTGTTCCTACAATCATCAATAATCCCTAATTGTTTTGCATCCCTTAATGATAATGGTTTATTCGAGTGGCATAGTAATCTAGTATCATCTACAAAACCATCTGATATTGCATCTCTTAAGTTTCCCTGAGGAAATTTTTTATCTTTATAAAATTTTAAAACTGCTTCTTGAAGAGAAATGGGTCTTCTAGCCAATACTCTGAGATCTACACCATCTATGGTTGAAGAATTAACCAGCCCAAATGCAATTGCATCTTCTAATGGCAATACTCCTCGTGATGTTTCAACTTCACTTTTTCCATCTACAAGACCTAAAAGTATAGCTTCTTCGAGAGGAACATATGAACCATCCGGATCTAAGAAAAGACTTGAATCAGGGTCAAATAATGTTTTCAGAGCTTCTGCAAATGGCAGTGGTCTGTCAAGTTCCATTATTATTCCTTCTTCCAATGCATGTTTCAAATCAATATTCCTGAATTGACCTTCCTTGACACTGCCTTCGAAGGTTTTCACTTCGTTGCCCAACTTAACTACAGTAGTGCTCTGATCAAGAACTTTATCAAGAGCTTCATCAGTAGTCAATTTGTTACATGTTGTTGGATCGGTGAATTTTCCACTTATAGGATTATACAACTTACGAACAGCTTCTGGTACGGGATATAGTCTCTTAGTGACAAAATGACCATGCTGAAGTGCTTCTTTTAGATTGAGAGAATCACCATCGACTGCTACCATACCACTATCAGGGTCTATATGTCCCTCATCAATAGCTTGTTTCAATGAAATGAGATCTCCATTTCCTAGAATCAATGGGGAATCTGTTATAAGATTTTCTTTTAGACACTGGAGTATGGTCTTACCCCCTCCTATGATTAGCTTTCCAGTCACTGGGTCATAAAGATCTTGAATTAAAGCTTCTGCTAATGTCATTGGAGCAACGGAAGGAAGTAAAATTCCTTTTGAATATGCAACATCTAAAGGAACTCTGTAAGGATAGGTTAATATAGAATTTTCTCCATCAAGAAGGCCTGATTCCAAAGCTTCTTCAACAGTTATTATTGCATCATTTTTGGGATCTTTAAATTTTGAGGAAGAAGAATCAATAAATGACTTCAGGGCTTCATTAAGTGTGACCATTTCTCCGGTCTTAGGGTTCAAGAACTTTCCATCTTCAAAATATTTTAATGCATTTACAATTGACATCTTATCAAGTTTTGTAACAATTAATTGTCTTTCCAATGCTTCAGAAAGAAGCAAATTAGAACCAGACTTGGTATCTTTAAATCTGTACTTTATCAAACCTCTATCTATCGCAACATTTAGATCTACAAATTCATCATTAACAGTGTCTTTGCAAAATGATATATCAGGATCTACAATGTATCGTCTAATAGCTTCCTGTAAAGTGATTGAATCTTTGGTAATTGGATCTATAATCCCCTTGGTAGCTATGCCCTTTCTAATCAATGCTTCTAAAGCAACAGGCTTCTCAAGTGGACGGACATCCCCTGTTTTAAATCTTAATATAAGATCATCACTTTCAAGTTTCCCTTTGTTTAGGTCTAAAATGTTAGATTCCACAGCTTTGGAAACAGGAATTAAATTATTATTTGCAATTACCCCGACTTTATCACAATCAAGTATGCCATCTGCAATGGCTAAGAAAAGAGGTACTTTAATATTTTCATATTTTACAAACCCATCATTTTCCAAAATACCTTTATCTACAGCTTCTTGTAAACCAAACTTAGGTTTAGGTGCAGATTTCTTAGGACGTATCCAATTTAGTTTACAAGCTGTAAAAAAAGGCACTGATCTTCCAGTTCTAGGATCAATCATTTCACCATTTTCATCAAACTTAGCACTTTTTATAGGAATGAAATCTCCTGTCTGAAGATCTTTAACTAAAGTATGTGGATCAATGTAATCTACAACTTCAGAGAAAGAAATCTTCTTCCCAGAGGTATCAGTAAATGAAGAGGTCCGGGGATCAAACAAGCCCCTTAGTACAAAATCTTTTGCTGTTGTGAACCTATCAACAGATAGTTTCGATGCTACCGGCTTAAAGGTTATGAAACCTTGCTTTATAGCTTCCATAGGTGTCAAATTCAGCCCTTCAGGATCATAGCGTTCATTAGAAAGAAACGATTCTTTGGCAGTTTGTAAATCCACTGGATTTCCCTTGGGATCTTTTATCATAGCAGGAAGTCCTTCACACACAGCCTCAAGTAGTTTCTCTGGCTTTCGAGAATCTGCATATACAATTAACCCAGAACTTGGATCTAAGATAGCATCTTTTGATATTTCATATGGTTCTCCTTCAAATATAATAAAACCCTTAGATATAGCATCTGATAAAGACATGCCTTCAAACTCTCCAAGAGGTGTCATAATTTTTTTTTCTATGGCCCTGATAAAAGTAAGTGTTTTCTTGCCATCATTTAAAACACCAGAATTGGGATCTAAAATATTCAGTCTTAAACACTCTTCAAAACTCACAAGCCTATCAGTTCCTGGAATATGAAATAACCCAGAACTAGGGTCAAAAAGACCTTTATCTATGGCTTCTTTCAGTGGCATACCACAATCCGGCAATTCAACTTTCTTCTTCATTGCTAGAGTGTCAAGGATTTTCTTTAACCCTTGCTTGATGGGACTGGAGTTATTCTTCTTGAAGAGTGGTTTAGTTTCAGTAACAGTTATGGCTAAACAACTCTTAAGAACATTCAAGCCTTCTTTGGTTATAATTTTCTTATCTAATGCATCTTTGTAACAAAGCCTGTTTTTCCTTCTATCCAACACAAAACCTGTCTTAGGATCTATATAACATTTAAAAGCAGCACCAAATAAAGTCAATTCCTTTCCACCAGACATTATGCCAACTTTTCTATCCAAAATTTCCCAGATGTTTTTTTTTACGAGATTGTCTTTTAAGGCATCATTAATTGGTACAGTCTTACCAGATTTCTTGGTGACTAGTTCTCCATTTTGAAGAATATCAAGAGCAAGAGCCTTGTTAAATGAAACAAAGTCTCCTGTTTCAAAGTTTTTAAAACAGTCTATATCAAAGATGGACCTCACAATAACTGATGCAATATAACCCTCATCAATTGCAGATTTTAAGCCAATAACTCTATTATTTTTAGTGTCTTTGAATTGCCAATCCTCAGTCATCACTCCAGTTTCAAGCGCAGACTTGAGAGTAAGCATTTTTCCTGACTTTATGTCAAGGATAGAGTTAAATGAATCGAAGTCTAGAACATTTTTGTTTATACATTCTTGTAAAGTTAAAGAACCAAATATTGTATCAACATGACTCTCCTCTGATGAATTCAAATCTAAGATATCATAAAGTGTTTGTGGTCTCTGAATAAGCCCCTTGTTTCTAGCATCAATTACATCAGATGGTAATACACCAGAATCAATAGCTTCAGAAACTGTCAGTTTAATATCATTATTAACTATTTCAGGAATATCAGCAAGTGGAGCAGATTCTAGGGGAATAGTCTGTCCAGTTTCCCTATCTAAATAACCTGAGCTACTAACAAGGCCTAAATCAATTGCATCTGATAAACATACCCTTAATGGACTCCCTTCAGCCAAAGAAATCTCCTTTTGTATAGCCTCCAAGAGGTTCTTGGAGCCAGAAATATTAGATGGACCAAGGAGTTCAGATGCTAATGCCTGGGCAATAATACCCATAACAACACCTTCCTGAATGTCGATACTTTTGTCAGGAGATAAATTTATTCGACCAGTCCTGACATCAAGTATACGTGCCTTAATGGCTTCACTGACTGTCATCTCGGCCCCAGTAGTTGGGTGATAAATCCCAGTACGGTTTATTACATCTGTCCCTATACCAGTTTTTTCGGGAGGAGAAGGTGGTTTTGATCCATTGATTCCCATGGAGTCTGTTTCAGTGATTCTCCACCTGAAAAAAAACAACATAAGCATGAAAATTTTTATGTAAAACTTACATGTTTCATTACTTAAACTTGCTATGACGAAAATATTTAGTTGTATGAGATGTAAGGAAATATAAGATAAAAATCTCTGTCCAATGCTCACCAAGAAATTCAAAAGTCTAGGTCATTAAGTTCAGCATATGTCATTTTCATCATTGTTCCTCATATATTATTATTTTATTAAATTAAAAAATCATTGACCCTTAGTCCAATTAAATTAAATTAAATTAGTGGGTAAAAAATATGAAGTAGGTCAAATTTTTTAATAAGGAGCTAAATCAAAAGTAAATTTTACAGCTTCAAAAGACTTATGCAATCTGCCTAATAAACTAAAAATTGGGAAATTATCACTTTTTTCAGTTCTAGCTAAAAAATGTCAAAATAAAAGCTTGTTTTAATTTTTTTATAATTTGATTAAATTAGCTACAATTTGAATTCAAATTGAGCTCCGTACAACCATCACTTTCTAAGCTACAGATCTCTCAAAATTAACTATTTCCTCCAAAAAGTCAAAAATATTCATTCTTAAAGAACATGATGTATATTTGAAGTAAATTTAATTAATTCCCATTAGATTGCATAATGAAATGTTTAGGCTCAATGGCTCTTTTAAAATCATAGATAAAACAAATTTGGAAGTAAAATAACGAAAGAAAAAAAAATAAGAAAGTAATGATCAAATGTTAATTAAATCAAAATAAAACAAAAATATTAGGCCTACTTTACTGGAAGCTATTTTTGGTTGTGTGATTATTGATACATTATAATCCATTTAATGCCATATGCAATATTTTTTTTTCAATTGGTATATAATGAAGAAATTGATTTGTATAAAAATAAACTAGAAATTCAGACAAAATTAAGGAAAAAAACAAACTATTTTAAAAATTATATAAAATATTATATTAAATCAATATATGATTAATGCTTGTACCAAAAATACCTCTTTAATCCCATGGTTTTTGTTTTATAAATAATAAAGCTTTTCAACAAAAATTGTTATGGCCTCTTTACTTTTATTTTCTAGTCCTAAAACCCTTTTTTCACAAAAACAATGATTATCTACTACCATGGTATTTTTCAAGGGCACTCAATGTTCTTATACATATGGTGTCAGATTTATTCAATGACGTTTCAAGCTAATTTTCTCATTCTCAAGTTATCTACAACAACAATTAACATCAAAGTTTACTCATTATCTAGTCATATAAAAAGTGAGAACTTACCAAAAACTCTAACCAACAATTTTTATCTATGAAAACATGTTTCCATATTCTAATTTCATTTATTGTTTATTTTTTGTACACCAAATAAAAAAAACAACACTATTCCTCATCTCATTTTATGCGCATTTACTCCAATGCTTGTCCAGTCTCAAATTTAAAAATATGTGTGTGTGATTATTTCAGAAAATAAACAAATTTATATTATATATTTAGATTTTTGTTTAATTTAAACTGCATGCTCACCCCAAAATTCAGTACTACATCCTCCTTCTATTGTTTAACATTCACTGCACATTTGAACTCTTTAGGGATGCACGTCCCTAGGAATTAACTAAATAAACAAATGAGATATAGCTCTGTTGATGTTTATTATTTTCCAATGATCTATCTAATTAAAAACTAATCTCATTTAATATATGGACATAATGTTGGCCTATATTATTAACATTGGATTTGTAATTTATTGCGTCATTTATATTTTTAGTTATATAAATTGATTCTAGGGTTTTTCTAGTTTTATTGTTTTGCGCTGTGTTTAAAATCTGTATATAGTTAAAATCAAATGGGTGCTTATTTACTAATGCTTGGATAGAGATGTGGATTGTATGTTTTTAGGATTTATTACATGAGTTTTCTATTGTTTTATTCTGCTTTTTAAATTTTGTGATGTTTCACCAATATAATGTTTGGGACATTGCATACAAGGAAATTTTATATATAACATCTTTTTATCTATTAAATTGATTCTATCTTTCATATTGGATGTTTCTTACCAGTTCATTATAGTTATACAGCCCAAACTTGAGTTCATAATGATCACACACATCTTTAAAAACTACTTTTTCCCCATCAATTTCAGAATTTATTTTAATTTGCAGTAATTATTATATTTTCTGCTTTGTTTTTCAATATCATCTTGATTGCCATCCTTTGCATTTTCCTTGTTATTCGACACTTAAAATAATCTGTTATAAGATTTTTATAGACCTATGACTCTGTGGACAGGAGCTGTCTTTGGAAAATCAGGACTGATGTAGGAATTCTTGGTAAGTTGGAGTCTTAATACAAGGAGAAGTATCTGAAGCCTTCAAAGTTCGAATGGGCTTACAGCAGGGAGATGGATTACCACCGATGTTGTTCAACATAGCCCTGGAGAAGGTAATAAGAACATCACAGGAAAATGGAGTGGTCCACTTTGGAATGAATAATAAAATCCTTGGAATGAATCATAATAATAGGCAGACGATATAGCTGTCCTTGGAAGTAATCAAGAGGACATTGAGAAACTCGCTAAGGCAGAGCAGGTTAGCCTACAAGTAAATTTAGACAAAAGAAAATATATGATTATAACCTGAAAATTCCACCCCAATAACAGGATCTACGTAGAAGGAAAATCATTCCCGAGAGTAGAAAAATTCAAATACCTCGGCTCCACAATAACCTCAATCAATGACCAACAGCTAGAAATAGAGCAGCGTATAACTAGCGACCCACTTTGTAGGTCTTCATCAGGGCTACAAAAGATACAAAACATAGTGAAAATAAATGAATATAGGTAGATATAAAATAAATAACTACCTATATTCATTTATTTTCACTATGTTTTGTATCTTTTGTAGCCCTGATGAAGACCTACAAAGTGGGTCAAAACGTCGGCAAAAATTAAATAATTCTACTTATTTAATTTAGTATTAAATTGACCGCATCCCCCCATCAACTCCTTCTCATATTATATCAACTTAGTTTTATAGCTTTTTTAAAATTAACTGCAGTATTTATAATCTAGTGTTTAGGGTGGTTAGAGTGATAATTTAATATGAGATCCAATATGTTTCTATTTTATTATTATTCATTATGATAATAACATCTAAATATCTTATAATAATAATAATATACGTGTAATAATGATACTTTAATTATTCTGGAACGAGTCCCTTTAGAATAATACAGAAAGACCGAAATGTGGGCTAAGGAGCCTTAGAGATACATATAAAAAAAATACAGAGTAGTTAAATAGTCATAATACAAAAAATATAAGTTACTTTCTAATTTTCATCATTTAATAATCAAAAATTGAAAAAATAATGAAAAACGATCTATTAATTTATACACATATTTACAATAGAGTCTATTTACAATTTTATGAGGACTGGATGGATAAGAAATAATTGAACAGGCGGGATTTGAAGGTAGGAAGGATATTGGATTGACGGATATGGGAAGGGATGGAGTTCCATAGGGATGAGGATCGGATAACGAACGAGCAGCGTTTCGGTGGGCCCTTACGTATAAATCAGAAGACCAGGAAGGGCAGTGGGATTGGATGACTTAAAAGAGGAAAGATGCCAAGAAATACTTACACCGGTAAAAAGGATAAAGCCACTTCAATTCTGCATAATAACGGGAAACAGAGGCGTCCCTTGGGATCCTAAGATGAATCGTACAAAGCAATTTATCAAACATTTTAATTTCGCCTCGAGATCCACAGACACCCTCATATACCGCACAGCATTAGTCAAAGTGGAGAAAAATTAAGGAAGTGACTTGGAGTCTATGGGTTTCAAAGGGAAATAGGTGAGGGGAGTAATTTAGACGTTTTAAGGGGGAAATGGTATGGCGGACGGTATTGGATACATGGTTTTTCCAGGAAAGCGTTTGACCAAAAGCTATTCCAAGATTTTTGATGGAGGGATACAATTTTATGGGATTATCATGTAAGAACAGAGTTGGAATATTAGGAACAGTTTTAAGGAGGTGATTGGAGCCTATTAAGATTGCCTTCGTCTTTTACACATTCAACTTCAACTTGTTAGCTCTCACCCAATCACAATACCTATCCAAGTCTTCTTGAAGTTTTTCTGTGGCTGATAATAGGTCAGAGGGCGGGAAGGATAGATATATCTGGAAATCATCTGTATAGATATGGTATTGAAGTGGGAAGGTCATTAGGAGGGGAAGGTCATTAATGTAAATAGCAAACAGAGTAGCAGATAAAGAGGAATCTTAAGGGACACCACAGGAGAGGGGGAGGGTCTTAGATGGAGTTGACCTGGGACGACTACATACTGGGACCGATTTGAAAGGAAGGATTTGAACCAATGCAGGGCACTGTTGGATAGAGGAAGATTGTGCAATTTAGTGAAGAGGCTGTTATGGTCAACTGTGTCAAATGCTTTGGAAAAATCTAGAAGGATGAGGATAGTAAGGTTTTAGTGTTCAATGGAGTTTTGGAGGTCATAGGTTATTTTAAGGAGAGCGGATTGCGTTGAGTAGCCAGGTCAAAAGCCAGATTGAAATGGGTTGATAATGGAACGTTCCTCTAGGAAGTTGGAGAGTTGATTTTGAACAAGGCTGTATCATTGATTATAGTATCGTTTATTAGTTTATCCATTGGAAATTTGATCCCTTTATTGGCCTTATTTAATAATTCAAATAGTTTTTCGTAACTGCTATTTTTCATGATAATGAGTAAATAATGAACTCATCGATATATTTCAGCACCATAATTATTTGATCTTCCACTTTAATTATTTGTTCTATTAACATTTTATTTAAAAAATAACCACTATGTAATACTGACAACCTATTTCCCATTATTAGACCGTTTACCTGTTTGAAATAATTATTATTACACTTGAAAAAATTATTGCTTAAACATGATTTTAATATCTCCATAAAAATACTTTAATTTTTTATATTCGTTTGATTTTTTATTGAGTTAAAATTTTCCTTTATAATTTTTTAACAACTCATCTATTGGCACATTAGTAAAAAATTCCTTCACGTCAAAACTCACCATATTTTATATTTTCATCTAATTTTAATTTCTTTAATTTGTCTTTTACTTCAATAGGATTTATTATATCGAAATTCATATCACTGTTTAAATTCATCATTGCATGCTTAGAAAATTTGGATAAATTATCATTAAGCCCATTAATGTTATTGACTATCGGTCTTATGTCTTTATTCTAGTTTTATGAGTCCGTCCGTGTATTCGCAGTTTAATATAATTATTACTAGCCAATTTTTTAGTGTATCTGTCTATGTAATCATATTCATATATTAAATGAGAATAGTTTTTAATTAGATAGATTATTGGAAAATAATAAACATCAACAGAGCTATATCTCATTTGTTTATTTAGTTAATTCCTACAGGGACGTACATCCCTAAAGAACTCAAATATGCAGTGAATGTGAAACATTAGAAGGAGGGTGTAGTAATGGGTTTCGGGGAGAGCATGCAGTTTAAATAAAACAAAATTCTAAATCCATTATATAAATTGGTTTATTTTCTGAAATAATCGCCCACAAATATTTTTTATTTATAGACTGGACAAGCATTAGAGTAAATGAGATGAGGAATAGTGTTGTTTTTAGTATTTGGTGAACTAAAAATGAATAATTAATGAAATTGGAATATAGAAATATGTTTTCATAGATAAAAATTGTTGGTAAGTTCTCACTTTTTATATCACTAGGTAATGAGTGATCTTTGATGTTAATTGTTGTTGTAGATGACTTGAGAATGAACAAATTAGCTGGAAGCGTCGTTGAATGTTGAATAAATCTTTGAAGTACAAGGGCTTATATATTCCTTGAAAAAAAAAAAAACTGTTCTTGGATTCAGTACTATTTAGGAAGAGTACTGTTTCAAGGCCAGCGGTTGTGCAGGGAGGGGATCGGGCCAGGATCACGCTTAACAACCAGGTTTTTCCCCTTAATCAATTATTTAATTAAGGGTACCCATTTTATAGAGGCTGGGTGTGCCCCAGGAGGTTCTCCCTATCCCAGGGTCACCCCACGGCCAATGAAACAGAATAAATAATTTTTCTGCCATGAGCCAGGATTCGAACCTGGGACCTTGAGTACCCTACCACTGAGGTATCCCGTTCCCTACTACGTCGGTAGTACCCCGACTATTCCTTGAATAGCCATATTTTTAAACTGATAACTATCAAAATTTTATAATTGATGTATTGATACAACATAGATTAAGATAGTCATTAACGTTTTTTTTAAACTATATTAGTATGTTCAAAAATTTAAGTATAATATGATTTTAAAAAATACATATATAGTATTTCCAAGTCAATTTCAACCTTTTCCAAGACTTAAACTTCCATTTCAAATTTTCGAATAAAAGCCACTTGCTATATTATCAAAGGCATAGCTTTAGAAAAACACAAAAAAAAGTGATAAATGAATCTATTTATTTTTACTTTTTAGATTTTTTGGTATAATATTTTTATGTCATATTCAGTTTTTTCCCAAGTCAAATTCAACTTTTTCCAAGTCAAATTCAACCTTTTCCATTTCAAATTAAAAATTTGATTTATGCTCCCCTAAGTAGAGTTTTTTCAAAATACTATCGATTTTATGTTAATCGAGTTATTGCACCTATTCAGATTTATTTGATATAAGGGTCTAGTACGATGTTATTGTGTGCCTAATTTTTTTAAATAATCTTCATTTTAAGATTACGCCACTGCGTTTCGAATTATTTACGTTTTTCGGATTTATTCGATATGAGGATGTATTCTAATGTTTCTGGAGCCATAGACTTTGAAAATGACCTACATTTTCAGATTACGGCAGTGTGTTTCGACTTACATAATTTTTTTTCAAATTTATTCGATGTAAGGGTCTACTTGTATGTTATCAGAGACGTAGTTATTGAAAATGACCTACATTTTAAGATTATGCCACTGTAATTTGGTTTATCTAATTTTTTTAGACTTATTTGGTATATTATGAAGCTAAGGTTAAATTAACTACAAAACACAAAGTTAAAAGCCGAAAAAGCAACTGGTAATAAATTCAACTTACCATTTTCAGCTAATTGTTCAAAATTCGTATCTTATAATTTTGTAAGAGGATACCGCAATATCAAAAAAGAAAACTAAAATTAAATTTAAAAATGAGACAATAGATATTTTATTTATTTCGGCTGAAAAATAAATTAATCTTTAGTATTTTTTTTAATTCAAAGGAAAAATCAAAAAAACTAAAATAAGATAAAACGCAGTGGCGTAATCTTAAAATGGAGGATATTTTCAAAAACTACTCATACGATAACTGACCAATACATCGAAAAATTAAAAATAATTAAATAAATAAAAAAAGGTTTAATTTGAAATGGAAAAAGTTGAAATTGACTTGGAAATGCCAACTTCAGACAACAGAACGGTAACTACTGACTAACTATTTAAACCCTTAACTGTAAAGAACTTATAAAAATTAATTCAATCTTTCAAGAGGGAGCAAGACTGAAATACTAAATTCATAACTTAATTTTTTTTAATATGAATGATTGTATTATTGATTGAACTATTAGTGTCATCAAAGAAAATTAAAGTTTTTTTTAAGGTAAACCATTCGTATTACTAAACTGGTGCAGTAGGATAGCTGCAAAATTATTCGGATACACATTGTTAATATCACTAATTATTAGGTATATAAATAATTAACAAATATACTGATAATTTTTTTTATATTAATAAGTCAACTATTTTCATTCTTGCTTCCAGCCTTATAAGATGTTTAAAAAAATATATATATTAATAATGTAGTAACATAAATATATATCTGTTTATGATTTATTTATTTATAACGAACCTGTCAGGGAGTTGAGTTGATGTTTCTGTAAGAGTAAACTCTGTTCTAAAAGTCTTCAAGTGCGCAGGCTGAAGCTTAGACACGAACTCCTATAAGATTGGGAAGGAACATGATGAAAAAGCAGAGAAAATACATTTTTAAATCACTCTTATTATAGTTGATTTAGCAAAAGACAAGAGTAAATATAGGAAGAGACAATTCTGACCAGAAGAGGATAGCAAAATTAGTTACAATTACCCCTTAACTGTAATATTTTAGTGTTGGTGAGTCACACTCTGGAACTTAAAATGATCTGTTACCAAAAAGCTAAAATATATCCTTTAACAAATAACAAGACCACCTACAGACCATTCTGGATAAAAGTGTGGGATGAAAATTATAGTTCTAGTTAATTGAGTAATGAATCCTCAAAAAAATAAGAGACTTTTCAATAGATAGCATCACTAACAGCAGAATTCAAAATATATACCATTTATAAACATTTATATACCATAGGTCATAACTACCAAATAAAACAAATAACTAATAATAATGATCAAAAGGAAAATGGAATCACCAATAAAAAATCAGAATTAAGCAAAAAAAAAAATAATGGAAAAATAAAAATCATCCTTAACACAAACATAACGATCATAATAGCTATTGAATTTTTTTTTTCTCTCACAATATTCAGCAATTAATCAATCATCAAGGGCATGAAAATTCAGTCAATATTTCATTACACATTATTTCTCCTATTTTTCATCAGAAAGAAGTTTACTAAAATACATTGAACCATATGAAATTAATTGTTTTAAATACTGTTAACCAGAATGAGAATTGCCAAAATAAATGTGAATTTAGCTCCAAAAACATTATTGATCATTTAAAAAAAAAAATGTATTGGTGGATTATGTGACCATGGACAATTGATTAAAAGTTTATATTTTATCAATAATTTTATCCATACATTTCAATACAGAAAAAAAATAAGATTATTTTGCTATGCTGAATAATTTTAATTAAGTTAGTAAAACTTTCTGTGCTACAGCTTCCTCCTTAAATTAATTACCTTATTGCCTATACTTGTCTTAATACGTCTTACTGAGAATGAAGGTAAGTTTTTTAAATTATATTGTATACTACATAAAAATAAATATAATTAAATTTTCTAATATTAAAGTTCTTTTCATTTGTGAGGTAAATATTAACACATGGGTTTTTGGCCATTCTCACATCGTGATCAACAACTTAGCTTACAATATGTATAAATTTTTTAGATTTTAAGAATACTTAGTTTTGGCGTAGATACAATATGAGTAAAATGAACGAGTATAATACATTTATTTTATTGAGCATTATCTACAATATAGTAATTTTACAGAAAGACAAATTAAATCTAATAGTTAAATGAATAACATGCATCTTTGAAGATGATGAATCTAATTTTTATAATAATAAAACAGAAAATTATGAAAGAATAGACAATGTTAACTGCTTTTCAAAACGATTGGCCAAACCCGAAACATTAAGCTGATAAAGATTTGAGAAATAATGTGAAGGCCTTTCAATTATGTTAGATTCTTTAAATTTTTCATTATTTATTTTTCTTAGCTCATTCATAATAAGAACAAAAAAAAATTTTTTGGAAGTTTAAAATCTGTCTTTTTGGCTATAATCATCCAATGCCATAAAGATGTGAATTAAATTAAAGCAAATTGCAGTAATGATCACACCACTTTTGTGGTGTGAATTTTCACTGACATATGTAGTTTTCTTACTTCCATGCATAGTCAAAATAAACAGAAAATGCAAAAAATATGACTGAAAAGGTACCATTAAACATCACCCAAAAGGGCATGTTTTAAGTTTAACAGTGGATGTAAAGCAACAGAAAAACCCAAATTTTGGATATTCCCATCCATTAATATAAGAGAAAGAAACTGGAAGTATTAATGTACCATTGTATGATAATACAGATATTAATAATACTTTTTAAATACTATTCCATATAAGTAAGAATGTTGTTCATTGTATATGTAATTTAATTCTTTTTTTAAATTTTCTGGTAGCTCTCTTTGATGAAAGAAATATTTCAAGAGTTGATTTGAATGATTATTTACTTTTTACTCAGATTCTTTCCCATTAATTTTCTTATTTTGCTATTGCATTATCAAATTAAACCTTTTGTTATTCAGGTAAAAGCATGATTTCATATGTACCATTCCAAAAGATAATGAGAAAAAAATCTGAGTAAAAACTAAATAATCATTCAAATCAACACTTGAAATATTTCCTTCATCAAAGAGAGCCAAAACCAAAATAGAAACTTACTACCAGATTAAAATTAAAAACTTGCTACGGTGCGCGTATCATAAAACTTTCACTTACCACTCTTTTTTCAGCAGAAATAGGTATTTTCAGGCAAAGGGAAGTGAAAGTAAAACCTATAACCGGTGCAATATATTATTCAAAACAATTAATTACCATATGTTTTTCACAGGCGTCTACTGTATTATATTAATGCTTTTTTCGACACTAACCATTTATTTTTATGAATATATATTTTAATTATTTATTTGATTACAATAAATAATTAAGTGCCATGAAATATTTTTAGTCCAACAAGATTATGACTAATAAAGAAGACCGCTCTATTTATTCATATTTCATTGTACATATTTTAATTTAATTTGTTTTCATTGATATATATATATATATATATATATATATATATATATACACATACATACTCATTTTAATTTTTATATTGCTGTAATCTATACAATTAAATATCAAATAATACCAACACTGGCATTTATGAAACCACACTTATGAAATTATAATTTTATCGAAGTCCGTATTTTATTAAGCACGTGTTATAAATAGAAACCTTTCTACCTTTCGGCAAAGCTTGAGTGCGTTTGGGTTTATCTGGTTCTCTATTATGATCCCTCCTTTTTTATTATTACAATTATTTATTCCTATAGTTAATTATGAAATTCTATTATATTTTATATTTAATCATTTTTCATAGTTTATTATGTGAAATTGTTAATTATTCCAATTAAAAAAATTAAAGGCACTTTAGAAGAAGAAACTTTGAAAATTAAGATTTAAGCCCTGTTAGAGAACATCAATGAAAAAAAGAACTAAATTATATTAAAAAGTGCTTAATTTTACTCCGATATAATGAATTCAATCAAAACTGTTAAAGTCGTTTATGAGAAAATCATAAAAATGTGTAAAATCGATGATATACAGTCGCACTTCCAGTTAGCCAATTTTGACGAAAAAGTTGCTGTTGCTGTTATCCCAGGCATATATATATATTGCATTGGGAAATAAGTCCTTTCGGTCTTCCAGGGTGGGGTCAAATAAAACTCAATGTATTATAGACATATAATTTATTTTAATCTAAATTTTTTTTTTGCCCCACGGGGGTGGGGGGGGGTGTACCGCGGCCTAGGCCATTGCAAACCTATTGATACTTATAGGATCAATCATTTCACAGTGCTTAGGGTCAGTGATACGATCAAATCCAAAGTGAAAGTATCGCTGTCTAGCTAAGTTATCATATCTACAAATAATGTGATGGGCCGTTTCATCCTCCAGGCCACATAGCCTGCAAGTGGAGGTCTTACTTACATCCAAATTGAGAAGGTGCTTATTTAATTGACCAAGACCGGTATACAGTCCTGTCACCCGCCTAACAGTATTTCTGTCCATTAGAAGAAGTGAATTACTTAGAATAACTTAGGAATAACTTAGAATGGGTTTGTTTCCTGGTCTGCAACCAGTGTAGCATTAATTTATAGCCCATGATTGCCTTAATATGTCTTTTGGCAAAGTCGAGGCTTATCCCACAAATAGGATCTGCTGCAACTGGCATCTGTGCATAGCCTTTCCTAGCAAGGTAATCGGCTTTCTCATTTCCTGGAATGCCTGAGTGAATTAGCTATTTCTTGAAGATAGCTAAAGTCGTTTTGAAGTAATAACATTTTTGGCAATTTTTGAAAAAAAAATAAACCCAAACATTAAACCTAGAAACATAGCTGAGCGTTTTTCTACACTTGTATGCGACACATTCAGGGCCATAGCAATCTCTCGCACTGATTGGGTGCGATTTTGATCAACAATGGTCATAACATTGCTCGTTTCAATTTCATGTGGGCGACTAGACCGTTGAGCATCATTGATGTCAAAATTTCCTGAATGAAATTTGGCAAACCAATTTTGGCAGGTGCGTTTGGTTAAATCCTCATCTCCATAAACACTGCAAATTTTTCTATGAGCTTCTGCAGCACGCTTACCTTTTTTAAAATAATACAACAAAATATGCTTATAATGAATGATATTTTCTTCCACATTCACAGTGCAATAGCAAACACAATACTAAGCTGGTTTCAACAAGAGTTAATAGATATAGTTGTCGACATATTATAAACAGGATAAACAATCCACCTTAGGGATTAATTCATCAGATAAGAAGTGTATCATTGTGACATAAAAATAAACAGAAAAACCGAAAGGACTTATTTGCCAACCTAATACCTATCTTAAATACTTAATATCAGTTTTATACGACTTTTCATTTTTGAGCTAGGCTGTTCACACACACACAGACCATTTTGCGGGTTTGTGGGACTTCGTTGTTGGACTCAGGGGACATCAAAATGAGTATTTCCATTGAAAACTTAAATTCGAAATGTTCACAACTACAATACTTTCCTCCCTTACTATATGATATATGTATAGATAAGTGAAGGTAAAAAATCTGGAGCGGTCTGCACATCACACAACCTTCACTTACCACCCTACCTACAGCAGAACAATGTGTTTTCATATATAGATTTATAAATGGTATAACATATTCATTTAAAATAATTAATTGCCATGTTTTTCCTGCCCTCCAATCAGTTAAATTGATACTTTTGCATTACTTTACAAATTCTTTTATTATTTTTTATTTATCAGCTCAAAAGGTGCCTCAACTGCCCTTTCCTAATAATATTTATCCACTAATAAGTGGATAAGTAACTGTTATGAAATTCAAAAATACTAATATTAGTACTTAATTTTTTTTAATTGAATATTTAATAGTTGACCGTTGCATTATAAAGGAAGGAGATGGTCCGGGGTGGCGGTCATAAATAGGCTAAATAGTGGCAACACTATTTTATTAAAAGCCAATGTTTCGACCCGACTTTGCAGGTCTTCTTCAGGGAGGTGTGTTCAGCTAGGAGTTTCACTAAGAATTTCAGTCTTTTTCTTCAAATTCAACATTAATAAGACTGTTAGAAAGCTGAATTACTACTCTTCCAAATCAAATCAATAACTTTCACACTTTATTCCTCTATAAGCTAAAAATTGAGAAAAACTTTCCAAACATATTTAGTTTGATTCCCAGGTTCTAATTTGTTTACTGAGGTCGGGTATGTGATATTTCGTGTACAACACGTCTATAGGTCCCTAAATAGTGAATAATTTTTCTGTGAATCGGTGGAGTCTTGAAGTTATCACAATTTTTGTGGTTCTCGAAACAGTTTTGAAGGGTCCAACCTAGGAAAAAATTGTGAGCAATAAAGATTCATATTTATGGATTTTTCGAGGTGATAAAAACGAATAAAATCTTTACCCACACATTGATATGTCAAATTTACTCTAATATCATACTCATACTCGAGCTATCTGCCAAATATAATATATATTTTCTCTAAATCAGGCCGGTATTTAGAGTGAAGATTTTTTAGGGGAAAACGAAGATGATATTCATTTTTTGAACTTCAGACAGACCAACCTTAAAAACAATTTTTTATAGCAATTGAAAAATATTAACCATTTTTAGTGCCTATTGGAACAATCACTGGGACATGTATCTAATATTTTTCTATGCATAATAACAAAAATATATTTGGTTGAAATAGGTGACCCACTGATTGTTGTCCTCCTACCTCTTGTAAGTCACTTAAACAATAAGTGACATAAATTTTTAAAAAAATAAAGACAATTCTACGCAAAAATTCATGAATTTAAAACTATTTTGAAGTAAGATAATAATAATAAAACACATATTTCTATTCACTTACCCTAAGTTGAGGATCATTCGAAATGGCACAAATCTGCCTCAGCCTGTCTTGTAAAATGCTGACGAGAGCTAAGTACCTATGGTTGATCTTGTCTAGCTGCTCTGCAATTTCTTCTTCACCAGAAGGCCACTCAGAATCAGGACGAGAATCACCGTCAAAAGATGGTTGTGATATTGCCACTGCTGCTCTGAATTTTCCCAGTGCAAGGTTGTATATCTGTAATGTTGTGTTAGTAGGGTCCCCTTTTTTTTTTTTTCTTTCTTTCTTGTTCAGTTTCATTAAGTACATTAATATCATTTTGTCCCTTCTTATTTAAATTATTTTTAATTTTGCTTTGTCTTGGGAGCATGTTAATAAGTTGATTTCGGTTATATATACAAATACATTTGGTCCAGATCAGGGATACTTTACAATTTAGTTTCAATATTATAATGATTAAAGTTTATTATATAACCCTCATCCAACCATCAATATCATTTCTCAATAGTAATATACTAATATAATATCTTAGAGGTACAATCAAATCTATTCTAACATAAATGAGAAGGTCGTGATACATTCTGTGGGTTCACCACAAAATAAATTTTAACTCACCCAGGCTGGATTTGAACCAGCATCACTAGACACGAGAATGCTAAAATGGGTAATGCTCTAACACACTTGGCCATCATGACCTCAGTCTTTAAATTATAACTGTCATGTGAGCTCTTCACTCAAATAAAAAACAGGATTTTTAATATGAAGACAACTTTTCAATTAATTACTTATTTCTCTTCACCTCCCACTTATATAACTTCTACAAACAACAAAATCCTAGAATTATGTTCTCATAAATGTCATGTTCCAAAAAAGAGTTTTCTCTAAGAAAATTAAGGATTTCTACAGTAAAGGTTTAAACAAGTACTGAACATTGCCCTAATAATAATTTAAAAACAACTGAAGCAGATTTTAGATCCCAGGTTGATAGCTGTACAGTCAATATTCCAACCAATTTAGATTTAGATTTAACTCATCTCCAATAAAACAAAATAAAATAAAGTAAAATATTGAATTTTCAATTGAAAAATACTTTTCACTGAAAATAAAAATAATGTAATAATATCTCTTATTAATCACTTGACATAAATGATTGCTTGTATTGAACATAATTTAATCTCATAGGGTTGCATCTTTCGCTAACATGTAAGAGTAATCTATTATCACTATTGAAGAAATAATTATGAATAGTAATTATTTACTATTTAATCACTGAAGTGTGCTACAAATATAGAAGAGAAATTACAATTAAAATTTGTAAGATCCCTGAACTGGACATCCACCAATAAATACTAGAATATTAATGAAATTACATAAAATCTACTGAACTGTTAGAATAATATCTTTGCAGCCAAAAGTTAGATTTCTTTGCTATGTACATGTTCTTTATTGTTCCTTATCAATGATGATTATGCATTGATAAGGGTAATAAATAATTAATATGTTGATTAAATAACTACTATACTAGTATATTTTTTACAACTTTGTTAACCAAATATGTTAATAATAAAAGTAAATAATTTCTTAAGTAAAAAAATGTAGGCAAAATAGTGCTTACCTTCGCTTCACGTATGAAACGACCACCATCAATGTTAACCTGCTCCAAAGGTTGAGTTCTTTCAACTATGCTGGTGAATAATACCTAAAAAATAATAATAATATAATAGTTCAGCTATTAACATAAAAAAAAAAAAATTTAACAAGTTTTAAAACTCTTATTATTGATGCATGTTACTTATGTTCTAAACAAAACAGAGATTTTTTAGGAAATTAAATTATTTCAAAGAAATATTATAGCATTATGTTAATATAAACTTATTAGTTTTATGAAAATACTGCCTTTTTTTTAATAGGATTTTTAATTTTTTCCATTGTTATAAACGGCAAGTCTAGCTCACGCAAAGAACATTGAGATTCTTCGGATAGTAACCCATAACATGAAATTATTAACAGTAGAATTCAGCTTCCCTTTAAATCATACAGTTGTTTTAATTCTTCTGCCAATTCTACGTATTTTCTTTTTTTTTCCCACCTATACCTTACGCAGATTATCATCTGAAGGAACTCCAATTTCTATAATAGATGCTATTTTCTTCTCTTGATCGATTATTAAAATGTCAGGCCTATTGTGTGAGACAGTATGATTTGTAAGTAAAGGCTGATCCCAGAATAGTTTTACATTATGCTTGGAGGTGATTGATTCAGAATGAAATTTGTTATGCGGACAATAGTTATCCCTCAGTTCCAGCTTCTGAGCCATGGCTTGATGTACTACTTTAATTGCATTGTTATGGCACATAAAGTATTCTTTATCCGCCATTATTGGGCATCCAGAAGTTGTATGCTGAATCTACTCCACTGATTTTTTGCATAGGCGGCATAAGTCATTTATATTCTCTCCACAAATATGCTTTCTATACGCCCTTGTGGCAATTAACTGCTCTTGGATAGCCTCAAGAATCCTTCAGTTTCTGGAAAATATTGCCACTTTTAGGCCAGGTTAATGATGCCTGAGTGTCTATTCCTGTCCTTGTCAATGAATGATAAAATCAACCATGCAGTGGTTTATCTTTCCATTTTTCAGTTAATGCAGCATAGTCTGCATCAATATTCAGGGGCCCAGCATTTAGTAGATTTAGAGCTGTATAATTTGCATCTGGTGATGCAATAGTTGAGAGGATCTTTGAAGTATGACTTCTGATGTAAACCCGAAGATTATTTTCTTCTTCCCAGCATAACTTCAAGAGGCTAAAAAAAACTAAAAGCTCTATATCATTCCCTTCAACAATCCTACTTCGTTTTACGTGTATTACTGCACATTTATCTATCCTCAGATGCATTCCTATGTCAGTGCTCTACTATTTTTAAAAGAGCTGTCATGCCATCTTCATTCCTAGCATATAGCTTTAGATTATCCATATATAACGAATGGGAGAGCTTCATTTCAGAATTAAGGTGATATCCTTTACCTGTATCCTCCAGTAGTTTGCAGAGTAGATTGAGTGCCAAACAAAAGCAAAGGGAACTAAAGGAATCACCTTGAAAAATACCCCTTTTTATAGATATATATTCATTGGCACTTGATCCATTCCAATTTGATGTGCAGAATGATACCTTCCAAATTTGCATTAAATGTTTTAATAAATCTATTATTGTCTGGTCTACTTTATAGATCTCCAGAACTTCCGAAAGCCATGATAAAGCAATATTGCGAGATCTTTTTGAAACTTGAGCTGCAATTAACGAATCCATCAACAGAAGTTCTTTGAATCCTCTTGAACCTGGTTTATTACCTAGCTGTTGAACTGACATGATGGCATTTCCCTATTGCTATTGAGCACCTAAAGAAACAAATCAACTTGTTTCTGATGACAGCTGTTAATAGCTTGTCTATGCCATTTAAACACATTATAGGTCTCAAATCCTGGAGCTCCAATTTTTCCTGTTTTACTTTTCTTATTAAAGACGTCATGCCTGTGCAGAAATCTGCAGGAAGACCTACTTCTGAAATAATTCAGCCAATAATTTTGTATTTTGTCTGGTCCAGAAGCTATCCAGTTTTTCTTTTGCTTAAGTGACTTTGCTACATCTTTCACAGTAATACTGGTTGTTTCCATAGGTTGGAGGTTTGATTAGCTACAGCAAATATTTTCCAACCAATCTGCATCGCTATTATAACATTTTTTTCTTTCCCAATATTCCCAAAACATTTTTCTCTAGTACCAAATACATGATTTTGTCTTCTTCTATTTTGAACTTCAGTATACCTCCTGATCCTGTTTGCATACACTGCTAACTTCTATTTAAGGGTTTCCATATAAACAACAAGAGTTTGGTTTAACATATTGCTTGCAACTCCTCAAATGTTGAATACTATAATTTCATCAATTTTCATGAAACTGGGGGTTTCTAAGATAGTGATGATTCTAATTTTACAGCGTAGACCTTTAATATTTTTCTTGAATCTCCTTTTCCAGGGAGAATCTTGGCATTTATTAACTTGATCACAATGGTCCTTATCTTTTATTAATCCTAGCTCCATTGTGACTGTTCAAGCACCCACGTATATCAATGGCATATCTCATCTAAAGTCATACCATACTATACCATCTGACATATGCTCAGCAACTATTTCATTAATGGCTCAGATAGTGGTTAACGTTCTCTTTGAGTATCGTTCCTTAAGTATTGCGGGTCTGCTATTTAAGGGTATTTTATCATAAAGCATATGCTCTCTTAACATTTTGCTACATAATTCTGTGCTTTGTGGCATTCCTTGATTATTCCCAAAAGTCGTTTCAAACTGCCCATTCGCAGAAACCGGTTCTATATTTTCCACTTGTTCTATTTCTCTTGATCAATTCCAGTCCAGTATATTGCTTACTTTTGTTTTAATTGCCATAATTTCTGACTGATAAAAACTTGTGCTCTAATATTTGCTTTATCTGGTCAGCGAGTCTTTGGGATGATACTGCTATTGTTCATTTCAGTGACAGTTGATTCTGCTATGTTATCCAGATTTTTCTTTTTTTCAAGTTTGTAGCCAATAGGTAAGCTCCGATTGCAGAAATATTCATATTGCAGTCCCATTTCAACCTTTGTTGCCTACCTACTTGGCCAATAATTCCTCTTGCACAGGAGACTCTACAGTATCCAAGCCCGTTTCAGAGTTTAATAATGAGACCTATGACAGCCGGTCTTACAGGAACATACGACACGGAGGCACCACTCACACCACCTGCAGATGTCGAAGGCTGAATATCCAATATCTCCGAAGCAGCCCTCACTTCGGATTCGTCTGGGGTAAATATTTGGGTATTACTCATGATTGAAAATTCTCATCACTTATTAATCACATTTCAAATTTTCAATCATTACTCATCACTCTCAAATATGAGTGGATTACTCTTAATAATAATTCATCACTCATTATCATCATGAGTAATCACTTAAAATCTTTTGCTTTTACTTTTAAGAAAATCAGAGAGAAATAAGCATTCTATTTCAAGACAAAGCAACTAGTTTTTCTCTTATCAAAAGAAATAAATATGCCAACAGGCAGATCTCTAATGGTGGCTCAAAAAAAAAATTAAATAAAAACAAGCATTAAATCTATTATATTATATCTGCTACCTTTGTTGGTTCAATATGGTGCTTTCCAAGAGAAACTGGTGGCAGGTTGTTCAGTTCAGAATATGATTCATCAATAAACTTGACTTCTGTCTGATAAGTCTTCCCGTAAGTGTCAAGGAGAGAATAAGCTGCTTCACAACATCTCAACCTTTAAAAAAAATTTAGCATTAATGATTTGAAAATTAAATATTAAAACAACAACAAATAAAAAAGATCAACTTGAATATTTAATAGTTGACTGTTGCATTATAAAGGACGGAGATGGTCCGGGGTGGCGGTCATAAAATAGTTTTATCACTATTTAGCCTATTTATGACCGCCACCCCGGAAAAACCATCAACATATTTTATTAAATAAAATAAATAACTTATTACTATTATTTTAATAGGATGTATAAAAAAAAAATTACCGATTTATCAAATTCAAGATTTCAAAGGACTAAATATTTTAATCCTATTTAATACTTTCCAATGCTTAATAATCCCTTTAGAGCATTCTCTAAGCTTGTTTAATCCCATTCAACTTCTTCAAAAAAAGCCACAGTTTAGTTATTTGTTGCAAAGAAGAAATATGACAGTGTCCTACGAAATTCTCATTTATTTTACTGGAAAAAAAATTTCACAGCCGCTGAAGCAACTCATGAAATTATTAAATATGAAGGTGAAGGTGTTCTTGACCAGTACACTGCACGGCGTTGGTTTAAAAAAATTAATAGTGGAGATACGATGTTGGGAAGGAAGACAGGCTCCGGGCGACCATTAATGGATATTGATGAGGTTCTGCAGGAAGCTGTTGAGTCAAATATGTCCACAAATACTCGCAAACTTGCCAGAGAGTGTGGAGTGTCGAAAGATACTGTTAGTCGCCTTCTAATCTCCATGGGGAAGTTGAAAAAGAGCAGTAGACTAGTCCCTCATGAACTTATTCCTCAGCAATCAGCTGGAGGTTAGAAATTGTCAAGAGGTTAGAAATTTGTGAAAATTTAATGAAAAATCCTTGCCTGAAAAATTCCTGCCTCATCCACCATATAGTCCAGACCTTGCACCATCGGATTACTACTTATTTAGATCCATGGCTCATTTTCTTCAAGGGAAAAAAATTGATAGTTTTGGGGAAGTTGATAAGTTCTTTGACAGCCATCCCAAAGATTGGTATCAGCGTAGGATCAAGCAATTGGCTAGCAGATGGCTAATGACGGTAGATAAAAATGGATTATACTTTGAGTGTAAATTGTATTTTATATGAAAGAAATAATAACACAAATATTTGGTTGAAAAGCGGTCTTTTTTTTTATACACCCTATTAATTCAAGTAATATTGTTTCAATAACCTGTCAACAAGAGAAGCACACAAGTTATTCCATCTTTGGGTTACTGCATTAACATCATCATCCAGCCTGTCCATGTCTGAATGGTCATGAGACCTAAGACGTTCCCTCGATTTTACAACCAATCTCCGGGTATTTGTAGCATCCTCAATGAGTTGGTCAACAACAGGTTGCTGAGCAGCTATGGAGTTCTGAACCCTAATCAGGTCATCATGAACCTAAAATCAACAGAACATGACAAGTAATACAATAAATTTTTAAGACACTTAAATCCAACATTAAATAACTAATAATAATTAAATAACTTAATTCTAAACAAATTTCCTGGAGAGATCTTGATTCTTTAACCACTGAAAACATCAGCCCTTTTCTCGATTCCTTATCTGCTTCCTACACTGACATGGTCGAATGCCTTCCCTCAAACCTTCTTGATTTCCTTAATCATCACGCAGCTCTTAAAACACGTATCTTCAGACAACCTAAATAACAGAACTAATGAGGAGAAGAGTAGCTTCTAGAAGACGCTACAGACATACTTGACTGCTTCAGCATTATTCCACATTCAATCCCCTACGAAACATCACACGTATATCCTTAAGCCGCACAAAAGTCCAATACTTTAATAATATTTTATCCCAACCCTAAATTCACATGGGCAATCCTTAAGAACCTCTCTATCGTCAGTTCCAAAACCTGAACACAATATCCAGTTGATCCAAACAAGCTAAATTCCTTTTTCATTGACCAGTCCCCTTCCACATTTTCATTAGACTGCTCACTTTTTTCCATCACCAAAACCCCTTTTGATTCTTTTAAGTTTTATTTTCTCGATATCTCTCCTACTGATCTATTCTCTGCCAACTTTAAATCCAAAACTAACGATTACGGTCCTGACCAAATACATGTCAAAATTATCAAACTCTGTCTTCCAGCCTTATTTCCTGCACTTCTACACATATATAATTTCTCTCTCCTAAATTTCATTTTTCCTAGAGCCTAGAAAATAGCCATTGTCTGACTGTTAAATTTTATTTTATCCAATTTATCTAAGTTTCTAGAAATATTAGTCCAATCTCAGTAGAACAACTTTCTCGAGCAAAACCGTCTCCTCAATCCGGTTTCTGTTTCCATTATTGCACCCAATCTGCCTTGCTAAAGATTACCCAAGACCTATAATTCTCCATAGATAAAAAGAAAGTCTCTATCCTAATCCTTTTCGACTTTTCCAAAGCCTTTGATTCTGTCAATCATAAGACCTTTCCAAACTCCAAAGCCTGCCAATATCAAATAGAGTTCTAAAATGGTTCCTTTCCTTCTTACCCCATCGCTCCCAGACAGTTGTAATTACTGACAGACCTCTGTTGTCACCTCTTTAAGTAACTCGAAGTGTTCCTCAAGGATCTCCACTTTCTCTGACTCTTTTTTCCATCTATACAAGTGATCTTGCCACCATTCAGTACTCCTATTACCAGATATACGCTGATGATTTCCAAATTTACTAATCATTCCAATCTTCCGAGATGCCTGGGGCTACTGACTGCATCAGTAGATGGATAGAAATGAATTAGTTAAAGCTGAAAGCAGAAAAAAACTAAGGCTATTCTTAGCGGGTCCAGATATCTTATTAGATTACTACTTACTTCTACTTTATCTCAACAACTGCCCCATCCATTTTTTCCCTACAGCCAAAAACCTAGGAGTAATCTTTGACCAGAACCTTTCTTGGAATCCCCATATCTCCCAGATTACCTGAAAATCCATATTAATAAATCTTAGGAATGGTTTAATGATCTTTCATTAAATTATCCGTAAGATTCTGTGATTGTATTCCTCTAAAAACCAGACAACTCCTTGTAACCTCCCTAGTTTTCCCCCACTTCGACTATAGTGTATGATGTATGGAGGGCTGTCTGTCAGGCTGGAGATCAGACTCAATAGAATCATGAATTGCTTCATAAGATACATCTTTAAAATTGCCAGGTGTTCTCATGTTTCCTGCTGGTACACCGAGTTGAAGTGACTTTGTCCTACTTCCGACGGCAATTCGTTCTTGGTGTTCTCTTTTTCCAAGTCCTCAGAACCAAAAGCCCTCACTACATCTTAGAACTCTTTACTTTACATTCCTCTATTCACTCTCTCAATACCAGTTCTTAGCCTATAGATTTATATATCCCCTCCCATAAAACTACTTCCTTCAGCGAATCCTTCATGTCATTCGTGTGAATAACCAAAAATGTTGGTTATCGAAATTATATTAATACAATAAAACAAACCAAGTTATTTCAAAGAGGTGAGTAATAAGAAGTATTTTGAACCAGTGCTAGGTTGTTACAAAAGTTCTTGTGCAAAGTATAGCTTGATTTCATATTATATACTTTAAACAATATTGAATACTAATATTCAAAGTAAAGTTCATTTTTTTCAACTACTTTCATCAATCTTTCTGTAATTGGATATAATGCTAGTACCAATCCTTAGGTTTTGAGGCTAAGAAATCTTCACATCCCATTTTTATGCTCTCATAATTATCAAAGATTCGACCTTTTAAAAAATGAGCCCTTAATCTAATCAAACCATAATCTGATGATGTAGTATTTGGCTATCCGCAGGATAAGGCAAAACGATTACTGCTAGCAGTTTCTATAATTTTTCCTGCATCAAAAGAGAACAATGTGGAGGGATATTGTCATGTTGCAAAATCAATTGGTTTCAGTTGACTAAAGTGGGGTTTGCACTCAAAACTGCTAACCTCTGTCTAGCTGTTCACAATAAAGGTTTGAGTCCACTGCCCGACCATCAGGAACAAGCTCAAAATACAAAATGCCTTAAAAGTTCCATAAAAACACAAAGAATCACTTTTTTCAAACCAATCTTGGCAAGCCTCCGGTTGTGCAGCTTCACCTGGCCATAACTACTACTTTGTTTGCTTGGTTTTTTTTTTTTTAATATCCACTTTCGTCACTTTTGATTATATCTTTCCTCAATCCTGAGCTTTGACCTCTGTCAAGTCATGCGGATCGGACCTTAGTATTAAATTCCGTACACCCAGCTTTTTAAGATGACGAGACACTGTGGCATTAGAATGCCTTTACTTTGGTTTATAAATCATGAGTTGGTGCATGTTGGTCCTGGTTCACATTCAAGAGAACGTCATCATCACTACCAATAAGTGACCTGATCTGGATTTATCTGCAAGGCTCATATTCCCATCGTTTAAACGCCAGAACCAAAGTGGGGCAGTATTTCGATGGGTAACTCTCCTTCTATGGGACAAATATAAGGCAGCTGCCTTTATGCTTAGATCTTTTTTCTAGTAATGTCTCAAAAGACTGCAAATCAAATTTTTTTTTCTGATATATGTGCATTTTAAAAATGCAAAGATATCCATAAAGTCACAAGGAATCAAAGAATTAGACAAAGTAAACATTAACATAAATAAATAGTAGGAACAAAAATATTCTTATATAATTAATTATGAGAATTGGAATTATGAGTTATGTTCATGCACTAGAATTTTTGTAACAACATAGCAGACAAATAATTGCAGTAAACACGTATTGTTTGTATAACACATAATTTGGTTATCATTTGCTAATTTTAACTGCTTACATTCTGTAAGGATTCAAGTTCTGAAGGCATATCTCCAAATGATGAAAGTTTAAGTTCCAGTTCAGAGACAACATTAGTAGCATCATCAAGAGCAGATAGCGTAATTTCAACACATTTGAGTCTGAAAAATAAATTAACAGCATGTTTACAATAATAAATTAACAGAATTAACTTACATAAAATATAATCACATTAATTACATAAAATTACATAAAAAAGAAAATGACTAAATTAAATCAGCAACAAAATAAATGAACTATTGGGTTGTCCGGCCATTTGGCCATAGCTGGTCCATCAGAAAAAAAGAAGAAAGGATTTGGATACGGAAGATGTCATGTGTGTGGAAGGAAAAAGAACATAAACACTAGGAAAACATGTTTCAAGTGTAAAAAAATACTTTTGTAAAGCCCATCTTGTAATTGAGCATATATGCAATTTTGTGTCATTGGCAAGCATTAATTTACGATTAATTTGTTACTTTTAATATTTTAGTTTTTAATTTTCCTAACTGCTTTTTAGAGTAAACTTGTGTTGCTTTGTAATCAAACTTATGTTTTAAGTTATCAAGTATATATAACTTATATTTTTTTTTAATTGTCAGATGTAACCTTTTAAATTAAAGTATTTAATTTTTAATATTAATAAATTTTTACTGGTGTTTCAAATAAACGCACAGAAAGGTTAAGATTTAGAAATATAAAAATACATTTAATTATAGTTCAGATTTGTATTATAATTTAATCAACATTGCCCAAAGACAATACCTTTCAACAAACAGATGAGAATAGTTCCAAATGTGATTCCATTGCTGCAATATGGCTTCTACACGAGACTGGACACCAGGTGTCTTTCTTGTTAGGCTGTTGAACATAGTTTGGAGGCCCTCAATCTCTCCAGTAAGACCCTAAATATATATACATATATTAAATTATATAAAATAAATTAGGTGATAAAACGTTGTTAGAAATAATTAATAAGTATCTAAGTCTCTCGTTCGGCCTCAAACTTGCACTGAATCATGTAATGAAATGTATACAGCAATTAAAGAATGTTTTTATTGTTCTTTTCTTTTCTTTCTAAAATTACTTTTATCAGCACTTTCACTTTTTCCTAAATTAAATATTTTTATCTATTCTTAAAAACCCTACAGTTTGATCCAAATCTTTCAAATCTTCTGTAAGGGATTATATCAAATGGAGGATGGAGTAAGAAAAGTAAGGGCTAGGTCTCGTGAGACAGAGGAAAGACATGCAGTTCTGTGTGGGTCATTTGAAAAGAAGCACTCTATAATCCTTTACTTGTTCTCTCACTTTGTCTCTGCATTAGTAGCTGGTTTAGAATCTATAATTGTAAATGGAAGTAAATAATATAATTGAATGAAAACCCTTTATTTGGTACTAGGAATGAACTTGGCAACATTTGTAACATGCAGGTTAATTTTCCAAACTATTTCTTACATATTTTTACAGTGTAGTTGATTCCTTTAAATACATCAATCCAAACTTTTTTATAATAGTCTAGACTGTTTTTTTTTCCATTGACAAATTCTAAATAATCATTTGAATCCCAATGTATATAACATTTATTCCTTTCATACACTTCCCACTCCATTTTGGCTGTTTATTTATCGAGTCTTTTTCTCTTTTTGCTATCTCATCACACTTTTTATTTTAAAAACATAAAAAATCTTTTTTTGAAAACTGTATACATCAAAATTCATTATTTTAATTTCATCCACCATGTTTTTCATTCGGCTTCTTTTAGGTTAAAAATAAATACTTTTCTCCTTTAATAATATACCATGAAACTTCTATGTAACATATTCTGTTATCACAAATTTATAATTGATATATTACTGTAGTATAAATACAAATTTGAAATGAAACAATATGTACCGATAGAGGTAAGAGGATTCAAATATTTTTTAAAGAAAAAACCGAATTGATGATCGTTTTCGGAAAAGCTCTCAAATACAAATTTTCAAAGCTATCGGCGATGTTTCTGTTGTGCAAAATAGAATTAGTTTGCAGCTGTTATTATCTATTTGATTTCTTCATAATAATGAAAAATACAGTTATATAACACAAACATTTCAATACATGGAACTAAACTCATAACTACATTTGGCCATACTGGTTGCTATTTTACAACTAACTTATACATTCAGTACTTAGGAACTATTTCTGATTTTAACACTTCTGAAACTTCCTTTGCTCTTTAAGCTTTATCTACATTAAACTTAGGAACTAAAACTATTATAACTGGTAAGGCCCCATTAGTTCCTAACCAACAGCTAGACAATAGGAAGATAACTGTCAATAAAATAACAGTAATAAAAGATCAGCAAATGGTCTCTCATCCAATAAATTGATATAATGATTAATAACATAAGAAGAACAGTACAAGTTTTCGCACCACTTAGAACTAGAACACAAAAGTGTAAATAATCCAAATATGAAGCATACATTTTGTAATCACAGTTGACAAAATTAAAAATAAAGAAAATCTAATGGCCATAAGATGACATAAATTTACATCCTGTAACGCTTACGATCTAATGCAAAAAGTTATCTTAAGGCAAGTTAAAAAGAGCAGATTTAAAAAGAGCTGTCATACTTTAAGTGAGGTTTCAAATTCTTTATGCTGGACAATAAGATGCTCCAAAGAATGAACATCTCTAGGAATAGAAGATGACAATCTCATGGTGAGGACTCTTTCAGCTTCTTCCAAAGCTTCTTGGAGATGTGAACATTTTTCTGTGATAACACGGATAGCATTCTTGTTCTCCTCTAGAAATAAAATAAAACTGTTCAGAATTTTTGCAATATTTATGCTAGCTTCTTATAATTTGGACACATATTCTTCTTTATAAATCTGAAAGACTTTAAGGTGTGCCTTTAATGAATGTTTTTTTTATGAAATTTAGTATACAGGAAAACAAAAATGTACTAATCCAACTGCAAAACCACCCCTAACCAACTGGGCTAAGTTGTCATTAGCTCTATCAGGAACATAGATAATGAAAAAAAAAAAAAATTTGAATATATACTAATTTATTTAAAGACTTATTAATAATCTTAAGATAATTAAGTCAAATAAGTCTGATAATTTTAACAAAATTATGAGAAAAAAAATATAATTTTCAAAAGATTAATTTTTAATATTAATCACCTATAATTACTTAACATCTCTAAATAATACTTTCAGGTTATAAATTAAATCACTTTGCAATTAACAGCTGATATAGCTAATCAGTCTTTATAATTAGGAACATATAACATAAAATTATTATTCAATGTTTATTGTATCTGATACCTATTGTTATACGGTTCTTTTCTTAGCCCTGATGAAGGCCTGAACTTCGGGCTGAAATGTCAGCAAATGTAAAAATAAATATTATTATTTATTTTTGCAATTTTTATTTTGACCCCAACCATCCGTCTCTTCAATTATTCACTACAGTCAATCATCAACCCACAATTATAAAATAAAACAACTTGATGGAATGTGTGTTTTATTTAATTTCATCTACATTAGACAGTCTGTTAAAATCCTTGATTCATGGCAAACTTCGGTATTCAAAATATTTATAATTAAATAAAATTTTCAAAAAAATTCGTTTAGGTGATGGAGATAAACTCATAATTAATCAAACTACCAACTATCAATTAATAAATTAGAAATAAACTTACCTTGTTGGCTAGCAAGAGCTTCGAATTCATCAAAAAGTCTGTTAACTTCAGCCATTTCCCTCCTGAGACGTCTCAGTTGTGGATCATTAGGGTCACCTTCTGCAAGAAGTTTGTCTGCATCCTCATTGAGAGCTTTACGTATGGCATTTCTCTGCTCAGAACCCATGGCAACAAACTGAGCAAGATCCCAAGACCTTACCACACGTATTGTGGTAAATATCATATTTTGTCTGAGACGAAGTTGTTTTCTCTGCCAAAGTGCTGTTGTCCGGTCAAAGTCACGTGCTAAACTTTCAACTGCTTCTTTTGCTTCTTTGCTTGGTGGAGGAATTAAAAATACCACACCAGGAACATTGGTGTCTTTAGTTGAACCTGTAAAAATAAAATTATTATTTAACCAAAGAGTGAATGACCCATAACAATCAGATGAACATATATACATGGGCGAGAGTGGTTGAAAGATGTTAATATACTGCCTTAGTCAATAATTGTTGGTTACAAGTAGACTATTACTCTCTGAAGTGAAGTATATTTGTTAAAAACTTTTGTAGTTTTTGTAGTGGTTAAAGTTCATTAGAGTCGCACATATTTATGTTTGTGCGGGAAGTGCCAACATTTTTTTTTTTTTAGCCAGATAGGGGGTGAGGTGACAAAAATAGTTTGAGAGTCATAGGTCAAAATACAAACACATTGGCTGGAAACCTCTTTTATCATTGTAAGTATTTTTATTAGGTAAATATACAACAGGTATAGGTAAGGTATATTTACAAGTTTTAGTCTTCATATTGCCATAATTCATCTAATTAAATGTTAATTAACAGCAGAACTATCATTATGAAAGCCGCACATATACTATCAGAGACTGCCTATTCCTAGCCTATGATATAGCATATTATACATGTTTGGAAGCAGCTATAAAATTCTGAACATAACTGTATACTATTTCTTGCTCTTTCAGGAGTAAGAATACAATTTTTGCTATATGAGTGAGGGTACATATGTTGTTTATGGAACCAATACATTATTATCAATACATAGAACTACTTTAAAAATAATGTAGGAACACAAATATCAAATGTAGAGGTGGAATAATTTATTACCTAACAGAATACATACTTCTGAAAGTTAAATTTATTTGTTTTAAACTAAAGTCTATGAATGATTTAAAATATAGTTACCTATAGGTGAAACACGCCATTTTGTAAGGGCAGAATTGTCATGAAGTATCCACTGGTCTCCTTTCTCTATTTCAACCTGGAAAATTTCAATTTTCTTTAGATTAAGTGATAAATATTATTCTTTGATTTAAAAAGAAAAATTAGTTAAAATTTTATTTTATTATTATTTTAGTGATATGAACCAATGTTAACAACCTCAAAAACCCAAATATTGACATTGTAACAATTGAAATTTGTTTTAACAGCCATTTTTAAAATAAAGTTAAACTGTAGAGTAGGTGTTTAGTTATTACTTGCAAAGGTAGGAAGGGAAGAAGTTTATATTCCGACGATTGGTAAAGAAAGTTTGTACGAATATAGTAATGATAATGGGATCCGTCTGATAAACTTTGCCATCTCGAAAAACATGATAATTAAAAGTACGACGTTTAAACATAAGGATATTCATAAATATACTTGGACATCACCGGATTCGCAAACACGAAATCAAATCGATCATGTCTTGATACAACACAGCTGGCAAAGCAGTATAATTAATGTACGGTCTTATCGCGGAGCAGAATGTGGGTCGGATCATGAATTAGTAATCGCGAAACTTCGACAAAAACTTAATATAAAAAAGAGAAAAGAAAACCGTTTCGATTTTGAGAATTTTAATTTGGAAAAATTAAAAAATCCATCAATTAGAAACCAATTTGAGCTAGATGTTAAGAATAGGTTTGAAGCTTTAGAGCTTCCTGTCGAGGACCACGAGGATATTGACAAGTTATGGATAGAGATCAGGGATAATATTAAAGCGGTCGGTAACTCGTGTCTAGGAAAAAAGGAAAATAAGAATAACAAACCGTGGTTTGATGAAGATTGCTTAAAAATGTGTGAAAAAAGAAAAGCCGCAAAATTAAAAGCTCTAAATAATCCTAGCGAAGACAATCTGGAATACTTCCGAATCTCAAAGAACAAAACGACAAAATTGCTCAAAAATAAAAAAAGGGAGTATCTTAAAAATAAAATAATTGAAATAGAAACTAATAGAATCGAAAATAACGTAAGAGACATGTACAAAGGTATAAACAGATCACGTAAATATGTAGGGCCCGTAACGTCTGGAATTAGGGATGATAATAACAATATTCTGACCGATCCGGTTGACATATTGAATAAGTTTAAGGACCATTTTGACAATATTTTAAATACGGGAAATTATGATCTGTGTCCTCCTTCTGAGTACCAGAGTGCTGAACCGTTAATAGAAGGACCAAATAAAGAGGAAGTTGAAGTAGCTATCGGAAAATTAAAATCATATAAAGCAGCGGGAATCGATAATATTCCTACTGAACTAATTAAGGCATGCGGGGAAGCTGGAGTTTCTAAAATACATAGGTAGGTTAAAAAGATCTGGGTGAACGAGAAATTACCTGAAGAATGGAAAGAATCTATTCTTATTCCGATTCACAAAAAGGGTCCGAGGACGGATTGTAATAATTATCGTGGAATTTCACTCCTTCCAGTATGCTATAAAATATTCACTTCAATCTTAACCAGTCGAATCACGGAATACGCCGAGGAAATTATCTGAGACTACCAATGCGGATTTAGACAGAATCGTTCGACTATTGATCAAATATTTTCTTTACGGCAAATATTAGAGAAAAAATTGGAGTATAACGGTATTGTTCACCAGCTGTATATAGATTTTAAAAAGGCTTACGATTCTATTGACCGCCAGAAACTGTATAATATTCTAATCGAGCAGGGGATTCCAAAAAAACTAGTAAATCTAGTCAGGATGTGCTTGACGGAGACACTCAATAAAGTTAGAATCGGTAATAATTTGTCCGAAAAATTTGAGGTTCGTTCGGGCTTAAAACAGGGGGATTCTCTTTCGCCTGTCCTGTTCCATTAGAACATGCCATTAGGGAGGTAATGCGAACCGAGAAAGGGTTGGATCTGGGCGGGACAACATCCGTGCTCGGCTATGCTGATGATCTGGTACTGTTAAGCGAAGACATTGAAACTATAAAACTAAATACGACAACGTTAATGAAAGTCGGTAAAGAACTAGGACTCGAAATAAACGTGGATAAAACAAAATATATGGTTAGCTGCAAAAATGGCGATACTAGTGGTGATATCGATATAGATGGTAATATGTTTGAACAGGTAGATAAATTTAGGTATCTAGGTTCTACGATAACTAGAAAAAACGAAATTGAAGAAGAGATTAAGGTTAGACTGAAGGCGGGGAATGCTTGTTATTTTTCTGTGACAAAACTACTCAGTTCGCGCCTCTTGTCCCGAAACTTAAAAATTAGAATCTATAAAACAATTATCTTACCTACAGTTCTTTATGGATGCGAAACTTGGCCACTTACATTAAGGGATGAGCAGCGTCTTAAGGTTTTTGAAAATAAAGTATTGCGTAGAATATTCGGACCGAAGAAGGATGCGTTAACCGGAGAGTTCAGACGGTTGCACAACGCCGAATTGCGTGAGCTGTATCCGGGTAATATAATTGAGGTAATTTCATCGTGGCGAATCAAATGGGCTTGTAAAGTTGTTGGGCTTGGTAACGAGAGAATTCCTAAAAGGTTAATATTTGCTGTGCCGAATGGTAAGTGTCCGAGGGATAGACCGAAGCGAAGGTGGGAAGATTGCATTAAAGCCGATCTGAAGGGACTGGATTTGGACGGCGAACGGTGGAAGGAGGTCTGTAACAAGCGATTGGTGGTGTCGGCATCGAACCTTCAGGTTCGCTAAGCCTTATTATTATTATTATTTCAAATGTTCATCAGAAAATTATCATTTTCACATGTTCAATGCCTCACAAGTTACATGTTGACATGAACTTTTAAGTCAACCCCATACTCTTGGCTGGAATAGGTGATTTGTTCGTTCATGTCAAGGGGTTTTCCATCTAACAAAAAAACAAGACATTTTTTATGATTTTTTTTTTTTTTAATTTTTCAACATAGTCTCCTTGTAACTCTACACCCTTCTCCCAGTGATGTTCCCATCTCTGTAACCCGACCAAAAAGTAATCAGCGTTTTTCTCTGCAAAATAATTGTTCACAAAGGTGATTACCTCTTCATTTGATGAAAATCTCTGTCCTCAAAGTGCAATTTTTAGATAAGAAAACAAAAAGAAGTCGCTTGTGGCTAGATCTGGTGAGTAAGGTGGATGGTCAGCAGTTCAAACCATAATTCTTGGATTTTTGCCATGGCAACCGCTGAGGTGTGAGAAATTGTGTTGTCTTGGTGAAACAGGATTTTCTTTATCTGCAAATGTGGCTGTTTTTCCGCAAGTTCTGCCTTCAGCTTGTCAAGTAATGATGCGTAGTATGCTCCTGTAATGGTTTTTCCTTTTTGAAGATAGTTGATTAAAATAACTCCATGACTATCCCAAAAAACAATGGCCATCACTTTCCCAGCCGAGAAAACAGTTTTTGCTTTTTTTTGGAGCTGGTTCCCCTCTTTCAGTCCACTGTTTGTACTGTACTTTTGTTTTGGGAGTATAATGGTGTAACCAAGTTTCATCTACAATAATTAATCTGCTCCAAAACTCGGATTTATTGAGCCTAAACTGAGCCAACGGAGCGTTGAATTTGGTCTAACACATTTGAACATATTTTTGGTCTAACATGAGCAAACGCGGCACCCAACGTGCGGACAGCTTTCTCATATCTAAATGTTGATTTAATATGTAACAAAAACGTTCTTTTGACATGTTCATAACCTCTACTATATCTCTCACTTTAATTTGGTCGTCATCTAGCACCATTTGGTGAACTTTGGCGATGTTTTCGTCGGTAGTTGCAGTTTTTAGACGTCCCGAACGTTCATCGTCTCCCAAGCTCTTACGGCCACGTTTAAATTCAGCTGCCCAAAATTCCACTGTGGTAAATGGTGGTGCAGAGTTCCCATACACAGAATCCAACTCATCTTTGATTTGCGTAGGAGTATTGCCTTTCAAAAACAAATATTTAATGACAGCCCGATACTCGATTTTGTCCATTTTCATAAAAACAGTTACATCAACTCACTCAAAAGACTGTTACATAAAAACTATGTGTCCAAAATGGCTGAAACTTTGGTGCGTAACTGTCAACAGATGAACAACGAAATTCACTTGCTTTTATTTACGAGTGCTGTCATCTTCACGTTGTGGTCAGACATTTTTCAGACCACCCACGTACTATGTGGTGTTGGTGACTTGTATACAGCAATATTTACTTAATTCTTTGTTTACTGCCCTCATTTAAAGGCCTGATAAAACAAATGCAATGTTCGTGTCGAGTTATCTGAATTTTATTAGGTGTTTTTGAAAGATTTTTTGCAATTCTTGTTTTTCCTCGGGTTTTCTTAAGATGTTATAATAGTGTTTTGTTTCAATTTCAAGATAGATGTGATATCATTATTATTATCTGCACAGACTTTTCATGAGAAATTAAACATTAAAAAGACAAAACATCAGACAGAATAATGAACTCTGAAGCAGTTTTACGATATAATGAATTTATGCGTAGTATAGACAGATTGACCAAATGAGAACTACCGAAAATTTCAATGGTGCATTAAAATTGATCTTTTATATTCCATGAAATTATGATAAATGGTAATCTAAAGTTTAATGGAGAGAAGCCGTGAGAGTCAGACAACCCTTATCATTTCAAGGGATAACGTAATAGAGCCTAAAAAATGCGATCACCGATATTATAACGATGTCATAATCTTTTACAAAGTCCATAATTTTGAGGAGATGAGTCTCGAACGAAGAAAAAAACAGAAATTTGGAGTTCGCTACTCTAGAAGAGTGATGAAAGAAGTCTTATATATATATTTTATACAATAAACAAATGTAAATATATAAATTCTTCAGATTTTGTTCATGTTCTCTTATTTAACTAGGTATTTTATGAATTTTAATTTTTGCAATATACAATCAGGGAAGGGCATTGGTGCGAAATAATATAAAGTTTTATCCTTTATAAGAGTTTTTCTTTATAGGTTCTGTTGGAACTCACCAGGTCGTTCTAAATCGAGTATAAATCCCTGTCCATCGCTACTGGATATAATTTA